GGAATTCTGGCTGGCTATATTTGAAAAACGGGGAAAACGATGGCGGAGGAAAAAAATATATGAGGAGAATAAATTCAGAAAGCAAAAAGCCCAAAAATATCTGAACGGACCACCCATGAAAACAGCAAAAAAAATAAATAAAACACACAGAGGCATTTTTCGTGCAAAACGTTTTGCCGTCAACTCGAGGCAGCACAAGAACACATCTAAAATAATGCTTTCTTTCCTATATGTGAAGAAGAGGAAAGCAGCCCAAAAACGACATACCAAATGGCTTTGACTACAAAATAAGCAGCATTTTTCGGAAAAAAAAAACGCAAAAGGAGGAGAAGAAGAACACACAAAAGCGTATATATTTGGTAATGATATATAAAAAAAATTTTGTTTGAGAAAAAATGAAATGTCTCAAGAGAATTATTTATTGAAATGGGATAATTATCAAAGTTTTTGGCCTGGCAAGTACTAAAATTCAAGAATCCAAGTGTGATATACCGTGTAATCTAGATCTGAATTTCTAAATATTTCAAAAAAGTATAGGAAATCTCTTGAAAGCTTTGTCAATCTAACTTATTAGAGAAGAAAAAATCTTTAAGATCTAACTACCTTAGTTGCTTTACTGTAATAAACAAAAAATTTATCTGATTCAACTTTTTTTTCAAAAGTCAAAGTCAATTCCACCTTTTCAGTTCCACAAAAAAAATCAAACAAAAAAGGAAATTGAAAATTTGATATTTCTACCGGAAAAGCTTGATGTTCAAAAACCGAATAAATGTATATATTCATATAAATGTCAAAATGACCTTGTTTAGAAAAGAGGGAGTGTGATTTAGGGCGAAGAAGGAAAAAAATAGAGATGGAAATAAAATGAATCGGCTAGCCAAAAAATGGACACACACAAACACACAAAAAAAGAACGAAAAGGATGAAAAAGAAGAATTTTGTGTTGTGTTTTGTATTTTACAAAGAACAGGAAAATATACTACTACTTCTTCTCCTTTCTTGTTCTTCATCGCCTCTTTTTTACTCCTGTGATTGATCTATGAAATTATATTCTCTTCTTCTTCTATATGAATAAGGTTTTTCTATCTCTCTAATTTTTAAGAGAGAAAAAAGGAACGGAAAATAGAATGCAACACTGTTTTAGAAAATAATAAAAGTCATTCTTATCAAAGAAAATAAGAACACTGGCAATATATATTGAAAAAGTGTTTTATTAGGAAAAAAGAAAATTTCATTTTTATTTGATTCTTTCAAAAATTTAATAAAAAGAGATTAACTTTGAATCGAGATATGAACATTTTACATTACATTTGATTGGTTTTTGGATTATGTTATCTTTCAGAAAAAACCAAAATTCTTAAAAGCCTTGAAGCACTATCGAAAACTAAAATACATAACATAAGCGCAGCTCAAAAATGCGACAAGTGTAAAATCCTCGGTTTTTTCCGCTCTGGAATGACTCTTCATCAAAAATGTAAAGGTTTTTCGTTTTTTCTCACAACTAAACTAGTATGGGTTTCAAGAAATTTACGCACAAAGAAAATAGAAAAATTGATTATTGCTTTTATTCACAATAATCATAATAATAGAAAAAATGAATAAAAAAGACGCTGATTTTTGTTGTCACATCGCATACAACAAAAAAAGCCAAGCAGGTCATTGGACCCAACGAAACATGCCATAACAGAAGGAGGTGTAAGATGAGAGCGAAATAGTGAGCGGATAAAGGAGACGTATACAGTGCGAAGGGGGGGAATATTAATAGAGACGTCATACAGTTACATAAATATATTAATATAAAAAATGGAGAGAAAAGGGTTATTGTGTTGGGAATAAATAAGAAATAGAGAAATAAAGAAAATATGAATGAGTGAGTCTGGTGAGGAAATGATTCATTAATCTTATTATGTACGAGCGATTTTTTTTTGACAAATGGGTTTGGTTGTTTTTTTACTGGATTTTGAGGAAAAAGAGGTTTCTGGAAAATATAGTGATTTGAGAAAAATCTAATTATTGCAGAAAAACATGTATTAGGGCTACGGTATTCAGATTTGCATTGAAATCGACAGAGAAATTGACTGATATTAAATATAGAATGTTCATAACCCATTTAAAATTGTTAGTGATTGACGTTCAGTTTTTTCAATATTCTGTCACAATCATCATCATAAAGTTAGGCGACTGATAAAATAAAAATGATTCGGACAGATTCAGAAACACTTTGATGATTTTTTTTCGTTAAAGACGATTTTCAATTTCACAATTTCAGCATAACATCAAAGAAAAAATAATCCTCTAGAAAATAAGGTTGGAAGAACCTAACAAACTCCCCCCGCAAAACCTCTCAAGAAAATCCGAAAATTCAGTTCCTCAAAAAAGTGTACTAAATATTCCAGGCCAAACAAGAAGTGAGCCACTCACATTCAGACAGAATATTCGATTTTATGAGGAAAAAGTGCCTTTATAATTGAACGTTTCAATTTATATGCCACACTTTAATTTTCCATATTTATTTCAACATTGCCAAATGAAGAACGTTGAAACACAAAACCAAAGATCTACAAAAACAAAATGTTGGAATGTGTTAAAGCAATAAAGTGAATCGAAGAAGACTCGAGAAAAATCTATAAAGAAAGAAGGGAAAATTATCTCTTCATGTTTTTTTTTATATGATTCGAGTTGAGAAATGATCATCTTTTGTCGGTGTTGTGCTCCAATAAATGAGCTTGTGTTCCAAGAGCAAAAAAAGAGGACATATAAATTGAGTATGTCTTTTTTTTCTATTGGCTTTCGCTTTGGGGTATATGGGTTTTTTTGTGTGATGTGAAGAAAAAGAATGGACATTTCGGAATAGAAATTGCTGTTTAGTTGCTCGATATTAGCACGATTTATCTTTCGAAGAAATTCAATTTTGTTCGAATTTTTTCTTGGAAAAACATAAGGGACTATTGAAATTATAGAAGAAATTTGACTGGTTTGAGATTTTATTTTACAAAAAACTACTCATGTTCAGAAACCTGATCCAAATAAAAAAACGTTGATTAGATTTATGTCATGTTTCACAATATATTGCGAAATGTCAACAATATACTATTGTAAGAGTATATTTTATTTGAAAAGCAAATTTTTTGAAAAATAATTTGTTATGGAAAATAGATGAACTAATCTTCTAACTTGACGAAAAATGTTGAGTTTCAGTGGATCACAAAACCTATCAGTTTTATCCACATAAATTGGAAATTGATAGGGTGTGTCCTTTTGAAAAAAATGCACTTTCACCTTACTCACCAGCTATTTCCTCTCATATTTAGTTAAATACCAATTTCCTATAAAATATCAATGAAAAATGATAAAAACTAGAAAAATCATTTATCTGAACGCAATCATCTTCATCATCAAAAAAGCGTAAAAAACCAATATCGCAACACCGATTCTTTATTTCTTTCTTCATTCCTTTCGTTTTTTTTTTTGATTCGTAGCCAGTCAAAAGACACATATTGTTTACATTAATTGCAAAAAACGGGAAAAAAAAAGAATTGGCGTAATAGATTTCGAACAGACAGACGAAAAAAAAGTTAATTAGAAAATCAGAAAAAATAAAGTCGGTGGAAGAAGGATAAATGAATGAATAAGTATGGAAGGTCACTTCTGTCAGTTCGAAATAACGTTGAATGAGATATATTGAACGGCTGGGGAAACTGTTCGGATTTTTTGATTGATATTCGATTTTTGAATAGGGTTTGAAATGTTGTGAAACTTTCTTCAGAAAGACATTTAAGTCAGAAAAGTTGAAATATGTTTGAGTGAAGTGGGTTTACAAGAGACACTTTTTCAAATTATCAATGAAACTTTTTTCGCTGTACATCTGAATATATGTTAGTGGATAAATTTTATTGTTTTCTGGCGAAACTTTTAAGAGTTTCAGTTGCGGATATTTAATTTTTGATAAAATTATCAAATTTCAAAAAAAAGTTCAAGCACCCATTTTTTCAAACGAAATTCTAAATTTCCAAGAACAAAAAAATGAAACAATTTATGTGAATATGAAAAAAGAAGCAAAATGGCAAATGTATATGTAAAAATGTAGACAAATAAAAAAAAAGGCTTTTTTCGTTTTTCTTCTTCATTCTGCAATAGATACAACACACTACTAATCAAAAATTCCCGTATAGACGTGTGAAAAATGAATATATTATTAGTAGCAAAAAAAGTTTTTCAATAAGGTAACATAAAGAGCAAATTATGATAATGAAAATAAAGCATGATATTAAACTGAACTAGATTGGTAGAAGGTTTTCTTGTTGGATATTAAACAATTGTTTCTTTATCATTGTTGTCAATTGCATGAGGGCTGAATCAAGAAATTTTGTGAAGTTCAGTGAAAAAATAAATATAAAAAATAACTTACAGATTAATATAATTTATATTCTTTTTCTGTTTTTGTTTCTTCTTATTTTGATTTATAAAAATATTGGAGTATTGATAATTTTTCGAATTGAATGATTCTTCAAAAATTGCGCTATCTCTAGATCTGAAAAAAAAATATATATGAGTTAGCTTAAATTTCCCCTCCCTTCAAAACCCAGATCCCCACTTCATTTTATGATCTACATACCTAGTCATTTCATATTCGATTGGATCAAAAGTAAAATAAGTGTATTGAATTTCACGCGGAGTGTTGTAATAATGATGATTTGGACCTGTAAAACAAATGTTATTTGAGAAGTTCAGTTTTTTTTCCAGGTTTAAATGTGTGTGAGATGATGGACAAGAAATTTAATTTTGCGTGGATATTTTTTTAGAAATGTTGTGTTTAATTATTATTAAAAGCTATGTAAATATTAGTTTTTGATTCTGAAATATAATTTTGTTGTTTCCCAACCCAATTTTGAAAACATAGAAAACAGTACACAAATACAACATAAATTCAACATACATGTTCACAGAAACCTTTCTTTTAATATATTTTTGAGCCAAAAAGGGGAATATTTTCAACATTACTATTGATAATAGTAATGCTCATCAATCAACCGCTGTCGTTGTTCATCTTTTTCACCTAAATATCAGTTTTTGAAAAAATAAAAATCAAGTAAAAAATGAATATAAAAATACATAGGAACACATTCAATAAAGCATGCGGTCACTACGAGTGGACAAACCTAAACATGAAGCGTTTGAATTGGCGGCGCCAAGGTTATTGTTAGATATTCGATGCTGGTGATCAAATGGATGTTGCCAGGCTGGTGATCCGATGGCCGAATCGAGTGATTGATTTGCTACACTGCTGACGACACGAGTTAGTCGATCTGGTCGTACATACCCTGAGATTTGTTGAGATGTTTCTTCGTTTACTTTTTCTAGTAGAGGTTCTGGAAAAAACGAGAATTTTGATTTTTGTGATATCTCTCAAAAATGGAAAATTGTGTTTTTATAAGAAATTGCCAACCTTTCAATTTGTTGTGTTTCAAATCGTTGCAATAAAAATGATAATCATCTTCCTCATCTTCACTTCCATTCATTATTGGAATTTCATCATCATCACAAATTGAATGTTGTAATTCACACGGCAAATTAACTGGAGCTGACAATGGTCGATGCTTCTTTCTCTTCGAAAACGCCATTGTCGGCGACGTTGGCCCGGAAGATGTCTGATTTTCACTGAATATCTTCTCTTGCAAATCAATTTGATCACTTTGTGCTTCAACTGATTGAACCAACATCCAATCTAGATAATCAACAACTGTCGCGAAAGATGGTCGATTTTCTCGTTTTTCTTGCCAACAAGCAACCATTATATTATAAACTTCTTCTGGACAATTATGCGGTGCTTCCATTCGATAACCCTCTTTTAATGTGGCATATAATTCTGGCATCGCAATTGTTGGATATGGTGTTCCACCAAGAGTCATGATTTCCCAAAGAAGAATTCCGAATGACCAAACATCACTTTCAATTGTATAAACATGTGAATCCAATGCTTCTAGAGCCATCCACTTGATGGGAAGTCTACCATTGCCACGTTTTCTGTAGTAATCATTACAATGAACATCTCTCGATAATCCAAAATCAGAAATTTTCAGAACATGATTATCAGCAACTAAAACATTTCTTGCAGCAAGATCTCGATGAATAATCTTTTTCTTTGCCATAAAATCCATTCCTCTTGCAACCTGCCAAGCAAAAGCCACCAGATGTCGTTGAGTTAAATGTGGAATGATATCCTGAAACATTTGTCATGAAATTTTAAAAATCAAAAAAAAATTATATATGTACTTACAATCTCATCTCTATCAGAAATTTTCCGTGGTTCCAGATAATCTGTCAAATCCTGACTTGATTTTTTCGCAACTTTTTCTTCTTTTGGTCTATGAGCTCTTAAGAAATCTCGAAGATTTCCATGTCTACACAACTCGAGAACAACATAAAGTGGACCAACTCCTGTGCAACATCCGATGAGCCGAAGCACATTTTCATGCTCACCAATGATCTGAAAATCACGAGATTTGATAACTTCCTATTCAAAATCTGATTACCTTGAAAGTTTCCATTTCACTGACTAAATCAATCAATTCTTTTTCATGTGCGGAAATTTTTAGTTTCTTAACTGCAACTTGAATATTTTCTTCACTTGGATTTTCGGGATTTGTCATATTTGTTTTCCAAACTTCTCCAAATGCACCTTCTCCAAGCATACTGACTAATTCAAGCCTACAAAAAGTTTTTTGATAATTTTTTTGTTTGAAAAAATCTTACCGATTTCTATCAATTTCCCAATGAGGATCAGAGTGAACTTCATATTCTGACAAAACCGTATTCTCCGAATTCACTCTCTTCCGTTGCCTTTGTCCAGCTTCTTTTGGTGTCAATTGTTGTTCAATTATTTGAATTTGATATGGCGGAGCGTCGCCATTATCATCATCAGTTATCGGTTTTTTACTAACGACCACCTTCTTTTTAGTGACCAACCCGACATTTCCATCAATCAAATTCTTTTTGTGTAGTTTTGCACGATAAGCCAAATAGGCGATTATCAATGAGAAAAGAAGGAATAAAAGTAAGAATAAGAGAACGATTAACAACACTGTTGCTGAAAAAAAAACAAATACTTTTTGGTGGGGGGAAAATTTTTGAGCTTACTAGCATATGTTGACTCTTTACTCGGCTCATTTCCCGTGGGTAGATTAACTGTTTCAAAATCATTCACAACAAGTGTCGCATTTTCCATAGCCCATCCAATACTATTTGCAGTCAAGCAAGCATAAATTCCCTGATCTTCTAATTGAACATCTCGAAGTTGTAAAGTTGAATGATCTCCTCTACTTTTTATTGTGATTTTCTACAAGTAATCAAGTTAGTTGTATTTAAAAAGTTTTCTCAATAAAATCACAAAACCTTTTCATTATCCTCCATTTCTGTATAATGGAAGAGATGTTGTCCAGCAGTCTCATTAAAATACCAATAAGAACCATCAACTTTATTGAGGCGGATCCAGATAATATATGGGATAATATCGGATTGGATCTGACAGTGGAATGTTGCAGTATCATTGACGTTCACCTAAAAATTCCAATGGTCCATAGGCTTTAAAAAAATCAGCAAAACTCACCGATTGATTGAAAAGAATATTCGGAATGATCATTGGTGATGTTCTCCATCTTTCAACAATTTCCGCGTCAAACGTTCGAATCGCTTTTCCATGAATATTTATAACTTCACATTTATATTGTCCAGCATCACTTTTGATAGCATCCTCAAGTTCCAATGACCATTTATTGAATTTATAGGAGAATCCGGATTTTCGAGCTTTTCCTTTTTCTAATGGAACACCATCTTTGTACCAAAAAATCTAAATATATGATAATTTTTTTTTATTTTTGAAAAAAAAAACTAAAATGGCCTAGAAAACCAACAATTTCCTCTTCCAATACAAAATATATTGCAGTATCTTCCACTTCTCTAAAAATTCCGGATTCACATCAGAAAAAAAACAAACCTGTGGTTCTGGATTGCCATAAGCTTTGCAACCAAATCTCAAAGTGCCACCAGCTGGAATTTTCAATATCTCACTATCCTGTGTTAATTGATCAGTTTTGGTTCTGAAGTAAGGTGGCTCTTCGACAGTTCGGTTAAGTTCCACAAGTTCAATATCTGGGGAAATCGAGTTTTCAACTTCTTCAATGTCATCAGCATCAAGGTATTCAGTTTCTGAAAAAAACACAATTTTTAAGAGCAGAAATTTTCAATTTTGACAATGGTTTCTGAAAAAAAAACTAGTGTAAACTTTTTCTGAATTCCAAGAATTTAATGACTCGTTCTTTTTTCTCCGAATCCTTCATGGTTTTCCATCCTTTGATGAATCGAACAATATCTCGCAAAACTCTAGGCCCAAAAGCATTAATGATAACTCTATCAATATCAGTATTTGGATGTTGTGCCAACCAATTGAAAACTTTCATTGGATCTGGAAAACTCACGTTTGTCATTATCAATTGAAATAATTTCATGCGTTGGAGAATCATCATTCTGTAAAGTCACAAAAGTCACATTCTTCGATTTTCCCTTCTCTTTCTCTTTTTCTTGTCGCAATTGTCGCTCTTTTGCCCATTTTGCATGCTCATCTTTATCTTTCAAACACGATTCATCCAAACATGGTCGTTTTTTGAATGGTGCCCTCGCCTTTTGCACTAATCTTGAATGATACTTCAAACAAACATCAGCATTTGCAGCTGACAAATTGATCTTTCTTGGTAGAATTTCACGACTCATCGACCACAAACAAATACATTCCATTGGATAACTATCGGGTGAAACTGGTGGTAATCCCAAAAAATAATCACAAAAATCTGAAAACACAGCACACCATGCAAAACAAATGAGATGTAAAAACTTACCGATCACCTCGATTGTGAAATTTCTTCGAATTTCTGCAACTTTATTGTTTACTCGGCATGACCAAAGTCCTTGTGTGGTAACATCAACAGATTCAATTATTAGTTTCATTCCAGTGTGATCTTTTCGAATAAGACTCATTTTGACAGTTTCCTTATCGAGCGGATGTTCATTTCGGAACCATTCAATTCTCGCTGGATGTACTGATCGATACGAGCAATCAAGAACAATCTGGGTAATTCATTAATTAATTCTAGGGCAAAAGCAAAATTGGGACAATTTTGTGGTCACGTTCGATTCCCAGTGCCTGATCTTTTTAGAATATCGGACCTAATTCAAAGAAAGCTAGATATCTACCTTCACCTTAAACTTTTGACCAAAAATTGAAAATAGAACTTGGAACGCTATCAATCATCATGGGCAAATACTGTGGTGAATTCTATCTAGAGTTTAGAAATTTCTAGAATATCATTGAATCTGAATTATTTAGTATTACTAAATCTAAAAAAAATGCAATCCTCAAATCTGTCAAACATAAAACATAACCTAAACGTATATCTCAAGAAAACAAACCACTCTATTTGCAACATATTTCTTCCCCGATCAGAACTGAAAAACCAGTTTTATTTCAAGTTTGGTCAGTAAATCAATCTTGAGAGTGGTCATCAATTTTGGCTGACAATTTTCAGTTATTTATATTTCCAAATAGATTTTTAATAACCCTGAAACTAACCTGATCTGCCAATAAAACTTCTAATCGATTCAATACATTTTTGTTCAAAAATTGAGGTTTTTGATATTCGAGATATCCCGGATTATTATAATTATTAATATGCAAATTATTATTGTTACGATTATTATACAAAATAGCAACTTGTCCAAATTGCAGCAGATTCGCAAAAATGGCGATGAATAGAAACACCATTTTTTTTCGGAAACGCTAAGCCATGAGGCAAAATGTGAGCTGAAGGAAAAGCAAATTTAGATGTTGTTGTTTCGGAGGAATCCGAAGGCGAGCACAAACGAAAGGAAAATGGGAGATTTATGAGTTTTATACGAATACACCTTTCTTCCGTCTTACGCCAACCCATAAATTTTCTTACTCCTATTTGCACCATATGAAACAAATTATATGGTCGGTATGGGAAAAACGAAAAGAGAAAAGAAGATTTTCGAAATGGGTTAGGTGAGGTAATTTGGGAAATAATGAAACATAAGGTAAAATGAAAATGTGTTTTGGTAAACATATGGTAATTCCAAGTGATTTTTATTGGTTTAGAATCAGAACATTCCAATCATTTTTCTAAAAGTTTAACATGTGACATTGATAATTTGAAAATTAATTAGAATCACACTGAATTGATATGGTTTCAGTTTGCCGGAAATGTCAGCAAATATCATTCAGAAGAAAGAAAGCTAGAGGTACAGTAGGATAACATATTTTTCGAGAAAATATAAAAAATGAGAAGCCATATGTTGTGAAGGTAGAAAAAAAGTTGATACAAATTTTTGTTCGCGACGGAAATTGTGGAGTACATCTGGTAAGTCACCTATTTTTTTCCGATACATATGTTGGTCATCCGGAATATATGCACACAAAGACTTTGTTTCAAATGAAAAATGATTTTGGAGAAAAGAGAGAGAGATACTACTGTAGTATTTGTAAGAAAAAATGATAGTAGAAATAGAAAAAGACGAGGGATGACTGAAAACGAAACAAAACAAAAAATTGATAGAAAAAAAATTGAAAATACATAATACATATGAAAAAAAAAAGAAGAAAAAAGATATGGTTGGTAGTGATAGAATAGACCGTCTGATGACTTTTTCGACTAGCAAAAATGGATGGATGATGAAGACGAAATAGATTAAAAAGAAGAAAAGAAATCGAAATAAGAAAAGAAGATGAAGAAGGAGGAACGAAGAATGAGAGACACGACTAAATGTTTGAGACAAAAACGCGAATTAATGCAATTTTTGACAAAATCAAGATCATCAATGCCATTTTGATCAGTTGGGTGTGGTTTTATTGCACGGGGTGGACAATTGGCGCGATTTGCTCTGACTAACATGAGAAAAAAATCGAAGGTTTCGAATAGAATCTTAGAAATCAGATGGAATTTTTGAGAAAAATGGGGGACGAAATCACACCTCTATTTTGAAATTATTCGATTCAAAACATTCAAAATTTCCCAACCCAGAGTGTTGATGAAACAAAAGTGTTACTAAATTTTTTGAAAATGAATAAATACAACTTCTGAATTTGAGAAAATTCATTTACCGAATCAAAAATAAAAATTGGTGAGCTCAAAAAATACTAATTTTATGAGCAAGTCCAAAAACTGCTTTTTTGATCTACCACAACAATTTTCAGAAAATTTAGGTCTAGAGTAATTCGGTTGAATCATTTGTTTGGAAATCTCTAAACCTCTAAGCCTGCAAACTTTTTTTTTGATACGAAATCCACTCATAAAAATCAGAAGTCCAAAAATCTCTTCTATAGCAGAAAAAAAAACGATCATAAAATAGAAAAAAGAACAACTAAAATAAAATACACAATTCTTTCTAATCCAATCAACACAAAAACCGCCTTTCTTTTTTATATCTTCTTATAAAAACCATATCATCAACCTACCGCATAGTAAATTAAAAATGGATCGAATATCAAAATATCTTATTTCAATTGATATGTGTGTAATTTTTATTCTTCTTCTATTTATTATTATAAATATTCATTGTTAAAGCAAAAATAAATGACATTATTATAAATATCATTAAAATTAAAATAATATTAAAATTTACCGAGTTACTTTAAAAAATAAAGCCGTAATTCTTCACAAAGTTAAATAATAGCAAAAAAAAATGAAAAAGCTTGCAAAACAAGAACCATGAAAGTGTATAATCTAATTCAAACAATCCAGCCACAATCTTTCGACTTCTCTTAATTGTAAATGATTGTCTAATTCGAAGAAAAGTACACCTTGTCCAACAAGATTGATGGATTTAGTGAATTCGTGTTGAAATCGACAACCTCGACGAATCGCAACATGAATTGACCATAATCCATGACCACAACCAATCTGAAATTAGATCCAATTAGTGATATGATTCAATTTGATCTTTCACCGATTTGATAGACATTTTGGAAGGGTATCAAACAGAAATATTTGGTATTTTTTTAAATAATTTTTTTTTGAATTTATAATATCGAGAGTGAATATTTGGTAAGTTCTGAACCACAGAACATGAAATTTCTTCATCAATTGAAATGTTTCAAATTTACACTTGAATTTACAGTCTGAAAAATTGACAGATTATGAATTTTCTTTGGAAAAAATTCAATTCCCTGGCTCAAAATAAAAGTTTCTGAATTCTTATCTTTAACAATTTGACCAGAAAAAACAAATCTTGGATCCCAAAACTAAACAAACAATTTTCAAAAAAAATTTTGATTTAAACAAGCATCTGGCATTTGGATTAGAGAACATATGTGTTTATAGTTTTCAATGTTTATAGTTTTCAAATTTTTTTCAGTTATTTATAAAATTTTTCGGTTCATGATAATTTCAAAATTAGATTTTTCGTAATTCGTTTTATATGTTTTTTTAATCATGAATATAAAGCTGGCCAGAACACAATGTTCAAAAATTTGATTTTTGAACAGAATTCTTGAAATTTTCGAAATTTTCCAATTTACAAAGTAATTTTAAAAAACTCACATTGGAAGGTGTGAAGCTTGTATATTCATGAGTTTTCGGATTGATATAACTGCTTGTTTCTCCACTTGGAGCCTGAACTTTGATAATAACATCCTTTTTCGTTGATAATCTGAACGCTAGTTCAATTTGTGACGCTTGAAGTGGACAGAATAATTGTTCTTTTGCATGATGGCCAAATCCAAATACTTGGTGAGATCTGTAAAATTTTGCTGGTGAATACCGAAAGTGGTTAACCAGGAGGCCAAAAATAAAAACTATAATAATTCTCACCTTCTTTTTCTTTCAAAACTATTCAGTGTTGAGTTATGATCATGTGTTCTTCCTTCCTTCGGAAAATATTTGACCAATATACATTGCGGCGCAGATTTTGTTTTCAAACTCGTGAATATTTTATCAGTCACATTTGATCGAACTGACACATTTGTTTTAGTTGATATACGACTCTGAACATCAGACATTTTTTGGAATAATAATAAGTTGGCAATAATATTTTTCTTGTTCGTTCTGATTAATAATTTTGGCCAATTTCAGAAATGCACTTTTCTCTATTTCTCTAATCACCAGAAACTCTTTTTTTGTTGAGAAAAATTATCGAAGTGAAAATAATTTGTCATGTTTTTTATTTAATTGTGAGAAAATTCACGAAGAATAATAGAAGGAAAAAACTCACCAATCTTATGCACGAATTTCTTTCAAAACTCAAAACTTCAAGACTTTCTGTGATTTCTTCAACTGTACTTGATGATGGCTGATCAGAAGGTGATTGAACTTGCGTTTCTGTGTCTTCAGGAATACTTTGGACTCCAAATATTTTCCTTGTTTTTCGTATACTACTCTGAAAACAAGAAACATGTTAACAAGAAAGTTTTTTGATGGCAAAGGGTTTTGGGTCAGGCCTGATCGGAATCGGAATGTCGGAATTCCGAAATTCCGAAACCGACAGGTTTTTCGGAATGAGACAAACGTGTCTCGGAATCGGAATCTATTTTCTCGGAATCGGAATCATTCCGATGTTACTTCCGAAACTTTTTTGGAATTTCGGAATGTGTTCCTCTTCCGAATTTCGGAATTTTTCCACCGAATTTCGGAATTTTTCGGAATGTTTGAGCTGAAATTAGTGAAAAATTCAACAAAAAATGGAAAAATTGATGAATTTTACCTGTCATTTTCAAAAAATCTCTTTTTCTCTTGTGATTCTCGAAAAATGTAAATTTTGAAGACACATTTTTAAAGTTTTATATCATTCCGAACCATTCCGAAAAATTCCGAAATTCCGAGGGGAAAATGTCGGAATGGAGGTTCGGAATTCGGAATTACGATCTGACCACTCGGAACGAGTGTGCTCATTCCGAACCTTCCGACAGGGTCCATTCCGATCAGGCCTGTTTTGGGTCAAAGATTTTTTCACAAGCCCCGGTGAAAATATCAAAATTTTGACTGCCGAAGACTGAATTCACATTTTTAAGGTTCACATTAGGAACAGCATTTGTTCGGTCACAATATTTTATGGACTGACAATTTTAGATTACTTCTAGAATCTACTCATGAATTTTGATGTTTTAGTGACTTGATTTCTGAAAACCAAATTTGTATAAAAACTCCACACAATTAATAAAAGTAAAAACAGTTTAGACCACCCATCATTCTATCATCAATTACCAAAAAAATACCAATAACTTACATGAATTATTTTGCGCATACTTCCAGTTCTCGAATTTCGACGAATCAATGTGTTATTTTCAGAAGAAGACATGTTTTCTAGAATAAATGAAAAACAAATGTATTTGTGTATTTATGAAAATATCTATCAATACAGTAGAGGTGACAGGAAATAGGAAAATGAAAAGAAATCACAAAAAATTGATAAACGGAGATTGTTCAATCAATCATTTTTTGTTTGATCGGTCAAATGATAATCCAAGTTATGACAAGAATTACAATAAACAAACAAATGATTTCTGTCATCAAAACTTTTTTGTGCATAACTCGCTCGACTTCAAAAGATTTTAGACAAGTTATTAAAAATTGATAATTAAAAATTTGTGTCTGAGACGGTAGCAATCAGCAGAAAAGAACAAATGATACCAGTTTTTCGTCCGTATCAACCTGTCGATTTCAGTTTTGTTTGATGTCCACCTCTTCGTTTTTCTTCTTTTTTTGTCTTTTCTAAATACTCACTTATGTTGTTGTGTTGTCTCATTTCATCTCAAGAAAACAAAAAAAAATACATTGCCAAAATATTTATATATGATAACGTACCTTGACCGAACAAAAATATTTCGACATGATCGACTTTTTGTTAGTGCGGTGAGATAATCCATATTTGATGGGTATTTATGTTTTTTTTCAAATTGAGATGATCGAATTTGTTTGATGATTGCCGACAATTTTGTTGCAAAAAAAGAGAACAGGGAAATTTCTGTTGATTAAATGAAGATCAATCAAACAAGTACATTGGTAATAAATAACAAAGATCACTTGGTTTTCGTTGTATTTCGGAATTCTTGTTCAAAGATAACCAAACTAATCATTGGGAAATCGAATCTAATGATGAACAAGGTGAAAATGAATCTAGTTTTCAAAAAATCGTATTTCACAACAAGGGCGTGGATTGGATTTGAAGATATTTCGATAGTCAAAAACTTGAATAGCTTTGAATGCCCCAGACTGAAATTTGTGTGAAGTTTGTATAAATTTTAATCTGATTATTCAAAACCAAATCCAAATACTTACTTTCACTATTAGCCTTCAATTGCAGAGTTTTTTTTTTCTCGAGAGTTCTACCTAAAAAAAATTCAAGGGGATCTGATCCACTATTTTTCATGATTTTTGGTTCAGTTTTTCTCGAGTTTTTGAAGTTTCATTTTTCAAAACAAGTAAAATTTCTATGAATCAAAAACACTTTTTTTTCAAAAAACAATTACAACCATCAAAATTCAATTGTTCTTCTGATACTTTGCTCAAGAATTTCTCATCTCCAACAAATCCTTCCCAAAAAATGCGCAAGTGCAACAAGGAAGCGTTCAATCTCCACTTATCACCACAAACCATCTTTTTCTTCTTCCCGCAAAACAAAACACCACATTCAAAAATAAACAAGAAGAGTACAATTTATGTTTCTTTGCAACTGATAATTTATCTCCAATTCATGTCAGATTAATGTGAGAAATGTGCGAGATGAGAATCTCATCAATCAAGTTTCAAACGACACACGAATATTTGATTTTGCTCCATTTGATTTTTTTATTATACATTTTTTTTTTTGAGAAATGTCAATTTCAGGAAAACTCCACCTCTTTTTTTCCCCATGAAACCGAATAGCGTCAAATAGTTTTCTTGTTTTTGGTCAATGAGCTTTGTTGAATCAGACGTACACATTTAACTCAATAAAAATAAAGCTGATCAACTTTCTTTTTCCATACTAAGAAAAACCTTATTTATTTTTTCTCACCAAAGAAAAAATATGTTTTTTCTTCTTCTGCATAATTCATTATTCTTTGTTCATTTTTTTTCTGGAACACCACATCCAGAAGAAGAAGAAGAAGAAGAAGAAGACAAACTAACTCCTTTTCAAACAACTACTTTTGAAATATATTTGACACCCCACGAAGGAGAAAAAAACCAACCTAAAAAAACTTTTTCTTTGAGATGTTGGTGTATCTTTTGTCAACTTGTCCACCAATCCCAATGGAATAATATTTGGGACCATTTAATATTCTTTATTTAACGCCCAAAAAACCCTCCTCTTCTTTTCTCTTCTTCATTCTTTCAACTTTTTATTCACATTTTTCGTTTTTTCGTGCATTAAGACAAAAAAACATCTTTATTTTCATCTTCGTATGTACATTTGTGTGTGAGAAATTGCATTAAGAACACAAAAAGAACATAAAATGCAATCCCTTTTTGTTGTTGCTCTTTGTATAATAAAATTTTGATACGTTCCATCTGGAAGCCCTCCCCAAAAACATCTCATTCACGTTCAGTTTTTTCAGCATAACATGATATACGATCTGGAAGACCATGACCTTTTTATTACTCCGAAGGTTCGTTTTATTGGGGGTAATAAATGTGAAAGAGAAATATTTAGTGGCTGGAAATAGGAAGGGAGAAAAAACAAGTTACGTATGTAAAGGAAGATGGAATTTTCAGATAGGAAATTTCAGCTTTCCTACTGTAGGTTTAAAATTGAAAAAAAGTAGAGAGAAGTTGGATATTCTTGTGTTTGATGAAACACAAATTGACAAAAATACTTTTCCAACAAAATTTGAACTATTATTTTTGAAAAAAATCCTAGAAAGCCAAAAATTCCTTGTTTCAATACACAAGATCAAAGAAGCCGACAAAGTCTGCTGTATTGGTTTTCTCTTCCACTCTAGGAATTCCGGGTTGACAATGAACTTTCAAAACTAAAAAAAATTACAAAAAACCTTTCACCACGCACATTTTTTCCAGCTCTCATATTTCTCTGCTTCTCAAGGTGGCGCTTCTCGTCATATGATGGTCAATGGTAGTAGTCACAGGTACAGTACACCACCCACCCAGTGTGTTCCCTCTTCATTTTTGCTCAGAATTTCAGAATAGCCGTCAAAATAAAATGTAGTGATAATGAATTATTCCGCGTTTCTCCAGTCTATTGTCTTTTGGAACCTGGAATGGCTCAACGACTTCAGGTTTGAACTTTTCGTTGTTTTGAGCTAACTTTGTTTGTTTTCAGATAGTTCGTGATCCGGGGCCAGCAAAAATCGATAAAATCATAATTTTGCATAAATTCACATGTGCTAGCAATGCTCGAGATGCGTTTACGGATAGTTTAGCCGAAAGAAAAGTGATTGCTTTAATCGCCAAAGAAGATATCACCTTATCAATTGCACCATCTACCAATCTTAAATCAATTTTGAGACAAAGTGTACAAAAAAATTAACAATAAATGATCTTTTCAGATAACTTTATTGTTTTAAATTTCAACCTTGAAAGAGACTTTGATATAGGCTATTTTTTTACAACAATGAAAAACAAAATGACCATGAAATAATACTGTGTAACAAAAAAAAACGAGAAAAGTCATTTCATCTAACTTTTTCATCTAGGTGTGTGAGTTTCTAAGTTTATTTTGATTCATTTTGATGTGTTAGTCATACCGGAAACCCAGTTTTCTCATACATACATGTATATATATTTATATAAAAGACGTTTTGTTTGACTAAAAATATAATTAGTTCAAATTTCTAACAGAATGCATTCTCTGACAATTTTGGCTGCCCTTCCTTTGATGTGCGTTGCGATCAACTTGATCCCAAACATCACTCTTCCACAAATCCGAAAAGTTCAATCAACAGCAGTCAAGGGAAAACTGCTCTGCGACGGAAAAGGTTATGAAAAAGCTCGTGTCAAATTATACGAAGTTGATCCAAGTGAGTTGTTATTATGTACTATTCATGCCTAATAAAACATTTTCAGTCAAGGATACACTTATGGCTGAAGGTTTGACAAATGCTGATGGAGAATTTGAATTGTCTGGAAATGATACTGAATGGACCAAGATTGATCCAAAAGTCAATATTTATCACAACTGTCACGATGAGGCTATTGTAAGTTTTTCTCAATCGAGAACTATTTCTCTTCACATACACAATTGTTTTTAGGAATGCTGGCGTAAATTCTCAATTGTGATCCCAGACGATTTCATCACCGAAGGAGAAACTCCAGCAAAAACCTTCGACGTCGGAATTCTCAACATCAACGCTGTTCTTCCAGGAGAGTCTAGAGATTGTCTCAATTAATGTTGCATTTGATAAAAAAGTATATATACTTATTAATAAATTTTTTCCCACTTTCTTTTTCTCTGCGCCCTTTATTTCTTCCGATAAGAAAAAAGTCTTTTATCAACCGCATGGAGCTGCTTGGTAATTAATTCTTCTTAATTTTTTTTTCGAATTTCCTAGTTCTGCAGCACAAGCAATAATATTAAAAAGGAAACGAAAGAAATGACGCGATTTTCAATGACTGATAATGATTGTTATTCAAATGCCAGAACTTGTAAGTTGGGATATTTTTTTCTTTGGATTTTCAAAATTTTTTGGAAGCTTTTGATACTTTGATGTGAGAAATATTAAAGTACAGTGGCTAAATACACATATCAATGATTTTTTATTAATAGGATTAGGTGAACAAAGTTAACAAGTGTCACTTTTTTTTATTTTTAGGTAAAGGTAATTTGATTGGATTTTTTTTTTAAAAAAAATTTTCCAAGTTGAAAAATCCGGTAACTGAATATGAGAAGAAATGAATGATATTTTCTTGTTAATTTTTCAACGAGTTCGTTCGGTAAAGCTTTTTTTCTATTCGCAGGTTAACTCTGTTTTTTCTGAGTTCATAAAACCAAGAATTTTTTCGTTACTTCTTTAGGCGATTTAAGGTTCTTAACACAATTTTTATGTTAAGAAAGACGATTAAGAAAAATAAGCCGGTAACGAAAAGAAATGAATTTTTATGATGTAAAGCACAAATTTTCAGCTAATGATTGTGGTGGTTCTGAAACTGTGTTAAATGAAATCGGAGAATCCGAAGATTTTGATGAGCAAGATGAAGAAATTCTTATGAATCATTATTTCCGGGCTGGTCATACGGAAGGTGATGAATATACAGGATTGACAACATTTCATGGAATGGTAACATTTTTCGCATTGTTTTACGATCAACCACACCCTCTGATTATAGATTCGTGTTTTTCGCTCGCAAAATTGGCCGTCGTTGATATTTTGGAGTTTGGTTGTGACGACATGTTTGGTATTTTATATGATTGTGGTAGGTTTTTTATGTTTGTGTCACATGAAGCGGGGTTTTTTCTCTCTCATGATTATATATTTTTTTCAGAGTGGAACATTATTAAAAACTTATTCTATGCAACAAACATTTTTGAGGAAAATTAGTAGAGAAAAAGATGGAATATCAAAATATATAGAACTATGTTCATCAAATATTAGAAACAAATTATACTGCGATGATATTCAGAGCAGATCAAACTATAAATGTATAAGCTCAAGCTCAATATCTTCCAATTGTTTGGAACTAGAATTCAATTCACAAATACTTATCGAAACTTTTCAAAAAGGTAAGTGAACAGATCAATGATCAATTGAAAAAAAACCACTTCACAGATTTATACTTGAAACTTGGCAGTGAAGCTCAGGAATATTATATGATCTCAAATTCACACATTTTGCATCGATTTCGGTTAAAGTTGAATCAAGTGGGCAAGTAAATCTTTTTTCCTATAGATAATTTCAAAATCTAGAATTGAATCAAATTTAGAAAAGATCTAATAGAAGTACCAATTTAGATCGAACGACTTGATCTCAAACGCGCGCCATGTCATAGTAACTGGTCAAATATGAATATTTCTCGGGAGGATAATTATTCTTTGAAAAAATGTGAACAACTAAATTTATGGAATTGCCAACCAGCTTGTGTGGAAAGCTTATACAAAATAGATTATTCCAATGCCTGGAGTAAATCACTCGGATCAATAATTTCTATACAAGTTGATAATATGATGGTGGTTCAAACTGAAAGTAGAAAATCGACATTAATTGATATTTTGTGTAAGTCAACACTCATTTTTTTCTGTAAAATCAATCAATATGTTTCAGGTTATATTGGTGGAACAAGTTCATTATTTATGGGTTGTAGCTGTGTTACATTAATGGAATTATTCATTTTTCTATTCAAACTTGTTAGCAATTCAGTATTCTCAAAAGATCCTCCTGAACTTGAAGACAATATAATCAACGAAAAATACGCGTTCGAATATTCCGATGTTCGAAACAAACGAAGATATGCTATTTTCGATAAGATGACGTTAGAGAAAATGCGATCAATGCAAAGCAGTCTAGATGTTCGGAGTATTAGATTGGACAGAAGAATGTCAACGTTCAGTTTCAAAAAAGCGCCGAAACTGCAGAAAATTAGAGAGAATGTTAATTTCCGACAACTCGATTTTATGGATACTGATTCATCTTCTCAAGCTCCAACTAGACAAAATACCGAAGAATTTTCGATAGATCTAACTAATGAAAAATTGGATGTGGTACCAGAACAAGTTCCAAGAATAGTGAGACCACCTTGTAAGTTTTTTTATTTCAAAATATATTTTAAAATTCCACATATCATATTAAAGTGCGACGTGAATCAACAACTACCTCATTTGCTTCTCGAACATCTCATGGATCTTCATCTTCAACAGTTCGAACATATTTAATATCACATCCAAATCGAGAATATCGTCGAATATTTTCAAGAAACTTGCCGATGAATGATTTCTAGATAAATGTTTTACTCAAACTTTGTTAAGCAGTGAGCAACACTTATTCGCATTTTAAGGAACTGATAAGAGCGGCACCACTACTTAACAAAGTATAAAAGCAAAATTGAAATACAGTGTATTTGAATGCGAATAATAATAAATAATAAGAATAATTTAAAAATTGAAGATATATATATTTATATTTGTATGATGAGAGGGATGCGCGAGAATAAGACAGAAAGAGAGAGAATGAGATCATATAACATTTTGAGTAGGTTTGTGTGCACCTTTTGAGATATTATTGTATTTGTTACTACTCAAGTGGCTGTTTATTTCACTCTCTCTTTCCACACTCCACACGATATCGTATTGATATTGATATTTGAGGCAATTGATATGAGCACATTTTCAAAACTCGCATTGGACGATTTGATTTGTATTGAAAAACAATGCATAGAGATCAAACAACCTCGACTAGAAAATTTTGAAGTATCTTCAAAAAAACTACCAAAAGCTGATCGATAACTTGGGAACATGTTGCATCTTGTTGCATTAATTATTTTTGAAATTAATGCAACAAGAACCATTCTATTATTTTCACATTATCCAGAGAAGACAAATTACACAACTTTGAACTTGAAGTCCAAAAGATTACTAAATTCACTAGAAATTTCACAAGAAAAAAAATAATATTCAAAGCTTTAAAACTATTCTTGGCAATCATACAGTATTCAAGCTATTGTGGCAGACTTCTGAAAATCGACCATTTAATAAAATCGCCCAGTGTACAATTCGTATAGAAATATTTTTTCCGAATTTTTGTGAAAACGGCGGATATTTTTTTCCGAAAATATGCGTCACCGGATATAGGGACAAAACAGCGAGCAGTGGGACTCGAACCCACAAAATTAAGCGGGTTGAATAGAAGACAGAGCTCTTCCTCACTACACCACGCGTGTAGATAAGAAATGAGGCATTTTTGATAAATATATATTTATCAGAATTTCACGTGAGCCAGATAATCAGGAATAGAAAAAAATCTTTTTACCTATGAAATGTTTCATAGTTCGATTTTCAATAAAATCTGGAAGCTGATCCTATACCATCAAGTGTAATTCAAAGCTTCATCTAATGATTCAAACATAGTAATTTATAAACAACTTTCCTTTAACATCAATAGTAATTATGAATTGAAAACTTTACCCAATATTTTTCAAATCTCACCTGTTAGTTTTGCCCCCCCCCCCAAACCTCAAAATAAACTAACTTGACTGGCCCGTTCCGTGAAAAGTTGTTGATCTCTTCGAATGCCCTGTCCAAACGAAACATCTTCTTGTTCGGAAACCTGAAACTTCTACATTTTTTTTCTCAAAATTTTCGCCTATTCTTAAACTTACATCAGAAAATGACAATTGTGGATTTTATGGGACCGCTGCATTCTGTGACTGTTATCTCTAAAAAAAAATAAGAAAATTAAAAAATGTACCAAATCACCCCATTAATAACATTTTCTGCTCTGAAAAAAAACAAGAAAAATGATTCAGTTCGAAAAAAAACGTTCAATCAATAATTTCTTTTCAAATAAAAACATATACATATATTTCTCTCTCTCTCTAACTCTCTCTCCATTTCCCACACTCTCTCGTCTAGCCTGCATAAAAAACAACAAAATAAACTAAACAACGTGCACGCGGAGTATCGTTGTTTTTCTTTTATTTTTTTTTACACGATATTTTTATTTTTTGTTTTTTTTTTCTGAGTTTTCAGTGGTTTTTTTTTCAGAGCAGAAAATGTTATTAATGGGGTGATTTGGTACATTTTTTAATTTTCTTATTTTTTTAGAGACAACAGTCACAGAATGCAGCGGTCCCATAAAATCTACAATTGTCATTTTCTGATGTAAGTTTAAGAATAGGCAAAAATTTCGAGAAAAATAATGTCGAAGTTTCAGGCTTCCGAACAAGAAGATGTTTCGTTTGGACAGGACATTCGAAGACATAAACAACTTTTCACGGAACGGGCCAGTCAAGTTAGTTTATTTTGAGGTTTGGGGGGGGGGCAAAACTAACAGGTGAGATTAAAGCGTCATTGAAAAATGTTGGGTAAAGTTTTTTATTCATAATTACTATTGATGTTAAGGGAAAGTTGTTTATAAATTACTATGTTCAAATGATAAGACCAAGCTCTGAATTACACTTGAAGCTAAAGGATCAGCTTCCAGATTTTATCGAAAAACAAACTATGAAATATTTCATAGGTAGATTAATTTTTTCATAGTTTTATGCACGCGATTTCCAGTTTGTTTTGAATTTTTTTTTGTTTTGGGCACCGCCCCTAGTCGATAACAACAAATATTCGAGCTCGACTAAAATGTGAAAATTACAGGGATTTTTTGAAGAGATGTCAGTTTTCACGTTATTTCAGCTGATTCTACACTCCGGAGTTGCTTTTCAATAATTTCTTTTTGGATTGCTTAACCCAATGGTACTGTTTAATAAATAATGTATTCTGATTGTGAGTTCACATCGATTTTTTTTCAGATCCAACATTCACTATATTCGACCACCACATCTGATGAAAAAAAAAGGAAAATTTTGTTGAACCCATCAACCTCGCCGCTAAATAATGTGTTTTTTTTTTCAAAACATCTCACCCAGCTGCACTATCCTTCAAAATCTTTATTTGGACCTTTTATCTTGGCAGGCTTTATGTGTTTTTATTTCATTAATGGTTTTGTAAAAAATGAAAATGGAAATATATTTGGTGAAAAATGGGAGTGCACTTTGTCCGTAATTCCAGCTTATTTCATTTTGTATTTTTCTTTTGAGCAGTCATTTTTTTGTCATTTTTGTTGCGTGTCTTGGTTTTGTGTGGAAAAAACAGAAACAGCCTGAAAACTTCTTGGCACATAAACATTTCGTTTCATTTTTATTTTTTTTCGATAACAGAAACAGAAAACAGGATTTCATTTTTTGCTAGGCTAGAAAACAATAAAAATCCAAATGGAAGGTTTAAACTGTGATGATATCAATTTGATCGATTCTGTAAATAATGCCGGAGCTGGATGCATCAGACACTTTGAGCACAATTATGAGGTTAGATTCATAGAAAAATTTCTGATAGCTTGAATTTCTATATATTTCAGATGATATGCTTCTCAACAACTTCAAAAACCCTGCAAAGTATTGGACATGTCATAATGTACATGGTCAGTTTTCATATTTTTATTAAAATAATAGTTTCTCCCAATTTTCAGTCAAACGCCGCTCATCCAGACAATATTCTTCTACATTGTTCAATCAAACTCTTCCAAGAACAACTGAATTCTTCATTTTTGTCTTTGTACACATATTCAGAACCTGATTATATTGTAAGTACAGAAAACATTTTGAAAAAATAATTTTTTTTAGGAAGAAATGGAGCGGCAGATTATATTACTTCAGCATCATCTGAATTTCATATTGAGAGATCTTGAACAACTGAGAAGAATCGAACATCGATTATTGTAATTAATTATGTTTTGTATGTAGTTTATACATTCCGAATAAATATATTTTATTTATAGTTTCATAAAGTTACGTGAAAAAATTCGAATAGTTTTCGTTTTTCAGAATTTTCAAAGTTTACAATTTCCTGAGAAAAATTTATAAAAGTAATTTCTACTTTAACCCGAATAATTTTTTAAAATTTTTTCCAGCAATTTTTTGGATTGAAAGTTGAAAAAACATTGAAAATTTTTCAAATTTTTAAAACAGGTGCAAAACACACACAAATATCCATATTTATCAACAAAAAAAAACACAGAAAAAAAACATAGTTTTTGTCTCGGTCTCTCTTGTTCCCATTATCTTTTTGACCAGCCACACACAAGACCGCCAACACACACATTTTCATCTTGTCTTGTGAAAAAACCAGCCAGCTTCGTTTTTGAATTGTTCTCTCAACAAAATGTGTGCTTCCGTGGCGCAATAGGCAGCGCGTTCGGCTGTTAACCGAAAGGTTGGTGGTTCGAGCCCACCCGGGAGCGAAATCTTTTTGGGGTTTGTTGGGGAATGAAGGGTCAGAGAGAATGAGGATTTTAAATAATTTTTAGTTTTTTGGGACCTTTAACTAACTGAGCATAAGTCACCTTTTTAGGCTCAAAACAATATTTCCATAAATATTAAATTAATTCATGGTTTGCTAATTTCTGCAAAAAGTGTATTGTTGTTGTCAAGGAAATGTGTGTTTTCAAACACCTACCTAAAATTAATCTAGGGTTGAGAGAAAATATGTCGGAAATAATATTATAATTAAAAACTACACATGCATATCCGTAGAGCTGACCATAGAAGTGAGGGTGCATGAATCGGTTGAACGCTCATGCAAAAATTGGTTACCACGGTGACACACACCACTACTTTCTCCCCCTCTTGGTTTTTCTTGGCTTTCTTTCTTTTCAATTTGCCTTGCTTCTTGCTCTTCGTTATTATTTTTTCGTTCGTTTTTTTTCTCATTGATAGTAACTTCTTCTATCTATGTACGCTTTTTTTTGAAAATTAATCTTGAGTTTTTTTTGTGTTCAGGAATTCTAGTAGTTTATGAGTTGGCGGGTTGATGGACGTGTTGCAAAACAAAATGGGCGAGCCAAATCTGTGGATAAGTCAGGTTTATTTTTTTTTTTGAGTTCAAAAAATGTATCAATTGTCTAGCTATGAATGAAAACGGATTAACGAAAATTTGAATTGAACTAGGTTCAAATTGAGTGCAGACAAAAAATTGTATATGTACCCAAATCAATTTCCTCATTCATTTTTCCACACACACACACACACATACACGAATGAGAATTTTTCCAAGCTTCGAATGTGTCTCTGAAAATTCTAATAATAAAATCTGACGCAGACTAATTCAATTCTAGTGCACTTTTACACCTGTTTCGAAATTTATTTTCAGGAAAGCTACCACCTGCAATAACACAAGAATCACGCGAACGTGCCGAAGCATTGCGAAAGGTGAGAAAAATTTTTTTAAAAATATAAGATGAGATGAGAGAAAAATTGAATCATCATCATGAATAATTTTCAGGCTTATGAACGTCCCAGAACAGCATTTCGCAATAATCGGCCAGATACTGGAAGTGAGTTTTAGAGAAAATGGGGGGGGGGGGGGAGGGAATAGACCAACCTTGAAGAATCTTGGTTACGCTTTCAGTCATCCGAAAGTTAGCGTAAGTGACCGGAGAAGCGTTTCAAACGTAGCGACCAAAATGGGCTAACTCTTTTGCCTAGCCGCTATCTTCACAATTAATTTCTGGCTTCATAAAAAAAATCCCTTGAGGGCTTCATAAAAAAAATCCCTTGAACCATGAGTCACCCTAACACACTTTTTTTTCAGATATTCCTAGCCTGCCAGGGTTTATCAGCCGATCAAATAGTGCCAAACGTGCATCAACAGCATATTCAAAAAATATGAAAAGATCACAATCAGAATCAAGAAATCTTTTGAAAATGATTGATTATGGGAGGTCTCCGAGCAAAGAAAAACTCAATGATTTGCGAGATGAATTACATGATGCGAAAAAGAAAATGATGACAATGGAAGTTGAGAAAAAACGAATACAAACACAAATGCATCGAGTTTTGAGAGATTCAGAGAAACGAGAGAAATATTTGGAACGTCTAGTAACGTCTAAGGTTAGCGAAGTTTTATTTTCTCAGATTTTCAAACTTTATTTTGAAAAAAAATTATTTTTCAGTTCCAACCAGCTGAATTGAACGACACACATATGGCTAGAACTCTAACTGCAATTCAACGAAATGAAATTAATCGAGAACATATCATTCGAATGCAAGCCAAGGAGTTAGAGTAAGTGTTCTTTTCAAAAAATAATTGACCTTTTTAACCGGAAGTAAACCTCTATTGAAGTGCAATTTTTAAACAGAGTTCCTTTGAAAGAAAAACTATATAAAAATACATTTTCTACATTTTCAGGGCTCTGAAGAAATCTCTTGCTGAATCAAAGAGCCTAGAAGCCCGCGCGAGTTCAAGCAATGAAGATGAGTCAGAATCTGACATGACAGAACAATCGGATTATCCTGAAGGTATTTTTTTCTACATAAAAAGTAGTTCTAAAAATAAAAATGAAATTTTTTCAGAACCAGAACAAATAAAATCGAATGGAATATTGAAAAAGATACAAGAAAATCCGTTGAAATTGGAGAAAAATAACAATATGACACCACCGCCAATTGAAAATGTCAAAAAAGAAAAAGAGAAGGAAAAAGAGAAAAGCATTGACTCGGAAAAAGTGCGCAAAAAATTAGAGTATGTTTCAGTCGCACGTTTATCGATTCGATTAACCCAAGTTTTTTTTTCAGATTAGCAAAAGCCTATGCTGATCAAAACGCTAAATTGAAAGAAAGGTTGAGAGAATTGAAGCAAAATTATATAACTGCTCAACAGAAAAATAAAGAAAAGGAGAATAGTTTGAAAAAACTTTCTAGCAATCACTTGGAAGGTTAGTTTTATTGGTGCTGGATTGTTTTTATATATGTTTTCTTTACAGAAAACAAAAAAGTGACAATGCAAAGTCAAGAACTTGTCTCAACTGTTGAACAACTGAAAAACGAAAATGTGACGCTGAAACAAGAGAAAAATGTGACAAAGGAGCAAATTGAAGAATTAACGCAAGAGTTACGTGAAGCTTATGGAGAAATTGATGCGCTAAAGTGAGTTTATTGATTTTTTAATCCAAAGTTGGACCGGCAAATTTTTGAGAAAATTGTTTTTTTTTATCAATCACAAAAAAACCGTCATTGAAACACCTCTTGTGATCCTTTCTAACAACCTATTTCAGAATGGAAAACGAACATTTACACGATTTGATTCTCGATCTCGAATCAAGGTATGGAGCAGCTTCAAAACCAGTTCAACTCGTAGATCCAATACCATTGAAAAAAGAGATTCAGTAAGCTATAATGTTGTTTGGTATTGATTTGTGTTTTCTTCCGATTTTTTCAGTATTCCGAAATTGAATATGAATTTGATTGATTCCAGAGATGAAAGTTCAATTCTTTCCGATTCATCAGCCAGAAGTCGAGCTTCGATAACAAATGTAAGGGAGAACCTGGGAATTAGAAAAAATTGACTAAAATTTTCAGATTGATCAAACTGCATTGGCAAGTGCACTTGCTGAAATACTTGGAGCACATGCTGAAAGAATTTGTATTGCCAGTCGAACTTATTAGTATATTGAATATTCAATAACTCAGGAAAACAAATTTGCCAAATAATTCTTTACTTCTTTCTGATTTTTTTTGATAATTCTTTCATTTTGTTCTGTAGATGTGATATTCTTGTAGAACGGTTTACCCAACAATTAATAATATCATTGATAATAATAAATATTTTGAAATTTTGTATTTCTGTGCACACATTTTTAAGAAGAAAAAATCGATAAATGATTTTATCTTGCTCTTTCATTTTTTCCAACCAATGATAAAAAGAGTTGTAAATGTTTGCATGACAGAAAAAGTCACATGAAACATAAAACATTTACTGATAAACAGTTTATTTTTACCACCCCCTACATGTTTTACCATACATTTTTTTAATTACAGAGAACCTTAAGAAATTTAGATTTTTTCCAGAAAACCAGATGAAACATGAGAGAATTGTTTGATATGCCTGGAACAAGTGAAACTAATAGAGAGGTAACTTTGATCTTAAAAATATAAAGTATAAAAATATTGTTAATTTTCAGATGACTGAACCACTTGGTCGATTGTATACAAAATTGCATTACATATATACAAAAAAACAATACGACTTTTTGATGCATAATTTGAAAAATCGAGATATAACAAATAGCGAAAGAGAAAAAATAGGTACTCAATCATGAATAGAATTCTGAAAAAAAAATTTCAAAACTTTCAGAGAAATATTATGAAATACACTGTGGACACAACTGCGATTGTTTGATGGATGACAAAAACATAATGAGCCGGATAGATAACACAACGATTAACACAAATCCTGCCCTGCATTCAAACCCTACCGAATTCAATGAAATACCAATACAAAACAGTACCTATGTTCTGAGGACACACATTCCTGGATCAATTGTCAACAACATCTATCAATCAAAATATTACAATGGTCATTCTGAAAATCTTCAAACACCAGTCGAAACTTCGGAAGAGCCAACTCACATCGATGAAATCGTTCAAGAACACATCGAAACAATTCAGCCTGTTGAAGTTGTTGCCGAAACTTCTGGAGTTGATACTCATTCTGAAAATATTCAAACACCAGTCGAAACTTCGGAAGAGCCAACTCACATCGATGAAATCGTTCAAGAACACAGCGAGATTTTTAACACTGTTAAAATTGATGCTGAAACTTCTGGAAGCGATGATCATTCTGAAATTATTCAAACACCAGTCGAAACTTCGGAAGAGCCAACTCACATCGATGAAATTGTTCAAGAACACAGCGAAACAATTCAGCCTGTTGAAGATGTTGCCAAAACTTCTGGAGTTAATACTCAATCTGAAAATATTCAAACACCAGTCGAAACTTCGGAAGAGCCAACTCACATCGATGAAATTGTTCAAGAACACAGCGAGATTTTTAACACTGTTAAAATTGTTGCTGAAACTTCTGGAGAAGATGATCAATCTGAAAATATTGAAACACCAGTCGAAACTTCGGAAGAGCCAACTCACATCGATGAAATTGTTCAAGAACACAGCGAGACAATTCAGCCAGCTGAAGTTGTTGCCGAAACTTCTGAAGCTGATACTCATTCTGAAAATATTGAAGCACCAGTCGAAACTTCGGAAGAGCCAACTCACATCGATGAAATTGTTCAAGAACACAGCGAGACAATTCAGCCAGCTGAAGTTGTTGCCGAAACTTCTGAAGCTGATACTCAATCTGAAAATATTGAAGCACCAGTCGAAACTTCGGAAGAGCCAACTCACATCGATGAAATCGTTCAAGAACACAGCGAAACAATTCAGCCTGTTGAAGTTGTTGCCGAAACTTCTGAAGTTGATACTCATTCTGAAAATATTCAAACACCAGTCGAAACTTTGGAAGAGCCAACTCACATCGATGAAATCGTTCAAGAACACAGCGAAACAATTCAGCCTGTTGAAGTTGTTGCCGAAACTTCTGAAGTTGATACTCATTCTGAAAATATTCAAACACCAGTCGAAACTTTGGAAGAGCCAACTCACATCGATGAAATTGTTCAAGAACACAGCGAGACAATTCAGCCAGCTGAAGTTGTTGCCGAAACTTCTGAAGCTGATACTCATTCTGAAAATATTGAAGCACCAGTCGAAACTTCGGAAGAGCCAACTCACATCGATGAAATTGTTCAAGAACAAAGCGAGACAATTCAGCCAGCTGAAGTTGTTGCCGAAACTTCTGAAGCTGATACTCATTCTGAAAATATTGAAGCACCAGTCGAAACTTCGAAAGAGCCAACTCACATCGATGAAATTGTTCAAGAACACAGCGAGACAATTCAGCCAGCTGAAGTTGTTGCCGAAACTTCTGAAGCTGATACTCATTCTGAAAATATTGAAGCACCAGTCGAAACTTCGGAAGAGCCAACTCACATCGATGAAATTGTTCAAGAACACAGCGAGACAATTCAGCTAGCTGAAGTTGTTGCCGAAACTTCTGAAGTTGATACTCATTCTGAAAATCTTCAAACACCAAGAGAAACTTCGGAAGAGCCAACTCACATCGATGAAATTGTTCAAGAACACAGTGAGACTATTCAGCCAGCTGAAGTTGTTGCCGAAACTGCTGGAAGTCGATGCTCATTCTGAAAATATTCAAACACCAGTCGAAACTTTGGAAGAGCCAACTCACATCGATGAAATTGTTCAAGAACAAAGCGAGACAATTCAGCCAGCTGAAGTTGTTGCCGAAACTTCTGAAGCTGATACTCATTCTGAAAATATTGAAGCACCAGTCGAAACTTCGGAAGAGCCAACTCACATCGATGAAATTGTTCAAGAACAAAGCGAGACAATTCAGCCAGCTGAAGTTGTTGCCGAAACTTCTGGAAGCTGATACTCATTCTGAAAATATTGAAGCACCAGTCGAAACTTCGGAAGAGCCAACTCACATCGATGAAATCGTTCAAGAACAAAGCGAGACAATTCAGCCAGCTGAAGTTGTTGCCGAAACTTCTGAAGCTGATACTCATTCTGAAAATATTGAAGCACCAGTCGAAACTTCGGAAGAGCCAACTCACATCGATGAAATTGTTCAAGAACACAGCGAGACAATTAACAGCTAGCTGAAGTTGTTGCCGAAACTTCTGGAAGTTGATACTCATTCTGAAAATCTTCAAACACCAAGAGAAACTTCGGAAGAGCCAACTCACATCGATGAAATTGTTCAAGAACACAGCGAGACTATTAACAGCTAGCTGAAGTTGTTGCCGAAACTGCTGGAAGTCGATGCTCATTCTGAAAATATTCAAACACCAGTCGAAACTTTGGAAGAGCCAACTCACATCGATGAAATTGTTCAAGAACACAGCGAGACAATTAACAGCTAGCTGAAGTTGTTGCCGAAACTTCTGGAAGTCGATGCTCATTCTGAAAATATTCAAACACCAGTCGAAACTTTGAAAGAGCCAACTCACATCGATGAAATTGTTCAAGAACACAGCGAGACAATTAACAGCTAGCTGAAGTTGTTGCCGAAACTTCTGAAGTCGATGCTCATTCTGAAAATATTCAAACACCAGTCGATACTTCGGAAGAGCCAACTCACAACGATGAAATTGTTCAAGAACACAGCGAGACTATTAACAGCTAGCTGAAGTTGTTGCCGAAACTTCTGGAAGTCGATGCTCATTCTGAAATTATTCAAACACCAGTCGAAACTTCGGAAGAGCCAACTCACATCGATGAAATCGTTCAAGAACACAGCGAGACAATTAACAGCTAGCTGAAGTTGTTGCCGAAACTTCTGAAGTCGATGCTCATTCTGAAAATATTCAAACACCAGTCGAAACTTTGAAAGAGCCAACTCACATCGATGAAATTGTTCAAGAACACAGCGAGACTATTCAGCTAGCTGAAGTTGTTGCCGAAACTTCTGAAGTCGATGCTCATTCTGAAAATATTCAAACACCAGTCGATACTTCGGAAGAGCCAACTCACAACGATGAAATTGTTCAAGAACACAGCGAGACAATTCAGCTAGCTAAAGTTGTTGCCGAAACTTCTGGAAGTCGATGCTCATTCTGAAAATATTCAAACACCAGTCGAAACTTTGGAAGAGCCAACTCACATCGATGAAATTGTTCAAGAACACAGCGAGACAATTAACAGCTAGCTGAAGTTGTTGCCGAAACTTCTGAAGTCGATGCTCATTCTGAAAATATTGAAGCACCAGTCGAAACTTTGGAAGAGCCAACTCACATCGATGAAATCGTTCAAGAACACAGCGAAACAATTCAGCCTGTTGAAGATGTTGCCGAAACTTCTGAAGTTGATACTCATTCTGAAAATATTGAAGCACCAGTCGAAACTTCGGAAGAGCCAACTCACATCGATGAAATTGTTCAAGAACACAGCGAGACAATTCAGCCTGTTGAAGTTGTTGCCGAAACTTCTGAAGCTGATATTCATTCTGAAAATATTGAAGCACCAGTCGAAACTTTGGAAGAGCCAACTCACATCGATGAAATCGTTCAAGAACACAGCGATACAATTCAGCCTGTTGAAGATGTTGCCGAAACTTCTGAAGTTGATACTCATTCTGAAAATATTCAAACACCAGTCGAAACTTTGGAAGAGCCAACTCACATCGATGAAATCGTTCAAGAACACAGCGAGACTATTCAGCCAGCTGAAGTTGTTGCCGAAACTTCTGAAGTTGATACTCATTCTGAAAATATTCAAACACCAGTCGATACTTCGGAAGAGCCAACTCACATCGATGAAATTGTTCAAGAACACAGCGAGACAATTCAGTTAGCTGAAGTTGTTGCCGAAACTTGTGAAGTTGATTTTCATTCTGAAAATATTGAAACACCAGTCGAAACTTCGGAAGAGCCAACTCACATCGATGAAATCGTTCAAGAACACAGCGAAACAATTCAGCCAGCTGAAGTTGTTGCCGAAACTTCTGAAGTTAATACTCATTCTGAAAATATTGAAGCACCAGTCAAAAATTCGGAAGAGCCAACTAACATTAAGGAAATCGTTCAAGAAGCCGAAACTTCTGAAGTTGAAGCTCATTCGGAAGAATCTCAATCTTCTTCATCTTGGACAATCATGTCTGTTTTGAATGGTGCATTACAAACAATTCGTCAGAATGCAGTTTTTCTTAAAGAAATTGAAGTTGAGAAAAATGTATCATTGTCCTCAGACAGTGATTCAAATGGAGAAAAACCAAGTGGCTCTTCAAGTTCATCTTCTCGCAATTCCTCTTTCGATGCCTCAAAAATTGTCATATCTGGATTAGTGTTGAATGATCTGTCACCAACATCTTCTGAACTTATTGACGTCTCAAATGATTTCTCAATCTTGAGAAATCCAAAGGAATTTGAAGTGACAAGCAGCTCTTCAGATCAACCATCAACCTCATCAGTGAGTTCAGAAAAACTGAATTTTCAGAAATTTGAATTTTTTTCAGGCCATTGAGGAGATGTCATATGTCATGAGAACTGCCTGTCTCGCTTATTTCGCTTCAATAACTCATGGGTAAATTTAATATAGTTAGGCTAACTTGAATTGTTTATTCCAGGTATAATTCTTTGGAATATTCAACAGCCGATCCTGACATCATTCATGACGACTCAATATACCGAGATCAACCAGATAATGATAAAAACTGATTGTTTTTTGAAATTTCTCATAAATTTTTTCATCATAATTTATTGGTTCAAATTATTTGATTAGCAAATGTCACTACCTTCCTATCACTTAATTTTCCAGTTTTTTTGCAGAAAAAAAAAGTTTCAGACACCCACACATGAGTAATAATGTATATTTATGTCTGTCGAATACAATTGTGCATTTCATTCACTCTCTCATTCTGATAACAATTTTTGCGCCAATTTGTTATCAATAAACCAAAACGTCGCCGGTTTTATTATTATTGCGTTTTGCGTAGTTTCAAACATTGATAAATATTTTTTACTTTCTCAACTTTTTTTCAAGCTTACTTTATTTTTATTTTTATTTTTATTTTTATTCTGTTTTTTCAGATGTCTTCTTATAATCGAACAAATCATGACACATTAAGTGAAGACAATAAACCACTAAAACGTAAGTAACTTTTATTTTCTTTTTTGAGATTTTTTAAATCTGAACTTCCTATTTAATTGTAATTTTGCTGGGCGGAAAATTGAGTCCAAAAATCAATTTTTGCAATTTTCAAAGTAGCATAGAATATGTCAATCTGTAATACAATTAAAATTAGTCGAAAATGACACTTTTAAAACTTTATGACTCGATAAGACCAACTTTTATTTTTTTTCAGATGCATTTCCAAAACTACATTTCACATATACAAATCGACAGAAGGATTTGAAAAATGAGATAAAGAGACAGAAAAGTTTTGATCAGAGAATCGAACTTCCACGAAATGAATCTACTGCAACATCAACAACATCAGCATATTTGACACCGAAATTGGAAGCAACTCCAAAACCATCACCAATAATAAAACAGCACTCATTTAACTCTTCATATAATCCTTATGAAGATTCAAATCATCGTATCTCTACGACTGCGCCGAGAGAATCAGTTTTCTATCAAACATCTACAGCTCCTTTAGCGATTCCAAAACCATCACCAATTCCAGTGTCAAATATATCACCGTTGACAAGTTCATATGGATCACCATCGAGAAAAGTGTCACCCGGTTATACCGCAAGAAATTTCTATGGTGAATCTGTATCGCCTTCTAAAAGTTCAAAATCATCGAGTTCTTCGATTCATGCAACAAATAGTAACGGAAGCAATGAAAAAATGGGCAGCAAGCCAAGTTATCCCGATTTATCAACATCTTTATATATAACAAAAACATCGAGGAGTAACAGCACTGCTGAAAAAGAATCACAAGTTGTGAAAAAAGAGGCACATTTTGTGAAATTACGAGAACCAACAAAAGTGGTATCATCAAGACCGCCTTCAACATTATTCGAACCATCTCCCAAAACATTACCGGATTATTATCAACAAAAGAAAACTAATCCACAACAAGCACAGAAACGTTGGCAAACAGTTAATTTTGATACCAGTCAAGAAAATCGAGTGGCCGCATTACAAGCCAATATCCTCTTTGATCGAGCTAAAAATAACGAAGAAGTGATCAAAAAACAGGCCGAGAAAAAAGTCGAAGCAAAAAAGCCAATTTTTGTTGCTGATGCGCTGACTAATATTGAAGATGATGATGAAGATTTCAAAACATTTTTGAAAAACATTCAACAACGAAAAAAAGATGCAAGCGAGTCAAAAAACGTGGAAGGCGCTCTTGCAGGGCGCCAAATGGAAGTGAGTTGAACTAGTATTTATGGTTTTTGATTTTGAGAGGTATTTATAATTATATTTTTTTTTGGTTACAGAATGTACAAAGTGTGGAAACACTCACAAAATCAGCAACAGCTCAAAGCAATGTGAGTTTTTTTTTGAAATTAAGAAAATTAGAGTTGAAAATGATTCGATTTTTCTTTTTGAAAAAACATTGTAATACTTTTATAAGATTGCGAAATCATATTTTACAAACCTGGAAGTATAACATTTTTAATTTCTTGATATTTTTTCTTTACTAAAATTTTTTAGATCTTGTAACCTTATCTGCTAGACTTTCTTTGAATAAAACATTTCAGGATCACATTTATTATGAAGAAATCGATATTCCATTTGACGAGACTGATGAATATTCAAAAATCACAGAGTTTGCCAATGAACTCGTTGATGATATATTTTCTAATCTAGAAAATATTGATATTTTTGGTCATGTTCTTCAAACACGTCTCGAAAACTTGAATGTAAGTTCCAAGCCAACAATTTTCTTTTGAAAATCTCAACTCAAAATGTTCCAGGTCGATTATGACGATGTCTATACCCCTTTCAAAGTAATTCCAACAATATCAGAAGATGCTAAACAATTCTTTACACCAAGAAACTCTGTTGAATAATAAATAAATAATGTTAATAAACAAAACGAAACAAAACAATACTTTCATTTTGATAAAACCGTTTTATTGTAATTATTAATAAAAATGTCATTTACTTTCCACAGAATCCTTCGGAGCACATGATTCCGTGACGATCCAAAATGTTGAAGTTTACCTTGTCATCAACATCAACAGTTGTCAAGAACCATCCATTTCCAGTGAATTTCGATGAAACCTTCTTCTTCAATTTCCACTCTTCATTTTCCCATGTGTAAATATGGAATGTCCATGGTTTAGCTTCACAGTTCTTTCCCTTGATCTCAACTGATTTTTCTTGCTTCCATTCGGTCAAGATAACTGGGTCGCTCATCAAGTTCAATGATGGGACAATCAAATCAACACGGACCTGGAAAATTATTTGAATGTGGTTTTTGTTTATCTAGAATTAAGATAACCTACTTGTGAATGTCCATCGTTACGAACTCTGACTTTGATCTTGCATTCAAGTTGAGCGACTGAAAGTCCAACAAGAACGAAAAGAACTGCTGCGGTAAGACGATTCATATTTAGCAAAATATTAATCTTGATTGAAAATAGATGATGTTATTCTTTTTATATTGGATAGAAAGGTCAATCGGGGCGCACACAAACTTTCGATTTTCACTAGCAAGGTAGCAAGTTCATGATATCCCAAAACAATATCGGATCTTGATTTTACGTGACAAAATTTATGATTGATAATACTACAAAATTTGTATTGTTTTCATTATCAAAAATGTTATATGTTATGTTGTTGATGTACATATTCTGGGAAAATAAATATAATTGTTTGCAAATGTGTTTATCAGAGGTGCATTGAAACATGAAAATGCCGGCACAAAAACACAGAATTGTATCACCTAAAGCTGATAACCAACGTTAATTTGAAAACATATTCCGATTTTATTATTATTTTTTTTATAATATCACATACATAACTCAAATATATATACCCATAAACAATTGAACAAATACTTTTCTCTAACAAATTCCAAAATTCACTTGTTATGTGAGTTTTCCAATTTGCTGCTTTTTCAAAATTTCTGACAATGTGAAGAACGTTGAATCAATTATCCCAGCTACTGTGAATGTGCCACCAACAACTGCGCAAATCTGAAATGAAAATTATTTTTAGAAATTTTGAATAGGAATGAAAAATTCGAACTTACAGATGTTAGGAATATATAAAAAGATTGTCGTTGTTCAGTTTGTTTCAAAGTTATCGGTTGAAGTTCATATTTGAACCATACAGCTGGAATGATTTTTCCAGAATGGTGATATATTAGGTAGGATTTGTAGCCGAAAGTATATTGATAACTGTTGAGGATGTTACCGTAGTAATCTTCATGGACAGATGGAACGATCTGGAAATTTTCGAAATTAAAAAAAATTGAGTCTTACAAACCTTTAGAATATATTCATGTGTTTTTAGTCCACTATCTTCCATTGCATCTTTGCCACTGAGCGGGTCAAAACTGCCACGAAGATTTTTATGCTGAAAAACCCCAACTTCTACTATTCAAAAAAAATGAATAAATTGTACTCACGGAAACATCATCGCCAAACTTGATTGAATGAATAATATGTCGCATGTCATATTTTTCCGGTTGTTCACTTGCAGAATGAGTTGCGATATGGAAATTACCAGGAACTTTATTGATCTCAAACTTGCTCTCAAATCTACATCCATTTTCACCAATTTTCACCTTGTTTGTATGATCCACAAAACCAACTTCGTGTCGGCCATTTTCATCTTGAATGTCGACTCCGAGATTTTTGCATTCCATGAATGGAAATGAAACATTGACTTGCACGTCGATTTTTCCTTCTCGGCCAGGATCATCGATGAAAAATTCGCTTTTTCTGAAAAAAATCGATACTTAAAGATGTGAATTAGATCAAAAAAATCAAAAAAAAAATTTTGATCTTCTAGAAAAAAGTTCTGAAAACTTTGAGGAAAACAAATTTCTACGCAATAATTATGGATGAAAAATATTTGAAACTTTCTAATAAAAAACTCCTAATAATTATTTTTCAAAAAAACTTACAGGTCAATGAAAATATACGCCAAAACATCATTAAATATCATAAACGAGATGAAAAGTACACATAAAATCGATATAATTGCTCCAGCTGTTGTTGGTTGTGTGAGATCTTTTGGAACTTTTCGATAAATATCAAACCTACAATTTCCAGATTTTTTTTCACAATCAAAAAAAATATTTTTTTTCAACCAACCTTCGAATATCAAGCATTATGTAAATCTAGTTACTATAAATATAAATAATAAGAAAAATATTATCAAAATATGAAAGGGAAAAAAGTCGACCCGACCTAAAGACTTGTGGCAAATATAGTCCAAGTAGGTTATAGTTGTTAACCAAATAGAGAGTTTATTGGGTTTTAAGAGAGATGACAGAGAAATGAGCACACATATAAACTCTTACTCTCACAAATAAGAGAGTTTTTCGTTTGATCTGACCAAAGGGTACTTTTTCAAAAAAAAAATAATAAGGTTATGCAGATTAGAACGTCGCAAATTAGAGGTCAAGAAATATTGTCTAGTCTGACAAATATATCGAGTTCAAACTACACATTTCTGGTTGGTTTGTTAGAGACAATGTAAATTGAAGAGAGCAGCACAGACAGAAAAATTTTTTTTTGTCAATTTTCCGTTTTTATTTTTTCAATAAGACCAAGTTAAATAATTTTTATTGAAAAATATCAATCTGAAAATTCCCAAAAATCTTCGCAATGTCAAGAAAAAACCAGCAAAAAACAATTGTGAAAACGTAAATAAAACGAGGAAAAACACTTTAATGGGAGAGAAAAAGATTTTGTTTCAAAAAAAAAGCGGAAAAAAGGAAATCTCCGGAAAAGCTGAATATTCCAATGTGGCAAATGTACTACGGCTAAAAGTGATTGAAAAATTACATTTTTCATTAGGCACAACACAATGTGATGAATTGAAAATTTTTATGGAAAATTATAGGAAAATGGAGGGAAAACTGAAACCCAACAATACGAATGAACGGAGAGAAAATTGCTGGAAAATAGAAAAAAATAAAAAGAACTATGATTTCTGAGAAATGAACTTTTAGAAGATTATTGGTTTTTGAAATAGACTTTTTTTCAGGAGATGAAGGTGGCAGAATTTCATTATTTGTTACTTTGAGAAGAAAGTTTCAATGTTTTTGAATGTATTATATTCAAAAATGAAAAAATATAAAGAAAAACATTTCCTGCAAACAAAATCTTCAAATTATCGGATTATCGATAATTAGTTCAATTTCCTGGATTATAGTAGTTTGTTTTTCTAGTGTTGCCTAAAACACAATGCTAATGTTTATTGTTTGGTCTCACTTCTGGTTTCTAGAACTACACAGTGGGAACAAAACTAAATTGAATTTAGGAATAAATAGAATTGCAAGAATGACGTTTTTTTTTAGATTGACAGAATAAAATTAGAAACAAAATTGAAAAACCTTTAGCACTTTTCGAAAAGATTTTTAAAAAATTTCAGTTTTCGGTTAATTGTAAGATTGATACAATAAGAAAATTGTCAACGATTTTTTGAAAAAAAAAATGTTGATATCTCACACGAGCTCAAGAAAAGTATTTTCTCAAAACCGAGTGTTAGTAGAAAATTAGATTTATTCAAGAGTTCTCGAAAAAAATATTTGAACTACTGGTTTTTGTGGATTTTTTCTTCTTACTGGAAAATTGGTTTCACATGTCATGAACATTTTTCCACTCGAATTTGTAAATTTTCAGGATTTCTTGATATATTTTGATCAATTTTCAGTTAATTCCAAAAAAAAAGAGTTTTATTTTATCTCCAAATGAAACATTTATGTAAATTTTTAAAAAATTGGACCAGTCAAGACAAAAATCTGTAATTTTATTCAATCTTGGATTATGTATGCTAATTTGTGACAACTTTTTACTTTGAATTGCGCTAACTCCAAATTATTTGTTAATCTTCTTATCATTCCAGTAAAATCAACTAGTTCACACGTGTCTTCTTCCAAATTGCCACACACAATTTTCTCACCACCAGTAAAACAATATACAAACAACCTTTTTCCTCTTCTTCTTCCTAAAATTTCTCGGCGTTGAGAAAAAAGATGAGAAAAACAAACCATCATCACAACAAATTTGCACCTAATCCAAACAGTAAACTTTTTTTTTCACTCTCATTTCGTCTCGAACAATTTGAAAAAAGACCGGTGTATGACGAAACGAGCGACCGCACCAAAAAGATGGCAGAAGAAGCATCAGCAGCAGCAGGGAAAAAAGCACATTCCGGTATTTTCCTTTTCCGCGCGCGGCAAGCGCTCGCGTTTTCTTGTGGCTCCACCTATTTTTTGTGCATGCACTGACTGCCTGTCGTCGACTGCGATTTAGAGAGAGAAAAAAACGAAAGAAAGAGGTGTTCTTGAATGCAAATTGTGTGAATTTTCGGGACGTGGCTTTTTTATTAGCTGTTTTTTGTTGAAAAGAGAGAAATCGACATGGTTGGTCTTGGATTGTGGAGTCGTTGGGATTCTCCAGGAGAAGGTTTGTGTTTTATTTTTTTTGGGAGGAGGGGGGGGGGTTGATGAGAGTCTTCTGAATTTGTTTTTTTTTTGAAACATGATGTTCAGATTTGAGAACCCTTTTTGAATTTTTACTATATTTAATGCTGAAAAATAATTTTCAAAACTTTTTTTGATTAGGACTGGCCTCTCATTATTCGCAAATATTCATTCCATTAAATTTTTTTCTGAAAAAAAAATTAATTTTTAAAAATAATTTTCAAGTAGAAAATCCTAGAAAAAAGTTCAATCAATTTAGAGCCAAACTTTCAAGCTGAAAATTCAGATTTGATTTCCAGAGGATTCATTAAATATAATGTTTCAGCTATGATTTCTAGCATTTGTTTTTCTAAAATAGATTCCCGGTTATAAGCTACAAACTTCTAGATGTTTCAGCTTTTCAATCAATATTTTCAAAGTTCTTTAAAATCAATGTGTTTTCCCAGCTCCATATAAAAATGTATCGGTGTATATTTCTATTCCGGATCATTTTTCGCATACATAAAAATTTTCTATCAAAAAAAAAAACTAATAATTCTGTTGCCAAACAAAATCGAAATGCATTTGTTGATATTGGCTCAGCCGTTCTATCGGGGCGAATCGTTTTTTTTTTTGGTTGTTGATTTCAAAAATGGAAAAATGGGGGAGAAAACAACAATTTTTCAGAGTCAACTAAAAATTTGACAACTCTTCGAACATTCGAGAAAATTATGGCGGATTCAGTCGAAGTGCCGAGATTGATTTATTTGGATAAAAGAATCAATAGTGGGTTCAGAGAGAGATTTGGGGGTGAATAATGAGCAAGTTTTCAGCCATCGATGCTTCATTTTATGATTGTATATATTCAATAACCAATTCAGCTGACACTATAATTGAGAGATGTTATAAAGATATTGGTTGTTGTGCAAGTGGATGTTGCACAAACAGAGATTGGTTTGAAATTTATTGACTGAACTTACTATAACTGTAACTCAAAATCCAATTTTCCTATATTTAGGCAAGTAAAATACGGTTGGGCAGTTGCATTGATTTCATTATTTTCGCTCGTTGTCATTTTCACAGTGATTTGTTGGATGTCAATTTGGTTATGTAATCGGAAAAAGGATAAAACTCAAAAACGTGAATTGATGAAATATGGAAGCAGTTCGGCTATTTCAACGGTTGGTGGATTGGATTGGATTCCAGGGGTAATGAGAACGGGAAAAGGGATGGTGGAGGGATAAAAAAGCTGAACAGTTCCCTAAATTGTTGAAATCCTTTCTGTAAAAATATTTATTTGAAGCAAAGACCACCCACGAAGTCTGAACAATTGTGTAGTAAATTATACCTTGAAAACTATCTTTTAAAAAATATGTGTTTCTAATTTGAGGATTTTTCAGTCCTCATTTGCTTATCCGATTTCCAACGGACATTATCATTTCGGAACCGGACCATTCCAATCACCTCCTCTCAATTATCCAACTAAATATTGATCGACCCAATTAATTATTCCTAACTATTCTATTCGATTGCGATTATGTTTGTAAATTTCGTTTTGGATTTATTTGTAAGCAAAATAAATTTTCAAAAGAACATTTATTGTATTATTATGAGGTGACACATTATTTCAAATAGAATCGGTGGGTGAAATGTTCAAAAACGACCGGTTTCATGGTGTTTCTCCAATGAAGAAACGGGGGGAGGTAAGCTCGTTGGGCAGGGGATGGGAAGAAAATGGGGGGATAAGCTCTTGTTATGCAATAAAGTATTAACTGAGTGAGGAAAAATAAAATCTGACCCGTTCAAATAAAAAATGTGTGTGGTGTGATGGATGGTGGGATGATGGCGAAATATACAGAACCCGTAAGGAAATAAAAATTAAAATAAAGAAAAATATGGGAGAGAGTCTATCGCTTGTAGAAGAAATGATCATGATCGGAATAATCATCAGATGTTGGATAATTTCGATGATTATTATAAACATCTAATGTTCGATATCCTCCATTATAAATTGAATTATTATTATTTCGTTGTTGGGTCCAATATGGTTGTTGAACTGTGCTATTATCATAAACATTTGACATCTCATCGAAACCTGGAAAAATTAAACATTATTTTAAAAATTCTGAACATAAGATAGGCTAACTCACGTCTTTCTGTTCTATGTAGCGCATTTCTATCCATAGTTGCTGCATGATATTTCAAAGTACTTGTGTTTGCTTGGAACATAGAATTATTCAACAAAAGTGGTTTCGATGAATGAAGTGTGCGATCACTTGTCCAATCTTGATGCTCCTGTGGTGCTGCTGGTGGGGGCATTCTTGGTGGCGGTGGTGGCTTTGAATCTAATTTTCCATTTGGTTCTTGATTCTTTTTGAGCCAAATAATTGCCATGATCACAAATACAATGAAAATAATAACAACTGGACAGATAACAAGGAAAAAGCTATCAGCAGTGATACGGAATGAGAAATCATATGCAGTCAAGACTTTCAATTCAGCAGCTTTGTATACAATATGACCTTCTGCACTAGTAACAACGCAAATATATTTTCCAGCATGTTCGTGTTGAACTTTGCTGATTGTTAATCGATTTGTGTATACGTTATCAGCATCAGTTGGCATTATAGTTTCAGTTTGAATATGATCCAAAACCAATAAATGCATTCCATTTGCATGAATTATTGTGGCATTTGGATCTTCTTCTTTCTCCTTTTCTGGATTTTTCACTTCTTTCAACCATTTAATCAAGGTATTTTCTGCAGATTTGACTTTACATTGGAATTGTGCTGTGTGCCCCGCATAAACACTGATGTTATATGGTTGATCGATAATTGGCTCAACAGATGGCTCTTGATAAGATGTTGATTCTGTAGTTGGTGGATCAAAATAATCTCCAACTGAAACTTCGAAAGTGTAGGAAAGTGATCCAAGAGAGTTTTCAACAACACATCGATAAACACCAGAATTTGAAGCTGCAGCTGGCTCGATTCTCATTGAAGAAATGTGCTTGTGAGTTTCTAAAAAAGAATTATTTAGAAACGAAAATTTAAAGAAAAATGTTTACCTTCACTGATTTGAACATCGTTTTGATACCACTTGATTTCTGGCAACGGATTTCCTTGCGCTGGACAATTCAATTCAAGTTTTCCACCAGTGTTAATTTTAATCGGACTTCTCCACTCATTATTCATATCAATTAACCAACTTGGGCTAGCTGAACTATTTGAGAGAACCAAATAATCTTTAACTGAACCCGCATGATCATTTTCATCATGAACATGAACAATGAATTCAATTGTTTTGTGTCCAAAACCATTTGTTGCCTGGCATTGATATCTTCCGCTGTCTTCAAATTTCACCGACTTCATTTTCAATTCTTTTCCATCTTTTGAAATTTTATATCGACTGTCCCAATCGAGCTGAAAGAAGTCGAGTTTATCTAACATATAAACGAAATTGAATTTTGATTGATGATGTCGACTCTTTTCCCCTTGGGACGTGCGACATATAATGGAGTACATTTATAAATGTATACATATATGTATCTATGTTTTTTCTATCCTTCTTCTATTTTTCGAAAAAAAAGTGACTTGATTCAATCGGGGGGTACTACTAGTGTGTGTCTTCCTCCTTTTTTTTCGATCACATCACAATGATGGATGACCTTGCCACAGAAAACCAAAAGAAAAATACAGTAACCCGCGGAGTTTTTTGTTTCTCACCTGTTCACCATTTTTTGACCATTGAATCATCACGTTATCTTTGCCTGTCGAAATAATTGGGCATACAATTTTGAATTGTTTCTGAGCCAGCGGGATACGAAACTTTGTCTCAACATCGCGCATGCGTGGAGGAACTGTAATTATTTTTTTGTTGTATTGCAGATGTTGTTTCTCTCTGCTCCTGCTGTGAGCATCTCAAGTGCATTTAGTTTAGTTCATATTGAGTAATATATATAATTGTATCATTATTTTTCAAGAGGTCATTAATTACGTAACCACCAGATATACATTTTCCAACATTTTCCTAGAGAAAAAAAAGCCCCAGGCTTTGTTTATTAGTACTAGTATAAAAACAAATATTATAATATTTTGACACATTCTAGTTTAAATATTTTTTGGTTCCCATATATTTATTTATTTTTGGTTGAGCTCGACTCAACACAGCTGTATTTAGTGCGCGAGCCAAGGCAAAGAGGAAAAAGCTGTCTATCTCAGCTAATTGCAAGTGGTCATGAAACTTGTAATTTGATGCCAAATGAAAAGAAATTCGACCGAATAATTTTGCCAAGACCCACTTCTTTTAAAAATACATACGTAATTAAAAAGTGCACAAGTCGCACCAAATTAAAAATAATAAAAAAAGAGTATCAAATCACCTGTCGGTAAGGTGCCGAAAGACAATGAAAGGTAATTGAATATACTGAAAGCAGACCTGCATTCAACACCTGTTCCGTGAATTTCACAGCTAGTAATTAGTTGCTCCGAGAGATAAGAACAATGGGAAGAGCAGGAAAGGTGCACATTCTGTCGTCAGATGTGAGAAGAAAAGTCAAAAGTGTTAGGTAATGATGGATAGAGAATCAAACAATGGTGGCAGATGATGGTGTTATACATTGTGTAAGTTAAGGTGACAATAGAGAGAAACTATGCTTTTGTGTATAGGAGACAAAGGGTGGATAATCAAAATTTGTTATTCTTCTGATTCTAATTTTAAATAATCAGATTAATAATTTCGCTGCTCTGCCTTTCCTTCATTTAACCTAAATTCAATTGCTTTTCCCCGATAAACTAATTGAAAAAAGGGCCAGCCGACACCTCTTCATCCATTCAATGCACCATCTCTTCTTAATTATTTTTTGTTTCCCCCGCTTGCTGTCAGCTTTTTACCCTTCTGTCAATCCTTTTGAAAATTAGCACTGAACAATAGGTGAGCATCCGCTAATTCCATCTGGTCAAAAACAAGTTGTTTTGAATAAATGCTTTTTTTGTATATAGAGAAAGAAGAACTGGACTATCTAGTAAGTTCCGTTTGGTAACCCTATTATTATCTCGTCATGCTCTGATGAGAGATAGTTTGGTAGATAAAGAGACAATACATCTATAGTAAAAAATTATACCAACCACTATTATAATAAGTACCCTACCAAACCGAACAGGCAAGTCTTATCTGATTTTTGGTTGGTAAGGGTTCTTCTTCCTCTGATACTACTTTTTCGTTTTTTTTTCTTGGTATACAATGATGATGATCAAGATAAATTATGCAAGAAAAGAAGGAATTGAGAAAAGTGGATGGGTGAGGCAAGCAGGCAGGCAGGCAAAAAAGAGAAGCTCGGGGATTTGGATGTCAATCAAAAATGGTTTCAAAATGTTTGGGTTTTTCGAGTGTGACGAACGGAAACGGACGTTTTTTGATTGGATTATGTTTTAATTCAGTTATATATATTCAAATTTTTGGATTTTTCGTTTGAAATTGCATAGAGGTTCTCATGAAAATTAAGGGCAGAGATTTGAGAGAAAGTTTTATCATTTTGGATTTTTAATTAGAGAAAAATATATTGTAACTAAAATTTAGATGAGTTTGATTCTCTAAGAATTTCTTTAACATAAGAAAATGACGTTCAATTCAAAAGATTCTGAATCAACAAAAAACTTTCCACAAAAATAGCAATAAATATACCCTAAGTTTTCAAAATTTTAGTTAGAATTTTCAATTATTCATTCTCAAAATTTTGAACCACTTCACTTGAAAACTTCCTTTCATCCACCCTTATTCATAATTTATTCAAAACCTCTTTTAATTCAAAAATATTCCCACAACTCCAAACTAAATTACCACATCCGCTTCTGCTTTTGCTTCATCCTCACAAAACAGAACAACTACTACATATGGCAAATTAGCCCTTGACATGTTATGGGTCAAGAGGTTTTTTTCATTAAATGTAAGAAGAAGAAAAATTGAATTATCAAAACTAACTAACCTCCATGCGCTGCTTCAACAACATTTGGTCGAATAATCAACGCTGATTGAACTATTATACTAAACATGAGCAATAAAATTGAGACCATATTGAATGAATCTGTAAAAAAAATATTTTGAAATGAAATGAACTTTTGAAAAATGTATCATAGTTATTAATAAAATATAAATATATAGAAGGAAATGTGAAATAAATAATTTAATCGGTTTATCTTTCAATATGATAAGAACAACTTTTTTTCAGATTTTTTACGGCGCGTCAGAAAAATTGAAACTCACACATAATAAATAAGCTTTTCCCGACGATAAAAATAAATACAATAAAGTCAAAATCAGATGAAGCTGCGGTACATTAGAAGAGACAAATCGCAAGACACAATGATTTATAGACCTTGTAGGCGAGTTGGCGAAATTTTGATTTACGATGTGTATGTGTGTCCGACAAGAAAGGGGAGGTGCTTAGGCTCAACGAGAGAGTATATGAGAAATGAGAGGATTAGAGATATGCTGACCAGTTAATGAAGATGGTGGAAGAAAAGGAAGAGAAATGGGCGGGTCGGGATTTTAGAGAAGGTACGGTGGTTTTTTTTTTTGAAAAGCAACAACTTTCATCTATTTTTATGATGGATGAATATTAGAAAATTGTAATATTTTTCAAAATATTATGAAATTTTGAATTTATAAAGTGTAATGAAAAATTACATATGATTTTTGAAAATACAAACAGAGCTCAATTTCAAGCAGCAGCAAATATATATATAAATCTTAAAAAATAAGATTATACCAATAACATGTTTTCCGCAAGCTTTGAGAATTTATTTATAAATATCAAATTATTACGACTTTACTAAAGTCAAAACTAACTTTTTGTTGTTGTTGTTGACAAGTCGTCAACCTTGTTTTTTTTTCGCTCCACGTAGGACAAAACCAAGAGGGAAAAAAGGAAAATATTATGCTTCACCAAACATTTTCATATTTCGCAATTATTTACAAATCATTCACACTTGAATAGGAATTGTGCAATTTTCAAAGTTCTATATATGTTTTCATTTCAATATACTACTAATTTTCAACAACTACTTTTACATATATACATCAACCAAAATCAAACAAAACAACATAAGCCAATAGATAAATAAACTTCTGTCAGTGCATATAAGGAAGTCAAAAAAGAAGGAAAGTATAGTAAATTTGTTTATCTTCTGATTTTCGAAAGACTTTTTTCTAGAAAATGTTGTGAGGAAACAAAAACGAAAAAAAGAATAAGTGTGATCAAAATCTTAAAGTGCTCAATCATTTGAAATGACAGCTCAAAAACGATTGTAACAATATTTATATTTAGCCCACAATTTTTGGATGTTTGTTTGCAAGAAAAATATGATTTTGGAATCTCACACCTACTTGTTTTGGAAAAATCTAGCAGGTGTCAAGGATTCATTCCAAATATGTACATAATCCTCTCAGCCAAAAATTTTTGGGGGGAGACGGATTAATTTAACCCAAAGGTACTTTAAAAAATATGTATAATATAAGCTGATTAGTGTACTTTGACTGGTAGATAAAAATAAATATTAGAAGAAGAAGCGGAAAAAAAATTTGATGAAATTTTTTATCTATTTATTCGTGTATCATCATCATCTTTATCTTGTCTAGTAGCTACCGTAAATAAACAAGATGAGGACCGGAAGAGCAAACGAGATAATAGGAATAAGAATAATAAAAAGGAATTATGATTGAATGAACTTGTGTATTTTCAAGAGTTGAGTGTTTAACCTGAACGAAGGATCGGATGACATTTGAACACATAAACAAGATGAATTGAGGAGCATTTAGTTACTTGTGCCTGCGTGGTAAATAAGGTTGGCTAGGTTGGGCAGGTGGGGGAAGAAAGGGAGGGTAGGTGAATTATTCAGAATGAGAATGTCTTGAAATTTTTGAAAATTAGAAGCTTTGGGGTCTAGAATTTGTAAAATTCGTATTTTTCAAGAATGGAATAGTTTGATTGAACCGATTCTCCAAATTGAGATCCGGAAATTTTTATTTAAAAAAATTAATTTTGAAAAATTTCAAATAATTTTTGATGCCTGTAATCAAACCTACTATCACAATAAGTTCAGAACCATAAGATTTCAATCAGAAAAAATTATCAGAAATTTTGGAATCACAACCTACGCTATACATTTTTTTAAGTTCTCAATTTTTATTGATTCTGTTTCAAAAAATTGCTGTGAATCTGAAGAATTATAAAGTATTTTTCGTTGTAAAATTTTCAGACCTGACTAAAAAGCCACAAGTTACTAGAAATATAAAAATAATATACATTTTCAGGCTTTTTTTTTCAAAAAACACTCCTTCAATATCACCTGCTCTCTTGTTTTCTCCCACTTTATTACTGTAACAAATTCGGAATCCGGAAGCTCAAAAGTTTACACAATCCAGTGGTATCAAATTTGGATGACCTGCTCTCTTGGTGAAGTACAAGTAGTCTGTTAATCGTTCTGCCATACATGTACCACTAAACATATTTGCACAACCAATCTCATGTTTACCAGCCAGCAAAAAAAACTAACAGCAGAAACTAAGGCGATGGGATCAGATATACTACACCCCGAGATCTATCCACACTTGATATATTATACATATATGTACATATACATATACAGTGAGAAGGGCACTTGGATTGGGTAGTTTTTCAAGTGATGAGTGATGAGTGCACGGGTTTTGTATTATTTTATTATTCCTATATTGTTGTTATGATGAACACTTACAAGGGTCGAAAATATGTCATAAATGACAAATGTTTTTTATTTGTTTCAAATTATATAGGGGCTGTCTCTATCCCTTCTACATACAAAAAGAAAAAAAGAATTGCGAAATTTTTTTCGTTTTTCTCTCGCCACACACACACAAGTGTTAGACATTGCTGCCTTTAGCTAGACATGCAGACATGTCCGAGTGGTTAAGGAGTTTGACTCGAAATCAAATGGGCTCTGCCCGCGTAGGTTCGAATCCTGCTGTCTGCGAATTTTTTTATTTTTTTTGGAAAGCTATGGGGAAAACAAAGGAAGAGGAAGTTTGTGTGAAAGGTGCTAAAAGGTTTTTGGAAGGTTGTCGAGGTAACGGAAGTCGGCTAGTATTTGATGAATTATTGAAGGTGGAGGGCAATTATATTTAGGTTGAGAAAAACAAAAAATAATAGAAGAGGTATTGTTAAATCCGGGAAATTAGGAATAACAATAAACATTTAACATCTGGAACGAGATCACCATTAAAATATAAAAAAAAATAAACAAATCTTTATAGCCTAAAAAGTTGGAAATGAAAAAAAAAAGGAATAAAAAATGCATGTAGTTAGAAAAACTTGACAGCGAAAAAAAAAGAAGAAACATATATGAGGGAAAAAACGTTGTACAAGTTTAATGAGAGCAACAAATCTATCAAATTATTATTAAAATCTAGTGACAGACATCATCTGTTGTTCTTGTTATTAGTTTGCTTCTTTCTTCATAATATGCCTATGCTTTTTCTCATCTTCATCATCATAATTTAATAATAATTATAATGTGCAGGTGGGCAACTGCAACCCGTCGAGCAGGTGGTTTTGAATAAGATGTTGAATGTATTAAGCAAAAGAAGAAAAAAAAGAAGGGAACATGTTAATGGGTTTTTATTAATATACATAAATGTATTTGTTTATTTTGGGAAGTGGGTAAATTGAAGGATATTTATATGGATGTGAAAATAAGATTATTTTGCCTGGAGGAAAGCAGTTATAAAATTAACAGGAAACTGTGAAAAATATTGGAGAATAAAACATTTTGGATAAGAAGTAAAAAAGTTTTGTAGAGAGCACTTTGAACTAGGATTTACAGTGGAGAACTGGAGCAAACAATTTATGAAATTTTCATAGAACACTATGAAACATTAACTAAAAATCTTGATAACAAATTACTCAAAACTTTAATAATAATAAAAAAACTTCAGAAACTTTCGAATTCATCAGTTAAAAATGAGAAAAGAACATTTTTACCTGAATTCTGAATATGTGAAAATCAAGATTTTTTCGAATGAGTTATAACTTTTTTTTAATTTACTGAAGTTTCCAATTGAGATTTTTTTAGAATCCAAATTTTTTCAGCTCCAAAAAGTTTTAAAAATTATGAAAAATTGGTAGGAAAGTTTAAAGATATCATCCAGTGATTTTAACTTTATTAAAACTTTTTATTCAAAATATTCATACATAAAATAACTCGAGTATCCAAAAATCTCAAAAATCATCTCAATCTGGAAGCATATTTTCTTCCAAATCATCAAAATTATCTTCAGCTCCATTATTATTTCGACGATTTCCACTTGTTTTTGGACGCGGTGCTGCTGAACCAATCGGATCACTATATGAATAATCTTCGGCTTCTGCAAAAAAAACATCCAAAATTTTCAGTGCTTTTTCAAGAAAGCAAAAAAAACCCACTCATATCTCTTTGTGAAACAGTGAATGGTGTATTGTCAGTTGTTGATAATAATGACATATTTCCGCTGAATTGTCTAGCTCCAACTGGAGATCCACCAAAACCAATTGATGGTGGTTGAGAAAATGAATGTGAGGAATTGGCGGAATTTCGTTTTCCTTGACTCGAATCTGTTTCACGTTGAATTCGAAGTTGACGAACTCTGAAACACAATTTCACTTGAATTATTTTTGGAATTTTTTTTTTCTAGAAACCTACTTCTCAGCCTTTTCCAGTTTATCTGAAAATTCTTTGGCTTCTGGCATTCCTAAATCACTCGTAATTCTGACAAGGAATTTGAGACATTCAATATTTTGTGGGAATTTGCGATGGATATTTCGATACAACTCCAAAGCTTTTTGATAATTTCCAGATCTTCTTTGAGATGAAGCCATCATTAATTGCCACTTAATCTCATTTGGTTGCATAATTGAAGCTTTTTCGAAATAATTCGTGGCTTTTTCAGCAAACTGGTTTTCAATATAATATGCGCCCATCCATTCAATAACTTTCATGTTTGATGGGAAATATCGGTAGCTCTGTAAAAAAAAACATTTGAGATTTTTCATAGTCGAAATTTCTCTTAACTTACATCATAATGACATTGGAATGCTTGAGTTTTATCACCCTCAGCGTCGAAAATTCCAGCAAGTTTGTCTAAAATTGAAGGATCATTTGGTACCAAGCTATTCGCTTGACTGTAGAGTTCAATTGCTTGTGCAGTATCTTCCAAACTCTCGTAACTGAAAAATCAAAATTTTTGTTTTATTTAAAATTACAAAAATAACTTACATTGAGGCAAGTTGGCAAATGACTTGAACATTGCTCAATAAAATATTATGAAGCTTGTAGAAATATTCAAGAGCTTGCTCAATATTTCCCTGAGCTTTTGCAGCTAATCCAAGATTAAATAACGCTTGAACACAACTTGCATCATTGTTCAAAGCTTCTCGATAACAATACGAAGCTTTCTCTAAATCTCCACCCAAATACACAATATTTCCTTGATTAACCAAGGCATTCGCATTATATCGATCAATAGATAAAGCTTGTTCAGCATATTGTTGAGCATCAGCGAGTTTTCTTCCACCTTGAAGCAATCGAAGCATGCACAAATTATTTGCTGCAGCGCTGGCAGTTTTGGAATCTTGGGAGTTGAACACTTTCAAAACTTCGATTGCCTTATCGATGTCTCCTCTCTTCATAAGTTCTCCAGCTTTGGTCATCTCTAATTCTGTAGCAAGCCCGGCATGAACCGATTGTTTCAACAGTTCCAAACACCACTCATACCCAATTGTATATCTGGAAATTACAAAATACTAGTCTGAAAATCCCGGGAGATCTCTTACTCTGGCGCGATTGCTGGGCTGATTATTTTCACAGCTGTGATGATTGCTTTTTCAGCATCAGCTTTCTTTTGCTTCTCCAATCCACGAAGCGAATCGGAGTTCAAAGTTTGATTTAGAAGAACATCATCATCATCTTTTTCTCGAAGAAAATCATCGTCCGGAATTGTCGGGATGTCAACCAATTTTGTGAAGGATTCTCTCATTTTTTCAGCATCTTGCACACAGAAACTTACCAATACTAAAAACATATGTATATTGGGTTTCATGTGATAAATTTCAAACTAACCCAAATTCAAGCCTGTTGTGAAATCAGCTTTCTCCTCAACGCAATGCTCAAAAGTGCTCAAAGCATCATCATAATTTCCCATTCTTACAAAAGTCACACCAATGTTGTTCAAAATTTTGATTCTTGTATCTTTTTGAATGCTTGGAACTTGATCAAGAGCCATTCGATAATATTTTAGAGCTTTTGTATAATCACGTTTTCTGAAATAGATATTTCCAATGTTCACTTTGAGACGTCCGGAATTTGGAAACATTTTGTTTTTCACAATAATCTCGTATGTGTTCACAGCTTCATTTGTCATATCATTTTGCTCATACTGTAAAAAAATGTTTATGATTTTTTTTTCAATAAGTTTTAACAAAATCACCTTTTCCGCAAGATTGAACAGCACATTAAAAGTCAAGTCCAAATTCAAAGTTTCAACCAATCCATTTTGCTCCTTGAACTTGACCACAGCTCTTTCACGTCTTCCAGCTTCCTTTGCTTTATCAAGAGCTTCTTTCAGATTTTTCTTATCAGCAGCAATCATTGATTCTTTGAGCATATCTACCACTTTTTGCTCCATAACTCGACATTTTTCTTCAACTCTGAAAAGCATATTGTACAAAAAAAGTATTTATATTTTTGAAAAAAAAACTCACTGCATCAACGAATTTTCATTGTTTTGTGCACGTTCGGCGGCTTGGACTGAAAAATTACAGGTTTTAGCAAAAAAAGTATTTCATAAAGCTGAACAGACTCACACTTATTAGCAAAACTGGTGTATCCAGCAGCTCTTACTGCAGTCATAGGCCTCGCTGGTTCATTATTGACAGCCATTGCAGTTCTACCGCCTGCTCGACTTCTTCCAACACTTTGAGTTGGTGGAGGCTTTCCATGTGAAGAAAGTGGGTCACGCCAACCCATTTGGGAAGTTGTTGGTCTTCTGCCATGACTTGATCTAGCTACAGCTTGTTGGAATTGTGAGCTCTGAGTGATGTTCTGGAAATTTCAGAAGTTTTGGGCACGACAGGAATGATGAGCATCTTCTTTTAAAATAACTTGGGAATTTTCTCTGAGAAATCCTGAGAGAATTGAGATTAGATCAGGGTTGCTCAAAAACATTGCAAAAAGTTTATTTAATATTTTTCTCCAAAAATACTAATGGGCATATACAGAATTATATTTTGTAATAAAAAAAACAGAAAAATGTCGAGAAAAAAATATACTGTTTACTATTTTCGAGTGGAGACAACACGAAATTGAGAGAGTGCAGACAGAAAAAAACAGTTTCTTGTATTTTTTGTGCGAGTAATCAATTTGTCTGTCTGCACTCTCTCAATTTCGTGTTGTCTCCACTCAAAAATAGTCAACTGTATATTTTGTTTTTTCGACATTTTTCTGCCTAGGAAAAATATGTTTTTTTATTATAAAATATGACTCTTCATATGCCCATAAGCTCTTCGAGCAAGAAAATTCCCTTGGGAATTCTATAAAAATTTTACACGAGTCCCTCCCAATTTCAATCAAACCCCCAAAAAACCAACCTGCACATCATAAGTATTATCATACTCGTCAAAGCCGCCATAAAAATCATCATCATCGTTTCTAACAGACATTTTTCACCCAAAACACCAGAATATGTGTATTGTTATGAAAAAGAAAAAGTGAAGAACACTTGGCTCGCCTCAACCACTTGCTCCCATGGCAACCAGAAAACGCATTTGGATACTTGGTTTATATGAGAAACTATGTAGGTAGGTGGTAAAAAAAAGAGAGAAATGAAGTTGGAAAACAATGACAATTATAAAAATGAGTAATTATTTGGTTGATAATATTCGTAAACATGTGATAAATATTACATATAAAATGAACTAGATCTTTTCAAATTTCCTAATTTCGTGTTATCTGAAATTCCAGCTTCGTCCCAGATTGAAATTTTTTTCGGATAAATCGGAATCTGTTCTTTTGGTTTTGATGAAAATAAATCCCAAAAAAAAAACAGTTTAAAAAGATTAGTACAAAAAAACCTTCACATCATTATTCCCCATATTCTATTTAATGTGATTCAAGTTTCTCACGCCATTGTTCGTGAATTTTTTTTCAAATTTCAGTTCCCTTCAGTACCTGCCAGAAGTTTTTATCTGAATGTATGTAAGTACTTGGTATTGATTTTCAGTTTCAGAGAAAGGGTTGGGTTCTAAAGAGTTTTGTTAACCACAAGTCAATGGCTTCGTGGGTGGTCTGTGTCTACTGAAATAGATTTTATCATCAATCAAATAGAAGGTTTTCTCTTACAATAACACATAAAGAAAACCATTTTCCGAACAATTCTTTTTTGTAAAATATTGATCTGTTTCTCTGCTCCTCTTTCTCTGTTTCCCAAATGTTTTCTCGTTTCTTCCCGCGCCACATACTTCACCATTTGTTTTTTTTTATTTTTGCTGAACCGTTTTTCTATTTTTCCCTTCGTCTATTTATCTGCCAGCTTGCTTAACTAGTAGTAATTAGAAAAAAACTACAATTTATTTTTAGTTTCGAAAAACTTTTGATACAATTATTCATTATAATCACCACACAATCTCCAAAGAAAACCTATAATTAATTTTGTCAGTCGTTATAATCTCCATGTCTCATTTTTCTATAACTTTATAACTACATTTTTTAAAAGTACAAATGTGATTTTTTGTAGCCAGAGAGCCCCCAGTCTGCTGCTCAGCGGTGCTCAAATATCGATAATATTTTCATATGAGAAAAAATGATCTCGTAATTTTGAAAAAAAAACTTTAGATACCTGTGTTGTTTTTTGTTTTGTTTTGTTTTATCTTTGTTTCTCTCTGGTCACATTTCACAATATTGACAAATGAAAACCTTTTCTCAAAAAAAAACTTATGTACTTTTATTTTTGGAAAACTTGAGAATCTATTTTTTTTTCGAACATCTGTGTTTCGAAAATCCATCTACGCTGATTTTTTTTCGGCAGGCAGAAAAACAGGTGGACCAGTTATTTTTAACAAAAATGGACACTTGTTCGAACCATTTTCCCAAATAAAATGAATCAGATAATTTATATGTACTTCAGTTCAGTTTACTTCATTTTAGTCTAAATTATCCCAAGTAAATTTTGTTTTTTTTGCTTTTTGTGTGGGAATTTTACTGAAGTTTCCGTGACAAACAGCCAAAAATCAAAAGTCGATAAAATGTACTTTTTTGAACTCTTATGCTTCCATTTTTGTGGGGAAAATCTTGATTGATTTTTCATCTCTCCCATTTTTTTTTAGAATTTTCAGAGATCAAATCAAAAACAATGGACTTCAGCGAGCCAGAATATTACTGTTCAGTTTGTATGGGTGTCATGGATCGGGATGAGAAAAAAATGAGACCGCAAAGATGCAGCCATTATTTTCATCCAGAATGTCTTGAAGGCTGTATCAAGGTGAGAATTGAGAAAAAAACTCAAAGTATTTCAAGAAAAATCTGAAACTAAATTTTAAAACTAATTTTGATCTACCATCATAAAAAAATTATCTAAAACTGACCAAACGTAACTTTGTTTTCAGGCCAAACAAAGAACCAAAAAACCAACGTGTCCAAATTGCCGTCAACCAATCGGTTTGGTTGAAACAGTCTACAAATCAAAAACGACTGGACAAACCATGAGAAGAACAAGAAAATCACATCGTGAATGTGTAAGCAGAGATTGTTATGACCCAACAACTTGTCAAGTTTGCATGCTTTCTGTTGCTGAACATGCAACTCTTCTATGCGATGCTTGCCAATCAGGATGGCATATGTATTGCTTGAAAGAACCGTTGACTGCAATTCCAGAAGGCGAATGGTATTGCCCATATTGCACAGCAAATGTAAGATTCTTTATTTTTGTCATCTAAATATTTTTGTTGAATTTTAGCCACGAAGAATTGCTCATCACAAAGAAAAAGAGTTGATTGAGGTAGGTTTTGATTTGGCCTATCAGAAAATGAAAAAAAAAAGATTATTTAGTACCTGGTCAATGCAATTCGAAATGCGGATCAAGAAGAGTTGGAAAGAGCTTTGAATGCTCCAATGTATGAAGATGCTGACGCTGAGCCAATGGATCAAAGCAGTGGGGATCCAGTCATCGGAATTGTGAGTTTTCACAAGAGTTGAGATATTGGGTTTGATTGTGAGGGGAAATCTATTTTTTGGTACAATTTTTTCCGTTTCACATGAACACTAAAAACAATTTTTTTACAGAATGCCGATTCAAAACCATAATTTTTTCGAGCAAGGATAAATCTTATATTATGTTTTTTTTTCCAATTTTCACAATTAGTTACCCATTTCCTTCTCACAATTCCCCAATTCGCTATATGATAGCTTAACTTACCACAGTCCTACATATAAACCCAATCTTAAAATAGTAAATTTTCCATTTGAACTCGAAAATCCCTACCGGTAAATTTTCAACTTCTCGATTATTTACGAGTTATTCTAACTACAATAAGCCCCACGTTCTCCATTTTTCTTTGTGATTTTTTTAATGCAAGACTTTCAATATATTGATTCCAAACCCCGATGGCCAAAAATCTTCTTTTTTATGTAACACATTTATCAACATTTTGAAATAAAGCGTATTTTTCCAATTCTCTTTAAGATCAAACACATTCTTTACCCCCCAAAAACTATCAGTCTAGGAGTAAACCATATGTACATACATAGAAAACTACCAAGTTAATTATAAGCTAACAAACATCACTGCGCAATGTTCTGCAATAATCCCCCTATATGTCGGCTGCATCGCAATATGTTTCCGGCTTGCGCAATTCATTTTTCTTCATTTTTTTATTCACAACAAATACATAAAAATAGCAAAAACAATTGTGGGAAGAATTGATAGAACTGATGAGGATAAAGTGCAAAATGGTAGATAAATTTGGATTGGTCTTTCAACAGCTTCGATAACTGTTTCAAATGATTCGAATCCACAAGTTTGTTCGATTGATGGACGAATACAATCGATGTAAGATTGGACAGCGCTGGAAAACATTGAAGTGTTAAAGATTCTTGAATTTCTACTCACAAGCAAGCTCCTGCTCCAGTTGAATAATCGTTATACATTTGTTCTGTGTTTGCAGCAAGATGTGCAAAACTTGTCTCACAATTGGCAATTTCCTGACTCTCCGCAACCGACAAATAGCAGTTCCAGTTATTGAGCATTGCTGAAAAACTCAATATTTTATTGTAATTTTTGAAATCTGATCTTACATTGATAACCATCTCCACAAATATATTCCAAAACCACATCCACAACTGAATATCTCGATTTCATTGGCTCGTGAGAATAACAAGATTGTTTGATATAACTTCCCCCAAGACATGTGTTAAATCGAGTGTACGCACTGCAAGATTTTTTCTCAAATTATCCCAACCCAAAAGAAAAAAAAAATACCTGCACATTTGTTGAAAATGAATTTGTGAATGGCTTTTGATTTCAGAAAGAGTTGTAGTTTTTCCAGATGCTCCAAAGATTCCCATGCTAGATAATTCTTGAGCACAGTGTGCGATTTTATTCTCAGCTTGTTGATCGCATGTTGAACCGTAGGCTGCGTTTCTCATCAAACTATTGGTCTCAATGGACCCAGCTGGAAATAGAAGAGGAGTTTTGATAACTCAATAACCCAATGAAATTCAGAAGATCCTACCATTCACAGAAGTTATGACTAAAAGAGCCATCAAAAATACAGTCATAGTTGGTCGGTATTGTAGATTAGTAAAATGAACAAATGAAATGATGTGTCAGTGCTACTTCCTTCTTTCTTTTCTTTACCAACGCCTCGGGTGTCAAAAAGCGTATCATCCGCCTATTCCAACGGTCACTTTTGTAAATATCCCCACTCATCTTTTTTTGTGTTGTTTGAGAAGTTAGTACATGTTTGTATTACCTTGCGTGTCACTTTGACAGATTTGAAAAATAAACTTTTTTTCATTCGAACATTTTTATTAACAAAAATATATTGAATAGAATAGATTTTTCAAATAAATACAATGACTGACTTGAAATATAAAAACCCGTAGAAAAAACACCAAACAAATATAGATCTACTATTGAAATTTCAATAAAAAAATTAAATTTAGAAAGTTCACCAATCAAACCATTGATTGACCATTTGGAAGAATCGTTTATTCTCCGGCGCATAGAATTCTTTCAAAGTTTGAAGAACATCCAATTTCACATCAGGATGAGGTCGCCCTTTTGTTTTTCCAAGGCAATGAAGTTCACCATCAGATTTTTTGACACATGGAAACTTCTTAATTGGATCAATTCCAAAATTTGTTGGCTTTGCGACTGGGGTGAGTCCCAGAAACTTTTCCGTTCGGCTGACTTCTTCCGCAGGATTTGTGATCAATTTTTCACCATCAACGATATGAATATTTTGCATCGGGAAATTGTCCAACCACCGTTTCATATGTTTATGATAAACACCAATACGAATTGCGCCCCATCCGGCATTCACACCACGAGTTTTGGTTGTGCAATTCGCCTTTAGCCACATTGCACAATTCCCGACTGCCATCTCCTCAAAACTTGGCATAAGTCCAAGACGTTTTCGTTTTGATGAGGATTGTGTATAGTCTGAAACCAATAATTCATATGCTTCTGTTTTATTAAATGAGGAAAAATCTATAGAATCTTTTGATTTGCTTACCTGAAATTGCTCTCGTGACCGGATCTCTAACAACAATAATAATCTTTGTATTTGGATTCAACATCTTGATTCTCTCCGGAGCATTTTTGCTATGAAAATATGCAGGACTTTTTTCAATCGTGAGTTCTCCATTCATTGTTTCCGGCATTTGTTCCCTATAAATATAAAATATGAGTATATTAGATTACAATTATAATATCTAATCTAATGTTTCTTTTTTGTTCTTTTCCGCTATCTCTATTTCACGTTACGCAACTCTTCTATAGCGAAGGTGAAAAAAGAACCGTATATCACAAAAATTGACGGCTACTGTCAATTTTCTCCCCTTTCTTTTTTTCTATTGTAGATTCATTGTTTCAAAAAAAAATAATTAGTTTTTTATTATTATTATTATCATACGGAAAATAAGACCAGTTGTAAAGTTCTACAATTCGAAATAATAAAAATAATTGATTTGATAGAAGTTCGCCGCTCGCAAAAACCTACAGTAGACAAATAATGTCATAAAATTTTACGAGCTGATCAGAACGCAATAAAAATAAGGTGTCGGAAGTCTTTCCGAAACACAACACTTTTCTATATTATTTCTCAATAAATTTATATGATTTTCTTCGTTTCACAAGACGATGAACATGTGTTATTTGCTAATTGTTGTCTATGGTAGTGGAGGCCTCAATTATCATGTCGGCTCCAATCTGCACATCCCCTACACCCAACTCATGTCACTAAATAGATCACATTTCTTTGAGCTCTGGTGCAAATCAATTCATGTAACCTGTTGTCAAGACAAGAAAGAGCAGAACACCTCAAAGACAATTTGCCGACACGATAGATACGACAAATTTGATTTTGTAAGGTCTTCGATTGGCACAGGAAGATTTATGTGCTTGCTAACTTGCTGACAACTTTTTGACCACCCACTGTGAAAAATTTTGAAAGAGGAAAGAGAGAGAAAACTTTTTCGGTGGTAATTTATTATGGTTTTATTTATTTCCTCTCTTCTCTAAGAATTCATTTTTCCCATTCTCGACTCGATCCAATCAAATAAATCCATCAACAAATGACAAAATATATGACTTCTCATTATTGCTGACACATTCCTTCCCCAATCCGTCATTAAAACTTCAATCATTTTTTGTGGCCCTGTTCACCTATTTTTTCTCTCTCTTACACAGTGTTACACCTCATTGTGACCTCTTCGCGCATCTTGCTCAAAATGATCCAAGCGAAAAAAAAAGAAACCGATCATGGCAGTATGGCAGTTACGTAATAATTAGACAGAAGCCGAGCTGTGCGGAACAAAAAACAAGCGGTTTCTTCTTTTTTTGTTTCTTTTCTGCCACCTAATTAATCGGGTTATAAGTGGTGTTGTATACAGCTGGTACTTGACAAAGAATAATATTAGTTTCGACGGACCCGACAGGATAAGAGAAGAGAGGTGAAACTCAATTATAAAATAAAAATGAAGGACGAAAGATAATCCCTTTTGCAAATTGGCAACCGCTAGGATTTTGGGTGGTTATTAGAATGAGAGAAGAATTTTTTATGTTGGAAAAACATCTTCTGAACTCGGTAATTGACAGAGTGCCGCAAATCTATATGACAGGTTAATTGGGTTCTGAAGGTCTGCATATTTTTTGAAAAATGTGGTTTTGTATGAAAATTGAAGAAGGGTTGCTCTAGAAAAACTGAAAATTTTTTGCCAACCTGGAATAAATCAGTAAACTACTGTAATCATGATTTCGCGATGAAAGGTTCAGAAATCAAACTAAAATCTGGATCCTAACTAATTCTAACTGAAATATAGGCAACAATAGGAATTAAATATTTAATGCCGATATTTTTTAATTTTTGAATTTTGAAGAAATTATTTTACAAAAATTTATGATTCTGTACTCAAAAAATATGTTAATGTGAAAATCCCAGGTAAGCTTCTCCCTATTTCCATTATTTTTTGGAGCCAGCTCATAAAACTAATATTGACAAATAATCTATCAAACGATGATCTTCATAACAATCAATTACTCATTTCCCCCCTTCCCTGTATCTATAAATAAATAAAATATATGAACTACAGGTGTTTTTCTCTCTCTATTTTGTTAGTTAGTTAGTTAGTTGTAAGACGAGAGCAAGCAGAACATGCGCACGCTAAAAGGGCAGGTGACACCACTGAATTTCTAATATCCAAAACACATAAAGTAACCAGATACTATTGGGGGGTTCTTGTGATGAATTAATCAGACAAGGGTTCTGAAGAAGAAAAAAATAGTCGTTAATCTTGCGCATTCAAAAAGTGACGACAAATTGGTGCGCCTGTTGTTTTTCAGTGAGATCTTTGTAATGCGATTTTGAAAATTTATGGATTTTTTCGCATTTTGTGTGATAATTTTATTTGTCTTTGAGGTAGAAGTGTAGTGTAATTGGAAAATTTCGATTTTCTTGACAACATGTCATTTCCATAATTTTCTAACTAAATTTATAGATATATCAGACCTTATTCGTCAATGAGAAAAAGCTATAAAAAACCGCTGGCGCCATACGGTCTCCTGCTGCGCGCCAGTTTTTTAATGATCTACTCACTTTTATCGCACACCCTAATTTATTTTTTATTCACTTCTGGAGGAAATAAAACATGAATAGGATAATCAAGAGAGCTTACCTGTACCACTCTAATCCTTTATTGAAATTCTTGTCAAAGAAATGCACTTCTGGTCCTGGAGCTTTTACGAGAGGATTGATCTTCAAAAATTCTAGCAAAGCACGTGTTCCAGCTTTTTTGACACCAACGATAATTGCATCAGGGAAGCGCTTTTTGGCAATTTCTGAATGTGGCAGCGGAATTGTTCGAGATAAATAAAATAAATGAAATAATAGTAATAGTCGATAATTCATCTGGAATTATTTGAGATTTTTTTTTTAAAAAAAAAGTTAGAATCACGCAAAAATCCGGAAGATGGCAAAGAATTTTAAATTTTATCCGACAGAGATTTTTCTATTTTTTTGAAAAAAAAACACAGAAAATGAGTAAACAAACAAAATGAAGATGAAATTTTAATATAAAAATTCTAAAGATATGTAATTTGTATTTACATACATACGAAAAAAAATATGAAAAAATCCCGGTCCCGTCTCAAAACGACTACTAATCACACTCAAGTGAGATGAGATGTGGGAAGGCATTGGGGGAAAAATGGGCGGGGCTTGACAAAAAATAGGGGGGAAGGGGTGAAAAGGGGGAGGGTAAGGAAGGGCAAACGATATATGGGAAGTCATCAGGGTTGGTGGGCATGATATGAAATGTGGATTCAGAAGTTCGAGAGCAGAAATTAAGAATGTGAATGGGTTCTTGTTGGAGTTTATCAATCGAAATATTCAAAATTTTCATAGAAAACTAGAATGAATCTGGTGATCAGGACAAAAAATCAAACGTTTCAACTTCAGAAGTAAATATTTCATTTTAATGTTAGAATTTCTATATCGAAATTTCCAGAACTTTTCTAGAAAATTAGAAAACTAAGAAGCAATTTTCAAAAATTTTGAAAACATTTTCATATTGGCGCGTTTTTTTTGAAATATAAAAAAAATGGAAAAATCATCAAGGCAGGTGGTATTTTCACCTGAATTTTCAGTGAAATTTAAACTTTCAAATTTTTTAAAGTGTATTTTTTCACAATCTTCATTGCTAAACCCTACCGCACAAAATCCTTCTTTCAAATCTTCGAAACTTTTCACTAAACCAGTCATGTTTCACACACACTCATCATAAAACTCATAAATCTACCCATCCATATTTCAAAAAAAGAACTCCCAGAACACAAAACGCGTGTGGTGTTGAAATGTTTTTGAAAAATGAATGGGTTAGACTAAAAGGGGGCTAACAGCGGCTAAACATCCCAAGGGATTGACTCGTAAAGAGAATGGTAATTAGTTTGTGCACGGCTCGAGGGCTTTTACTATTCAGTAGGTGGACACAACAAAAAAACGACAAAATGAAAATGAAGAAGCAGAAGAAGAAGAAGACGTTCTTCTAAATAAACACCGTTGGCTTTGCCTGGCTAATTAATAGATTCAGGGCGAGTAGACTAACAGGAAACGTTCGCACCTTCGCCCGCCCTTTTTGCATTTGAAAATAAAAGGTTTCGGTTTCAGAATAATATAATTATTTCCTGTACACTCTCACAAAAAGTTGAGAAAAATGTGTCTGTTTGCAAAAGACAAGAGTGAAAAACTGTGTTTTTCAAGTGGTTGAAACAGAATAATATTTCATTTTTTTGTTCGTCTTGACATCCGTAAAGTGCCTAATAAATGTATTTTTTGTTCTCAAATGACTTATACGAACTTTTTGTTTTTTTTTTTGAAATTTTTGGAAAAATAAATATTATGCAAATTTTTGGAAAGTAAGTCATCCGGAACTTGTCATCAGATTATGACGAGAAGGAAATGGCAAATTACGAGTGAGTAAAAAGAAAACGCGAAAAAAGAAAGAAAAACTGGGTTGGCAGGGAGGTAATAAGAAGGAAAAAGGGACCCCGAAACAACAACAAACCAGAAGCGGCTCACTCACATAATCAAATTTTAGTTGAGAAAAATTCCGGGCAACGAAATTGAGCTTACCGAAAGATATTTAGTTTTAAAAGTAGCCTGGATAATGGAATTTAGATTCAATAGACTTGCCAAGATTTTCTGATTATAGGGAATTTGAAAAATAATGTGCCAAGATCTTGAAGTTTTTCCCGAGATAGGGGAAATTGTTTTTCTCACACCTACAGTACCTTCGAAATTAATTGGAAAGTTTTTTCTTTTTCCCAATTAGCGGCAGTTTTTTTTGAACTTTGAAGAAAAAAACAAAACAAAAATCTATATAACAAAAAATGACCTGTTCAAACAATATTTTTTGGAAACCGGAAAACATACATAAAAAACTATAGCATTTTGCTTTTCTTTCAACATTATTATTCATTTAAAATGGGGACAACAGACTGTTTGAAACAATGAATAAGACATGAAGTTTTAGAAATGCATTTTGAATCAGAAAAAAAAAAGTTTTTCTCTCATTTCTCGACGAGTTTCAAAAAAAAAACTATATAGATATATCGTTTATTATTTATTCAGTCAGTCAAAAAGGCAGATGTTGAGTTATGAGGTGATGAATTTTAATGGGTTTTAGAGTCATTTTTTTTTCATCGCGTCTCGAGAAATTCATATAGATTTCACTTCCAATTATATTATTATTATTATTATTATTATTACAGTGACAAGTTTTGATCGAACATATGTTGAGTTGTTATTCGAGACAGACAGTAATATGGAGCAGCTTCACCCAATTAGACACCCCCCGTTCCATTGGTGACACATATGTTGCAAAAATATCCATATATGAATGAATGAATGAGGGAAATGACTGAGACAATGAGGCGAAAAAATGAGACGACTTGGAATAAATTAGGAAATTGGATGTGCACTGAATAACAATGCGAGATTTTTGAAAAACGATAGGGGTTCGGGGGAAAAAACAAAAAAAGTCAAGCCACCTAGGGGACTCGAACCCCTGACCTTAAGATTAAAAGTCTCACGCTCTACCAACTGAGCTAAGGAGGCTTCTATCATCACTTCCCCACTTTCCAATGTTCGTCTAGCAGTTTGATTATAGTGTTTCTCTGCGTCTCTTCTCTCTCTTTTTTATATATGATTACTAACCAATGTAAAACAAAAAATTCATTCTAAATGTAAGTGCAAGTTCCAGATGTTTGTTGTACGAAATATGGTATTACGAGAAAATTTTTGCAAAGAAATAGAAATGCACCTGACCTTCTTGGGAGAAAATTGGGGTTCTATTCTGGATGTTAATTAATCCGATCCGATAATCTGTGGATAGGCAAAATTAATTCAAAAATGACTTCAACCAAATAAAAGCAAGCAGCTGACAGAAAACCATTCAACTTGAAATAAATAAGCTTGCAAAAAATGAGGGTAAGAAAAAAAACGATTAACGGATTTAGATGGTGCGAAAAAAATCGTGGAAGAGCCAGGTGGTAAAGAGGTGACAACCTATCCAAAATGGGTATGCAAAAAAAACAAAGAATTGTGGACAAGCGGAAAAAAAAACAATTGAGACTTGATGATGCGGATAATTTGATTGGAAACTACGCTAAACTAAGCTAAGCTAAATGAACGGGAAACAAAAACAAGAAGAAGAAGCCATAATCTGTTGAAGAATTTAGTGTGGTTTTTTGCGTTTTTGATGCAGAAAAAAATAAAATAAAATAAGATTTGTGTTTGTTGTTGTTATTTTCGTTCAGTTACAATTGGCTTGTTGGTTTGAGATGAGTTGAAGTGGTTCTTGTTTTGGTTTCGCGTGAGATTTGATTGCGTAGTATAGATATATACCTTCAGTGACTGAAGTAGGTGTGATATTTTCGATGGAAGGGCGGATTAGGGTGAAGTGGGATACTGCAGGAAGGAGGATGGAGTTAGAAAGGTTGTGTACTAAAGCTAAAGTCATTAGTTAGAGTTATCATAACTCATGGAGTATGTAAGTCAAAAAAACATCTACAAAACTTCAAAAAATTTGTAAATTCAAATAGCCTTATTAACAAAGATCAGGAAAATTTTAAAATGTATTCAATAAAAATTTAGTTCTGTATCCGCAAAAAGTTGATCTACTCGTTGTCAGAAAAAAACGCGGGCTTTTTACTGTAGCTACGTGATGTTTGAGACCTAGTAATGCTTTTCATAAAAGTTTCCCTGTTTCAAAAATCGCATTCTGATTCATCCCACTATTTTCAAAAAAATTGAACAAAAACAAAAATAATTCAAACAGACTCCAATATGAAAATTCCTAGAAAAATCCAAAAAAAAAACCCGAACAAAAAGCATTGTTCGTCAAAATGCGGTGTTGGCAACTTATATTTCAATTTATTGAGTCGTTCCTCGCTTTTGTTCATATAATCTCATAAATAACTAATAAGCCACTCCTTCCCATTAAAACGTCTCTCAACATTTATTCGCAGTGAAATGACTGATCCAAAACTAAATATAATCTCGTCAAAAAATCAGAGGCACACTTCTAATTAACTCATCATCTTTTTTCTGTTGTTTTTGTTATTGCATCGCGATCTGAGACCCGTTTTGCGTAATTCACTCATCACACCTAATATATAATTAAGATATCACTTCAACACAGGGGGTCCTTATAGTTTTTCGAAATATATATATTTATAAGAATTCTATTGAGGTTTAGTGAAAAAAAAACGGGAGAATAAAAAAGAATAAGAAATTCGAGACGTTTTTGTGATTATTATGAAAGGATGGATGATTTCTTTAATTATTCATTGAAGCTTTGTGAAGCGGAAAAGGAAATGAGCACTATTTTAGCCTCTAGATAACTAATAGAAGTTTTTAATATAGTATAAGACTAATTAAATCAAACACCTGCGACAAGATTAATCGTATATTTTCTTTCTCAATCTCTTAATTGGCTATCGCAAAAAAACATAAAACTACAGTAAGAACCACGGGGGGCAGTAACCGTAATTTAATTATTTTATGACTTTATTCTCGTAGTGCGCCGGTTGTAACCGCATCATGATTTGGGGTAAAATAGGAACAATAGAATCTAAAAGAGACAGAGGCAGAGTCATTAATCGCGACACTTACCTGTCTGTCTCTGTATCTTTTTCGACCTATCGCCCATTTTTTATTGTTCGAATTTATGTGCATTTTTATGGACATTGCAACACGAGAGAAATGAAGATTTGGGGGGAATTGAAGGAGAAGGAGGAGTGTTCCTGATTTTATCAAACTATTTTTATGGTGATGAATAGATTAATGTTTTTTCGCGGAGTGAGATTGAGATGTCAGAAAATACTGTGGAAGTGAGGGACTAGAAGGATTTTTTGAAGAACATTTTGAACATTTTTTCAGGCTTGAACATTTGAACTTTCCTTAAATCTAGACTATTGTCAACTAAGATTCTAAATCAAAAAAAAGTGTAGAAAAACCTTTAGAAAACCACTCTGGAACAAAAGGCATATTTTTTAGCACCAGGGTGTCAACACAATTTTTTTCCAACAAACAGAAAAATACAGATTTAGTGATTCATAACCCAGGTGGTTTCACCTTATACCGTACACTCCTAACAAAACCTTTATTTTCCACTTTACCCTTCTGAAAATTTCAAAAAAACTGGAAACTATTTTTGATCTTTTACTATTTTCTCACCTAACTGTGAGAATTCTCAAAATTTTCCCACATTCCTTTATTACCTCAATAAATCTCCTTGTAATACATCAAAAACTAAATAAAAAAGAAAGATTTTATCAGTTCTCGTCTGCGTAGATCTTCCTTCTCCTTCCATTATTTTTCCAACAATAAGTGACGATTTGATTAATGAACCTGTCACCTAACACATTGGTGTATATCACACCAAACAACTCTCGTCTTCATCTCCTTGTGTCAAATCCACAAACATTATTAGATCAAAAACATCCGCTAATCCGCTACACTACAGGAAGCCACCATCGGTCAAGTATTTCTTATGTAACAATAACAATAGTTCCTCGTATTTTTTTTTTAATTTTGTTCTTTCTGAAAAAAATATTAATGGGATAATTCATATGTATTTTCTGGTAAACATTTTCACACCTAGCAATTATTTTAAAAAGCTGTCCGTATTTAACAAGAGGAAAAAACAGATGTTTCAGGTAAACATATAATTAAATAAAATGAAATGAATTGAATTGGACAAAAAACTGTTGAATGTGTGAAAATGGGCACGAATGAGGCGGAAATTTGTTTTGTTAATAACGGTTTTTCATTGTTTGAGTGATGGATAAATGGGGTGATTGGGAAATTTGGAAATGTAGGGGAAATCCAAGGAAACCGGGACGTGAAAAATATGATTATTTATTCAAATATTCTGAAGCAATTATTAAATTTGAAATTTTGCTATAGAAGTAAAATTTAGGCTGACCTGAACCTAAAAAGTCAGCTCAAATCAATATTATCTATTTTCAGAATGTCTGGAACAAACTTTAAAAATTGCGCTGCTTTTTAAAAGTAAACAGATTTTAGTGTATTCGTGAAACTTTTTTTCGAAAGAACGTGAATTGAGCTGTACTACAGTGCTCCACATAATGATTGTTGCAATACTGTGAGAAAAATTGGAAATGATCAGAAAATATTAAAACTGCTGGAAATTATCGTTTTAACAACAAATAACCTCGTTTTGAGAATTATACAAACAATATAGTCGTAGTTTTGTCAAAAAACAATGAAAATTTGTATCTAACAAGGAAAGGTTTTCAATGTTCCCCCAAGGAAAACATCGAGAGTATGTGGAATGTTGAGGGTTTCCGTGGGTAAGAAAAACCCTAGCGGGAATAAGCAGAGAAATGCCTTGTTTTAGAAAATTTGGGGGTAATTGATTTTTGCAATAAAATTTTTTTTTTTTTTTTTAGAAAAATTGAAACTTTTTTCAAAATTGATGAAAAATGTAGGTCTAAAAATCCATTTGTAGCGCAAACGGCGTACATTAGTATTACTTTGGCCAAAATGAGAAATAAAATAATTTTGGACCCAAAAGTCCACTAAATAAAAAATCCAGTCCGGACAATTCATGGAAAATCAACGTTTTCATTATGTAGAAGGAGTTTGTGTGAATCGAGACTGTTATTTTCGGATTCTACGGACCAAATTACGCCTGTTACCCGTCATAAATGTTTCATGTTCCGTTCATTTGAAAATGGAGAAAATTATTTTTTGTGTTTTTTGGTGACCATTTGATCAGAAACATCCCGACGAATAAAACCAAATTTCAAAAATTTTCTAATTTTTTCATAAAAAGTTTCACAAACACCTAATCGACCATTCTGGACAACTTCCACGACTCAAAAGTTCATTAATCAATTAAATCTCGAAATTTTATATTTTCGAAATTCCAGTTTCAAATCAGAAAAAGGGAAAATTCCTGATGAAATTGCAAAAATTTTCTTCATATGTTGATGAAAAATCTTTCTTATTTTTAGAAAAACGAATTTCAAAATGAACTTCAAAATGGGTTGGTTTTTAGAAGTTTCCTTCCCACAATTTTATATTCAAAAAATAAGTTAGCATTGGATATATTTTTCCCAAAATCGTCTTTGGAAGACGCTTGCCAAAGGCCGAGTTTGTCTCGGTCTCCTGTATTACAATGCTCTTTTTATGTTTCGAAGTGCGAACAATTTGAAAGGTGCAAAAAAAGAAGTAGATAATGTAAAAATAAACATTGCTCAATTCATTGTGAGTTCAAAAAAGTGGATGAAACATGAATGACCGTTACATGGTAGCTCCGGAAGAACCAAAATTCAATCAGAAAACTCAATATTGAGGGGGTCCAATCTTTAATGGACACACTGTATTTGCTTTAAAAACATTTATCTTAATTCCAAAGGTTTGCCAATGTTCTTTTTTCCATTTTTGCGTCCAACTGAATGTGAGCAGAACACAAAACAGTGTAGTTTTGATTTTTCCTAAGTGGTCCTTTCTGCGTCTTTACTCTCTCTTCATCGATATATCGTTGTCACCCTTCAACTTGATGCCCTTATAACACCATTGTAAATGTGCACGCGGTCGCAAAGCAGTCGCAAAACGATTATTGTTCTAGACGGCGTTTCAGTTTGTTAGTAGTCGCATAAACATCACAAAATAGTATTCCTAAATTATTTTTTTCAATCTAATTTAAAAAAAAAAAAATTTAATTTTAATTTTATTTAACTTCAGTTTCTACCAATGTTTAAAATGCATTCTACAAAAGTATATGGTTCTGATTACCCTCAACTTTTGTTATTCACGTAACATTATTCTTCTTATTTTTTGGAATTACCAGAAGGGCTCTATCGCCGGCTCCTCCTTCTGGGTTGTCGCGGCTTCGCGCTCCGTATACTTTTGATACACAGTTCGTTTCTCTGAAGTCCTATTAAGAATGGAAAACTAAACGTTTTTTTGAAAAGTTAGATTTTGAAAAGATGCAACATGATCACTTATCTATTTTCGGTATCTAACTAATTTTGAAAATCCCTTTAATAAAGATGTGAAAGGGGTAAATATGAAGTTGCTTTTTTGGAGTCTGAGCAAAAAAAGTAATGCTATTTGAAAGAGCATGTTCTAATTAGTACAATCATTAAAGGTTTTTATCTAGAACCTTCTCAAACATTAGAGAAACAAAACTCCAAACTACTGGACATCTGGATTTTTAAACCATTTTACACGGTTTCTCGCTGTTTTTTCGAACTTTGAAATTTTTCAACCAATGTTGGAGAAGCTTCCAGAAAAATCCTTCAAGGACTTAACTAATTAGAACATGCTATTTCAAATTAACATAACTTTATTTTTTGCTCAGACTCCACTTTTAAATGAAAGGGGATGTCTTTTATCCATTCTTTTGAACTTTCGATTTTTTATATTTCTTTCATTTTGGTGATTTCAAGATAGAGAAATGATGTGAAAGAAAAAAGTGATAAAAAGACATCTTCTTCCATTTAAAAGCCCTCCGTACAGCGGTGGGGAATTTAGTCTTTCTTTTCAGCTGCTGCCGTGCGGGGTCTTTCAGAAATATGGAAATGAAATTATAGTCATCCTCAAGAGGATGTGCACCACAAATGCGCCATCTTGTAAAAGATTGACGTATTTTGTGTGTGTGTGCGCCTTCTGTGTGCATTTCGAAATAATTAGATCGCGTTTTTGTGTTTTTAAGTTTTTCGTTGTGTTCACAGTTTTGTGTGTGTGTGCGCCTTCTGTGGGCATTTCGAAATAATTAGATTGCGTTTTTGTGTTTTTAAGTTTTTCGTTGTGTTCACAGTGATTTATCGTAAATCACTGTGTTAATCAATTAACTTATCATTTATCTTGTTGATATAACTTCCTTTTGAAGTTGTATCTGTTATTTTCGTTGTTTATTTTGGCTAAAACATAAATTTTGGCCTAAAATCCGTGTTCTTGTTATTTTCCCTGCTAGTGGTTTACATCCTCCTTGAGTCGACCTCCTTGCAATAATTTTGAATTTTGTGTGTGTGTTTGCAGACAATTTTGTCAACAACACCGTGACGCCTTTTTGCAGACGATTTTTCACCAGGAGAGCACCAACCCTTTGAGAAAATCGCTGAATAGCCGCATTACAAAATATATTCAAAAAGTTGACAGAAGAAAAAATATGGAAAAAAAAAACAAATCTCAATACAAATAAAATACAAATTAATTTCAGTCAAAGAATAGAATTTTTAACAAATCCCACCAAATAACCCAAAAAAGTGCAACATAATTTTTATCAATAGTTCTTGTTCATTTCGTCATTCACTATTGTTCATCTTATCCTGCTCTATTTGTTTCATAAATTATCAGGGTTCAAAAATATATTTTTCCAAGTTCTTAGTTTTTTTTTCAGCTGTTCTCAACATGCAATTTTTGGTTGTTTTGAAAGATCACATCGATGTAACACACAAGCAGTATGAAATGGAATTCACAACTGAGGTATTCATTTTCAATATTTATATCGATTTTATTGTTCAAAAATACGTAAAATTGCATGAAAAATCGTTTAAAAACACTTATTTTCTGGGCTCTTGACTCCCTAAATCAAAAAAAAATATTTTTTTGAAAATTTTTTTTGGAAAAAGTCAGGATTAAATATGACCCAGTTTTTGTTAATTCCAGCTTCTTTGGAATGAAAAAATGGAGAAAAATCATTTTTTGATCGTCGAAAAATATTAACTTTGAGCCTAGTTACGATTTTTTCAAAAATAAGACCAAAATTCAAACATCGACCTATACACCGTGTAACACTCATTTATATAAGGTCGTACTGCCTGAAACCTTCGAATATCATACCTTTCAAACAAAAAAAATTGGCTTATTCTAAATTTTCGATCCATTTCGTTGTACAGCTCAATTTACGTTCTTACAAAAAGTCTCTCTTAAGAAACGTTTTGTTACTGATGTTCTAACCTGGATCGGCGACGACATCAATGAAATCGATCGAAAACATGATTTTTCAAAATTTTCTTGATAGAACATGTTCAGATCACACACCAGTAAACTATTCGAGCAAAAAATTGCAAAAAAAATCAATGACGTTGGTGGATTCGATCTTTCTGAATATTGCTGATAGTCAACATTGAATTTCAAGAAACTTTGAATTCAATGATTATTTTTGATATATTTTGTTCAGATTATTGAAGATACACCCTAATTCATATAATACAACAAAAAACCCAAAAAAAATTCAATGGTGGATGAAAAACTGTTGTCAGAATCAAAAATACAAAATCGGGGATAATTTCGATGTTTTATCATGGAAGATAAGGGTTCACAGAACATGAAATTTAGAAAACCAAAAGATTAATCCGGGTCAATTTTTGATTTTAAGAAAGGTCCATCACATTTTACCGATCAAAAACGAGTTTTAACATGTGTTTTCCCCAAATAATAGGGAGGAGATATTGCTTTGTTCGCTACTGTAGTAGTTTTCGACGTGCTCATTACGATTCCGCAGGAATATTTCTGCGTATCCCAAGTCCTGACATGACTTATGACGTATTAAAAATTGAAATGAATTTCAGACGACAATGGCACAAATGAAAGATGAAATCGCCTCACTTTTCGATGTACCATCACAATATCAGCGTCTGTTTCATGAAAATGGAAATCCAATTGGACGTGCTGACTTGAATGGCCCAATATCACAAATGGGTTTGCATCATATGGATGTCCTTGTGGTTGTAAGTAATTTCGAGATTTTTTTTGAATTTTTAAATTCATTTTGCATCTTTTGACAAGATTTAATTTTTATGAGAACAAATATGGAAGAATTGTAGAACATGTTTGCAGCTTATATTATGCCTCCACTAACTAGTTAAAGCTCTAACCAACTCACTTGAGGTGAGGGCCTAAAAGGCACCTTGAAACGTGATTAAAAAAACAATTTATTTTATTAAAAGGAGACTGTTACGCTTAAGAGCTACCTCCTATATTAATTAATATGATTAGTAGTTTATAACAACATTCCGTGAACTAGTTGAAAAGAAATATTTTTATCATATACAATCAATCAAAAAATGCAATATTTTTTCTATGTTTCCCGAACAGAAAAATCTTACGGGTAAAACCTCAAATCGTCAAATAAAAAAAGTTGAAGGTGAAGTCTGAACAAATAAAAAGTAATGCTCATTTAAAAGAGCATGTTCTAATTAGTACTTTTAAATGATCATAACTTATTTTTTTGCTCAGAATCCACCTTTAAATGTACACTAACAACTAATATGCATTCATTTAGACACATGGGCAACTCGAAATGTGGATAACGTATACCGATTTGGTTAGAGATTTTGCAAATTGTCAATACTCGGCTTCGAAACAAACAATTGCTGAAACTGCAATGGACCACTTTAACTCAATGTCCAAAGGAAAACTATTTTCTGGATATTCAGCATTCTATAAAGAGTTTTCGAAACTTCATGCGCCGATCAGCAAATATCTCGACAAGCAGACTAAATGGATAAAAGCTGCTGCGTGTAGCTATTTCAAATTGTCCATGTTCCGAGGACAAAATCCAAAGTTGAAATTTGAACCCACTTTTGATGGAAGCCGATCTGCAGTTGTTTGTATTGTTAATTTGGAAAGTGCCGAACGCAAGTTCAGAATAAAAACAAATCATGATGCAAAAGTCTCCTCTACAGGTTTTGTTATTTTTCGAATTTCACTTTTTCAAAATTTAGTTTTTCAGCTGCCAGTTTCAACATCAATTTGATAGAAATGTTTTTGTATAAGCTTTTCGAATCAATTAATATCGGCTCCAAAATAACATTCATACCAAATTGCGTGCTCTCAAAGTCTATCATTTATATAGCTAGTGAATGGATTCCAAATTTGAAAACAATCAATGATATTCATGAAGGTTACAATTTTTTTTAATTATTTTGGTGTACTTAATATACATTTTTCAGATGATTTGGGAAATCTGACCGAAGAAATTGTCCAGCTACATTTTTTAGCTGTGTTTTTAACATTGGGCGATTTGCACGAAGAAAATTTCGGCTTTTTCGAGAAAAAAATTGAAAATCCTAGACTTTATGTGCTCTGATTACTGCGATATGAAAAACGTTTTTTTGAACAAGAGCAATGTTATCAAATCAATTGCAGCCAGAAGTATTTTAGACACTTGTACACCAATGCAAAGGTTAGACATTGCAAGGAATTCAGTGACGTCCTGGGATTTGGTTTCAAAATTTGACGAGGTTCTAGAATTGATGGAAAAAGAAAAAATCGATTTTTGTAGAAATGACCTGGATTTTGCTATAAAGACTAATGATCTGCTTATTTATGTTGAAAAAGCGAAGAAACATATTCAAGAATTGTTTGAAGATTAAGTAAGTTATATTTTGGGCCTTCCTTCAAGTCAACATCCCTCAAGTCTTTTTCTGTATGGTTCATTATGTGCTTGTTTATCATACTCACGTTTTCATGATTTATATTATTATGGGTGCTTGACTATATTTCAATCACAAACACAAAAATAATAAGGTATCCAGGTTTTTCGTATTTTCTTCACTTTTTCTATTGTTTTTCTCAACGCCAAACCAGTTATATTGTTTTTTATTTGTGAAACACCAGATTTTAACTATTAATAAAAAATTTATGATAACAGATCAATAAAATCGAAAATAATCAGTACCCCCTGTTTTCAAAAAAATCACTTTTGAATTTTCACTTATTTTCTCTTCTCCACACTCTAGATTCGAGTACAAATTGTGATCACTGGCACGCGATCACTGAGTTTTTAATAACAGTGTTTTCGGATGTTGTTTTTCATCATGGAAGGTTTATTCAAGCTGTAAAGTGATTGGAGGCTTATTAGAGACATCCTAGATGCCGAGGACAGAATTCTACCTGTTCACCATGACTCACACCATGGTGGTCATATTGGAATTTCGTCTTTGGCTGAAAATTGTCAATGATTTTCGTTGATCTAGGGCCCGAAACCAAGAATAAACTTCCTAGTCAATGCGACCAAGCACAGGTCCAATTTCTTAAAACCACATCCAAGAAGTGTGAAGAGGGTGTAATAAGTGACATGGTTATGGTCGGATTCGAATCGAATCGATCATTCCATTTTTGAATGTGGTACAAAAAGGTTCTGGGGAAACCCTCGAAACAGTTTTCAAAGCCTAGATAAGGCTACTCGGAAAAAAGGGGACGATTTGTCCAAGAATGACCCGCGTGCCGTGATAGTGGTAGTCTCCGAATGTTGACACGTTGGAATTCATCAGAAAATCGATCAGATCAAGGGAGAATAATTTTTACAGGGTGACTCATAATTATTGTCGCCACTTTGAACCTCTGTAGGTGAAGCAATATTTCGAATGTCGACGATGTGAAGGTCGGAAATTTTTGAAAACATGATTACTGACAGACTCTCAAAACTATTTTGACAACACAATTTCGTTCCGACCCACCACCTTCACCAACCCCAAAAATGTTGACTATTGCAATTTTAAGCCTCGTTTTTTTTTGCAAGTTTCAGAAATGTATCAGACTGAACATATTCTTCTTCTTCTCCCTGCATTTATCCCGGTTTTGGGTCTGTATTTTTGATCAATTTTCGCCACAGGTTCCTGTCATTATATTCATTTCCAATCAATTTTTCATACCTCCTCAAAATGCTAAAACTTCCGCCCATAAAATCCCTTTTTCCGGGGGGAATTTCGGGAACTATTCCTTGTAAGTGACCATCTTAGCATTCGAGTTTCCATCCCTGCTAACTTTCTTTGGACTTCTGCTGTTGTGGCCCATGTTTCGGTACCATACATCGCCACAGGTCTAATAGCAGCTTCATAGAAACGGCCTTTGAGCGCAGGTTGGGGGTCACATTGGGATCTATTCCTTGTTAGTAAAAAACGGTAAAGCTGTATCTATTCCTTTTTAGTTGAAAATAACGACTCAAATATTCCGATTTGATATTTCACTAGAAACCATCATTCATTTCATTTGATTCTTTTCTCATTCGTAAATTTCAAATTTCTCTTTGTTTTAACGCACAGTTTTTGTTTAAAAAATCGTCATGTTTGAGCACAGGAAACCACAAATGAAATTCAAAATTTGACAGCTTTCAGAGGAAATCAATCAAGTTTTCTGATGTTCAAAAATAACTATCTCAAAACTTGAAATAATTCATCATAAAGCGTCATTCCAACTTTTGCAAAAGTTGTACACATCAAAAATTCCACGATTCATATTTGTTTCATTGATTTCTCCTCTCTCCCTTTTTTGAATATTTATATATATTTTTTTGAAACATCGCCAACAAAACCATAAATAGTTATATTGAACGATGCTTTCATCTTTTTTTTCTGCATAACCGGAATTTTTCTTTGTGAAAATGAAAATACAGATTTTTCGAAATATATAATGGTTTATTTATTACAATTCGAAGCCGATTACAAAAACGAGAAAAAGTATATGTTTGAAAAAATGAGACATGAGACATTAGAGGTTGTGTGTTGTAGTAAAAGTCAAAAAAACATGTGGGAGTGATTATCATATAAGCAAAGCTTCTCATTTCGAATCAAAAATGTTTTGAAAAAAATAAAGAGGTAAGAAACGGTTGTAAAATGGAAATTTACAAACTTTCTGGGGGATACAAAAATGAGTGCAAAATACATGAGAACAATAATATTTATATGTATATATATTTAAATTGGAGTAGGAATTGATTGGAAAGGAAAGAACGAATCGGTTGTAATTAAAGAAATAAATGTTTTGAGACAAATTTCGGCTTAAGAAAAGAATAGTTGTAAAAAAATTGGTATGACAGAGCAATTATTCATCAGAAAAAATATCATCAGTTTTGATTGATACACAATGGAAAAGGGGTCCCTGAGAAAACTAAAATATTTAAAACAAAGGAAAAGAACATGAAAAATCGCTAGGTGAAGACAGAAAAAACTACAAGGGTGAAAAAATAGAGGTTCATTTTTACTACATGATTTTGAGGAGGGGAAAAATTGGAGAGAGGGTAAGGGATTCCTGAGTTGGGCTTTATCCTGAGGTAAAGATCTATGATTAGAGTGCTGCAATTGATTGACAAATAGAAATTTAATGGTTTTTGATGATGTTTTTTACAGATCCCTGAGAATAATTTTAGATGTTTCAAAATTGAAATGATGACGAGAATTTGAAGAGGTGCAAATAAGAGGGTTTGTGTATGTTTTTTTTTTTGACAAGAAGGGTACGTTTTAGATATAGAGAGACCAATGTGTTAAAATCCTGAGTTTGATGATTCCTGAGAAAAATAGAGATGGAGGGAAAAGGGAATGAATGAAATGAACAGATGAAATAATAAAAAAACGAAAAAGGTAATAAATAACAATAAACTTTGGGTTGGGGAAAGATGTTGTGGAGTTGTTTCCTATTAAAGAAAAACAGATACAATTCAAGCGCCTAGGAAATAACTAAACCAAAAATATAATTGTTACATATTAAACATTTTGAAGAGGGGAAAGCGTGATAGAAATCTCTTGAAGCCGAAATGCTAAAAACTATACAGTAAATATAATAAATCAAAAAGTAATAATGAAAAAAGGTCCACCGAAAAATACAGAAAACAGGAGGGGTTTTTTTTGGAAGTCACTGGGTTGTTGAAAACAAACGGTTTTTTGTTCAACACTGGGGCAAAGTGGAATAGTATAAATGGATAATGACAGACGCAGTGAAAGGAATATTTTTGAAGATGGTTTACATTGGTGATAATGCTTCTGGTTTTATCGCAAAATCACCATTGTTTGCCATTCGAAGAAGTGATTGGACAACGCTGGATTCAGATTCGCCGAGATCTTTTAGAGCTTTCTGAAAAAACAAACATCATAAAAATTCTTCAAATTATCCCCGCCCCAGGTGAATTTCAATCAATCCAATAAAAAAAACTGAAAGAGGTGCTCCCAAGAGATTTAAAAAAATCAAAAAACACCACAACATACAGCATTTGCAAGGCTCAATACCAAGTGTCCCAATTGTCCGACTGATAGATTATTGGGTTCTGATGTTGTTGGTAGTCCGCCATCAAATCCTTCTGGTTTCGGATGTCGCAATCCAGTCAAACCTAGCGATTGAATCGTATGTGAAAGGCTTGATGGAACAGTGATGTGTTGTTCAGCTTCGGCAAATCGTTTATTCAAAAGTTCTTGTTGAGCTAATGATTCTTCACGATTGTGTTTGGTTTTCTTGGCGTGTCGAACTCGTCGACATCTGGCTGCTAATTTGCGCATCGCTTCACGGAACTTATCCCAAAAGTCTTCGTCATGATTGAATTTATCTCGAAGAACTTTCCAGCAAACATCTGAAAGAAACAGTTGATTTTTTAAATTATATTTTAAATAAAAATATTTCTACATACGTTGAATATAGCAAATTCCTTTGATCGGAAGATTTGAGTAATTTGAATGATTCAATCCTGCAACTGTTGTCTGTGACATCAATCTTGGTCCAAAGACTCGTTTTTCTGCTAGCTTTTTACATAACTGAATCATGCATTCACCAACTTCCATTTCTTCATATTTCTTTCCTTGGATGATTTGTTGTATGATTTGTTGCTCCGAAACCGGTCGGAATGCTGAAAACATCACATTTTTTCTTTGAAAAGTTTTCTGGATACTGAAAGGTTTTCTAGACGTTTGCATGAGAGGAAAAACAAACCTGGATCAGATTCAACTGCTTTGGGCACAGGAATTTCAATAACAGCAATAGCTTCTGCGCTCAAATCTTGTTGTCTGACAATTTTAACAATATCATCATTCACTGGTTTTCTTGGTTTTCTTTCAGGTCCAATTGATTGTTTAACAAGTGTCGACATTGCTGGAACTCGTAGAGCAGCATTTGGGTCTGCACTATGTGTTGCTTGTTGGAAAAACAATCCACCATCAGCTTTGAGTGCTTCAGCAATTGCTTTCTGCTGTGCTGATGTGACTGCATTGTACAACGATTGAATTTGGTCCTAGAAAAAATCATAAATTACATATGTTTTCTATTATCAGCTGTTTCTTTTTTCTTTTGTTTTCATTCTTCTTGTGTTGTTCATTTTTTTCTATACGAATCGAATCGAATCATGAAAATGTGTGGCGACAAAAAAAGCTGACACCTGTGTAATTTTATTAAACACTTGGGCATATATACAACATTTCACTTATCAGATGTTTTAATGTTATCATCAAGAACCCTCTGTGTTTTTGTTTGAAATGCATTTTGATCAGGCATCGGGAAAGAGAGTGAGAGAAACGAGAAAAGAACAATGGCATTTTACAAACCCAGGAAATGAAACGTATATTATGTATGTTTATTTCGCTGGGAGGGCGAGAGAAACGACGCAGCGAAAAAAAAAGAAGAAGATGGAGACGAATTTCAACTGTTCAAACACAAGATATGAAAATGCTGGATGCTTGTGTAAATATAACGCGTTCTCTTCTCCGTTTTTTTCCCGAATTTTTTTGGCTGCCAAAACGAAAGAAAGTCATATGATTTTCTCTTCTCCCTCCATCGATTTTTTGCACTTTTTACAAGAACACAAGCAAGGCGGAAATTTTTTGAAGAAGAAGAAGAAAAAAAAGTGTTTGTGTACATAGTAGTACTACGACGAACCTGTGCACTTGCTGTCGATGTTGACGATGATTCGCTGCCATCTCCGACGATATCAATGTTGTGCGAATCGCTAGCGGAACCTGCAAAAAAAAAATCATTGATCATTAGAACAAAATTCTGACAGAAAATAGTTTTATATAATTTTGGGACACTATTGGTCCCCACCTGTGAGAAGCCTGAGATTGTTTTTCTCCATTAGTGACTTGGAATTATATGAGTTAGGTGCTTATCTGAGATTTGACCTACAAGGCCTTGATCTACAAGGCTTTAATCTACAAGGCTTTAACATTCTAGGCTTCGATCTACAAAGTTTTGACCTACAAAACCCCACGCTTGAGCTTCCCTGTCTGAAGCCATATCCAAAATGAACCCCAAGATTTCTACAAAAAAAATCGATATTCTGTTTTGTTTCAGAATTTTTGGAATGATCATGAATCACAATCAAAACAAAGAACTAGTTTTTCATGTCGCTCATCTCAATTTATTTTCACCATCTCTCTCTCATTCTTTCACGCAACAGAAGTACATAGGAACATTTGAAAATGGAAAAAAAACTAGTTGGGGCCGAACAACATATCTTCAATTGCCCTATTTTTGCACTCCTCATTTTTCAGTTATCATGAATGAAAGGCTAGACGGGGGTGAAAAAAAAATGAACAGGCGAGAACACAACAAAAAAAATCGTTGACCTAATATACGTATTATAAAAATTCCTACTCGAAAAAAAATTGATGATATGAAAACGAACCTGTCGAGCTATCAGTTTTCTGTCCATTACTATCCACACTTGATGGACTACTCCATTTATTCACCACAGCTTGTTCCTCAACTGTCGGTAATTGTGATGTTTCGACAAGACTAGCAGCTCCTCCACCAGAGAGAGCTGTTGTCAAATTTGCAGTTGGAAGTGTCGGTGAGGGCACTCCCATTGATGGTATCATCCACTGATTAAGCAAAAATGCATTTTGCAAGTTGGCTGGAAAACACAATATCAGTCATAAAACAAAAAGAACTAGAAAAAGTTGACAGGCGACAAAAGTGCAAAATACTGTGTGATGGGATGATAAAAAGTGTCAAACTCACATGCATTCAAAACTGTTCGCATTGAGACGGGACAATCAGCGAGTTGACTTCCATTTGGCGTCTGCATGCCGTTTCTTTTTCGTATCAGATTCTGCGCTACCAATGGTTGTTGCTGAGCAAGTTGTTGGATTGTTGCAGCGCTTAAACCATTCGGTAACTGTCCATATAATGGTAGCATTGGTAAAATCATATTCACTTGATGTCGAAGATCATTGACTTCTCTGGAAAAACATATATTATTGAAATAGAGAAAACAATCAGGGTGGTATTATTTCCCGGGAGGTTTCCCACACGAACTTGAATGCGCTTAATTCAGATCTAGTAAAATATTGCGATGTTTTCATCGGTGTTTGAAATAGTTGTGGATATAACAATGCTAAATTCTGTAACGTCGTCGGTAGCGCATCGAAAGTCAAAGGCGTTGATGATTGCATCAATTGTGGAGGTGTCAATGTTTGTGGCGGTAACGGGGGCGCATAATAAACCGATATCGGTTTTATCACCGCTGGCGTCGTTGTTGACGATGATGTTCCAGGCAAATCCATGCCTGTTGTTTATATTGATCTCTAACTAGAAATTTTGTCGCGTCCAAGATGATGAATTTTCTTTCTCTCGATTTTCTCAGATGATGTTGAAGAATACCCAAAAAATTCAGAAAATATATTTTCAGAGCAAAAACGAACGGAAAATATCAGCGAAAAGGTTTGATAATAGCGAGAAAGAGCAAATGTGTTCAGTAATGATTGAAAGTGTTATAGAATTTTTTTTTGATATTTTATCAGATTGAAAAGAGAACAGGAAAAAATAGAGGACGATTGAAGGGAAAGGTGGAGTCTATATTTTATATTCTATTTTTTTGCCCTTTCAGTTCTTCTCTTTTTTCTCCTCTTGTCAGGTGGCTTTTGTTCGCTGATCAAGATAGAACGATGAAGTAATATGAGAAGATATACAAGCAACAAAAAAAAAAGAAAACCAGAAAAAAAAGAAGTATAAAAGATATTGAATAACAAATCAATTAATTACCACACACTGAATGTTTTATTAAAAAATCTATACATATATGAAAGAAAAAAGAATATACATACATACATAGAAAGATAGATTTACAGACAACAAATAAACGGAAGGTCATTTCGAGAAACGCAAGAAAAAGAATAATTCGTCTCGAACAAGCGAAAAATGAAAAAGAAAGACCTACCGCGCGGTCGATGGAATGTGATTCGAACTGGTTAAGAATTGAAGAAATAGAAAAAAAAAGAAAAAGAAGAAATCATCATCATGTCCTAATCAAGAAGACAACAATGCGAACCCTTACTATCGAGAAAAATATTGAAACGTTTTTTTTTCTTCGTCTCAATTCTTTTTTTTTCGTTTTGTTTCCTTTTCACTACGAGAAACTTTTTTTTTTGAGAGAGAAAGAGGTGAACGGAATGATAAAAAGTACATTTGTATCTATGACTGCGCATGGTTAGGTTTCAATTTTTTGAACTGTGTCAAGCGGGAAGCTTTCGATATCGGACAAACAATGAGATAAGGATCTTCTTAATGAACTTATTTTTTGAGAGGGGATTCATATGTAGACCCAGATTTTCTCTGATTTTACAAAGACATATTTATGTAAAAAGACAAAATTGAATTGTGTTCAGATGACAAAAATTACAGTTAAAAATTTTCTGAAAATAATTTTGATCTACCACAAAAAAATTTGAGGCCTAGATATTTTGGGCGGTATTTTAAAAACTCACAGTGTTTTATTGAAAAAACATGAAAAAAAAAGTTCAGTTTCATTTTACCGCATTTCTCCCCCTTCTCCCCTAGGCCATCTTCCCATAAGAGAGAAAAGAACGAAAAAAAAAATGCGACAGAAAAAAAAAAGAACGGAACACTCTTGAGGCGCTCGCCCCTAGACACAATGCACTTTGACGAATCGCAGATGCGAAAAGCCGACCAAAGTGCCCTGGGGGTGAAGGAAAAAAAAAAGAAAAGACATACACACACACACACACATACACTGAAAAAACAAGGGGCGACGAGAGTCATTCGTTTTTTCTTGCTTGCTTGCTTGCTATTCTCGATGTGTGTGTGTGTGTGTGCGAACGCAAAAATTGTGAACGCGGTAAAATAGGGTTTTGCCCTCCCTGAAATGTTGGAAAAAGTGCAGTTGTACTATGCCATAAGATCTATCATGAGGGGAGAGAAAAAAAAGTGAATCAAGGGAAAATTGTTGAACAAGGGATGGCTTCCCAAAAAAAACAGACGAAATTTTTTTTGAAAAAAAAACCCTGTGGGTGTTCGTTAATAGTTTGGAGGATATCGGGTGACGAAATGCTTGCTCCACTAGCTTGTTCTATTTCAAACCGCGTGTTTTCTACTTTTTACTAAATTTGGCCAATTTTTTTTTCAAACGCATGACCGAAAGTTACAAACATGTTCTTTCCAATTATTTTTTTCTCACTCTAACTCTAGCAAAGCAAAGTTCAACTCAGCTCATGTGGAATCTAAAAAGGTCATAAGTATTGGAAAAACGTGGGGCTGGTGTTCAAGTGAGTTACAGTACAACGTAGGCAAAAAATTGTTGTCTAGAAAAATTAGATAAGAAACTGTTTTTTCTAGCTTAATGATTAGATTGAAAAAGAAAAAAAAATAAATCAAAAAAATGATATTTGTAGGAAGAAAAAAATCAGGAAAAATTCTACTATTTGTTTTGAGTGCACGTGTAAGAAACGAGACAAAAAATCGTACAAAAAACTGTCCGGACGCATCACTAAACAATAAATTTGCATTTTCAAGAAACAGAAAACAAAAAAAAAGAATCGTATAGCAATGATCATTCAATCACTTTCAATTTTCTGAAAAAAGTGCAATCGAAAATTGACTGAATGCGATTGAATTGATGAAAAAAATTCGAGAACAGTTGTTATTATTCTTCACTAGCGGAAAAAAATGGAGGGAAAAAAAGTCGTCACATGTTCACAATAAAGAATGAAAATGAAATAAAATAAATACATATGAAATTTTTTTTTTCGCATGCATCAAAATGTTGCGAAGCAATCGCAACAAACACTGAGGAAATAGAGACAGGCAAAAAAAAATGAAAAAGATGCAAATCAACCTTGCTGCCATTGTCTGTCCTGGCTGTCGCTTCTATTATTATTGTTCTTCTCTCTCGCCTCCCTTCATCATTTTCTCCCTGGGAGGGAAAAACGAAGCCAGCGGGCAGCTTTCCAAAAAGACGAAGAAGAAAAAAAAGAATAGCAATTTGCGTTTTTCATGTTGACAACCGGTTGCCGATCGAGAGCTATTCGACTGTTCAAAAAAAATTGGCGAGGGAATGGAAAAGAGAATTGAGAGAAAAAAGCGAAACCGTAAGAACACACACTGATCTTTCGGCCTGCTTCTTCTTCTTTGCATTTCTTCCTTTATTTCTTTCCCGCCCGACCGCCGAGAAACAAACTTGACTTTGACTGGGTGGTCTAATGTTTCAATGTGTTTTGCAAGGGCGCCTGGGGACAGAAGAGCGCAATCCAACCAAAAAGAGCCACAACCACCAAAATAGAGGAATGCGAAAAGCTTGAAATGAAAATGAAAGGGGAAAATAAGATAAAACCGCTTCTGGCTCCTCCTCTTTTTTACGCGCCTGAAATTGCACTTTTTGGCGAGATAATGAAAAAAGTTGAGATTTTTCCAATTTTAATTTAAATTATTTTCGAGATGAGTCAGGATGATGTTTCTTCATTTGAGCCTACGGTAGGGCTATTTTTGAGATGGCTGACTAATGAAATAATGAGAAAATGAGAGAATGAATACTGTAGTTGAAGATTTTGCTATTAAAATTGGAAGTTTTATTTGATTTTGCTGCAAATGACATTTTCAGAAGTTTCGAAAAATCAAACTCTATACGCACGAACGTTCATAAAATCATATATCTAGATTCATATTTATGAGAAATTATGAAAAAATCAAAATTTTAGATCTTTTCGATGGCCTAGAAAACCAAAAATTGAATTCTAACAAGATAAAAGGAGCCGACAAAGACTACTGTAGTAATATTTCCTTTCTAGAAAGTGCTGATTAACAATAATAAGAAGTTCGGAATACTGTAGATATTTGAAATCTAAATTTCAACATAGATCAATAGTTCTGAATGAGTCCCAATGATTATTCAGTGTTCATTTTCAAGAAATACAAAACTCTTACAGTACCTATCAAAATTATGGAAATTTTCAGAATGATTCGATTTTTTCAGAGATTTCAAAACTTCTAATAAGTAATACCGTAAGATTGTAATGGAAATGAAGGCAATTCACCGAAAACAATACACAAGAACAATGACAAAAGTACAGTTCAAAAATCTATGATTGAAAAAAAACCACGAAGAAATCAGAGAAAACTGTTTAAGGAAGGAGGAGAGTATACTTAAGGATTCTTTTATCTGTTCGGAAAATCAGGAAAACATGTTTATCAAATTGCTGATACAGTAAGACAATAAGTGTAGTAAATTTTCGAGAGAACATTTTTCTGAAAAACTTTTTGGAAGGGAAACTGATTAGAACTTGAATTATACAAAAAACTTTTTCATAATCATTAGTTACAGTAACTTATATAACCAGAGTATGTTGTTTTTCAGAAAAAAGAATTTTCTTTTAAAAAAATGTGATTATAGAATAATATCAAGGGATCATCTGGGTTTGAACTAATCGTAAAGTATATTTGGAAACATGAACAACATCTCGAGAAAAATAAAAAAAGCGGGAATGTTGAGAAAAACGAAAGCGAAAAAAGGAGCAAAAAAAGAAGCAAGAAGAAGTGACATGGGAAGGAGGGGAGGGTGAGTGAGAGCCTGCCTTCGAATGTTTATAGCGAATTGCTCTTTTTTGCCATGTCCGCGTCCGTCTCCCCCAGGGCGTGTACTACTACTACTAGGACGACTACTTTTTTCTTCTTCTTTTTTTTTCTTTTCTCTTTTTTCATCATGTTGCGCTAGTAGTACAACATTCTGCTTCTTCTTCTTCTTCTGCTTCTGAAGTGGAGCATGTGACCTATACTACTAGTATTTTCCTTCTTTTTTTCTGGAACGACGTCCCTCCCCGCCTAAGGGTCCATGCATGTTTCATCGGCATTTAGTCAAGTGGAAGGAAACGAGATAATAGGCACATACACCAAAAAAATTGGTGAACACAGCGAAAAAAAAACATATATAATAATAATATGTATGTGTTGTTGTTGATTTTGAAACAGCCGAAAAAAAACACAAACGAAAAACGAAAGCAGAAGAAAAAAGAAGAAACAAACAAAAATTCTCGTCTATTCGTAAATCCATGTGACAAAACATGTGTGTCAGATGATTCATGCCATCAAGAACAGCTATACTTTTTTTCTTCTTCGCTTTTCGTATTCTTGTTTTTATTTTTGAAACACGGAGAACTTTGGAAAAAAGAAGATAGATGAGGACAAAAATAAACTAATTGAATTGTATGTAAAAAGAAAATAAAATGGAACACAGGCAACAAAAAACAGATAGTTCTTGGAGGTCTTTCAGGGGGTTTCGCAGAAAGATTTTCCGACAATTTTTTGATCTACTTGGGTATGAAAAAATTCCAAAAAAAAATGATAAATTCTAATTTTAATTCTTGGTATTTTTCACACCTATCTCACGAACATTTTACATAAATTATTAAAATAAAAATAATATGCGGGAAGTGCGCGCTGTCCGTCCAGCCGCAACCGAAAAAAACGAGTTTTTCTGGTCTTTTTTATTCAAATTCAGTTGGTTGCCGTCGAAATATTCCGCCCGTCAGGCAGAATAAAATAGAATAAAATGAAAAAACTTTCGTTCGTTCTTCTCCTCTTTTTTTTCGGATGCCAATCATCCTTATTAATAGTTTCATTCAATATATGTATGTTTTTCCAAAAAAAAAAGAATTTGTTTTTTTTTGTGACCAACAGGGGCACAAAAGTTCAACACTCGAAAGAGCGCAAATCAACAATACATAACGGGAAAAAGGTATCGCATTTCGATGGAAAAAAGTACATACATTCATGCCTACACAATAGATAGATCAACTCGGATCAAAATAACATATGTTCGTGTGGGGGGACCTCCTGGAAAAAAATTCCAAAACAAACTAACTTCCTGAGTTGTTGACATCCCAGACATTCTGGTGGAATCGAGTGTCGCCCGTCTCTGTTTGACGCATCCCAAACCTGTTCTCTACACGTATTGTTTAACATCTGTTTCTCGTGTTCATAACAAATCAACAGATTCATATCATTTCTGCAAAAAAGAAACTTTTTTTTTTGGAAATTTATTTCTGGGGTTCAATGAGATTCGATAAAAAAGTTTCTGACAATTTTCGGAATTTTTATTGGACCCAGAGATGTTTGGAATCTAATCAGTGATTTTTTGAGAATATAGAACTCGAAAAATCGGATCATTTTCAGAAGCTCAGAGTCAGGAACCCAAAATCCGATTTTCCTTGGGTAAAATTCGAAATTCTCGATGTTTTTTGAACATCTTATATCTGATTCACAAATATTTTCAATTTTTTGCACTTTCACTCATTTTTTGCTCCTAATTATTGTTAGTTTCCAACAGCCAATTAATATTTCATTTCTTTCTCCTTTTCCCAAAAACGCGTCATTTTTTGCACATCTCTTTATTTATTTTTTTTTGTTTCTATTCATTTCAAAAACCACTACCGTATCTCAATTTCCTTCCTCTCATTACTAAAGTTCTTGAAAAATCCGGAAATCCAACTTTTTTCCATATTATATATACTTATTAAAAATATATACGAAAAAATATATATATATACATAGTATACATAGTATTTTTGCCATTCACTCATTCATTCGCAAAAACGAACTACACAAACTCCGCCCACTCAGCTATTCGTTGGCCATGCGCCAAAGGACGTGGGACCTTCAAGCATGAGGAAAAAAGCAGACAGAAAAAACAGCAGAGAAAAAAAGAGAGAGCAGCAAAAAGTGTACAACTCAGCGGAACACAAGAATACATCTACTCGGAAACATAGTGAGCGCGAGCGCTCATTGGTTGAAAAGAGCTGCTGCTGCTTCTTCTTCTTCTGCTCTTTTTTTGTGTTGCTTTCTATATATGTAAAAAGAGTGTAGAAGGAAAAAAAGAAGGAGATCTCTTCTATTTTTGAATGAAATGGAATGGAAAGCAACAGCGGAGCGGAAAAAAAGAAGGAAAAAAAAGTAGTCGTAGTACTCGTAGGGCGGGCGCGAGGGAAGAGCGCGTGAGCTTTTTTTGTTGTTGTTGCTGCCGCTTTTTTTCTGTTTCTGCTTCTGAGGGACGGATTCAGCTTCAACAACAACATCATCAGATGTCTAACGAGGTTTTTTTCTTTTGGTTTTGTTTTGTTTGGACTGAGTGACTGAGTGAATGGGGATGACATTGGAAATAGATGATGAGAAGAAGAGGCAATGGTTAAATTGAGATTGTTTCAGGATTTTTTTGCGTTGGCCAACATGTTGAAGGGGTTCAAAATTAGAATAGTGAAAAAATGAGTTTCCTGAAGCTCTACTGTGTCATTTGTCACACTAAAATTCGACTTCTACCCGTTTCATGAAATTCAGATTTTCAGAATTTTTTTTTGTTCGCCAAATTAAATTTGAAACTAGATTTCCAGCAGTACCTATTTTTCACGATCACCTGAATTTCAGTGTTCTGAATAACAACAAAAAACATATGATTATAAAGTCACAAGTTATTATTCGTCATCATATTTTTTTTTCATGTGTTCATCCATATTCTATATATTCTTTTTACTATATCAAGGGATCGGATTGGTCAATTAAGAAAAAAAGAAGAAGCTACCGTAGTTTTCTTATTTATGCTCGAAATGATTCACGGCTATTATTTTTAATAAAGATAATTATGAGCGCACGCGCTCGAAAAAAATCCAGAAATTTTGACTACGATAGGATGCACTTTGTGTTCGCTTCTCGTTTTACTAACAAGCTGTTTTCTTATGCATCCTATGTATACACGTGCCAATCTCATCAGACAAATTACTCATATTTTAATATAATTAATTTTCATATATTTTCAAACTCAAAACTTTTCCTAGAAATGAGAAAAGGGGACTTACATGCTTTGGTTAAGCAAATCAATATAGATTTCCATTCTCGCAGGAAAATAGAAAACAAATAAAATGGAAATATTGAAAGAGTTCGGTTCGAATGCAAATAATTAGTACCTTGAATTGTTATTCTCAAGGGACTCAATATCAGCGAAGAAAATGAAAAATAACAAAATCACGAGATATGACTATTATTCATGTTCATGGAAAACATTCAATTATTCAGGACTACAAAAAACAGATTAGATTTTCCCCTTACTCATATGTTTATTAAAAATAGAATTCAAAAGATCAAACATTTTTCATAATTTTTCAGTTCATAAATTTTCTAGAAATCGGAACAAAAATAGAAATTATTCATGCTTGAAATTGAATGGATGTCAATTTATAAATCATGCTTGAAACTTTGTTTCGAGAAAAATTTTAAAATGGGGACTGAAACATAGTGTTCGCAGCTGGATTTCCTATATAATTATATCGCCTAATTGCTAGGTTTTGAATTTGATAGTGTAATTGATTTAGAATGGGAAATCTTGAAAATGTCAAAAGTATCAGAAAATCTTGTTTTGCAAAAAAATTCAAATTTGTTTTGTTTTTTGATAATTTTTCAGAAGAATTTGAAAAATAAAACTTTCAAGTTCCAATTAATTTTTTTTTAAATATTTGCAACTTTTATAATGGCTTTATACAATTTTTTAACAAACTTTTAGAAAAATATAAAAGAAAAATATAACAAAATTTTTTCAATAACAATAAACTACAATTTTTCCACGTTTATTAAATGGAAATTCTACAAGAAATTCTAGGTACTTCGAAATTTCGGAATTTAATAATTGTTTTGTTTTTAACAACAAACACCATCTTAAAATTGAAGTTTGTCAATAGTTCGGAGTTTCGGGGAACAAATTCATGGAAGAATTTCATAATTTTCATAAAAGGATGATTAGAAGGAATGAATAAGTTAATTGGAAGTTTCTAACATAGTATAACTGCAAAGAGAGTTTTCACAAAAATGTTTCAAATTTTTAAACGGAATTTTTTTTCGTGGGCCTTCAAACTTGTTGTATTATTAATTCGGTCGGTTAAAAAACATCTGTAGTTTATTTTTTGTATATTCAGATTAAGATTGATTTTCCGTAGTGTTTAAAATGTGTTTCCAAATAATTTCTCGGAGAACCATTTGTCCAGAAAAAAATTTGAAATACTTCAAAATATTTACATCATTCCATCTCTATTATTATGTTCTAAATCTTTCATGGAAACAAAACACAATTAATTGTTTCATTTATCAGATTTTTCGAGAAACCAGCTTGCAATTATATTTTTTATTGATAATGACTGTTTTCTAATCAGCCATTTTCTCAAGATTCCAAACTCTATTCAAAATCTAGCCATTTATCCATCTTTATCTAGTTCTATTTTTGTTTCCTTATTATATCTAATCCTCAATTGCTTCAAAATAGTGCATAAATCTTTTAATCCCCATATTTTCTCATTTCTCTTTAATCAAACGTTCAGTCAAATAACATGTGATAATCTACCGTAGTCTTATGCTTTTATGAGAAAAACAAGAACATCTATGCTTTGCTATGCTAATGCGGCTTATCCTAAACTCGACTGAATAGCGAAAAATAGAAAAAGATATTTATATTTATTGAAATAATCCTGATGTCTTCTATTGTTGAAGAATATATATATGTATGTATGTGAAAATATGTTTGAGAAAATATAATGTAGAATTTTATATATATGTATACTATGAACATGAATGTATGCATTTTCAAATTAATTTTCGGAAAAAGAAATCTTTCTTTTTTCATTTCGTTCTTATTGCCAGCCTCCAGAAGAAAAAGGAGAACGAATGCGAAAAAGTAGAAGTAGTATAGTGGTTTTGAAAAAGAGAGGAAGTTTGTGCATGCATTAACTGAATGGGTGGCCTGCTTGTGAAAAGCAGCTCAGCTCAAGAACAAAAAATATAATTACATTACATTACATTTATTCAAGTTTAATTAAATAATTCGCTTTTTTTGCGCATTCTCACATTCAACTTTAATTTCACTTTCATTCATATTTATATTTATATTTATATTTCATCGCTATTTTCAAAGCAAAAAAAACTAGAATTCCCAAGGTTGACTTATGTGAAATAAAAAAATGCATAGAGAATGTTGACAGAAAAAAAACAAAAATTGGCTGAAATTATTATGGTTTCTTTTTTTTTTTGAAGAACAACATATAAATGTTCAGATGTTTAGAAAATTCCTGCAGAGAATGATGAAAAATGTTTCAAATATTCAGAAAGAATGCAGAAAATGAATAATAATTATGTTGGAATCAAAGTTTTTTTTTGGATTGAAAATGATTTGAAGAGCTTCAACAACGTTAGAGAGGAGATTTAGAGAAAAATATAAAAATCCTAAATATCCGATAACAGGTTGGATTCCGAAAAAATTGGGCATGACTTTTTTTAAATGAAAATCAGGCTGAAACCTATATCTAAAATTCAAGAACTTCTAGGTTCACAAGTATTTTCACGGGATTCAAATAACAGTTTGAAACATCGTGCAACTAAAAATTGAGGTACGTGTTTATCGAAAAAGCTAGTTTTTGAGGAAAAAAATGAGATTTGAAACATGCAGGTGAAAAAAATAATCTGATCGAATAAGCAGAATTGAAAATATTGCAGTTCCGGGAAAATAAAAATAATCAGAGAAAAAATGAAAACAAGATCTCAGAATTCAAGAAAAAACTTTTATATTCGATTTTCAGATAAAATTGTACAAAATGACACAAATCCATGTTTTCAAATTCATTTAAAGATTACTTGGGTTTCAGCTTTTAAGAACATCGTTTATGCTATCGTTAATTTATAAAATACTAGAGAAAATCCCAATGTCAGAAAATTGTCAGAAACTTTTTAGGCCCTCAAAAAACATCTCAAAAAAACTTACGTTAATCAATACGTATAGGGCTTGGGTTTGTTCACAGTGGAACAAGTTGCGATCGCAATTCAAACAGGTAAGGGAGCTGTAATAAGATAATAATTATAACTGAAAATGGCAACAAGCTAATGTTGGCAATAGTAGTATGAAAGCAGCAGAAAAAAAGAGAAAAAAATAAAAATGAAACGAGAAGAGACGAGAGGAATGGAATGGAGATGGAGAAAAAAGAGCGCACGAACGCACACACAGCAAAAAAGAGAAGGGAGGCAAAAACGACCAGCGGCAATACGAGAAAGAAAGAAGGAAAAAAGAAAAATGGACGACAAAAAAAGAAACGACGCGAACAACGACGTTTCGAACAAAATGTGAAAATAGTTTGAAAAACACTAGAGACATAGGCATCAATTCATTTGATGCCAATGGATGAGAGATACTGAAACGATCGCGACAGCCTGTAGAGAGTGTCAGAGAAATAGGTGGAAAGCTAGTTTGAAACGAACAGTGACGCCCGCCTAGGCGTCTCTTCTTCTTCTTTTTTTCGCATCTTCATCTTCTTGCTTTTTTGGCGTCCCTCATGGGTTTTTTAATGTGAATGTGTTGCATTCTTTGTTGTTTCGCCTTGATGATATTTGACATTGAAGATTGAGAGATGCCGAAACACAAAAAAGTAGATCAAAAGACAAGAAAAGGAGGCACATTGTTGTTCTGAAATTCTCATGGGAAATTGACTGATTCGTTTTTTGTTGCAGTTGAAGATTTGGAAAAAAAGAGTTCAGAAAATGGGATAGGATTTTTGTTTATTTTTTGTTTTATTTTTTTGTGAGTGGACTTTGGAAAATTGAGAACTACAGTATGACAAAGACAGATAGAACTATACTCCACAACAATTTACTCTGTTCGAAAAATATAAAAAATGTTCGAGGGTTTTTGCAAAAAATAAATATTCTTATTTTTGAAATTCATATTTTCTTGAATTTAATTTTTTTGAAAATCCTGATTAAAATTTTAAAAATGATTCCTATGAAAAAATGCCAATTATAAACTACAGTATACCACAAAAAAGGCCAGACTTCTCACGGCAATTTACAACTCACATTCAGTTTGAAAAACAAAAAAACATCTCTATGTTTTCCAAATATGAAATTATTTTGTCAATATGAGAATTTGGAGGGAATATCAAAATTTCAAGTTTTTGAAAACTTTTACAGTGTCTCAAAATTCTGCGTGAACAAATGAATAAACTCAAAACTGAACAGAATTTTTCAAAAAAAAAACCTGTGTTGAAAAAAATCCCAGAATTGTTTTTTCCCGTAATAAAAAATATAATTGTTCTGACTCAATTAATAATTCATATTAATCAGCTGTAAAGTTAAATCCTACCCTAATCCCTACCAAAAATTTTTGACAGAATAAAACAAGTAACCCAATATTGTGTGTTCGAAACTATGGCAACATTGCAAAAGTCAAAGTCAACTCATTTATTTTCCAATTTTAAATTTTCAACAACGAGTCAAGTCAGGTCGTAAAATGTGTCTGTGTGTGTTTCATGCATTCGAAAAAATATTATTCAACACAACACAACAATTGTTTGGGTTTCGCAAAAAAGAACATGTGACGCGACACTCAACGTATGAATAAATATATATACACATTTTGAAGAAAGAACAATTCTGAATCATGAACTTTTAATTTCTCTCTCTGTGTATGTTTTCAATTTTTGATCACGTGGCAGTTCATATTTGAATTGAATAATCATACAATGAATAAGAAGAATCAATAAAATTTGTACGTTCATAACTTTTTTTTTTGATAAGAGTTCGAAATGCTTTTCATTGCATTTCAATAATATATGTAAATAATCGTTTTCAACATTGATAATGATAAAATATTTTGATAATTAGAATTAGAATATTACGAATTTGAGGGATCCTTGGGAAAGAGCTTGGCGGTTTTTAGCACCGAGGGCACCAAAGAAGCGCTTTCTAGCGGGGCAAAATTCTAGCTTTCGCGCCTTTTTCCCCGAGTTCAAAGAATTAACTTGATTCTGGGCAAATATTACAAATAAACCAAAGTAGATTTGAAATTTGACACCGACAGAAAATCAAAAAAGTCTTCTTTGTTGAAAAACCTACATAACGCCTAAATTATTTGGAATTTTCAGGGACCACTTAAAACTTTTAATGATAATGATACCAATTATTATCAACAGGAAGGTGAAATATTCAAACTTGCACTTCAAAAAAATAGAAAATAAATATTCAACAAAGTCAATTTAGTATTTATAAATTGTCTCCTTTCACTTGAAAACGTACCCATTCGCTTTCTTTTTCTTTTATTTTCCAAAAAGTTCTTGAGAAAAAGCGGACATCCATCATTTTATGGCTTTTCAAAACTTTGGTTTCATGCGCAAGTGTCTGGCTGGCTGACTGGCGACCATAAAATATTGACAAACAAAAATTTGTATTTTTTTGTTCATCTTTCCTTTTTTCATGCTTGCATTGGTTTAGAGGGACACCATTCAGGTTTCAGATAAAAGTGAAAGGAACATATGAGAGGAAGAAAATGATGAGGAGGAAAGGGAAAATTCTTGCAATATTGAATGGAAATATGTTTGATCTTGATGATGATTTGCCATTATTGATAGTGACAAGGTCGAGACGGGTTTTTTTGGTGGGGGTGAAATTAATGAAAAGTGCAGACTTGCATAATTTGTTCAACGATCTGATTGGAATATATGAATGGTTTGAGGCAAAGGAGAACAAAATTAAGTTAGGATTTTTCGTTCTGAAAATTTTAGAGTTATCTGGAATATGGTCCCAACAATCGAAATATTTTTAACAGTTGGATTATTTTACGACAGTGGAAGATCAGATTTTGAAGTTCCATAACCTCAAAAAAATCATCCGAGTTGGTATTTGCCTGATCCAGAAAAAATCATGAATCAATGCGAAATTTTTGAAAAAGCGCTTTATCTGATCTATCCAGATTTTGTCTACGCAAAAAGATTTTGAATTTTCAACAAATTTTGTAGAAGCAATATGAAACTGATTAAAATTGCTAATGCAATTCCATAATTTTATAATATTTTGAAAAAAATTTTGAGAAAACATTTTTTTCTTAAAAAAATACGGTTGAGTGAAAATCCAAAACATAAAAGTTCTTGCAGGATTCAAAATAATGTACCGAAATTCCAAAAAAAATTATTATTCTTGTTCAGATCCCCATTCATTTCTATCATGTTGTATTATTTGTCATTTTGTTCCCGGGATTAAAATACAATTGACATCATCGAAAAATTTGCAATGATTTCCAACAGCAAAAAATAAACACGTCAAAAGTCTAAAGCTCAATCACTGTTTCCGAAAACGCGGCGATAAATCTCCAAAAATAGGAAATGTTTTTTGAAATGAAAAGTCAAATGAAGATTTTTCTTTGTTGATCATTCATTTTTAATCATATGAATGTTGAAAACATATGCATGTATGATTTTTGATAAACAATATAAAACTATTTTATTAAACTCACAATAAGCTATGAAAAATTAGCAACTTCTACATTTTCGAACATTCCAGCATTTCAAAAGATTCAATTTCATCAATAATATTTGCCAGTCTTCAACGTTTTCAGTGTTCCATGTTTGAAAATAACAGATTTTTGTTCCAAAATCGATCCTATACTGAAGAATTAACGCAAATCGCCCATCATCAAAATTTTTGTAATTCAGAAGAATCGGAGTAGGTAAATCAAGATAGCGAACATAATGATAGGTTTTCTCGAAAAATTCTGACATTGAGTAGTTTCTCGTGGATGTTTGATAAACAAAATTGGAATCAAATAGTTCTGATGCTTCATCGAGTTCTAGTTTTTGAATATGATTTAGGATTTGTCTATTGAAAAATCTAGAGTTTTCAAAAACGATTTCGAGTTCTACGAGATCTTTTCGAACAAAAGTAATCTCATCTTTTCTTGAATTTTGGCCAGAAGTCCTTTCGTAAGATATGTGGTCACTAGTGTCTGAAGTTCTAGCGAATACTACATCCGAATCTCGAGCAATAGAAATCAGAAACAAATCTAAAAATAGGAACATGAAAAGGAACAATTGCATGTTTCTGATTGTGAATGTGAGCATTCGACGAGAAAAAAATGAAAAGAAATCCAATAAAAAATCGAGATTCCAACAAAAACAATAAATAATAATGAAAAATGGATAAAATTTATGAAAACTGAAAAAAATTGATAAAAAGTGAAAAACAATCAAAGTGTTGAATATATTATGCGGTTATGTTTAATTATTGTTAGAGATCACAAAAAACGATTAGATTGGGGGGAGTTTTCACTAAAGCTTTGTTTTGATAATATTCAGCATTATGCCCAAAGTTTTTGTTGTTATTAATATGATGAAGATGTTTTTGTTTTTGTTGTTGTTGTTGTAGAATTTCCTCAATTCAGACAATCTCATGATCTTTTCGAACTGGTTTATAATCTCCAGACACCCTGAAAACAAATATTTTTTGTATTGAAATCAAGATTATCTGAAAGTAACTTACATTGGTAATTTATTGATTGTATTGTTGTTAAGAACAGGTTGTGAATATCCTGCTTTTGAGTAATGATGCGGGTTTCGAACCTTGAATTTGTATAAACAATACGCCAATAGGAAAATAATTGTGAGGAAGACGATGAAAGTCACAACAGGTGGCCCTGAAAAATATTTATTTTATTATGATATTTTTAAATTTATTTTTGATAAGGTTGTTTTCACACAATTGTTAGGCATAGACATGGACAAGTTCTAGTAAGTTAGAAGGATTTTGATAGTTTTCGTACTAGCCTGTATTGGAAATCTCGTTCAATTGATGATAAGGAGATAGAAAGCCTAAAGAGGTCTACGTTTGGAAGAGAAGCTCAACATAAATTGTTTTTTCTCATCAAAATAAGAAAATAAATGGGTTAAAAAGGACGTACAATAAGCGCAAATGGGTTGTGAGACAACGGAATGTGATCTGACCGAGGTATCGAAAATATTGCATGATGCACCCATCCAACCTTGTTCGCAACTGAAGAATATTATTGATTCAATTGGATTCAGTAGGTAGTATTTTTTTAGAACTTACACACAACTTGTATGTTTTGTTGATTCTTCAACTTGACAGAAATCAGCATGTTCACAATTGGCAAATTCTTCTCCTTGACATTGACGGAAACCTTCGGGAAGAATGTGCTTCTTTTCTCCTTTCAAACGATAAGACGCTGACATTCCAGGCTAAAATCAAAATTTTATTAGTTAAGAAAGCGTTATTTATTGGTTTGATTAGAAGGAATCGAACAAAGTCCAGTTTTTTCAAGAAAATTTCCGAATAGGATCACATTCTGAGAATTTTAATTTTTTTTTCCAAGAGAAGATCCAAGATCCTTGTGAAGATCGGACAGGTGATCAAAAAAGCTTCCACTTACAGCTGAACATTCGAAAACTCCATCATCCTTATACATATTATACTTCAAAATCTCAATAAAAACCGCATCTTTGGTTTGCTTCAAATATTTTTCAGATATTTCATTTCCTCCGTGTAACCATCTCAAACTTTCAGTTTTTCCATTTGGATGTTCACAACGAATCAAAACACTAGAACCTTCTTCAACACCGATTAATGTGGTAGCTTCATGAATTCCCTCTGAACAAAAATCAATTAATTAATTAACTTTTTATCAGTGGGAGTTTTGGGTTACCTTGTAATCTCAAGATGTGCTCTCCTCCTTCAACGAAAACAATGAAAATTGATAATAAAATGATGAAAATTGTGTTTTCCATTTTTTTCTGAAAAAAAATACTAGTAAGAAAGGACAAAAACATGTTAAGAAGAAGAAAAAAATAATTATAATTAGAAGAAGGATAAAAGAAAAGGTTTATATATCCATGTTTTCCACCCCCAGAAAACCACTTGAACAAGCTAAAAACATCACATATCTTATCCGAAAATGATATCATTGATCAAATAAAATAGGAATTTCGGAAATAAAATAAACAAATATTGGTATGGCTGACATAAAACGGGTGGTTAACTGATTTGATTTGTTAAACAGGTGAAAAATATAGTGTTATGTAGATAGATGTAGACTAAATTGGGCGGGACTTTATATTATAAATTTGCATAAGTCGAAAGATTACTCACGGGAATACAGGTTGCAAAATAATGAAGTGCATGGTAAAAAAATATTTCGAAATTTTACGTAAAATTTTTGGAAGGGCAAGGTGATAAAATTATTCACATTCCATAAAAAATCATCGTTTGCATTCGACACACAGAGATGATGAAAAAATAACACAATAAACTGGGCGAAACATTGATCTTAAACTTCCAACAACTACGTCATCGATTTTTATATTCGTTCTTCATTTTGTGAGATTTTTTGGAAAATTTGAAATTCATGAAGTTTTATTTTTTTTCAAAGCTCACTCACACAAGGGAAAGAGCAGCTGTAAAAATATCGGACAAAATAATAAAAAAACAACAATAATATTTGTTGAGTTTCGATAAAACCCAATTTTTCTAAGGTAGAAACAGTATCAGTCACACACACACTAACATACAGCAAAAAGACACTGAAGAAGATTTATGTGAGTGATTCGCAATTTGATAAATCAAATATTCTCGCAGATCAAGTCTAATATTTTTCGGTCTGAGATGTGAGGTTGGACGGAGGCTACTAGCTCAATAGAAATGAGATTTTTTGACACTTTGAAATGTGTCAATAATACCATGTTTTTTTTGAAAGTGGGCGGAATTGATATGAGTCACAGACACAACAATTCGATATGCAAATACAATCAATCTATCCTGCCTGTTCTCTCCGTGTTCAAAAATTTTTATGTAAAATATAAAAAAACTCGAAAAAAATGATCAGAATTTTGCTTTTTATGTATTTCCAAACTTGGGTGGAACATAATTCAAAAAAAAAGCGAGAAAAAAAATAAATATAGATAATTTGTTCCGCGTATTTTTTCTTGATAACAAATGATTCATTTCATTTTTCGTACCCTTTGTTTGTTTTTGGAATTTTCCGAATTTCATTCGGTTTTTTTTGTTTGAATTGAGTTAACGCCAGTATTTTTTGAGGAAAGAGGAAAATATATTGAAACTTAATGATCTACTGATCAAAATACAGTATCTTATCAAATTTATTGAGAAGACAATCGGAAATGTTTTATGAAGATGGTTTAAAGTACTTCTTATAGTTAGTGGAACCTAGCTTATGTTCTTCGAAAATAAAAAAAGGAAAAGACATTTTGATGGCAATTTTCAGACCTGGCACATTTTTTAAATGTGAAATATTTTGAATCTACCAGAAGCATTTTTAAAAAATTTGAGTCTAGAGCTTTGAGGAAATAAAATACACACAGTATTTTGATAAAACTATAAATCTCCCAAAGCCATGAGAGGTATCTGAATCAAATCATGAAATTTCAGGTCCTGGGATGTTTTGATCTACTTGGAGAGTTTTTGATCTAAAAGCTTGAGATGTTTGAGGTAGAAAAGTGAACACCATATTTTAATGTAATTTTGAATATTCAAAAATCCTAATGAAAGGCTTCAATACTTTTTTGATCTACCAAGGTAGTAAATCACACAATGTGTTCTAAAAAGTTCTGAATTAAAAGTTCCAAAGAGCCCTAACAACATGATTAGGAAACTTCTAAAATTGAAATCCTAACTACTTATTCGACTTTGATCTATATATTATCCAATCATCTGCTTATCAATCATTACGTCATCAAGAATTTACCATATCTTGAAAAATATCTGGATTTGTCTATATTTATTTGATGGCAAAAAAGAAGAGTGTAGTTGTTGATTATTTTGGTTGATTAGTTGATTAGTACAAACAAATAAACAAGCATTTTTCCACAAACATATAATGGGGGAGAAAAATAAACGCTATGAACAATTATCTTGATTTTTTCATCTTTTCTGTTCCAGAATATATTTGATCACAGATTTGTTTTTTTTTTTTGAAATTGAGATCATATAAATTCTGGCCTTGAAGAAAAGAAGAAATCATCGAGAAAAATCGAAATCACAACGATTATGCCTCTGCTTTGGACTTTTCGTTTCAGGTGTTTCCTCTTCCTAGGCTTTGGACATTTTTGACAAATTTTTAGGGCTATCCTAACCTCTTTTATACTCCCCGAATTTTCGAGAGATTGTGTGAATTTGAGAGATTTTACTATCAAAAGAAGACGTCAGATCTTATCAACCAAACATTTCTGCTGACTAATTTCGATCTGTCAAAGAAAACTTCGAAAAAAAAGATATTTGTTCATCATTTTTTTCTTTTTATATCAAAAAAATATCTGTTGAATATCAAAACACTCATGAAAAAGCACTCAACCAAGTACTTTTTTATTTCAAAATAGGTACTCATCTGGTTTTTTTTTCTTATTTGATATTTGCCGAGATTATTTTTATATTATTTTTTTTCTGAGTTGGATGAATAAAAGTCAACAGAGTTCTTGAATGATCATTTCATATTTGATTAGTGTCAAAACATCTTATATATTTTTTGTAATGGGGATTATTTCAGAGCGGAAAATGTGTTACTGGGTTTGCAAAACTATTCATTTTTTGACTGACATTTGATTGTTCTGTTTTCACAACTACACAGTACTGTGTTGACATTTTTATAATAATTTTGATAAGACCTGAAAAATTAGTACTAAACTTTGATTAAGAAATGCCATTTGAATATTTCAAATAATTTATTTAAAAATTATACAAATTTTTTACTCATTTGACCACTCCCTAACATTTTTGTGATTTTTGAGGGCTTTGTGGAGACGAGGGAAGTGTGTGAAAAAAACGTTATCTTAACTTTGAATTTGGGTTAGTGTCAGCAATATTTGAGAATGGTGTTACAAAATTTTTCAATTTAATTTGAAATACTACATTTTATAAATTAAAATTTTTTTGTGAGATTCTATCAAACCTTCAAAAAAAATTATCTGCTGGTCCCTGAGAACCCAATCCTATTCTGTTATCAACTTTTAAAATTACTTCAGCAAAAGATCACTAATTAATTGCCTGCACTTCCGGAACCACTTTACCAGTTTCAAATCAACCCCACTAGAAAGAAATAACGAGTTATCTTCCTTGAAAAGTAATAAAACACTAAATTGTCTGGAAACCAAAAATCAGCAAAAATACTAACAAACAAATTTCAGAAGGAAAAGAAAACTTTTCGAAGACTACTTTCTTCATTTATTTTTTTCTACAAAAACAAGAAAAATATCATCAATCATAACCATTATTATTATTATCATCATCATCAAAGATACACACCGGAAGCAAAAGGAGAAAAACCAAAATTTTTATTGTAAACACACATATCGTAAAAACTACAGTAAAAAGAACCTGACTCATTTTTCCTTCCTATTTCTTAATGTTTGTTTCGCATGTTATTCACATGGGTGGTCTTCGAATTTTTTATTCAGTTTTTTTTTCAGTATTTTAGCAATAAGTAATGCAACAGAGATCAGGGCAGAACATAAGAAGGGTAGATAAAGAAGAAGATGAATAAAAAATATATATTTCTGGATTTTTTCTTTAAATGATAAGAATTTCATAATACAAAAGCTCGCAATCCAATCATTTTCAGTTCTATAATTTTTAATAAAGATTCAAAAGGAGTTTACAAAAAACATCTATGAAACATATAAAGCAAATTTATGAGGTTAATTCAGACACACTTTGATCTATGAATCAAATCAAGATGTTACAGTTGGTGGTGTGATTTCAGATAGACATCCATAAACATAATGTAGAGATTTGATTCGGGCAGTGCACGAGCAATCACCTCCATCTTCTTCAGGTTCCATTTTTGGTGTCCAAGTCGAAACTTGATGTACTAAAACAAGAAAAATGATATGTTTCTCTTTTTCATTGATCTACTTTTTCTTCTTTTTTATATGTATATATTTTTCATGTTCTATAAATAGCCTTATCTAGCTAGCCTCAGAACTTCCGATTTTTCTATCTATCTCTCGAAATTTTGGAAAAAAGGTGATCTATCAGAAGAACATCAACCAAAGTCATCATCTTTTTTTTGTTCTTCAAATATATTAATTGAATTATACAAAACACATAAAAGGCGCCAGAAAAAGCAGGTTTTATTTTGACGGAAGTTGCGTTTACTTTCTTCTTATTTTCCCGCATTTGGGTTTATCATTGAAGGAAAAAATCAGTGATGTGGAATGACTTACCTGAACAATATTGTAAACATTCTTCATGATTTTGAAGTGAGATTGATTTTGGTGAATCTCCAAGAATTTTGATGTTTCGCAATTTGACACCTTTTCCTGAAAAGAACAAAACATCTAAAAGTCATAAAATATTTATATTGCAACATACCAAAATATGCATTTGGTTTTAAACCACTCGTTTTTCCTTCATCAACTGTTGAATGACCAATTGAATTTTTCAAATAACATCTTTCATTCACATTATCATATGTATATGCCATACAACAATTACTGTTTGAACATCGAACACAACAATCTTTGATATCTTTTGTTGAGAATTCATCAACAGTTCCACCATTTAACATAACATTTGGTAGAAATAAACATGATTGTTCTGAAATGGTAATAGTTCAAAATTTGTAAATCAAAAACCACATTATCGAAAGTTTTTGAGTGACTGATTGACATTTTTCAAAGTGTTTCAATGATCGAAAAAATTGGGTTTGATCTTTTTCATAGTAAACACTTTGGAGTTCAAGGTTCAAAATTGTCTTGTCTTGAACCTGGGGATTTTTGAACCTAGAAATTTTTCTAGAAAATCATTCCAGATGAACTCATGAGATCTTGCCCTGTCCTTTAAAATTGTTTTCTCACTTACTTGATGCTGCTGATACCTTCATCATCATTAAAAAACCAAGAACAGCTGTGAAAATCATTCTCAATGTTAGCAAACTTTCAGAATAAATACCTCGAATCCCAACAATCCAACCAATATTTCAACGCATCAAATCGACAACCTGGAATAAAACAAGTTATGTATATTTAAGAAATCGCGCGAAAAAAAGATGGAAGAATGTATTTTGAGTAAAAGAAATTAAAAAGCAATGAAGGAGAAGGAAAGAAAGAAAAAAAGAAAATGAAAGAGGAGGAGAGGAACTGTTTAATTAGAAAATTACGGTCATTTGGCGGCACTCGTCTTTCTCTTCTTCTTCGTCTTATATTATTCTTCGTTTTTCTATTTTCTTCACTTCGTTTTGCCCTCGAAACAGCAAAAAAAATAAAATACAATAAAATAACAAACAAATTGGAAAACAGGAACATAATATTTTATTTATTTTTTTTTGCTGGCTGGCTGGAAAAAAGTTCAAAAACAAGCCGCTCGCTTCAAACATCAAACTGATATACTGATAAAACTATCATTTTCAACGAAGTCAAAAGATGCCACCTGATTTATGGCACATGATTGCAATTTACGATTCTTTTTTTACTGCTTCAAATAATGGTATGAATTTATTGAGTTATCATTGGGAGAATCGAATTTCAAATATTTCGAATTTTCTTGGGCAAAATCTGAAAACACTGTTTTTGAAATTGAAAAAATATTATGTTTTGATATTTTCTAGACTCATTAAAAATGCCATGAGAATATATATTTTTGGAACTTCGGAATTTCCGGTGAAGACGAATGAAATAGTGAAATCAATCAATAATTACATTTTGATCAAATAAGGAAAATCAGATGTTCAAGATCCCAGGACACTGCAGATCAGAGTAGGTCTATAGAATAGAATCTAGATGGTAGTGGTGACCATTGTCAATCTCAGGTAGTAGTTTTCTAGGAATAGTGAAAGAACTTGGAAAACGTTTCACACTGTAACCTTCACTCCGCCCCCTCTCCCTTTAATAAATTACTCATTATTTATCGCACAGGTAAACAGGTACCGGAATTCTAACCAGTCTCCTTGACGTCTACAGTTTCCGACTTACGCTATCGTAAAAATTAATTCAAAACTACGGTATTTCCGGTGAAGGAAAATGAAAAAAGTGAAATCAGTCTATAAATACTTTGCGATTGACAATAAACGAACCAAAAATACACGTTTCTATTCAAAATCAAGTTTTTCCCAATCAACGACTGGCTTTCAGATCATAGACAATAAAAAGGTTCACAGATCAAAATAAATCTTTTTTTGTTAAACATGGACGAAAATAGAAACAAAACATAGAAAAAAACAAAAAAAAGTGAAATGTTTGACGTTCTTAGAGCAACGTCACCATTTTTTTTTGGTTGAACGAAAACGAAAATGAGGAACAATTTATGGTTGGATAAAGTTGGTTATTACTGGAATTTATTTGGCATATTACATATATAGAATGAATTCGAAAAGGTCAGGTCAGAAAAGTTGCTATTTACTTTCTTACTTGAAAAAAATAACTAAACTAATTGAACTTTTGTTCTTTTTTTTTCTTTAAATGAGGTTTGGTTGAATTCAAATTTCCTTTGAAAATAAATGTGATGATGAGAAAGTCTAGTTACATACGTAAAAGACAAAAAAAATGTTTTCGACAACAAAAAAACATGAAAAAGTAAAGCAAACCATCAAAAACATCAAATATGATTGAAAAAAGCAGAACAACTTTTGAAGAGGTTTACGTCACTTTTAAAAAATGATTCACCAAAAATAAGTTTTACGCTGGAAATTTGTGAATACAAAACAAACGCAGTTTTATTCCGAAAAATAACAACAGAAAAAAGTGTGAAAAAATATGACATGAGACAAGAATTAAGAATCGAAACAACATCTACAGTATTAACCGGTCAAAGGCTCAACAATGAAAAATCATATTTCTGTACTTGTCAAAAATAAATTGTTTTTCTCCTAATTGGTCTTGAATTGGGGTAACTACCTACCTAATACAGTAATAAAACAACGACAGACACACTTAACTAGTATTTATTGAATCAATCAACCTATTAATATTAGCTATGGCAGAGAAAAATTCTCATTTCATTTTTTTTTCATCATCATCATCTTCATAATATATTTTTACTTTGGACAAACTCATTATAGTAGTAACTAAAATGAGGATGATGTTATTCGAAATAAAGATAGGATGCGAAAAAATGTGATAATTGCCCTCATTTAAAATGGTGTTTGAAAGATATAAAAAAGCAATGGACACTTTTTCTAAATGTTATTTATACGGTGAAGAATATCAAACTTTGCAAGACAGAAATTGAAAAATTTTCAAGCTTCAAGCCATCCAACAAACACCACATCAATATTTGAAAGAGAAATTTTAAGATTTTTCCCACTCATCCAAGAGCATTAGAAAAAAGTTCGAACAACCATAAATCAAACTTTATAGGTTTAAAGTGTCTAGATTTTCGAACTCTCATGAGATTTATTTTTCTGAAAAGGTTTTTAGAAAGATGAAAAACCAAGAGCTGAAAAAAATTGAAAATAAAGAAGAGAAAGCAAGTTGAACACATTTGTTCCAAGCTTCAATGAATTAGCGAATGAGTACGTTGAAAAAATATATTTAAATAACTGCAAAATGAAAAAATTAATATTTTTCAAAATGAACAACAAAAGAGTTGGCGGCCTCGGGTTCTGGATAAAAAATTTCATTCAGAAGCCTAGTGGTGGAGGTTATGATAAGTTCAGATCGAGAAGCTATTCTGAAATTAAAAATCGGTGCAACAACTTTGTACATTAATCTTAGACATATGTTTTTTTTGCCTTGAGTTCCTCTCCAGCAACAGAAACACTTAATTTTTTGATGACATACGTTTTTCTAATAATTTTTCTTTCCATTGTTAACTTTGAGCAAATCTTGAATAATTTTTCAACTTCGACAAAAACTTTTCAAATCTCAAAAAAATCGTGTTAGATTTCCCTCTTCTTTGCAAATGCAAGAATGGTTAATGTACTACAATCATATTTTTGCTACTGTTCCACAGCAACAAAAATATGTTTGTTTCACAAAAACCAAACGTGCATTCACATCGTTTTCATTTTTTTTTGGATAAGTGTTCTCTATGAGTATATATCAAATTTGGAATGAACCGTCTCCCCTCTTATTATTATACTCGCGCCGACAACTAACAGGCAATGCGCGTCTCTATTTTTTGCATGCAAAGTGGGCGGGGCGAATCGTCAGCAAGACCAAGGTTCGACCCTCGCCGCCGTCTATTTTTTTGAATCATTTTTTAAAATTGTTTTTTATTTAGAAAAAAAATGTTTCATCTGATATTTACGCTTACAATTAAACACTTGACGGTTAAAAAAAAACGAAAAGATTCATATGAACTGGAGAATTTTTATCAATGGTTGATTTTCATGATTTTTTTAATAAAGTTTTGAAGAATTGAGGAAAGAGTTTACAGATTCTCAATTATCACAGTTTGACGACTTTCAGCTTTCATTTAAAAAGAGAAGGTGGCAAACTCACCGACTAAAACTTTTCTGTAACTTTGACAGTTCAACCACCACTGCAAGGGATGAACACTTTTTTCTGATAATAAAACAGCTCTAACGGTAATCGAGCCTGCTGAACAACGGTATCAAATCAGAATTTAAAATAGTATCTTTGAAATGAATTACAGAACCTGGAAAGTCGGCTTTCTGACAATTGTGGCAACTTTGCCAAGCCATAACTTCAGTTACCCTATTTTAGTTTGAGTGGGATGATGGTTGAAATGCCAGTTTCAGAAAAATTTTATTCGGTGAGTTGACCTTCTCTTGTCGGCTCTTTGAAAGCTAAACTTGTTATATGTTCATCGAACAGGGTAAATGTATTGAAGAAAACATTGAGCTCAAAACTCGACTACTACGTTTTTTCAATCGAAAAAATTTTTTTTAGAAAAAAAACACATGTTTTATCAATACTCTCGGATGAAAAATTTAGAAGTTCCTGTTTTACAAAAAAAGTTTATTTTTTATTCCGTTTTTATTTTTCACCAATATTTTTCTTCTGCAAATAAACATACATTTTTTTCATAATCTATAAAACATATACTTTATCCTCTCTCTAATCCGTCCCTTTTTCTCATTGCATCAAACGCGCCCCACTGCACTTTCCTCCTCGTTGTTCGTCCCTGTGAAAATGCGTTTTTTATCTCTGCGCTCTCTCATTTCCCCACGTTCCAACATTAGTTATTAGTTTTCATCTATTTTACGTTGCTTTAATTTGTTTCCCCTTTTTTGTGTGTGGTTTTTTGGCTATAATAATATATTTCTTTAATCCTTCGTCGTATAGAATTGGTTTTCTCTCGTCAAATCCTTTTATTTCTTTCAGTAATGGCCAACACGAAGTTTTGGGGTGGTTTATTCCTGGTTTTTGTGTGGAGTGCACTTACAGTGGATTTTCGAACACAATTATCACTCAATGACACATTTATACATCTCATAATTATCAATATATTCCTGATTCTTCTTATACATCCACCAGAGGAATTTATAACAGGTTAGTGAATTTATTTTCAAAAAAAACATAGTTATTGATAAATTTCAGCATTGGACCTGAGTTTGGAAGGAATTATAAAATGTTTCAAAGCAAATTCAAAATTCCTGGAATACGCTTGCTTCAGAATTTTGTGCTATCAAACATCTCTTTTCCTATTTCCACTTGCAAATTCTGCATATTTTCTTCATGGCCAATATTTTACAAAGGGAAATGTTAGAAGATTTCATTCAAGAATAGATTACCCAATTGTATATTCAACCATATTTATAGGAAGTTTAATAGGTAAGTGAAAGATATTAAATTACGTTTTATCAAAAAAAAAAAAACAAAAAAGTTACAGGAGCGATTGGATTCTTCATTTTCAACTATGACTTCAGAAATTGGAGATTTTTCAAAATTTTTCAAAATATTCAAGATGAGGAAGCTGACAATTTTGACACATTGAACTCTAGAATTAATTGGAGAAACTCATATATGATTAATATATCAAGTAAGTTTTTCTAGAACTCTCTATTAAACTATCATATTCTTTTCCAGAAACATTGAACAAAGCAATCTACCTAGATGAACAATATTTTTTATATGTCACAAATTTTTCGCTAGTTGTTAGTCGTGTTAGTGATGTCACGATAACTGTGATAGATGTTAGGATGCATACACTTCGAGAAGAAGATCAAGATGAGAGAAATCAAATCATCAAAGTGAATATATCATTTGCGGATGAGATATCTGAACCAATAACATTAGCGCTTCGCGGATCAATATTTCAAGAAATCTACAATCAACATATTTTGCGAATCAGTGTCCCGGAAAATATTCAACTTCAACCAAACATCGCTGACCGTTTTATTGTTGCATTTTCATCGCGGGTGAAAGAGAACCAAATTTGTCGAGGAAATGAAGAACTCGAATCATGTTTCGGATGCGGTGGAAATGGTAACCAAGTTGTTCTTCGAAAAAAATGTGATAATCATGGAGATGAAGTTTATGAAAATATTGTTGGAGAAATAATCGATATCCCACCTTGCGAAGAATGTCGATGTCGACCAATGTGGTGTGTTTCTTGTATGGCTAGAGTGTTTTTAGCGAAACAACCAAAAGTTGAAAAACATCGATGGATGCAAGGTGTTGCGAATTGCCCAACTTGTCGGTTAGTTTTTTTTGGTGGATTTGAGAACAGGGTCCCAGTGATATCATTTTGAGTCTGACCGAAATCGGGTAGAGTTGCCGCTTGTGGCCTGAAACCCTTGTATAGGATCAAATCTGATCCTCAGTCAGGAAATAAAACAATTTTAAGTTTCATCAGGGGCTACACTCAACTCAAATGTTTCATATAAGTAATTTTATTTTTTCAGAAAAACATTCTGCATCAAAGATGTCCAATTGTATGAAAATATTGTATGAAGCCGTCTTGCCACAAAACGTATGTTAGTATTTTTAAATTCTACGTGATTCTTTCTATTTTTTTGAAATTGCATTTATTGTGCGTTTGGAAATCAAAGTCACCGCGTGAAATTATACATTTTAATTTGTTCGAAAAATATTTATATACTACATTTTCGCTGGTGACTCTGAGTTCTATACGCACAGTACTGTGCATAAAAATATACATTTCTTGATTTTTTGACCGAAACTTGCCTAAAAATGATCGAATCGAGGGCAAATTCTATTTGTGGGTATCCTTATAGAACGCTAGAAACGTGGGAAAAATATGGGTTTGAAAAAATGAAAAACGCTTGACAAAAACTCAGAAACTATCACGTTTGATGTTCACGTGGAAACGTTACGTATTTCACATTTTCTACATTTTAATTTTTTTGTTTTTTTTCTATTTTATTTTATTTTAATTTTCAACTGTAAATCATGATACTTTGTGATGATAGAAGATCGAACGGATCACAACAATTTTCAAAATTGGTCGGCACATCAAAGCGGTCGGAGAATAGCATCCATCAAGAATTTTGCACTCCAGCTCAAATTTTGGGAATGGACTATCCGCGAAATATGAAGAAAAACTCGAACAAAAGAAACATTCTCCGGAGTGGATCCGTTCAGAAATGATCCAAGCCTCACAGACTCTGTTAGTGTTAATTATAACATTTTAAAGTCTGAGCTTCGAGAATTTAGCTCATTCGAACGAAGACTTGTGAAGAAGCCCATGGTCTTCAACAAGAATAAGAAAATAAGACTTCAGTGGTCTGAAACTCATCTCGAGCACCGATGCAGATTAGTTTCTTCCCGGGGCTAACTGCGGAGAAAGAGAAGGAACGTGTTGGAGACGAAACAGTGAATTTTTTTCCAAATTTTGCCGATGAGTTTCTCCTTGGAGGAGGAACTCATCGAAGAAATTAGAAATGACGGAAGAAAGGAGATCCTCAAAACATCAAATGAACACATCGAGTTGCGGAGAAAGAGAAGGAACGTGTTTCAAGCGGAGACGAAACAGTGAATTTTTTTGAAAATTTCTTCGATGAGTTTCTCCTCCTCCAAGGAGAAACTCATCGAAGAAATTGGAAATGACGAAAAAAAAGAAAAAAATCTAACTGTCACAAGAAGATGCTAGGACGATAAACGGGAGGGCAACTCCGGCGCACCCAGCTGCCCTTGGGTACGCCGGGTGCGCCATTAAGGAGGAATCCTGGTTAAGCCTTTAGCCGAAATAATGGTTATAACTCAGGATGGTGCACCCACAAAAACAGAAAGGGAAACTTTCTAGGGATGGCCTTTTTGCCGATGGTTTTTTCGTTCGGAAGAATGTGGAAATGACGAAAGAAAGGAAACCGGAATTTTTTCAACAGGATAACGACCCCTTTCTTCGATGAGTTTCTTCTCCTTGGAGGAGAAACTCATCGAAGAAATTGGAAATGGCGAAAAAAAAGGAATACAAGAAGATGCTAGGACGATAGACCGTATATACTCTGTTGTACCGTGACAGTGTAATGTTTTAAATTTTGACGATGGTTTTCTCTTTCGGAAGAATGTGGAAATGACGAAAGAAAGGAGACCGAAAGTTTTTCAACAGGATAACGACCCCTATCTTCGATGAGTTTCTTCTCCTTGGAGGGGAAACTCATCGAAGAAATAGGAAGTGACGAAAAAAGAAAGTAATCTAACCATCACAAGAAGATGCTAGGACGACAGTGCATTTTTTAAAAATTTTGCGGATGATTCTTTCTTTCGGAAGAAAGTGGAAATGACGAAAGAATGGAAACCGAAAATTTTTCATTACGATAATGCTCCCCCCCTCCCCGTTGAACCCTGAAATGCGGTGGGGGAAGTCTCATATTTTTGAAAACTCCAATCGGAGGAGAATTCGTGGATTAGGAAGTGTAGAGTTTTAACTAGTGGAGAGTTTTATCATTTTTTATGGGATGGGTATTGCACCAGGATTGTGCACCTACTGCATTCATCAAAAATTTTTGACATTGATTTTTTTACGTTGTTTGTCTTGTGAATAAATTTTTTAAATTCTTTTTTAAAAATTTTTTTACCATAATTTTTTTTAAACGATTTTTTTAAACTCATATTTTTTCCACGTTAAAAGGGTATAGCCACAAAAATGAACTCGAGGCGATCATTTTTAGGAAAGTTTCGGTTTAAAAAAATCAAGAAATGTATATCTTTATGCACGGTATTGTTTTGTATTTGTGTATTTATATAAATGTATTTATGTATATAATAAAATGAATGTTTTTCGAATTTGTCCACACCAAAAATTGTTTCACTTTCTATCAAAAATTTTGGAATCTACCAAAATTGGGTCTATCTTCTTTTATAGTATTGATACAATGATATAATAATTATGAGAAAATATTCGGAAAAATGTTTCGGAACGCAAAAACGATTATAATCAAGTTGAAAGAAGAATGATAACTGGATTTGTCGTCTGTTCATTCATATATAGATATTTTGTGGGTGAAGATGGATGAAAAAAGGGAGGCGAATCTTGTTATTGTTGTTGTTGACCTCATCCTTTTTGTCTTTTTGCAATTACTTTGAATCGGTCGAAACATTGACTAATTTATTAATCATTTTAACACTGGTTCAAGGATTTTCATTGTCTTTTGAACTTTCTCGCGGTTATTTTCTCTCGGCTGATCTAGTTTTACCAAAACTTTTCTCGTAAATAATTCCTGATATGATACCACACAAAAAGTAATCAAACTTCTTTTCGCAAAATTTATTTATCTTTGAAATCAAGTTTCTTCTTATCCTCGAACACCAATCACATTTCTTGTTTTATCATTTTTTATATCGTTGTCACAACATTTTTTTCAATTTTTTTTTCTTTTTTTTAGAAGTGCATATTTGAATGGTATGAGTTTTGCAGGAATGGAAAATTTGATTGATCTAGAGTAAGTTAGAGCTGAAATTCATTTCTTTAAAAATGAAAATGAGCATTTTTTTTAGTGATCAATCAGAAGCTGCGATTGCTCAAACATTGCATGAAAGATTTCAACAAAATAAAAATTATACAAGAGCAAGTGATGTTTTGGTAGCTGTCAATAGTTTCACAAAGCCAACTGACACTGTTGAAGCTGATTTGATCAATGAAAACAGCTCGCCAAATAAAAACTCGTTGGTTTTTTTTTAAAATTATTTCAGTAAAAAAAAATGAATATAATTTTCAGACATGTCTATGGTGTTGCTAGAAATGCTCTTTCTGCAATTGTCAATAAAACTTCCCTTGCTGAAACAATTGTTTTCAACGGCGAATCTGGTTCAGGAAAATCATACAACGTTTTTCAAGTTCTCAAATTTCTGACATCACAACAGAACTCAAAAATTGAAACCAAACATGCAAATGCGATTCAAATTGTTTTGAAAAGCTTTGGATGTGCAAAAACTTTGAAAAATGACGAAGCAACTAGATATGGTATTTCATTAGATCTTCTTTATCAAAGATCACATCTATCTGGGATTCAATTGAAATATACAACACCATTAGAAGTTTCAAGAGTTGTAACACAAAAACATGGAGAACGTAACTTCAATATCTTTTATGAAATTTATCATGGTTTGAATGATGATGCAAAGTCGACTTTTGGTATTCGGGAATTGCAGAAATTCTTTTATATCAATCAAGGAAATCAAACTGATAATATTCAAACAGATGAAGATAATTTTGATGAACTCGATAATGCTCTCAATGTTTTGGGATTCACTGAAGATCACAGATTGAGTATTTATAAAATCATTTCGACAGTTTTACATCTCGGAAATGTTTATTATCGCACAAAAAGAGTGAGTTCTAACATTCAGTTTTTCCTTAACATTTAACTCAAAAATCTGTTGTTTTTTTAGAATATGTCAACTGATTCGGAAATTGTGGAGATTGCAAATTCTACAGAATTAAAATGGGTGTCATTTTTATTGGAAATTAATTATGATCAATTAGTTGATGCATTACTTCAACGAACTGATTCAAATACTTCGATTTCGCTCGATAATGCTCTTGATAATCGTGATTCGTTTGCAATGCTTTTATATGAAGAATTATTCAAATGGATATTGTCACGTATCAATGTCCAATTCAAATCTCCGCAACATACGGCAACAATTTCAATCATTGATAATTATGGCTTTGAACGCTACAACAATAATGGCCTTGAAGAATTTTTGATAAATTGCGTCAATGAGAGAATCGAAAATCTTTTTGTCAAACATACATTCCATGAACAATTAGTGGATTATTTGAAAGACGGTGTCAATGTTAATTATACAGTTCCAAATAGCATTGAAAATGGGAAAGTTGTTGAACTTTTATTCAAAAAACCATATGGTCTTTTGTCACTTTTGACTGATGAATGCAAATTTCCCAAAGGAAATAATGAAAGTTATTTGGAACATTGTAATTTGAATCATATGGATAGAAGTTCTTATGGAAAATCAAAAAGTAAAGATCGATTGGAATTCACTGTTAGACATTGTATTGGTTCAACTTGTTATTCAGTTTCTAATTTTTTCCGTAAGAACAAGAGAAGTGTCAATGGAAAAATCATAAAAGTTCTATGTGAAAGCAGAAATGCGGTTTGTTTTTTTTTTCAAAATTACAGTTGTGTATTGAATAGAATATTTTTTAGATCATTACAATGCTATTCCGAACTCTTGATGTCAAGAAGAATTCAGATTTATTCATATCTCAAGCACAATTAGTGATGAAAGGTGTTCAAGAAATCATAGAAAAAATTGATAAGTAAATAAAAATCATTAAAATTGTTTCTCATACTAATTTTTGATTTTCAGCACACATACCCAATTCGTTAGATGTATCAGAAGTAACAATGAAAGAACTCCAATGAAATTCGATATCCCAATGGTGAATCGTCAAATCAAAACTCTTCTTCTCTCTGAAGTTTTGCATTTCCGAAGTCGTGGTTATCCGATTCGAATTCCAAAAAGAGTTTTTGCTCGACAATATCGATGCCTTCTTCCTGGAGATATTGCAATGTGTCAAAACGAGAAAGAAATAATTTTGGATATTCTTCAAGGTCAAGGTGTCAAATATGAAAATGATTATAAAATTGGTAAGATTTTTACAAATGAGATCTATTATTTCAAATAAAAAAAAACATTTCAGGAAACGATTACGTGTTCTTACGAGAATGTCTTGCTGATCGATATGAATCTCAACAATTCAAAATTTGCCACGATGCAGCTATTATCATCCAGAAAAACATGAAATCGTATGTGGCTCAAAAACAATTTGAGAAAAAGAAAAAGTCTGTGATTATCTTACAAGCTGGTTTGAGAGGTTGGAAAACTCGCCGTGATTATGTTATAAGACGAGAGGAATTGCTGAAGGCACTTGGAAGATCAACAAAGCAGAATAAACGATTGGAAGCATATCATCAAGCGTTAGAAGGAGATATTCCAGAGAAGGTAAGACTAATTCAAAAAAAATGATTAAAATATAATTTACATAGTTTTTTTTCAGTTCCAACCGAGTACACTTGTTGGATATATTGATATTGATAACAATGCGAAGAAGATTCTTGAAAGACCACCATCGGATAATAACAATGAAGCAACCTACATTGTGAATTCATACCTCACCACCCCTCTTAAAATGTATCTTCCAAATATGAAAAGTATCAGTCTTCAGCAATACGCGGATGAAAATTTCAAGGGTCATCTTCTCGAACCTCGTAGAGAACCAATCATGACACCATTCCTTCATAAAGAATCCGAACATGATTTCCGTCTATCTGTTGAAATATTCAAACTTGTTTTGAAATTTATGAATGATCGTAAACTTACGAGAAATCAACGAGACGGGCTCGGAAGATATATTGTGCATCAAGGAATTTTGAATCCTTGCCAAAGAGATGAAATATTAGTTCAAGCTATCAATCAACTCTACAATAACAAGGACAAACAAGCTGTTGAACTTGGTTGGAAATTGGTTCAGATGGCAATTTCAGTCTATCCACCAACAGAAAATATTATTCCAATGTTGATCGGGTAAGAATTTTGTTTTTGAAAACTATCACATTCTGAATTATTTCATTTTCGTGATTTCAGAGTGTTCAATGAGCAATCAAATCCGCTCAAGGATCAATTATTCACAACTTTGCAACAGAGATTGAAGATTTATGACAGCGAGGTTTGTAAAAAGAACTCACTTATCCATACATAATATTCTTGTAGATCAGTCGAGACCTCCCACCATCAAATCTCGAATTGCTCTCACATCCTGCCGCTTCGAACACTGTTGCAGAAATTGAATGTTATGATGGTTTGGCATATGATCTTCATCTGAACCCATGGATCACTGCAAATGAAGCAGCTGAACAGATTTTGAGACAACGAGGAGTTGGAGTGTCACTTGGTTGGACTGTTGAAGTTGAAACTCCAAATAGAGTATACGCTCCGGCTGGTACACATTTTCTTCATGACGTGTTTTCTGAAATTGATGGAGTTGAGGGTGATGAAAAGATTTTCTTTAATTTCCCTCCGGAAAAATTAGTGAAACCAAAACCTAAACCACAATCACAATCACCAATTCCACCACCAACACCAAGAGCAACAACACCTCGAGAATATCCAACACCTGAAGAATGGATCAATCGTCCTCCAAAAGCAATCACACCAATTCAAAGACCATCAAGTGGCAAAAATACACCAATCGACAGACCACCAAGTATTCAAAGAATGAGCGAAGAACGTCCAGCTAGTCAAAAAATGTTGACTCGAGTTTCCAGCCCAATAACTCCAGAATCATCTGACGAATCGATTCCAAGACAATTTGATGAAATCGCAGAATATTCGTATACTCTTCCAAACAAGAAAAAACCAGGTAATTTATGGCTGTTCATTTGAAAAGTGATCACCCCCCTTCTTTGTTTAATTTGATAAAAATTTCGGAAATGTACTTTACCATTGATATCTATCTAGACAATCCCATTTTTTCCAGTGAATGATGAACAAGAATCAATGAGAGAAGTGGTTGACACGATTGCATCGCCAATTTTACCAAGAAAGATTTATTCAAGGTGAGTAGATTTTTTAAAATTTGTGAAATCAGTTTTTCACAAAGGCTTAGAAGATCAGAAATATTCATCTCAATTAATTTTGTTTCAGAAACGAGCAAGTTGCTGAAGAATACCAACCAATGAATTTCGCTCCTCCACCAACTTTCAATTATCCAATGATGCAATATGTCCCAATGATGATTCCGCAACCCATGGCAATGGGTCAACCTATAATGATGCAACCACAAATGATAATCCAACCTCAATACGCATACACACCTCAATTCCCACAAATCCCCCAATACCCAGCTCCACCCCCTCAAGACATGTTATCTCCTCAAAGTGTTCGATCATTCCAACATTTTGAATATCCATCTCCATATGATTCAATGAGATCGCCACCAATGACAATAACTTCACCCCAACAACAACAACCACCAAGAACTTTGAGAAGAGGAGAAGTTCCGAGTCAATATTCGACTATTAGAAATATGCCGGTTCCAGAACATTCTCGAGATGTTGATCAATTTTTGGATGCAGTTTTCGATCAGGTTTTATCCAAAGATGATCATCAACGAATTGATGATTTTAATGCTCATCAAATGGCTGGTGCGATTAAAGGAGGGCGGGGTAGAAATTTGAATTATCAATTATCTCCAAGACATCAGCAACAACAATATGATTATTATCCACCACAAGATTATCATCAATCACCAGTCAGAAGTCGAGCACAAAGTTTACCCAGACATGTTTCACCAAGATTCGAGAGAAGAGTGAGTGAACATCTTTTGAGCATTTTATAGTTTATCTATATTATAATTTTTCAGAAGTCCTATAGCGAAGAATCAACATCATCTGATGAACATATGGATTATCGCGAGAGAACACTTCCAAGATACAATTCAAACGGAGCTGGATATCCAACAGATAAACCAATTATTATGATGATGCCAATGCAAGTCAATCGTGAGTTGTAATTTGATTTTCAGCAGAAAAACAGAGATTTTCAGCAAACGGTGAGATGATTCTTCTCTCCCCAACTGGGACTGATTATCGATCACCATCTCGGACCAGAACTTCAGATAGAACCAGGTATGTTTGACTTGTAGGAAGTTCAGAATCACAGTTTTTATCTGAAGTTTTCAGCTACCTTTTTATTTGTTTGAACTTTGAAATTTTTTTATTCAAAAAGTTCGGCATTTCAAAATGTCACATAACTGTCATTCTGGAAATAAGAAAAACAACTATTAATCAGCCTTCCTCAAAAAAAATAATTTATATTCCAGAAAACCTCGCGGTGTTGAAAAATATATGGCAAGAAGGTCACCATCTGTTGATGGATATTCTAACAGACCACCAATGATCAGGTACAGGTTTTCTTTCCCAGAAATTTCCCAATTTTCCAGCCACAACTCTTTCTTTATTTCAGAAGAACTCCAGATGGAATCGAAAGAATACAAATGCAGGTATATTGATTTTTGTGTATTTATGTAAAAGTTTGTATAGCGAAATTTTTTATCAGAAAAAAATGTTGCAAACATAATATTTTATTATCGCACGAAAAAATTTACTTTTTTTTAATTCTTTGAAATTTTTCCTGTTTTCGAAATCTTTTTGCTCTTCTTTTTTTTTGAAAATTTTTTTTTTGAATTGAATTTTCAAAAAAAAAATTCTGTTTCACAACCAACTGGCTTATCATATTGAACTTTTTAAACGAGAATAGAAGTGCTCTTTTTTTGGTTTCATTTTTTATCTAAAAATTTTCGGCGATAGAATAGTAAAGAGGTGATGTATTTTTACGAGCATTGTGGAATTTTTCATTCTGTTTTATATTTTAATATGAAGAAAATTATTTCGTTTTCTTTCAGACACAATCACCGATTGGAAGACAATACGAGAGTACTTTGCGAAGAGAACCAAGGTCTAGAGAGAGGTTAGTTTTATGCATTTTTATGATTTCTGATCATTTTAGAACAAGGAATTGCACCTTAAAAACTAGGGTAATTTCGAAAAAAAACTTTGCAAAGCCTAGAACTTTAAGAAAAATGATTGCAATAATTTTTTTTACGTGGTCAGAAATTTTAAGAAATTATTTTTCTATGCTTTTTAAGTGAAAATCTGCTTTTTTTTTGTATTCATGGGCTCAAATGGGCCTTGGCGGCGGCTTTAGGAAGCTTTAGAGACGTTAAAGGGCTTTAAATGGTTTCAAGGGCCTTGATTTAAAAAAAAATACTTCAGAATGGATGCACCGATGATAACTCGTCAAATTCCTCCTCGCATCGATTATCATTATCAAAACGGCAAATCGCCGTTAAATTATCGATCCCCCTCTCCAGTTCAAGCTGATCGTCGAGGTTTGAATCGTCTTCCAGTTGATAGCTATGTTGAGCCAATCGTCAAAAGCACAACAAACAATTCCGAATATTTGGAACCAAATCGTTTTGATCTTCATGAACAAAAAGCTGTCATTCGAGCTGAAAAAGAGAAGTCAAGAGATGCTTATAATAAATTGAACAATCAATTAAAGGTAATCTTTGTACTCCCATTGTTTTTATGGTTTTGATTATGATTATAATTTTGATTTTGTAAAATAGAAAATGATAACAAAATTGCACAAAATTAACAAGAAAAAATTTACTAACAGAAATTACCGCCACCAATTGATAATGTTCGATTGATTCGTGGAAAATCACCAGCTAACTCAACACCATCACCAGCACCGTCTGAATCAATTATAGTTCAACCTTCGGTTAGAAGTGTGCCTAGTTTTGTTTAAGAATTTCAATAATTTCAGCCACCTGCTCAAGCCACTCCTCAACCACAGCGTGAAGAATGGTCAGTTGAGCGTGCTCCAGAAACACAAGAGCGAATCAAGGGATCATTCATAAGTTAGTTTTTTTTTCAACAGAGTTTATTTATGAGCGATTTATGTTTTAGAAGAGCCAGCTTTGCCAGTTCAAAGACCTCAAATTGTTGTCGAAAAACCTGCTGTCAAATACGTCAAAGCTCCATGGAAATTAACAATTCGCAAAGAAATGTTCTACCCGGGAGAAGTTTTGAATGATATCCAAATCATTGATCAAGTTTTCGCGCAAATTGTGGGAGATTGCAAAAAATCATACCCTTATAGAATTAGCCTTCAAGATCGCCAACAAGTTGAAGAAGTGCTCCGTAAGAATATTTTTTTTCTATCTACATATGTACATAATTTCAAAAAAAAAATTAATAAATATTTCAGGCGTTAACAGCGTTCCACCTTCGGATTTGAACGATCAAACAAAAATCCATCCAGATGTTAAGGTTCAAATAATTGAGAAAGCTAGAAGATGGCCACTATATTTCAATCAAATCTACGAAGTTGTTGAAAAACGGCCAGATGAATCAATTGGTATTCTTTTGGCCATTTCTGAACATGGAATTCGATTGGTTATTCACACTCCTCATGATATTGAACATCCATTGAAAGTTCAAGATTTTTTCCCGTTAGTTTCCCCTGGGAGTTAATCAAATTATCAGTACAATTTATGAATTATTACAGATTCGAAACAATTGTTGATGTATCCCTTGAAGCAAATGATATTTTGGCGTTCCATGTGAAACACGAAAATGAGCATAATGCTTATACAACAATTCGTGTCAAGACCAATCAAGCAATTCAAATCAAGAAAACTCTTGAGAAATGCATCAATGGTGGAGCTGTTCAGAAACGTCGTTTGGTTCGAGCATTAGATGATTATGTTACAAATGAGCACAATCATTTGTCTTTCAAAAAAGGAGATGTTATTGAATTGGTAAGTCAACTGCTATGTTGAATGGGTTTACAAAAACAGTGTGAGTGGTTGAACTTTTCTTCAATTTTGAAAATGTTCAACTTTCATTCATTTGTGGCCCTAGAAACCTATCATACCCATATTATACAGAAAAACAATATTTCAGCTTCCATCTCCGGAAGGCGAATTCCCACCAAGTGGTGATTGGCTTTATGGTCGCATCGAAAACCGTTTCGGCTACCTCTTGCTTCAATATATCGATTCAAACTACTCTGATAATGTTCAACCGCTCCGATTCGAAAATAACAACAACGATGAAGAAGTTCATCTTTTCGATGACGAAGTTCCATTTTCAAGCGAACGTTATACAATGCTAGATTTTGCTTCGAAATATTTCCGTGGTCCAAAAGAGCAGAAAAAACAACGACTTGAGGATTGGACATGGGGAGAAATCGCTCAAGCTATCAAATTTACTGATAAACCAATCAGTCAATCGTTGCTCAAAGATCTTGAACCAGAAGAAAGTAAACATGCCACAGAAACTTTCCAAGGTAATCTAATTTATCTTTGAGAAAAAAATTTTTCAACATGAATTTTTCCAGCAATCCTCAAGTTTATGGGTGATGAACCATTGAAGAAATCCGAATCAGTCACTGATATGGTCTTCAAAATTTTGATCATCTGCCATCGTCACCCTAATTTACGAGACGAGGTTTATTGCCAACTTATCAAGCAAACAACTAGCAATATTTCGACAAAACCTGACAGTGCAATTCGAGGATGGCGACTTTTCACCATTTTTTCATCATATTTCCCATCAACTTTAACTCTCAAACCATATCTTCTTCAATATCTTTCCGAAAACGCTGATAATCAACAAAGACTTTATCATGGTAAAAAAACTTGTTTTCTGTTTTTATTAAAATATTTCAAAATCAAACAAGTTTATCTATTTCAGGAACTGCCAAAATCTGTCAATACAACATTTTCCAAACATTCAAGTATGGCGGTCGAAAAGTTCTTCTCAACGCCCTCGAAGTTCAGCAAACAACGGTATCTTTTGTGATTAATCATAATGTTGTGTACAAGATTATTTGATTTTCAGGACGGAAATTCGATTCGTCGTCAACCGTTCTTCATTGCACGTGATAATAATGTGATGGAAAATCTGAAAACTGTCACTGTTGCAGAGGAAATGATACAAGAGTTGTGTAATTTGATGAATGTTAAGAGTTTGTCAGAACAACAAGAGTTCTCATTGTGTTATACCATTGGAAAAGGTAAATATTCGGGAATTTGACATGAGTAAATCTGAAAATAGATCTTCTTCTAATATTTTTCCATGTGAGGGTTCAAAATGTTACAGGTGTGGACTTTTTTCCAGAATAAGGGCTAACATATCTTGGGATAATAGGATCCCATTTACAAATTTAGACCCATAATTCCACACCATTATTTATCGGTTCACTAAAAACATTTTCAAATACAATTTTTTGAATTTTCAGATAACAAATTGCAATATTGTAAGAATGATGACTATATTATGGATATAATAACCGAAATGGAACACAAAAAATTGAGTTTCCAATTCTTCTTGAAACGAACAGTTTGGGTACATCCAATGCGTTTTGACAATGTTGCGTATATCGATTCGATGTTTGATCAAGTATGATAAAAAAAACACTTATAATTCCCCAAATGCGTGCTAATAATTTTTTGCTTTTCTAGGTGATCGATGATTATTTACGTGGTTCAATTATTTCAACCAATGCGTTTGGCCAATTGACCGCAACCACAACTGAAGAGATCATAAGACTTGGCGCATATCTATTTATGTTACTTCCTGATAATGCGAAAGGACTTACAACGTAAGCGATTAGTCATAAGTTCAACGATGAGATTGATATCAATGGGAAAAATAGATTAATCAAAAGTAATTTTTTCTCAAAGAAGTTTTCCAAAAAAAGGAAATGAAAACTATACTTTTGATAAGTTAAAATTGAAATCTGCAAGGAAACAAAGACAATTTTACAAAATATTTTGTTACAGTAAACAACTACCACAAATTGTTCCTCGGTCTGTGATCGAACCAAAACACAGACATCAAGAAGAAATGATCAATCGAATCAACAAACATCTGAAATCTTTTGCTAGAAAATTGACACCAGCTCAGTTGAAAGCTGAATTCCTTGGTAATTTCATTTTTCGATCTTCTTGATCATTACTAAAACAATTGATCTTTTAGAATTGCTATCAACCTGGCCTTTATTCGGTGTATCAAACTATAAACTAAAATCAGTGTTTGAAGAAGGGTTGCAATTACCAGAAGTCATTTTATCAATCGGAAAATCGGGAGTTCAACTTTTGCAACCGAAATCGCAACAAACCTTCAAACAATGGAATTATAATCAGGTTGAGAAATTGTTGACCAGTGCGGAAAAAAAGTGTAATAAAATTGTGTTTTGTAGATCAAATTGGTAGAAAGTAAGAAGAAAGCATCTTTTAAATCGGTTCGATTGGTCACTGATGTTAATGGGGAAGAAAGGACGTTAGACATTAAAACTGATGAGGTTAGTAAAAAAAGGAACCAATGACAAAAGATCTTGATCATTTTTTTCTCTTTATTGTTATAATTGTTTGATTTCCAGGCTGACGAGATTGCTCATCTTATAGGACAATATATTTATGTAGTAAATGATCGTTTGGAGAAGAGTTCAACTGAATTATAATTGTCATCTAAATATACATATCCATCTATCTACACATTAATCAACATATGCACCCATTTTTTTTCTTTTTTCTATTTCTCGAATAAGAATACTTGTACTATCAATAAATGTGAAATTCGCCGAACTTTATTCAAATATGTGAATTCCGCAAATAGTCTTTTCTTTCAGTGAAAAAAATTTGAATAGAAAGATGAAGAAAGTAGCACGAGGTATTCCACAACAAAAACGAGCGACAAGAAATCACAAAATGTTTCGTCACATCGTCAAGAGAATTCGGCGAATTGGACATATGCGTGCGCGCGCTTCTCTTCGTCTATTATCATAACTCACTATTTCATCGATCATTTCACTGCGGGTTGAACTTTCTTTTTATAGCCTGATCATTGGGGGGACGTCTTTTGAAAGCAAAGAGGCAGAAAAGACATAAAGACAATCTTTTGTATCGGGTTGGGTACAAGTCTTTAAAAGCAAATATTTTTTGGGACGACCGATCATTGTTTATTTGCGATCATGAATTTTGTACTCTATTTTTTGATCGTTGTTATGGTCTTGTTCGGAACAAATGTTGATGCAAGGTTGGTTTTTTTAAAGTTGTTGGTTAGATTGGGATTTGACCCCAAAACTATAATTTTCAAAAATTAAGAACTCTAATCCCAAAGCTTTACGAAAAATTAAATAAAACGTTCTCTGATGTTCTTCTTTTGATCTAGCCCATTTTTTCCATGAAAGATCTATTTTCCATACGCAAAAGTTTACAATCAAGACCCTCCGGAAACTCTTATCACTCTTTTTACAGAAGGCGACTTATTTCTGATGACGTTATTCGAGCACGACGTGATTTAAACATTCAGCGAGCAAATCTTCCACACAACACAATCAACTTCGACTGAACCATCTAATAATTTTGTAAAAAATCAAACTAAGTCATTCTCACGCTTTAAATCACTCAAGTATCAAATAAAATTGTTTTTTTTTGCGAATTTTATCATTTTTATTGAATTAATGAAAAACGACATGCTTTATGGTTGGTGATAAGAGCGAGCAAACTCTCTTTTTTTAGCTCAATGGAAAATCATAATGCGATTACTAATTTTAATTATTTTGATACCTTTTTCCATGATATTTTGCACGCCGTTCAGTATTGATAAAATTTTGTTATTTTTTATTTTAGGTTGAATTTATAATTGATTAATTTAATTTATTGAGTGTTATGAGTGGCGGAAGTCATATTCCGTCGGCATCAAATTCAAATGGATATGTAACATCCAAAGAAATGCTGTTGACTTATATCAGAAATATGTCGAAAGCTGATATTCGAAAATTATTGAGCCCTGTTAGAGAGGGGATTTTGACAGAGAACACTGTTTTGCATATGAATACACAGTAAGTTATTTTTTATATTATTGATATAAGTTTATAAAAAGGTAGATAATACGTGATAATTTCTAGGTTTTGCAAAATAATGTTGTTGAACTTCTGACATTTTACAGAATGGTTTTTGTTCTCTTTTTTGATAATGGCAACTAGCACACCTGTGTCCAAAAAGATCACTACAAAGTTTCTTAGAAACTAAACTGTAGTTTCATTTGACAAAACAAAAAATTCAGAAATTTCTCTGTGGATCATGTTGTTGTTCCAATCACAGTTGGCGAATTTCTCAAACAACTCAACCCGCAGTGGATACGTTGGATACATACAGGTAGATCAAAACCATATAATAACTCATAATAGCTCACAATCTTTATAGCTCCGGGTGATGGAGATCTTGAAGAAGGCATTTTACCATCACATATCACTTTTGATCATCACGGTGATGTAAGTTCAGCAGCCTTTTGAAAAATAATTGAAATATTCAAAATTTTAGAACGTTTCAAATGATGTTATAATGAGTTATATTCATAATCTGGACAAACATCAAAAAAGATCTCTATTGAATTTGATTCGAGAAGGAATATTGACCGATGAATGTTTTATTAATGTTTCAACACATCAAGGTCCCGAACGGTTACAGGTTTGTTTTGAAAGAATGTGTTGAACGTAAGATTTAGTGATTTGTTTTTGAAGGTTCCAATGCCAAGAGTGGTTGAAGCTCTGAGACTCGCTGAAATTAATGAACTCGAATTTCAACAGGAAAAGCCATTTCTTCTGAAAATTATTGCGATGAAACATTACTCTTCTGCATGTTTTGAAAACGATTACAGAGCAGGTAATTATATTAATTAAATTTTTCTGATATTGAACTATTTTTTATTAAGATTTACAAGTTCGAGCAATAACAGCTGCCAGATTCACAATGCCAATCTGGTACACAATCTTATTCACATTTATGACACTTGCCACATTTTTTTCACATATCTGGTCACAGGTTACAAATTTTGCTGATATGCAAAACACGTTGTTAACCACAATACCAATAGTTATTTTAGTTGTTTCAAGGTACAGAAACTCCCACAAATGATTCTTATCGCTAAAAATAATGATTTCAGTATCTTCATAGCTTTATTATTATATCTGAACATTTATATGGTTGGATTTCTGTGTTGCTGTGAGAACAATTTTAGCAATCAATTAGTCACCAAAGATCTAGATTATTCATCATTATATATTCATTTTTGGTAAGTTTTTTTGGCTTAGAAACTTAAAACAAAAATTTCCAGTGAGCTAAATCGTTTTGAAATTAGGATTTATTTGGTGAAAGGTCTTCAATTCACGCTTCTCTGGTATACAATGCTCCTGGCAATGTTTGCACATGAACATGATTTGAATATTTATCCCGAGTTGACTTGTGTGTTAACCAATGGATTTGGACTCATGTTGTTTGCCAGGTAACTACTAACAAAAATCACAATGTTTCCAAAAATTGAGACATTCAGAATTGCCGAATTCTTCCGTCGTTGTCGAAAAACACGAGACGGCACTGCCATCGCTGCGAGATAATGATTATAATAATTATCTGATTTTTTGCAAAGTATAATAACATAATAATAAACTGGTATTGTTTCATTATCCGTTTTTCTAATTGTTTTTTTTGGAACAAAACATAGAGTATAAAAGCAACAGATTCAGTTATGCAATAATTACGAAACACAATGAGATTTTGTTTTTTGGTTTTATTTGCTGGAGTTATTGATGGATGTGTTAGGACCGAAACTGGTGGAGCTACATGTAAGTTTGAATTTTAAGGGGATTTCTGATGAGAAAAAATTTACCATCACTCGAGTTCTAACAGATCTCTCCAACTGTAACAAAAAAATTTGCAGCCACTTGTTGTTCTGTAAATATTGCTGATAGCACATCAACAGGAAGATTTCTGTTCAACCCAGCATTAACAAATTGCCCAACTGCAGCAACATTTATTTGTAGTGTTAGTGAAGATGGATCAACTAGCACAACAAAAATTATAATTAATGGAGCAACTCAAGTTGCAACTGGTTCTTCTGGTATGAATTCACAGACACAATTGACTTGTGATTTGACAACACAACAATGGAAATATGATTCGTCAACAATTGTTAGCTCAATACGTTGCGAGATCTGAATAAATTAGAAATGTGTTAATATTTTATTTATATTCCTGTGGAATGAAACTCGCTTGATAGTTATGATCAGAGTCAGATCACAGTTCTTCAAAATAAAAATAGCAAAAATTCCCTCTGGTGATAGGGTACGCGAATAATAATTTAGTATCACAGATATTTGAACTTAGGGTACTTGAACTGTCAGATTTTGTTGGACCGAGCCTCCAACGGGACTATTGTCACCAGAGGGACCCGATCTTGTGGTCTAATGATTGCAGACAGAAATACAACCACTCGACCACTCGGGCACGAGATAAATTTGAACGAAAACATAAAATATCGTCGAAAAAATTGTAAAATTTCGAAAACATGTTGTGTGTAAAAAATGAACGTCTCATTTTTCAAATGACACATTTTTTCGATAATCCTTTTTTCTGTGTTCGTGGTTTTCTAACATTATTTAGAAAAATAAGAATAAAATAAAACTTATAAAACTATTTTCACATTGCTTTTGAAAAACATTCACATTCAGATTTTTATATTTAAATTAATGAAATTACCGTATGTAAAAAAATAACATATCTTCTAAAATACAAAAACATTTTTATAAACTAACATAAATAAATGCATTCGCACATGTTTTCTTCGAGAACATTCTATTAGAATGTCCCCTTTTGCAACCAGATTAGCGGCCAAATACTATTCTGTTGCATATTTGTGCGCTGGCATTTTTTTTATTTTTGAATTTGAGGAATAATCTAATTAGCTTTGTGATAATTCAGAATAATTTCAAGAAAATTGTTTGCACAGAAATGTAATTTATAAAAATATTTGAAAATTTGTCTAATTTTTTGAAAATCTTTTTCGCGAACTCTTATTTTTGTTCATTTAAAAACCGTTTATCAGAATAAGAATCAGATTTTTTGAATTCAAAATTGTTCAGAAGGCCGTTAAATTCAGGATCTATAGGACTTTTCATAACTTTTCTTATCAGCCGGTTGTGTTTAAATTGTGTGAATAATAACCTTTTTTCAAAATTATTTCTAGTTGTTTACAAACTTTTTAAAAATTCTTTGGTTTCAAAATGATCCTATTCATTTTCAATAAGTTCTGTATTTGTTGATTGTCCTCATGCACAGTATGCAACTATTTTCCCTCTCATGCTCATTCCTCCCGCTCATTTTCTCCCTTTCTTCTTCATTTTCTTCTCATATCACTCGATTCCTTCTAGTTTTTTTTTACACATAGTACTATGATGCAAATATTTTTTCTTTTTCATTTCATTTCATTATATTTTTTACATTTATATTTATCTCCCTCAAAAACTATCACGTGATATAACAAAAAAAATAATTTTTTATATGTATTCCTGTTTTTTTCATTCTCAACGAGAAAAATAGGGAAGACAACGTAGTCTTATAACAGGACTGTTCGGGAAGACGCGAAAACGCGCTCTATTGATAATCCAAACAAACACACACACACACACACATTTTTTCCACTCATGTGTTTGTGTGGCAATTTATTGTTTTTCGTTTAAAAATTTTCGATAAAAGACACAGAACACGTGTATTTCTAGGTTTAATTATTAATATAATATTCTTCTTTTTTATTGGAGATGTCTATGTGAGATGGCATTTCATTACCTAGTTTTAGCCGGGTTTATCATCTTCATGGCTCTTGTTCCGTTTCGCGCTGGTCAACAATATGTTGATGATAGTTGTTGTACAACTCAGGTATTTTTTTAGTTTTCCTGGTTTTTTGTTTCAAAAACATAATTTTCAATGTTTCCAGGAGTCCATTGAAAGTATCAAAACAACTGGTAAAGATCGATATTTGAATATTGTTATTGTAAGTTTTAATCTATTTTTTTCCATATAAAAATTGTGTTTGTTCAGGCTGCAACTTTGAATGGAGCAATAACTGCAATTGATGGAGATACGGGTGATTTTTTATGGAAATATGACGATGAACCGCTACTTCAAGGAACATTGAGTTCAGCTGGAGTTATTGAAGTTGGTGGAACTAGTGTTCAACTTATGCCAACTCTTGATGGACGATTATTTTCTTATGCGCATAAAACGAATTTAATTGAACCTTTACCAATTACAACCGAATCATTGTTAGAGGTATGCTTATTTTCTTCATTTTTTTCTTCCAAGTAACATGTGATTGTTCAAAAATCAATATTTCTAGTCAACAGTTCGTCTTGGACGTGATGCAGTTGCTGGAGGAAAAAGTGTTTCAACAACGGGAATCGATGTTCTAACGGGAGAAATTTATTATAAATGCACACCAGAATCATGTGATAATAGTGAAAATGCAGGTTATAGTCAAAATCCAACGTTGCTCATTAAACGAATTTCAAATACAATTCGAGCAATGGATTCGTTGAGAGGAACTGAGCGATGGAATTTGTCGACTGCTGAATTGGATTTGAGTTTGGCTGAATTGGGAGTTGGAGATATTAGGATTCCAAAATCGAAGTTCTTGTTGAGACCACCTGATGGAGTTATCACAGCGGCGAATCGATTTGGAGATGAGAAATGGACTGTTAATGTTGATGGCCATATTGTCAATGTCTGGCATGTTTTTGGAAATTCGATTAGTGAGGTAAGAAATTCGGGTGAATTGTAGAATTGAATGTGAGACCTTTTTTTTTGAGATAAAAACAAAACATAAAAACAAAACATCCGAAAAATTATTCATTTTTTTTAATTCCAGGTCTCACTCTTCGACCCAGCTAACATTTTCACAACACAAAATGAAGTTGGACATCGAGGAAGTCGAAATCTGCCAGCACAATCCAGTCTTTTCTACATGGGAACTTCGAATGGTTATCCTTTTATTATTCAGAGTAGCAAAGCGAAAGAGAACTTGAAGAAGAAGCTAAAGGATATGTCGAGTGTTGATATTATTCGAGAACTGAGTCAACCAATGTTATGTTCAGCGAGTAATGCAGCGCAAGGATTGTCATATGAAGTTGAAGATAATACATTGAGTAAGTTTTATTTTGTTTCTATTGAAAATGGACAAAAAATTAGAACATGAAAAATTTTTCAGTGTTACTTCTTCATCGTGCATTCCAAACTTCTCACTCAAAAATGATTGAAGATAAAACAAACACACAAACCGGAAATCGTCAATCACTTGTTATTGTTTCACATGGCGAGGACGAAGAAAACTCCTGGAAAAGATGTATCAATCCAAGATCATCAGGAGTTGCTCTAATTGGCTCGGAAAATCTTCGATCAACTTCAATGTATAATGAAGGAGACTATGGATATCTTGTATTAGATTCTCAAAGTTGCAAACAATCTTTGTCAAATGCACCAATTCCAGTTCAAGTGATTCTCAATTTTTCACATTATTTGAAATATATGTTTGGTTTGATGGCTTCAAGCCTTCTTGGAGCATATTATACTTTTACACGTCTCAAAAAACGATCGATTCATGCTAATGAAGAAGATTCTTCTCAATGTACATCATCCACTTCTGCATCTACTTCTGCTTCTACTTCAAATTCTCAATTGAATGCGGTTAGTTTTGATTTTGTTTTTTTCTCTTTATTTCTTTTTATGATAAAAGCTTTTTTTTCAGATTTGTTTGATGCCACCAAGTCCAAAGGTGAATGAAATTTCCGATGAATTAAAGATAGAGATGTTCAACTCACCACAACGGAAAGTTCAAAGATCTGCTAGTGATAGAAAAGGTTCTTCTAAATCATTCTCGAGTTCCATCGAAAAATCTCGAAAATCTCTTTCCACATCAAAAAGACCGAGAAACTTTAAAGTGCGAAATAATTCGGTTGGAGATGAATTGAGTAGCATTGAAGCTAGAAGAAGTTTGGAAAAACTGAAAAGTTTCGAGAGCAAATTTGAGAAAGATTTCATTGTTGAAACAATTATTGGATCTGGAGGATTTGGAGTTGTTTTCAAAGCCAAAAGTCGTTTGGATAATAATGATTATGCTGTGAAAAGAATCGCCGTTGCAAATACGTATGTTTTTTTTTTGAAATCAGGATTTATTGATTGAAAAACATAATGAATTTTTCAGTGAAAGAGCTCGTGAGCGTGTCAAGCGAGAAGCACAAACAATGGCTGTTTTCGATCATCCTGGAATTATTCGATATTTTCATGCTTGGGAAGAACAACCACCAAATGGATGGCAGAAATTGAAGGATAAAAATCTGTTGGAGAGAATCAAGAAAGAGCAGAAAATAAAAATGTTGGCTAAAAAGATTGAAGAAAAGAAAATGTTGTTGCATTCGGAAGATAAATCAAATCTCGAATCGATTGAGATTCCATCAATGGTTGGAAATACAGAAACAAGTAATTCTGGATTAATGAAACCAATTGGTGTTCGACGTGGAACAACGACTGAAAGTAAACGAGGATTGGCTGGCAAAGAAGTGACATCTGCATCAATTGGATTCCCATCGATAGAAGCAACATCGTTGTCCGGCCGATCTTCAAAAGCTGAGGATTCTTCATCTGATGAATCTTCATCTTCAGGAAGTGAAATCGATGATGATGAACTGGAAAATGATGTATTTTCCTCTTCCGGTGGCATCGAATTCTATGATGAAAATCAGAAAGAGAACAAAAAGTTAGAACGCATAGAAGAATCGGTTAGTTTTTTTTTATGGAAATTACAATTATTTTTTGTATTTTTCCAGGAAATGTTGGTTGAAACTGAAAACAATGAAATTGAAGTGATCAAAAATGAAAATCCTGGCAGCTGTGTTTATTTATACATTGTTATGCAACTTTGTGATGTTAAAACATTAGCTGACTGGATTTCGAAAAACAAAACCAAAGAAAGTCGGCCATTAAATATGATGAAACATTGGATTAAACAACTCGCTGAAGCACTTTCTTATCTTCACGAGAATGGTTTTATCCACAGAGATTTAAAGGTAATTTTTACATTTAAAATTGCAATTTATTTCTAAACTTCATAAAAATTTTCAGCCTGGAAATGTTTTCTTCGCGTTGGATAACAAGAAGAAGGGTAGCACCACATATCGAACTTTGAAACTTGGAGATCTTGGTTTGGCAACAAACACTATTGGAAATCATAGTGTCGAGAAAATCAAGGAATCTGGAAATGAAGCGATTCATACAAAAAATGTTGGAACACGTTCTTATATGTCCCCAGAACAGGTATTTCAAGTTCCTAATTCATTATCCCACATATGAAAATATTTTCAGCTTGCCAATCAACGTTATAGCAAGAAGATCGATATTTTTGCTCTTGGATTAGTCGCGACTGAATTGATCATACCATTTGATACAACTATGGAACGATTGAATGTTTTTTGGGATTTACAAGCTGGAAGACATCCAAAAATCTTTGATGATTATCCAGAAGCTTCGGAATTCCTTTTGCTTCTCACAAGCATGAATCCAGTTGATCGACCAACCGCCGATGAAGTTTTAGCCCATCCATTCATCACTGATTGTAAATGATTTGTACATTTTTTACTAGTTTACTTTACCCACTTTTAATTATGATAGTTATGATACCTCTTACTCAGATTTAATATTTGTGATTTTTTTCTCTTCTCGCTCAAAGATCTTTCTGCCTTATTAAATTAAGCATGTGTTTTTTTTTCAGCAAATTGTTTTAATGTTTTTTGAATGTGTTGAAAATTGTTTTTATCGGGTTTAGTTTTCATTGTGCTCCGTTTGAATTTTACGAAAAGCTGATTATAATAAATCATTGTTTAATCAAAAGAATCCAGAAATACCACAAATTTCTGTGAGCACTCCTGGAGCTCCAAATTTTAAAAAATTTGATGTTTGTAAGTCTGATAACACTTTTGATTAGAACTGACAACTAAATTTCATATTTTTCGATTTCCTGTCAATCAAAAATAATAACAAAAAAGTGACAAGGACATGTCAGAAAGTTTTCGTTTTCCAGAAACCCAAAACAATTGTGGATTCAATGGACATAAAAGTGAATCTTTCAAAATAAAGCCTCACAAATTAAAAAAAATCAGTTTAGTTCAGACGTCACTGCCTTATTTTATTTTTTCAAAAATTCTATATCAAAAACCAGCATCTATTGTCACGAAAAAACAAAAACAAAAAATCTTTTTCGGTTCGCAAAACATTCAAAACTTTGCATCTCTGTGTTCTATGACTAATCGCTTCGCGCTATTCTCGTTTTTTTTGCTTTTGCTCCAAAAAAATGAAATTGTTGCCTTGCAGATCGGATTATAGTTTTGCTCGTTATTGAAAAATAAAGTTTTTCTGTTTTCATTTCATTTATTTTCAGTATCAGAAAACAGAAAAATGGAAGAAGAAGAAGAGGTAATGCATTTATTATTGTATGCTGTTTGTTGTTATTGTTATTTCAAAAAAGTCTAACTTTTTCCCAATGGGGTTCATTTCGTGACATTTTTGTTTGATGTGGAAAAAAAATGCATGTAAAAAATATTGGAATATTTTAAGAAAAACAAATATTATTTTCAGGATGATAATATCTGGATAGCTGAACGTCGAAGGCTTATAAATAAATCTAGTAAGTCTTTTCCAAATCTTAAATTTTCTTATCTGCTAAATTCAACAAAACAAGAAAGCTAAACATAAGAATCATATTTTTTTTTCAAATATAAAAACCGTATATTTGCCTTTTCTGTTCTGTTTGTTAAACACTTTTCCATTTTTTTATATTCCTTACTTTACTTTGTTTCATTCTTCATAAAAATGCCTTATCTTCCATTTATGAGTAAGTTCTTTTTTTGTTGTTTTCAAGGGAGGGTAATCGAGTTTTAGTCCGGGGAAAACTCAAAAAAAAAACGAGAAAAAAAAAACAATTACTTTTCAAAATGACAAAAAGTTTCTTGTTGTTCTCATAATTTATTTTTTTTTTGTTCCTTCTTTGACCGGACCGGAAAAAAGATGGCCTAACTCTCTAGAAAGAAAAATCCAAAAAATATTCTGAATCAATTGCGAAATGGAAAAAGAAGATGAAAACGGTGAGTAATTGAATGTAGCACCAAAGCGGAATTTATTTTTAATTACATTTTGTTGCTATTCTGTTTTTTCTGGTAATTTTTTTTGTTTTATTTGAAAAATTATGAAATATTCTGCATATTTGAGAACCTATAATGATCATAATGGTAATTTTTCAAGTTTTAAATTTAAAGTTAGGATAATTCTGTCGCCCACAAATCCTAGAGATTATCTAAAACACCAGTGAATAATCCTTATTTTCGACAAGGAGGATAAAATATGATGATAACATTTTCCAAAAAAAAAAACAAGGAACTGAAAATTTCAATTCTGATTTTAATTGTCTGAAATGGAAAATTCTGGGGCAAAAATATGCAGTATATGAACAAAATAGTATGGTACCAATTCAAAAACTGCAAAACGTGTGTACATATTTTAAGTTAGCCTAAGTTCCTTGTTCTTCAGTCGGTTTTGTTCAGAACTATTTTGAATAATTTCGTCACCTGTTTTTCATAAGATCTCCAACAATTTCCAAGAATAAAAAATTGTAGTTTTCTGCAAGAAGGAAAACGAATACAGAATCAGAAAACAAAATTGATTTTTCATCGAATTCTTTCTGATTTGTGAAAGTCTTCCACAAATTTTGACAATGTTCCAAAAAACAAGGATTTCAATTCTGACTTCATAAGGAAATCCTATTTTTTCAGAAAAAAAATTGAAAAATAAAAATGAAAATGAGAATGAGAAAAACAATCCCAAAATAATACGAAATTTCAGATATGTCACGAACAGACTCGGAAGCCGAAGGAAATGGAACAGTATATAAAAATTCGTATGCTTCCTTGATAAATGATCTACCACCTTCAACATCGCTGGATGAATTCAAACAATCCGTCTCAAATTTTGCGGATTTAATTCGTCCAAGTGAAACGTGAGCTCTTTGGGCATTTTGTTTTGGTTTCTTTCTAGAAAACACAAAATTCATTCTAATCGGATTAGAAGAAAGAAAAGAGAATTCATTTTTGTGTCTCATGAAATATTCATTTCATTTCATCAGAAAAGACAATGTATATGAGCATTTTTCGTATTTTTCGTTTTCTTCATTTTCACCATCGAATAATTTCCAGTCTCATTTTTTCTCATCCAACTTCATTTTTTTGCAGTGTGTTTGATTGATGGAATGGTTTTTTCACCTTTTTGAAATGAGCCACCCTTCATTTTTTTTGGCTCATAACTAGCTCATAAAAATGTAGTCGTAAAATTTTTTGGATTTCTCTCTTACTAGTATTACGACAGGCTTATTCGCAAGAAAACTGTTTGAGCTTTTCCGGGTGAAGGTTTTTTTTTTGAGATGAGCTAAATTGATTTCTATTGGAATTCGTCCTAAACATATTTCATTAAAAAATTTCGAGATTTCCAGGTGGCTTCTAGAAACATTTATTAAATTTCAGAAAATTCTCTGATCACCAATAAATCTTTCTGTTTTGCCGCCAACATAAACCCGAAAAATTCCCCATAGGAATTCGAAGATCTTCGCATTATTATCCTCCACCACCAAACTTTTTTTTTTCATTCATCTTGCCCAAAAAATTTTGCTTTGCTCTTTTTTGCTGCCATCTTTTGTTATCCAAAACGAGAAAAAGCAACAACACAACAAAAACACTATTTATCTATCTTCTCGGACTACTTTATTGATGTTTTTTGTGTTTTTTTTTCATGTCCAAATTTATTATTCACGCTGTCAGCAAAGAAACAAAATCAATCTTTTACGGCTCATCTTATGTATGTGTCAGAGGGTCAACACTACTTCTTTTTCTGCTTTTTTTTTCATGCACATACGTAGAGTTCCTACTATTTTTTGCAAAGATATTTAGATGAGATACTCTTTTTTTCCAGAAGTAAACAAAATGAGAATCTTTTTTTTAAAATTGGAAAAATACGTATTTTTCTGACACTTCTTTTTCAGATTTGTATTATAAATACAACAATTATCCATATGTCCTTTTTAGGAGAAAAAATAAATATTTTTTCGAGTTTTGATATATTTAATGATAGAATTATACCCCAAACATTAGTAGAATTTTCTGAAATTATTTAAGATTTTTTTTTTTAATTTCTTTCATGGCGAAATTTTTCTGAGATTCGTATTCTAAATGTGAATAGAACAATTATCCATATGTCCTTTTCTAGAAAAAATAGACGTTTATTTTTCATGTTCCGGATTTGGATACCTTGAACGTTTTTTGATCAACTATATAATTTTTTCATAATTGAGATGTTTCAAATCCAAATTAGCAGAACACTAACCAAAATCTAATTTTTTGAATTCGAGTTAAACTCGAATTAGATCCACTTTACTTTACTTTTTCAAGATTCTTCTTCCATATTCTTTCTCTGATCAAAAAACGTTCCAAAAACTTTCAAGCACAAAAAAACCTATAAAAAACTTCTATCTTCAAAAAAACCACCTGCACTTTCTTCTGGATAGTGTAATAATGTGTCGCTAGAAACATTTGTGCAATCATTTTTTGAACAAATTGTTCAAAAATGTTTTCCATGTTCCCACCGCAGCCAAGTTTTCGAAGAAGGCAAAACTAGTGAGTTATGGTTAAAACTTTTTCTATTGAAAATCATAAAAGTATCTCCTCCAACTTATATAACCTATTCATCAACTTCCTTCCGTTGAGAGAAGCCGCTTTTCTTTTTTATTCTTTTTATCCAATAGTTTTTCATGTTAGACTGCATATTTCATTATATTAATGTATATGCATAAGGATGATATGAGGACTTTTCTGAATTTTTGCCAGGATTATTTAGAGCCGGCTTGTACTTTTGAGATTTTCGCCCTACTAATAGCCTCTATTTTAAATGAAAAATATTTTGGTTTCTTTTTTTTTCAATTAATATCCTGCAAGTTTCTGCTGATGAGATTTGACCTCTACTAATCCTTGATCCCTTTCTCACATCAAAGAAAAATTATATAATTTATTAGAGATGATAACTATAAAAATAGGTTTACTGGGAAGAAATTTTTTAAGGTGGTGGTATCAAAATATTTTTAGAACTCAATCGGACATGTCAATGAAGTTTTAGATTTTGAGAAGTTCCAAATTTTCAAACAAAAAACGTGTGAAATTCCATTTTTTTAAACAAAACCTATTTCTGATATGTTGTTTTTCAAAGAAAAAAAACTTTTTTTCAGCCGGAAAATAATTACTTTTCGGAGCTAGTTTTGCGGATTGTTGAGAATCGAAGCTCAATAAGTTCATTTGAGTTCTGAAGTTTTTTTTTTGGGTTATATTCTGAATTTGCGTTCTGATGTTAAATTTATTCACGAAATTTAATTTTCAAAAAAGATACTTTTGTAAGATTAAGAAAGACAGTTTTGATCCCTAAAGTAGCTTCATCTCAAGATTTCAGACTAATTGAACTTTGTGAAAAATCTTTATTTTCTAATTTCAAACTAACAATTTATTTCACTTTTCCCTGTTTCCCAACTAAATTCCCGATTTTTTCTATTTATGTTTGTACTTTGCTCCCTTCTAACATGCCAATTCCTAACACAATTTCTAGTATCAAACCAACTAACAACAAAATGCAATGAATCGCGAAGACAATCAATTGTGTGAACTTGTTCCATCTCGAAAAACATCAAAAACATCCGGAAATGGAGTGATTTCACCTGTTCCAAGTTGTCAACAAATTGCTGACGAAATGTTGGTTAATTTTTCAGAAATACACAGCATAGCAACAAAAAAAGAATAAGTTGTTGAATATGTTGGGGGAGGTAGAGAAGCAGGTATCTATGAGCATTTTTCATTCTTTATTCTCTTTGTATCTGGGTTGAATATACATTTATTATATTCATTTTTTATGGAAGATGCATCAGCAAATCTTCAGAAGTTGTGAGTGATATCATTTTTTGAAATAGTCCACGAAAAAACCAAAAAATAAATAAATATAGTTTGTGCTCTTCATTAAAAATCACTTTGTGAGCAAATATGAACAATACAAAATTACAGTTTCGTACGGAAAATTAAAATAAATATTGACTCATTTCCGACATTTCCGAAGAATTCCCACGCCTAGATTTTCTTTTTTCTTTTTTTTTCGTCGGTTCATTTAATGTCTAAAGAAGTATTATAAATTTAATTTGGACTTTGAACTGAAATCGAATTCAAAATTTGAATTACTATATGTATGTGTCAAAATTTGGGAAGTTGTCATTCTTTACCTGCAAACGTTAAACTTAACGCGGAGAAAGATGTTATCATGTAAGTGAAAAATTCAATATTGATAAAAAATATAGTTTTCTTTTTTTTTATTTTTTTGATATTAGCTTGTTAATATTTTTCTTGATTTAATTTGAATGTGAGAGAAATATCATATGGTAAATATGTGAGTTTTTGCTGTTTTTTTAAAAAGAAAAAGAAGAAGGAAATGAGAAAATGAGAAAAGAGAAATAATTTTTTTTGATTGAGCAAAATTATTTCGCAATAATTTCAAAGATCGGAAATTGAGAAATTTTCAGAGTATTTGTTTCAGCCTGGGGTTTTCCTCGAATTTAGAAATTTCGAAAAATCGAAGCATAACTCAATTTTTATTAGTTTTCAAGAGCTACAAAATTTTTTTCGAAATTTCGAATGAAAATTGAAGTTATGAAAATATGGATATTCTGAAATAAATATTTTTGGCGTGATTTTTAGCTTGACTATAAAATTTTTGCAGTTGATAACCTTTTTCAAAATTCAAATTTTTCTCAAAAAGTTTTCAAAGATCAAATATTCTCTAGCTCAACCAAACTACAAAATCTAATATTCTTTCACATTTTCTCATTCCTCATCTTCCTTCCCTCTTTTTTTTCCTTTTAGTTTCTCATGTTAAGAAATTTGAGCCCGCATCAATTCACCACTTTATATTCCTTTTTCACTTTCATTTTCATTTTTTCAATTCTCTTGCCACCCAAGACAAAAAATAATTACATACTAACCAACAACTCCAATATAATTAACCCCTTTCCTAAAATGAGCTCTTTATCCTACGGAACACTTTCTTTTAAAATGAGCAAAAAAAGAAGAAGAAGAAGGAGGAGCAGGAGAAAGAAGAATTAGATTGGCTCATTTCTTCACCAATTTTTCATCTGTTTTTTTTCATTCTCTTTATTTTGGAGCTATTTGATGTTGGCTTACCAATAAAAAATGAGCATTTTTGAGAAATGAAATGAGAAGCACTATTCGTAGAACTGTGTGAGTTATTATTTCTAAACACCTGCTCTTTTTTTGTCTGAAGACTTTTGAGAAAAAAAACGAATACCTAACACAAAAGCTCTTTTTTGAGCTTGTTTTCTATTTTTGTTTTGTTTTCCTCCTTCTTCTTCTACTTCTTCAAAAAAATAAGCAAAAAAAAAACAAAAATGAGTGAGACGTGAGTTTTTTAAAAGGAAATTTTTTGAGAGAGTCAAATAGATTCCCAATTTTTTATTTTTCAGTGCTCGTATGCAATATGGTGTAGAGACAAGCTTCAAGTCAAGATTGCAACAATATTTTATTGAAAATCAAAAGTCCAGTAAGTTTTTTTCTCGAAAGTTCTTTGGTTTCAAAAAAATGCAACAAATCTGGTGTTCGTTTCATTTCAAATTGAATTATTCATCATAGAGACTAAGACTAAAAACTTCAGGAACAAGAAACTAATTCGATTTGGGGACCAGGGACCACTTTTGTTTAAAAATTACATATTTTGAAAAAACAAAAACATTTCTTGAAAGAATTTTCAATGCATAGAAATTAATTCCAAAACTTATGCACTTTCAGAATATAGATGAATCACTTAAAATTCTTCAGAGCACCAAGGAAGTTTTAATTAACTTCAGCTAATTAACAACAAAGTTCCAAAGTTCAAGAAAACTGAAAACTATTTCCAGGTCTTCGAATTCGATTATTCAATGTGTTCATCAAATTATTGTCATGTGTTTTATATTGTGTTCGAGTTGTCAATGATGAGAGAGAATTTCCGAAAAAGTTTCCATATACAAATGTTACCGAAGTTGATGAGAATATCACAATTTAGTGAGTTCTTGGAATTTTTGAAAGCAAAGCACATTTTCGGGAAAAAATAATCACAAATAACAATTAGAAAAGTATATTTTTATTTTTAGAAATCAAGATTTGTGCACCCAAAAACTTCAACTAAAATAAAAATTCTCAAATAATTCAGCAAAACTTAAAACTCCTAACATACTCATTTCAGTGACTATTTGATATGGGTGGATTTCGACAAAGCAACATGGTTAATTCAAACATTTGTAGCAACTGTCAGTATGGCAGAAACTATTTTGATCTTCTATTTGAGTTATTCTGGAAGTGTTGTTCGTCTTCTCATCAACATTCATTTCTTATTAGAATTGGTCACCAGTTTTCCCTTCATCCTTTCCGTAAGTCCCCTTTTTTTAAAAGTTTCTAGAGTTTATTCATGCACATTTCCAGATTTTCATTCCAAAACTTCAAAATCTTTTCGTTCCTGTATTCTTAAATTGCTGGCTGGCTAAAGGTGCACTTCAGGCCATGATGGTGAGACTTTTTAATTCTGAAAATAATCTAATCCTAAAAGTATTTTTGTAGAATGATTTGAATCGAAGTTCATTTATCAGTAGTTCTGCAATGTTCCGCCAACTTCTTCTCTTGTTCTCTGTTTTGGTTTGCTTGATATTCACCGGAATGTGCAGTATTGAACATCTTCAACGAGCTCGTGGAAAACGAATTGATCTTTTCAAATCATTTTATTTTGTTATGGTCACATTTTCGACTGTTGGTTATGGAGATTGGTTGGTTTTTCATACCCAGAAATGTCTGAAAAATAATTGTTGAAAATTTTCAGGTATCCAGATTATTGGATGTCTCAACTGTGTGTCGTAATTCTTATTTGTGTTGCATTGGGATTGATTCCAAAACAATTGGAAGAATTAGGACAAACTTGGTCAGAACGTCAGAAATCTGGAACTGATTTTAGTGGATGGAACGGCGTTGAATCACATGTTGTTGTGACAATCACATTGTTAGAAGTTGAATTCATCCGTGACTTCTTGGAAGAATTCTATGCTCATCCAGAAAACCAGAGAATGCAAGTTGTACTTCTATCACCAGTTGAATTGGATAACCAAACAAGAATGTTGCTGAAAATTCCAGTCTGGAATCATCGAGTTAATTATGTTAGAGGAAGTTCGTTGAGAGATGAAGATTTGGAAAGGTTTGTCTTACAACAGAAGATATAAATTACAGAAAACAATAAAATTTCTTGCAGAGCAAAAGTGGCGACTGCCAAAGCTTGTTTTATCCTATCTGCACGCCATGTTAACCGCAAAGTCGCCACTGATGAACATACAATTTTGAGATCTTGGGCCATCAAGGATTTCGCGCCACATGTTAAACAATATGTTCAAATTTTCCGAGCTGAAACCAAGATGCATATTGAACACGCTGAAGTTCTTATATGTGAAGATGAATTCAAATATGCTCTTCTTGCTAATAATTGTATTTGTCCAGGAATCTCTACATTCATCACACTTTTAATGCACACTTCTCGCGGAGAGTGAGTAGTTTTTTCGTAGTAAAAACAAAACACACAATCTAATTTCTTTTCAGGGAGGGCCAGAAGTCCACCGAACCTTGGCATAAGGTTTATGGATTCCACTCAGGAAATGAAATGTATCATATCAAAGTTATTGATAGTAAATTCTTCGGAGACTTTGTTGGAAAATCGTTTAGTTACACAAGTTTTCATGCGCATAAGGCTTATGGAATCGGATTGATTGCAGTTTCACCGGATGGTGATACAACTAAAATGAAGTTGAATCCAGGGTTGTCACATACAATTCAACCAACTGATGTTTTGTATTACATGGGTTTGACTAACGAAGAATCACTGTTTGATTTCCGGAAAGATTTGCAACATCAACAAAGACGGGCGAATGTTGCATCTTCGATTGCAAACATCGGATCAGTTGCAATCGATATGCCAAATCGAGAGAAAAATGATATGACAACTCGCAAGAAAAACAAAAAGAAGAAATCAAAAGCCGCTGATGAAATCAACCTAATCGAAATTGGTGACGTTATTCAATCTAGCAGACGCCCATCAATCGCAATGGTGACAGAAGGAACTGTTGAAACATCATCAGATTCAGATCAAGAAGAATATTGTGATAAATGTCGCGGTCATTGTATTCAACACCGACTTCAACGAACATATCCACAAGTTCGAACATATATTGGAACATCAAATACTGTTTGTCATATGATGAAAGAAAAACGACCACTATGTTGTTTGCGTCTTGACGAGAAATGTGCACATAAATCAGCCACTTCTGCTCATGAATATCAATGGAGAAATCGCCCTATTATATTGGCTGCTGATAGAACTTCTAGTGGAATGTATAATTTAGTGATTCCGCTGCGAGCTTATTATCGACCAGTGCATGATTTACATCCAATTATTTTATTGCTTGAGTTAGGAGATCAAGATTCACTAAATGAAGCGTTCCTCGATGCAATTGCTTATTTTCCAGATATTTATTGGATGCAAGGAAAAATTGGAAAGTGAGTTAGAAACTTATAGATAATAGTAATTCAGTAACTATTTTTCAGCTTGGACTGTCTTCTCCGTGCTGGCGTCAGTTCAGCAGAACATGTTGTAGTCGTCAAAGAAACTGCAGTCATCGCCGAAGAACATACCGCAGATTGTAGCACAATTATTACAGTTCAAAAAATTCACAGAATGTTTCCACGTCTTCGAATGATTACTGAATTGACACATGCCACAAATATGCGTTTTGTCCAATTCAACCCAAATAATGCATATTCTTTAGCACAATCGAGATTTGAGAAGAAGGAGAGGAAGCGGGGTTCACATATGCCTTTCATGTTCCGATTGCCGTTTGCTCAAGGTGGTGTGTTCAGTGCAAATATGATGGATCGGCTGTTATATCAGGTGAGGGTCTTAGCAACTTACTTTGGAATGTTAGGGTAAACTTTATCACAACATTAGCTCATTCATAGCTGTCACCTATTTTTTCTTGAAAACGTGTTATTCCAGGCTATCATCAAACCATTTGTGGTTGATCTAGTCAGACTTCTTCTTGGTATTGATCAACAAAGCGGAGGTGGTTATTTGACTTCGGTATGTTTTCTATTTCCAAAAATCATTTTTCAAAATATGCTTTTCAGTTTGTTATCACTGAAGATGATTTATGGATCAAAACCTACGGTCGACTTTATCAAAAACTTTGCTCTTCAGTAGCTGACATCCCCATTGGAATTTTCCGAACCAAAAAAATGGATGCTAAAACGGTAGAGATCTTCAAACTGAGCCTTCCCCTGATCTTGTTTTTTCTAGGTTTCACTTGATCTCCAAGAACAGTGCAAAGATTTTGATGTCACTGAACTAGATAGAAACAAAGATATGTATGATCATGTGAAGAATCGGATGAGGGTTTTAGGAATCAAGGATTCACATACGTGTAAGTTCTGAATTTCTAATTCTCCTCTCACTTTAATGTTAAGTGGAGCGTCGAGAAATTTTCAAGAAATGTAACGTTGGAGGTACCATTTTGTTTGTATTTTGTTTGTGTGTGGAAACACTGATTTGCTTTTACAAAAAACATAAATACACGCGAGATTGATGAGAAACTTATCTGTCTTAAAAGTTTTGGCTTACCATTTCAAAACATTTCAAAACCTAATAATATTATTTTCAGTGCTCGAGGGATCTGATGAAAAAGCCTTCATATCTTACGTAATCATCAATCCAGCTCCAGATCTTGTGCTTGAAGCCAGAGATATTGTATATGTTATCAGAAGTCCGATCCGCAAGGACGCCACCAACAAACGCATCAATCCTCGAAGAGGACTTCGTCGCTGTAAAAATGTCACCGAAACTATGGATTCGGTGCAAGTTCCAACTATTGTGTAAGTAATCTTTTTAATTTACTTATGTCACAATAATTTGGAATATTTCAGAATCGACGAGAACAATCTATAGCTTCCACTGCTTTCTGTATATTTGTTTATATTTCATTGAGATGAGATTAATTGAAAACGCATAAAACTTTTTTATTTTTATTCACAGTATGACTCGAGCAATAATTGATTTAAATTAAAAAAAAATTAAACAAACAAACGAATGAGATGTTGAGAAGTTGCTGGACATCCAGTCACCGGGCATCTGGAAAAAATAAACGTTTAGAGGTTCACATGAATCTTGAAACTCACTTCTGATAAGTGTTAACATATTGATTGATGCAAGTATAACAAAAAACATATCCGGAAACAAAAAGTGCCGTATCATTTACTCTTTGCTTCATACAAATTGGACATTTATTAGTGTCCAAACTCAACACTTCACTCTCTTTTAGAATCTGAAACAAGAAAAAAAAACATTTTTTGAAACCCCTGAATTATCTCACCATTCTGTGTGGTGGAGGTGGTGGTGTAACAATTCCAGCAGCCATTTGTTTCAAACCCGCGCCTCCCAAATCAGTGTTATACATATAATCCAAAAATTGAACAAAGAATAGGCCATATGCAAACATTCTTGACACCAATCCCGGTAGACCTAATATAAATCTCCAAATTCGATTGAAGAATCCAGTCTTCAAATGAAGCGGAACTGAATTAAATGATTCTAAATCTTCTGGAGTTAGATGTTTGAGGACGACTCCGGCGAAATAGAGCCATGGTGAATGGATTGAACTGCGGTTCAAGATATATCTGGAATTCGGGTGGATTTTTTTGTGAATTCTGGCAAGATAACTTACGCTAACTGCAAAGCACTCTTGATAGCCTTGATGCAAGATTTGATATAGGGCCAGATGATAACAAATAACTTTTTTAATTTCGATGGAATATCCTGTAAATTTTGAAATAAAAGTAACTATGAAACAAAAAATTTTTTTTAGAAAATCTATTTTTTTGAGAGAATAATTTTTGGTTGAAATTTTTCTGCTTGTTTTGTAACAGATTATGTTGGGTCAGATCAGAACAAATAGTTACAGGAGAAAAAAAAACAGAAAAAAATATATGGGTTTCACTTCTCAAAAAAATGTGTAATATGTACACTACATTGTACCCATAAACATCTTTGCAGAAGTTTCATTTGAAAATCAACCAAAAATGTAGCAACCGAACGAAAAATTGAATTTTTCACGTATTCATTTTAGGTAAATCCTCGAAATTTGATGGAACATCCTCTAATTTTAATTTTTTTGAAAAATAACTGATAACAAAGTTTTGTGTTATCTAAAATAAAAACCAAGATAGAATACATATTGCATAATTTTTGGAATGCAACACGGATTATATGTAGATAGATAAAAATGTCCACGACAGAAATACTCACCTTAATCGATGCCCAAGTTCGAATCTCATAAACTTCTTTCAATCTATCATACAATTTATTCAATTTATCCTCAACATATGGCCATCCAACCAAAGTTATCAATGACATAACACGTTCTCGTCCATCAATTGGACTTTTACCCGTTTTTGTGTGCACACGTTTCATTGAATAAAAATTTTCAGTGAACGAAGCGCCTAAAGCAAAGGGAATTAGTATATTATTTTTTTCATAACAAAATCTTTTTCACACTAGACTAGAAAAAAAGTTCTCACGAAAATAATATAACTCACCATAATTTTTCAAATAATAATTCTCCAGCATTAGATCAAACAACAAATAAAATTCATCGAAATTACGATGAACTGTGACAAAAGTTTTTGGTTTGAAAATCGCCAAATATTTGACAAGATGTTGCAAAGCCGGTCGAATTGATGTTGCCAAATTTTCTTGTGCCAAAATGTCAAAAACCGATGGACCTTTTGCTTCGGCTACCGAAGATGAAGTTGCCGTCAAATGTGATGCTCGAACTGTGCTACCCATTTTTCTAGACCTATAATTTATATAATTTTTAATTTGAATTCAAAAATAATTTCTAAAAACTGTAAAAAAAATTTGCAAAGAAGTCAAAGAACAAAATAATAACATAACAAAAACATAAAACAAAAATAAAAAAATCAATGTCGTCCACACATTTACCTATCACATTTGACTACAATGTAGTTAACGCTGTCTCTGCGCGCACTATTGATTAGATAATGGACAAAAGGGGGAGAGGTCAAATTAGTTATTTTTTGTTTGCAAATTTAGAAAGAAGAAAAAAAAGTGGGTGCATATAGAGAGAAATAAATCAAATCTTGCCAAATTTTGAATTAAATCAATATAGTTTTTATTTCTTATCAGTCCGGTTTGAGGTGAGGTTCGAAAAAGATAGTAATAAATTCAGACCAATTCTTTCCGGACATAAATTGAACTTTTTCAAATAAAAATCTTCATAATTAATTTTAGAGAAGGTAATAGCATTTTTTTCGGAATTGGGATAATTTTCAGCATGTTCGAGTCAGTGTATTACACTTTTTTTCATCAAAATTTAATTTCAGAACATTTTCCACTTCCTTTTCGAGAAATTCTCAAAAAAAACCAAGATTCTTTTTTTTTCAAAACTTTATTCTCATGTCAAAAAAAATTAATAAAAAGAACCCCAAAAATATCACAAACTGATATGAAAAAAAAACATCAGCAAGTTCAGAAAAAACTGAAAAATGGGAAAAAATGAAGATCAATTCGAGGTTTTCTGACAAAAAACAATAATTTCTATGAAAATGGCATGGCACAAAACGTTTTTTTTTGCGTGGTGAATGTTTGAATGGGCCAAGAAACTAACTATACATAAAAACGGGAAATACTCGTATTTAGGGTAAATCATAACGGAATTATTTAAAATGTTGAAACTGAAAGGGAAAAAGAAACACATTTTCGAATACATTATATAAATAAGTAGAAATCCGCAGGCGTCAAAAAAGAAATGAATATCTCATGAAAATTGAAAAAAAAAACAGAAAAACAAAAAATTATTGGATTCACCGATATGTTCGTTGATAATCATCTGTATAAGTGTAGTTAGCATAACCTCTGAAAAAATATTTTTTCGAAATTTCAAATGTTTTTTTCATTGCCGACAACTCACGGTTTCGGTCTAGTATCATAAGTATCGGTGATGAATGATGACATATGATGAGATTCCGATGGTGGTTCAACGATGCTGAAAATATTGAAGGTTTTGAGAACGAAATATGATAACTGACTATTTCGGGAAGGCGTGCATTTTTGAGTAGAGTCCGATTAGAGAATTTGAGATAACTGTGATTGGAACAAGGAGAATCAAACAGATCAGCATACACATCCATGTGCCATTCTGAAAAAGTATAAATTATAAATCAAATACACACCAGAAAACTTACAAATGGATCAACAGTATATGAACATACTGCAGCAGTTGTATATTTTGCGATTTCAGCCAGCGGGCGACAAGATGTGACCTCAGTTTGCATTTGGATTTTAACATGTTCGATATATTTATCAACATTTGCGATCATATTTTCAAATTCTTCCTTGGCTCCACGACTAAAATGATCTTTCATATTCTCCGAAAGCAACGCTTGAGCATGTTGAAGTTTGACAAGCAATGAAGAAACAGGAACTTGAAGTTGAGTCAATCTGAAATATTATTTTTTCAATATTAAAAACTAATAATCAAAAACAAAGAGAAAACTTACTTTTGATCAAGGGTGGTAATATTTTCATAAAGGGCATTCAATCGACTACGAAGTGGTTTCGCAAACTGAGCTTCCAATTCATTAATTTGTTCCAAAACCAGGCTAACTGCTTTAGGTTTTCCAGATGAGACATTCAAACTCTCTTCGAATTCTCGAGTTTTGGAGATCAGATCAAGTTCATCCATCGCATGCTTAATAGCATTCAAACCTTGTTGACTGAATTTGGTGACATTAACAGTTGCCAATTTTTCAAGATCACTGAGTTCACTTCGAGAAATCAACGCGTCAAGCGGACGAATATCCGGCATTTTTTCCATTGTTGATTTCAAAAACACTTGCAGTTGGTTGTATGATTCTTTTTCGAATTCTTTGAGTTGATTCAAATGATATTTCTTATCAAAATCAAACATATCATAAAGTGTCTCATTTCGACTACAAGCTCGAATAACTTCGGCTGGGGTTTTTTGTTCAAGCAAAATTTCAACATCATTTGTTGGTTTGTGGGTTTCTTTCCAGATTTCGATATATCTTTCAGCAAGCTAAAAAATATATTGTTTGTGGATTTATTTTCTGAAAATTGTAGAAAAACACTTACTGATAAGGCATCTGGTCTGCTCAACGGATTTCTCATTGGCTGACAAACAAGATTCGTGGCATTTCCCATAACGAATAAAATAATAGCAGTTGCGAATGCCAAGAATACAAAAAGCAACAAAAATATCCAAATTCCACATGAGAAGAACTTGCTGCCAGTGGTTCTAACACAACAATCATCATTATAATATGTTGGGCGTCTTCCGAAAATTCCATATAAAATTCCGAACAAGAAACAGAATGCGAGAAGAACGAAAAGGCCAGTGACAACCAATGAAACATACCAGCTGCAAAATATTATTTTTAGTATTAGAAAAAAAATAGTTTCGGTGCAAACCTGTATTGAATATATTTCATTGTTGGTGTCTTTTTTGGATCCGAAACATAAGACACTGAATTATAAAGTGGTTCGAAGTTGACTTGTTTCAACTGTGTTGAGATGGTTTCAGCAACAACAAAAAGATCATCACCGATTTGTTTCAGCATATTTTGAGCGACTGGAAATCATCATGAATTTTGTTATTCGTACTTTAGATAACTTACAATGTGTTTCCTTGTCAATTTCATGTTGAATAGTTGTTTCAAGTCGTTCAAATTGCGCGTTTGATTCTCCCAAAACTCTTGAGATGTTTGCGTTGACAATTTCAGTTAGAGCATTTTGAGTTGAGCTCGAGATGAATTTCTGAAACACAAAAATTTATTTACAATCGGATGGAATTCTTGTTCCAAAAAAAAGAATCAGAAAAAAAAAACTAACCGGATCAATTTTGAATTGTGTAACCGCTAAACTGTCCAATAATCTTTCAGCTTTTGTGCACATACTTTTAACCGGCTCCATTTCTTCACCAATACAATTCATAAGCTCTGCATTAGCTGTATTTTTCAATCGTGAGAACTCGGCTTCAAATCGAGCCCCTTCTTCATTCAAGAATCGGATCTTATCATTCACATATTCCAAATCTGTTTGCATTTCTTGAGCCACTGAAATTGTTTTCATTGATAATCATAAAAAAGAAACATTTGTATACCTTTGCTGACATTCAAAAAAACATCAATAACATGAGCACCGGTCAATTTCTTAACTCGATCTACAACATTATGTCCAGCTGATGAAAGTTGTGTATTAATTGTTGAATTCAACATTTGATAATCTTCAATCAACAATTTCCGGATTCTCTGAAAATGTATCTATTTATTTTCAAAGATTCCTATATAATTTCCTACCATATCATTATCTCTTTTGTAAACATTCAAATCATCAATACATTGATTCATTCGATTTGGAAGTTCATCGAGGCCAAATTGAGCATATTGACTGGTCATCATCAAAGTGAATGCGACAAATCTAGAATATTTTTATAGAGTTCAGAAGTCTTGTTTTTTTTTTCTTATTTAGAAGCTAAAAAAAAACTTACGCGTTAAGACCAATGAGTCCAAAAAGTAGAAGATTGCACAAGCTTCTTTTGCAGCCATCATAACGAGCATCGGTGGTTTGCTTTTTGGAAGAGCTGGAGCAGCAACAGGAGCAGATTCTGAAGATGGTTTTTGTGAGCAAATTTAGAAAATTTTTGGGGAATCGAATCTTTTCAAACTAGTGATCAATGTAATCTAATTTTATTTGAGTTCTCAAGTTCTGATTGAAGTTGGGTTTTCAAATTTTCATTACTCTTGATAATCGAAATATTTTGATAATTGGTTTTATTTTTGATCTTTATTGTTCCAACTTCCCATAGTTATATAAAATAATTGCAAGTTTCCCATTCGGACATTAAACCTCATACGTCATTAACTATCTTCGGGTTATTCTAATCTCACATTTCTCTTAAAATCATCCATGTCATTCAAGCCTACAAAGTTTGTTCTCTAACTAGTTTTTTTTCCGGAAAATCGTGAATCTCTTCAGATATTTTAAATCTTTCAAATCTTGTTGCAACTTACTTGTACAAAATATAGGAGAAAACGAAGAAAACACTGAAAGCGAGCAAACTGAGACTTGCAATAATCCATCCTTTCTGCCATTCGAGCCACTGAAAAAAATCCCATTTTTTCCTTTTTTTCCAATAAATAAGGTATTTCCTTCCTTATTCTTTCAAAATCTTTCAATTCTTTTCATTCCAAGGTAACATTTTGCTTTGGTCATTTTCCGGCGAGCAAACAAAGCTCACCTCTTTTAAAATAATTCGTGCTCTAGGCTACCAATTGTTTGTCAACTTTTTAGTTTTTATTCACTGATCACGTTTCGTTTTGAGAAAAAAAACTTTTGAAACAACTTCAAGTAGTTATCGACCCTATTATGTATTCAGAATGGCACTGATTTTTCTCTTTTTCAAGTATGCAAAAAACATATGTAATGTACTTGAGTAAATTGAATGTGAGGGAGAAAATCAGCAAAATCCCGGGAAACATTTTTGTGACGAAAAGGCAACATGATGATCGAAATTTGATCCTTCATACAATACATAAAAGTGTTTGCAATGAAGCGTAACAAAAAGAATTCCGCATTGCCAAAATGAATCATTTCCTATTGCTATTCCTATTCCGCGCGAGCGCGGCAAAAAAAACACATATACACACATTTCCGTGCATTGCTATTTGTAAATAACTGTGAAGTGGCTTGTTTACGGTTCAGTTACAAATGTCCACTATTTATTTTTTGGATTAAACCTTACCTGCCAATACTTTGTCTCCACCGAGTTTTGTAGCTCTTCCAAATCGCCAGTCAACGCTTTTTTCGTTAGAAGATCTGAAAGAGGAATTTTTGAAGAAAAAGAAGGGGGAATGAAAAAATGAGCTTAAATTGAGCGAGGCCTCTGGAGATACTGTAACTCCGAAAAAAGTTCCAAATTCTTAGATCATCTTTATGGATTTACAACCAAAAGACTTCAAATCTAAAAAAAATTCTGGTAGATCAAAAATGTTTCTCTAAATCTCTCAATTTTGAGTTGAATTTCGTAGATCTCAAAATGCGGGAAAATTTTTAGGTAGTAAAATAAACTGTAATTTCGGACTTTTACTAACTCTAAATGCTCTATTGCTCATTTTAAAATTTTTTTTTCTAAATTCATCAAGCCCTCTCCCCTTTGAAGAAAATAGGTTATCATGAGACCACCCATTGTGTTTTTGTTCTCTCATATCCAGTCAAAATTAGAACATATGGAGAAAGGGGTGAGAAATAAAATATTGAATTACATATGAACGTCTAATTGTTTTTGGTGGGACCATGTTCGAAAATTAAGAATGTACCCAACAATAACCCCCCTTCCCCATGTTAATTTCTCGAGTATGTTTGCCAACCCCCAAAAATATGTACAGACGCAGATTACCTCATCGAATCGTGTACAAACAACAACTGATTTATTTTCTTTTCGTATTCAAATATATTTATTTATTTATTTATTATGTTTATAAATAATATAATAAATACTATAATTATCGAATTTGTTGAAAAGATTAAAAATTTTGTTGCGCGCAGGGTTCCGCGTAGATGTAATCTGATTATCATTAGTTTTAAATCCCCTTTCCTTATTTTTATTTTACTATTTCAATGTTCAAATATATACTTCTTGTGTGGTCTTTCTGCTCTTGCAAAAAAAAATGGAACTCCCAAAGGAGTCGAGTAGCATTTTGAAAAAAAAAACTTCTGAACTGACACTTTTTGTTCACATCACATACACACATCCTCTTGTAAAATGTGTGTTCAGGCGAAAAATTGGGGGTAATCCTTTTGACTAAGCCTGCGAAAATTTACTAGTTTTTTTTTCTGGGATCGGAGAAGGCCAAAAAAAGTAGAACATGATCAGTGAGTGTGAAATGTTATGTGTAGACGTTGTGTTGAATAAAATAATATACATAAATCAATTAAATTGAGAGGAAAATGGTTGAAGATGGCATCTGACTGCCATCTTCTTCTTGTTTTTATCGAGTTTTTAGGGGGATAAATATCCATTTGCTTGAAAGTGACACCTTTTATGGATATATGGGTGAAAATTAAATTGTACATAGATATTTTGACACAAAAAAACTTCATAGGATTTGGAATATAAATCAAGAAGATGGGAGAAGAGAAAAACATCTATTTAGAACGGAATCTACATTTTTATTGCTTGAAGGGAAATTATTTTGAGGTTTTTGAGAGCTGATAAAAATTACATATATGACCTAATGAACACCACAAAACCTTTTTTTCTGGTAGATCACAAAAATTATTTTCTCTAAATCTCTTACTTTCACATTGATAAGATTGTGTTAGGCTTAAAAAATGCTGGAATAAGTTCGAGAGCTAAAAATTTTCAGAAAATATTTCTAGGTTCTCTGATTTTTATTTTGAACTTTCAGCAAAGTCTGAAAATTGTGTTCGTATGGAAAATATATTCCGAGGATCAATTTTTCAAGTTACAATAAATTGAATCTTAATTTCAACCCCTCCCTTTCTCCAGCCCAAAAAAAATTCAGAAAACACCAACCTTGATGTGGAAAAGGCGCGGATAAAAAGCTGATAAATTGATCAATTGATTGATAGTAAAAAGTGAGGACAACATCAGCTTTACGACCATTTGCATCCGGCATAAATGATCCACATTTATATTGTTCAGCAGATCGATATCGGCTAAATTCCAGATCCGTGCAAAATACCGTGCCAAATATTGATAAAATTAGAAGAAATATAATCATCTTCTCTGGGTGTTTCTAAATAAATATGTTAGAAATAATAAATATCCATATTATGGCAAAACGACAAGGAAGGATGAATAAAAAATATATAGGACAGACAGAGGAGCTTCTTTTGTGATCAGTTTATTATTGGTTGTGGTGGTCACTCTCGCGCACTTTTCTTTTTTGCTGCTTCTTCTTCTTCGTCTAAGTCAGTCAACAAATAGTGGGAATACACTCTACGGCTGATGATGAAGGGAAAAAAGGAAAACAGCAAAAATGGGAGGAAAAACGAATGATGGAAACAAAACAAAGAGGGCGGGGTTGCGGATAGATAGATTGAGATGTAAATTGAAATAAAATGCAAAAAGATGAGAGGATCAAGCGCAACATGCCCTTGCGCTAGAGGCTTTTCGAGCATTTTCGGAAATTGAGAGACAAAAAACAATGAACTTTTTTCCGGCTTTGAATGTTAATTAGTTTAGGATCAGTGAGTACATTGTAGTTTGACCACAGAAATTAGTTGAGGAATTCTTGGAAAATTAAAACTAGAGTTGAGCTCAAAGTTTGTGAGCAGAAAACATCAAAGGCTGGATTGAAATGCCCCTGCCTCATGGAAAAATTTCAGGGCTTCGGGAAAGATCCTAGATATCTTCTAGACTATCTAAATCTCAGAACTTCTGAAAATCTGAAAAATCTATACCTCAATCTCTAAAATTGATTGCTTTCCTACAGTTTAAAGTGACTCATCTTACTTTCAATTATTTTTTTTCTTCAATTTGAAAAAAAATAATAAAAAAATAAACTAAAACAAAAGAAAGAACAAAATGGACATTACAACTTTGAGATAAAATCTTTGGAATCAAACAGAATGAAACTTTTTTTCTGTATTCGAAAGATAATTATGTGAAATTCCAATTCCACAAAGATAATTATAGAAACCTTGAATTCCTATAATTGATTTCGGAAAGAAACAAAAAATCAATAAACTAGTTATTATCAACATGATCTACCAGTTTTCTAGTAATGATGTTTAGTTTTAATTAGTTTGAACCCTCCGGGGATCATTAAATTTATTTTTTGCTACAAGAAGGGGGAGTGCAGTGTTTTTTTTTCGTTTCGTTTCTTTTCGTTGAGAAAAAATTAGAAAATGAGAAAATATTTGTGAGGAGTGTGAGTGTTTTTTTTTTCATTTTCGGGGTCAACAATTTTCTAACATAAATATAATTAGTAGAAATACCTAAGAATAATTTTAAATATTCTTATATTTCAGAATCAATATATTTTCTGAAGTTTTATGGCAAAAATATAACCGGTTCCTTCTAGAACTCGCAAAAAAAATATTACTGACAAGAAAAAAAGTGTTCTTACACTTTCACACCCATCAATTTGTTGGTTTGAAAATTGAATTTTCGAAAGTTGGTTGGACAGGAAAAATTTGGGGGGAAGTAGGGTGGGTGAGTGGAGTGAATGAGTAAGTGGGAATCTAATTTTGGAGAGATGACAAAGAAAGGAAAAAGGAATTGTTACCGATGGGAATAATGATGATGTTCTAAATATATACACTATTTTTCGGCTAGAAAAAGAAGAAGTATGGAATTTGAATTTGAAAAGGGGAAGAAGGAGAGTTGATTTGATTTTGAAGTCTTTTATTTCCTGATTCTATAGTCTGTTTGATTTCAAAACAAGATTCAAGATTTGTCTGAGAAATCATAAGCCAAGTTTTCGAGTTATGAGTTTCAGAAAAGTTTTAATTTGGGCTCAAAAGTATGTGTTATTATTATCAAGCTATACATAAATTATAGAAAATTTTAAGCTTGAATTCATAAAAAATGAAATTCCAACTTGAAATTCATTCCCAGTCTATTTTAATTTTCATTCTAGCCAACAACCTTCTCAACAAAAAATTGTCAATGTCAATTTAATTAATGACTCATAAAGGTTTTTTCTCACATTTGGAATTTCGAAATCAGAGGGATTTGAAATTTTTCTTGCATTTTTGTCACCCCAAACAAAATCAGAGAAAATTGGTTGTTTCTCAGAACTAATTTAGAAAATGGAGAAAATGGTCCATTTGGAAAAAGCAAAACAGAGAAGATCAAAATTCAAAGGCAAAGCAAAATCGAAAAAAAAAATCCAATTTTCCCACCAGCGGCAAAAATAGACAAAAATAACCTGACTAATCATCTCCTTGTGTCGGTAACAACAAAAAACGAAAGACACGAAGAAAAAGTTGTGCGCAACAGTGCTAACAAGACAACTGACCCACAATATTTCTCTGATCACCCTCCCCAATTATCACACTATTTTCGTGTTATACCTATCAAGAACATTTTGGACATTTTTAATAAAAAGAAGAAGATGCGAAAATAACAATACTAATAATAATAATAATATGGATTTTAATTGAGAAGAGGAATTTCATTTTATTTTTGTTTTAATATGATCATAAACCTATATTTTCGAACCTTTCGTGTTCAAAAATGCGTGTCAAAAAGAAGAATTTCGAAACCGAATGAATAAAAAAAAGGAAAATTTGATTTTGACTGGTGACAATAGATGCAAAAATTGCATTACTTTAGATTTTTCTGAAAGAGTAAAGTTCAGATACTGAAAGAAAACCCGCTCACTTTTTCAAAAATATTTTGGCTGGCTTACGTAGTGAACATCGAAAAAAATGTTGAGAATGAAAGGTTAACAAATGACAAAAAAGATGATTGAAAAACTTGAATATGATTCATTTGAGTTTTCAGAAATGATTTAGTTCTTGTAATCAAAGGGAAACTTATATGTGAATCATGAGAACAATTATAAAAATGTACTTTTACTAGAAAGGTAATGATAAAAATCTGAATATGAATCATGTGAGTTTAATATAATTTTTGTAAGCAACTTTTGGAATGAGAAACTCAATCACCAAATAATTTATATATAGTTTGATCAAAGATTTTTTGATTAAACAATTTTTTCAGAAAATTTCAGCAGTCAGGTCTCAAATAAAATGCTCTAACAACAATTTTCTTCAAATCAACTCACTAAGCCTTGATTTGAAGAAAATTCTGGAGTGGTTTTTGACATGACTCAATTTGGATTATAAAAATTGGGCAAATGTACTTTCAGAAGTAATTAGTTTTTTTTGCAACGCACTTTTTGCTCATCAAAAAAAAATTTCAAGGAGATTCAGAGAAAAATCGAAAAAAAAAATTAGCCCTTTTCAAAACCCTCTCTAACATATTCCCGTTTGACTTGAAACGGATACGAAAAAAAAAACAACAGAACAGACAAAAACCCGACGAACTTCATTTTCTAACAGAAAACAACAGGAAAAAACGAAAATAATAAAAATAGCAACTAATTTGCCAAGTGAGTGACCACTAGTACTTTTTTCTTCTTCCTTTTTTCTCTCTCATCTTATTTGCATATATTTTTTCTACATAGACTAGATAGATAGATTGAGAAAAAATTGTTAGGACGGAACAGAAGGATATAACGGAACCCTATGTCATAAAAAAGCAATTGCTTAAAAAAAATAATTTTATAATTTTTGTTGAAAAATAGGGAGACTTCTAGGAGTATCTTGAGAGATAGTTTCAATAAAATAATTAAAATAATTGAAATTTTCATGAAAATTTGGTTTAAGAATGTTTTTCTGTTCCCACGAGTTAAAAAAATTCTTCAAATTTTTGAAAAGTTGTGATTCTAACTGAGCACCGAATACTATTAGAGGTAGATCTAAAATATATTTTCAATTTAAAATTTTGAAATAAGAACTAACATTTCTAATTTTCCTAATTCTCAAAGCACTTTTCTATTCACACCTAACTAAAAATTTTGATTCATTTCAAAAATTTTAATAACAGTTCAATTAAAAAAAAATATGATCATTTAACTGTTTCATTACAATTTCAAAGTTTTTTCTTCAAAAGAAAATAGAATAAAAGTAGTTTGAAAATTGAAGATTAAACTTTGTATACATACAAGTGTGAAACCAAGAACAAAAAAAAATAAGAAAAGAGAAAGGCTACTTGAAAAATAGAAAAAAGTGTTTTCCCAAGAGGAATAATTAATCATTATATTTTATGGGCCGTTCGGAACTAACTAATTGGCTCAACTTTCTATTTTTTTGGGATCAAATATGTGACACTTCTCATTTTATTTACGAATATAATAAATGAATAGAAAACAAAAAAATTTTGAATTTGTGTGGGTTGAAAAAAAGACTGAAATAGAAATAGTTTTTAGATAATCCGTATGATTATTTTTTTATAGTTGGTTCAAAAGTTTGTTAGAAATCAAAGAGAAATGGGAAAAATTGTTCAAAAAGTCAATGCTCAATTTCCGGGGAGAGGAAATAACATGAGGAAATTGAAAAATAACTGTATGCAAGGGAAAATGGAAACATCCAAAGAATGATAGAATTGATAGAATAAGGAAAAATATGGAATTTTGATTAAAAAAATAAAAATTCAATTCTCCAAATTGGAAAAAAAAATGTCGAAATTCTCACAATTATTAGAAGAAAATTTAGCTGAAATTTCACACGATCATTATTTTTTTCTGTAGATAGAATCTTTTGAAAAAAAATACAGAAAATTATTAGATTGGAGACAAGGGAGAATGAAGAGAGTACATACATATATTTTGCTTTTTTGGTTATAAAAATGATAGACTCTCTCATTTTCCAATTTTTTCTCTTCATAAATTTTTCAAAATTTTATCTTTAGATTTTCAAAAAAATAGAAAACTACAAAAAATAATATTCCCAAAACAACAGACTTTTGCAAAGAGAAAAACAGTTTTTTTAACAAAATAAAAATCTGCAGAGAATAAAAAATCCAACTGTGAAAATCCACAAAACCCTTCAGAGTAAAAGCCGCTGCCAACAAAAAAAACCTGAATTTAATCTTCTTAAAACTATTAGATTACTCAGTTTTTGTCTTTTTCGTCGTTTTTTCTTTCTTTTCTTTTTTCTTTTGTTTTGTTTCCACATTCATTCATCTAAAAAACATCCAGTTATACTATATTCTATTAGAACCAGCGAAAAACAACAAGTGAAAAGAAGCAAAAAATAAAATCGTTGAGCAAGTTACATAAATGAATATTTCAGTAATAATTTCCCGTTTTTTTCCAGCAATTTTTTTTTTCATTTCTTCTTCTCTTCAAAGTTTATTGAAAATGACCAATAAAATGGCTCGAAATTCTTGCATATTATATGGCAGACGTTCGTATACGAATTCAGATTTTTTCCCGAATAAATGAATATATTTTTCTGTTTTTGATGAAAGATGTTTGGGGGAATGGAATTTGAGATTTTTGAGTAACACATGACGATGATCATTAATGAATGTCATTTTCAATTTGTATTATTTTTGAGTAACTTTGCACTTTTAGATGTCTGATTCATTACTTGAGTTCTCAGACATAAAAATAGATTTTACGGTGAGTTTTATGACTTTTTTGTGTTATGTGAAAACAGAACTAATGCACTGGAAATTCTCGAAATTCCAGCAACAAAACATTTTTCAGACTCCTAGGATTCCAGGCTAACATGAGCAATCTTCCGCTTTTTTCTAGAAATTTAATTAAATTACATCAACATCCGTTGAGTCCAAATTATTCGAGATTTTCTTTCGGAAATTGTTTCTGAAAAAATGTTTTTTGGGTTCAAATGTTCTCTTCCTCTAATTGTATATAGTTTGATGTGTTCTCACATTCTTTCCCCAGTGATGTCAGTTCAAATTCTCACAAAGATTATTTTTCCTCATCATCCAAATTTATTCTACCGTACGATAACATTTTCCAAATTAGATTTTGATTTTTTTTCCTCATGTAGATCAGACATTGTTAAATGAAGTGAAGTTTTACCAGAAACTTCCCTTGATGTTCAAAAATCGTTGTGTTGAATTTATTAGAATTAATGAGGCTAATTTGAATAGTTGTGAGATTTGAGAAGACTTTGAACTCATAAATAGTTTTTTTTGCAGTTGTGAGAGCATAACAGTTTGCAGAAGATTCTAACAACTCATTTATTTCTTTCTTGAAAAACCGAAAACCAAAAATGTTAAGGTAAGGTATAATTTAATATCTTGACTGAAAATTATTAAAACCTTGAAATAATTTTTGGTTAGGTTCACAATTATATCTGGTGTTTTTCAATGTTCACAAGGAAACCTTTTCTGAATTCGGCTGAACAATTGATAATTTTTCAAAAAACCAGGATATCGGTTAGAAAAATACCACAAAAAAATAGGAATGTGGAATAGTCTGAATTTTTATCTTCAGAAACCCATTCGTTTCGGCCCTAGTATTTCGAGTATTTTTCATACAAAATCTTGTTTGAAAAAAAGTTCCCCCAGCCAGTCAAAAACCAGAAAAAATTCATTAACTTTGTTTCAAAAAATTCAATCAAAAAGTTTCGACTTGGCTTTTTTCCCACAATATTATTCATTGAAAACCACTTTTTTCTCATTTTTTCGTTTTCTATGAGTTGCATATATAATTTTCTTTTTTATTTTCCAGCCCAGGAGAAAAACCAAACTAATAAATTATTCCCTTTCAATTTTTTTTGACTTTTTTTATTTTTGCTAATTTTTGTTGTTTTTCATTGATTCACGATTTACGATTTACGCTTATACTTTGGATTTCAATGATCAGAACCACCCACTGTCACAATTGTCAAAACTGGTGGGTGTGTTTGTATGTGTGTGTGTTGTTGTTTCATCTTGCCCTTCAATTTTTCCGAAAGAGCAATAGATGATGATAAAAATAATCGGAAGGAAATATTACACTTTTGTCTTCCTGCCTTTTTTTCATTGGTTCGTGTTGTTTCGAGAGTCCAGTGTACTACTACGACGTTTTTCTTTTTTGATTCATCCACCAACTGACACACATTTCTATTTAATGTTTCTGTTTCCATCTCACTTTTTCTACACACTCACACACTTTTTGTGCCCTCTTCTATTTCTATTTTTCTATTTCTATTTTCCTTCTTCTTCTTCTTCTTCTTTATTTTTTCTTCTTTAATTTGTCTATGTATCTTCTATTCCTTTCATTTCTATGTATTGGTTCGAGAGTGAGAAAGCCCCCGCAATTTATATTGCCATTTTTTTCGAGCCGAATTTAATTTTACTCTGGGTTCGGAAGAATACCAGTTTTTTTTGTTAAGACCACCCAGTTTTTTCTCATCTTTTTGTTTTGAATGGGGAGCTCAAAAATTAGTAATAGGAAAATATTTTTTAAAATTATTCCCGAAAACCTATAAGCTGAAAAAAAACAATTTTTGAAAGTTCCTTATTTTTCAAGAAAAACTCCATCGGGATTCTACTGTTTCGAACAATTTTTGTTCGGAACTTCCAGATTTTTCAAAAAAAAATCCATAAGGTTAACATTTGCAAAGTTAAAATAAAAAACTTCTTTAAAGAATATCTCTTGAAAGTCTAGAATAATTATTCAATGAACTTTTTATTTGAAAATTCTAGATTTTTGATGAAAATTTTTAGATAGAATTCAGCTTTCCTTTCAAAATTTACGGCCACCCAACTTTGATTAAATTTGAAGAAAAGTAAGACCACCAAGCTTATTTCTTTATTTTCAAATTCTAAATCAATACTCATTTTCGTTCTCACGAGAATAATAATTTCATCAAGTTTATTACGTTTTCCATATGTATACTGAACCTATAAAATCTCATGACATATCAATTTCCGATGTATTTCATATATACCTCTCTCATTTCCTTTCAATCGTCAAAAAAATGTATTTTGCCGTTTTTCCATTTTTAGACAATGCAATCGTCTAGAAATTGTTTTTGGTTTTTGGCATCCGCAAAAAAAAACACGGAAGTCAACCTCGAAAAAAAAAATGAAATAAAATTGTAGTAGTGAAAAAAGAGTAGTTGTAGCAGTAGCATTCACATTCACATTTACATTCACTCACACGGCGTTTGGCACATTCTAATAACATTTTTCAATTTATTTTTTATGAGTTTTTTTTTGGTGGATTATTGGTTCGTCTTGCTTTTACTAACCCTTCAAGCTACCGTAACAAGAGAAAAAAGAAACACTCGCACTAGAAATTTTATGTTAGAAACCAACCTCAGAAATAATCTCACTCGCACAAAAACAAACCAATCCTTTCCCTTAACAAAATTTTTGAGAAAATTATGATTTTATTTCGATTCCGCTTCTCACCTATTTTTCCCTTTAATAAACCTATGATTCTGTGTTCCTTCTGATTTTTCCCTTTGTTATCCAACATCACCGCATTAATGCACTCGCACTGATCCACTAAGGATCGTCTAATAAAAAGTTTCAGATTTAAAAAAAAATATGACAATTTTTGGGTAGGTCAAAATATTGTATAGTAAATAAATATTGTTTTAACTTCTTTTTTTTCTCAAAATTTTATTTTCCTTAATCTACCAATTTTTTTTCAATTTTCTCTGACTTGCTAACATGTCAATATGCCTTACCTTTGCTCCAAAAAAATTACACTTCTTCCCCCTGAATTTTTTTTTACATAATCTATAATCTATTTTATTTTTTACTCGGGTCTATCAATTAGTTTTTGTTCTTTTCAACTTTTTTTCCTTTTTCTTCTAACGCTTTTGCTTGGCACCAAAGTAGATGTTTTGTGTGTATTTTCCGAATCCCCCCACCTTTTTGTGTTTGGTTTTTTTCTTGGAAAACAAATGTGATTGTGATTTTCAGTGATGAGTTTGTTTGAAGAAACGATTCGCTATGGTGGAGCCGCCAATGAGGCTGATGGTGATGTGAGTTTTTTTGAAATTTGTTGAGATTTGGGGCATTACTTTATGATTAGTCACCTCAAAATATAAAAAACTACATTGTTAGAGTTAGTGTAACTACGGAGAGGAGATAGAGATTTCTAGAGCTTGAGAAGAAGTTTTCAGCATTTTGATTGTTTCTGGGTTTCCAGGAAAAAAATTTTTCGCACTTGTAATTCGGATATTTCATTCATTGCCACACTACTTAAAATAGTTTCCAAAACTCCTGAAATAGTTTTCTGTAGATCAAAAATTAAAAATCCTATTTTTTGGAATTGATAACCTCACCTCGATTCACAAGACTGAGTCAGTGCTCAAACATTCTTAAAAACGCTCTGTGAAATCGACATTCCTTTCTGGTTCGTTGAACGAATTAGAATTACAGAGATCAAAATTTGATGATTCACTATTTCTTCCCGGAAATTCGATGATTTCCACAATCTTCTTAAAGCATTCAAAAATTATTTTAAAATTTCAAAACCTGAATATTTCAAATAATGATTTATCAAACACGTTTTTCAAATAATTTTGCACCTGACCACCCTCAGATTTTCAACACAAATCTCAGCATGATGCGAGTTCACACAATACAAAGTTTGTGAGAAACATAATTTCTATTTTTAAAATTTACACCTGCTTTCCTGATAATAGGCAGGCAGGAAATAAAATATTCAAATTTTCAGGATGCTCAACGCAAAGCTGAAGAGCGTGAGAGAAAGAAGGCCGAAGTTCGTAAACGTCTTGAAGAAGCCGGACAGAAGAAACAAAAGAAAGGATTTTTGACACCAGAAAGAAAGAAGAAGCTTCGTGTAGGTTACTTATCTCGAAACAAATTTCAAAGCAAAATAAAAAATTTCCCGAATTTCAGAAGCTTTTGATGATCAAAGCCGCTGAAGACTTGAAAGCTCAACAACTTTTAAAAGAGCAAGAAAGAGTGAAGATTCTCAACGAGAGAACAATTCCATTGCCAGAAGTTGATAGCATTGATGACAAAGGAAAACTCGAAAAAATCTACAATGATCTTTTCTCCCGTTTGTGTTCACTTGAAGAGGAAAAATATGATATCAATGCAGTTACAACTCAAACTGAAACCACTATCAATGCCTTGAACATTGAGGTTAATGATTTGAGAGGAAAATTGTGAGTGTATTTTTTAAAGAATCAAAAAAAAATCAATAAAAGTGTTCCAGCGTCAAGCCATCATTGAAGAAGGTTTCAAAATACGACAACAAATTCAAAAAATTGGCCGAGGCTAAGGCTGAAGCTGAGAGCAACAAGAACTTCAGAAACAACTTGAAGGTTGTCAAGAAGGAGAGCGTTTTCACTCAATTGTCAAACAAGGTTTGTGGATTGGGAAGTCCAATATTCAAATGAAAACCAATTTATTCATTTCGTGAACCCCCACTTTGACATTTTTTTTTAATTTCCGCATTCATTTATCACTCACTTTTTGTGCCCCTCCACCCTCAATCCAATTTTTTCCAGAAGAAGTCTGAAAAACCAGAATGGTCCAAGAAGAACAAGGAAGAAAAGAAGGAAGAAGTTGCTGTTGCTGAACCAGTCGCTGAAGCCGTCGAAGAAGAAGAACCAGAAGCTTCGGAAGAGGAAGAAGAAGCTGATGAGGAATAAATCACTCACCCACCCACTCAATTTCAATCATTTTTGTGTCTTTTTTTGTTATTTGTGCCTTACTCAACAACCGTATTCTCAGTCAATCAATATTTTTTTTTAAAATAAAGAAATACATAAATAAATATTTTTTCTGGAGAAGTACAACTATCCAAGAATAACTTTTTCTCGTAATTTTGTTATTTACAAAATCATTTTCTTCTTATTCGCTACAAATTTCCGGAAAACATTAGTTGTATCGTCATCGAGTTTGTGCCCGCCCTTTCTTGAATATTTCAGCTGTCTCAACATTTCTACTTGAAGTTTTTCAGCTGGATTACGTTCGAAAAAAAGTTTCAGCTGCCTTTTTCAATCTCATTTTTTTCTTCTACTGGTTGTTAGTCTTGTAGAAACGAAACATAAATTTTTGAGAAAAATGCTCAAGCCTCATTTTTTATCAAATTATTCCGAACGGATTCTTTATGATGATGTTGATGTTATGATTGATGATATTGAAAATGAGATTCATCCAGGTTTAACAAGAAATAGTTTTGTGGCTCTTTATTATCTTCTCAATAATATGATTGGTATTTCAGGTTAGTTAAGATTTTCAGAAGAAAAAATCAAAACTAAAATTCTTTTCAGGATCTCTGTTCTACACCGGGTTCCTTTTCGCAATGCTCTACCGAAAATCAACATTCGGATATTGTGATAAATTAATGATGCTTTATTTGATCTACCAGATTCTCACGTTTTCAAGCAATATTATTCTACAAAAGGTAAAGAGTAGCATTTCTGGAAAGGATATAGAAATAAAAATAAAAAATGGTTTCAGATGTCTTTCCGAGTTGGAAACTATGAATATTATGCGATTCAAACCTATCAAATGATTCCCTCAAGTCTTGCTAATACTCTTGATCATTTTTTGAGGATTCAATATGTTTTGTATTGGTATCTCATAAGTGCTATATTGGTTTTCAGAATGCTGACCTTCTCAACTCAAAAGTTAGTTTTTTCTTGGCTGAAACCAGATAAATTTAACGAAACTATGTATTTCAGTGTTAAAATCCATCGTCTCTTCCACATTTATTTTATTCCATTTTCTGCATTCACCATAATGCTCTTCCTTTTTGGATCAGTGAGTTTGTAGATTTCCATGGAGAAAAATGTTTCTTGAAATTTACTATTTTCAGGCTGCTCAACTGGAAATTGTGATGCTCGGGGTCACTTTCATCATCTGGTGTACCCATAGACGTCATATGGTTGCACATTTATATTCGCTGGGATTGTCAAGACGTGATATTCTAAATAGCAAGAAAATGAATGTGATGTACAGTTTACAATTGATTTTCTCGATATTCTTCAATTTTGTTAAATATGGTTCGGTTTACACGATTAATGCATCGCTGAGAACTCAAGCTCGACAAGATGTTTATACTCTTTACTGGGATCAGGTAGGATTAAAGGTGGAGTCCGAGCAAAAATTAAGTTGTGCTCATTTGATAGAGCATGTTTCAATTAGTACAATCCTCGAAGGATTTTTTCTGAAAGCTTCTCTAACATTAGAGAAACACAGCTCCAAACGGTTGGATATATGGACTTTCAAGCCATTTTACACGGTGTTTCACTGTTTTTTCGAACTTTGTAATTTTTTAACCAATGTTTGAGTAGCTTCCAGAAAAAATCCTTCGAGGATTGTACTAATTAGAACATGCTCTTTCAAATGAGCACAACTTAATTTTTGCTCGGACTCCACCTTTAAACAAAAAAACAATACTGATAATTTCAAATGTTTGCAGTTTTTCAACAGTATCATTTGCCTGATGTCTGTTTTCAATGCTTGTATATTCCTCTGGGCCACAAAAGATTATTTCAATGGCAAACCAAAACAGACAAATGTTTTACCAATTACTGCAACTTATAACTTGACTGCTGGAAATTTTTCAAGACGTCCTTCAACAGTTTCGACATATTCAATTAGTGCTAGTCCAGTTCCAAGTATTTCACCTGTTAATCCAAATATGTTACACCCTTGAAACTGAAAAAAATGATAATAATATATGAATTTTCTTGTAAATTTATCAGGAACTAAATTTTTTCGATGTTTGATGTATAAAGATTTTAAATTATGACAGGAAGTGGTATAATGTGTTCACTAATTTGAAAAAATATGAATATTTGAAGGAGAGTTGTGTTTTGATGGAGGTTTTGCTAAAGGAATACTATTCTTAGTGAATGTTTCAGTTTAGAAAAACTGGACTTCATGTTCTCACGGTAATTTGTAATCAATTTTGTACTGTTGCAAACATTTTTGAAACTCACAAAAATTTTCAAAAAGGCTAGATTTTCATTGAAACGTTTTCAAGAATTATTTAATTATTTTGAAGTCAGTAGAAATTAAAAATTCATGAGTTTCAAAGAAGATTCTAGAAATTTTCTGGAAAATTCTCATTTCTTGATCTCTACAATTTGAAAAACAAAAAATAATTTATTATCTTGTCGAAAATTGGAAAAACACATAAGGAAGACAAACAATGCAATTCAAAGCTTCAAATCAAATCAATATATACAACGAAATGAAATCAAAATCATAGTTAAAACTCAATGTCAGAGGTACAGAAAAAACTGTTAGCAGCTAAGATTCGGGAGATAAATAGGAATAGGTGAAAAACCGTTTGGAATGGGAGAGAGAGAGAATATTCAGAAAGAAAAAATGAAACAAGTTAAAGGAATTCGTTCGATTAAAGAGAAAGAGAGTTATCACTAGAATAGGAGTGATTATTTTTGGCGATCGTCTTTTTTTTCAGTTGCGGGGATTATAGGGTGATAGATTTACATGTCATATCTATCGCCATAATTTCCGTAGGGGTGATCGGACATGAAAGGTTGTCTAGCCATGCTGGAAAAATCTCTTTACAAAAAAAAATATTTATTAAAAATTGTTCGTTGATGCTTCTATAGATATCTGAAAAATTAGCTAATTTTTTTCTCGGAAGAAGTTTCCATTGAAAATAGAAGTAGGATCAAGATCAAGAATCAAGAATCATGCTTTTTGAGAAGCAAATTGAGAATAAAGCATCATTACCTGTTATTTGCAAGTTGTGTTGTTGTATTTTGACTCCAAAGTGGAGCGGTTTGCTCGTCAGCCGCTGTTGTTCCAGAAGTTGTATTTGTGGATGGCTCAGTTCGATCTCTGATACAAAAAAAACATGTGCAAAATTAGAAAAATAACATGTGGCTAACAGATAGATTGGAAAAATTAAAGGACACACACACATACTTGAAAAATATATATATAGACAAAACAAGAGAAAGATTGGTGAAGTTACCTAGTTCTTGGATTATAGACATGGGTTCCATAAATGTCTACTGGAATTGTTGAGTCGGTTGTTCCACGTGGGAAGAACGGATCATCCTCATCGACTTCGACATATTCATGTGGTCTGGAAAAAAATATAATTTTGAAAATTGAATGAACAAGAAAAAAAATGAAATTTGGTGCAGTTAAATGAAAATCGCAAATCATTCACAGTCAGTTAGATTTGAAAACCACACTTTCCGGATCTATGCAGATTGATATATTTTTTTAAATATCAAAATTCTTTAACAAAATAATACCAATCTGCATAACCCATTACAAAAAAAACCTCTAAAGAAAGAAAAAACCACAAATATGTAGATAGAAATCACAATATTTGACCTACCCAAACGAAACACGTTTACTGTTCACCGCCGACGCTATTTTTGATGGTCTTGGCGACGGCGATGCTTTACATACACAATCAGAACTGCTTGTGGATTCGTATCGAAATGGTCGAACACGAATCACATCCGATCTTGAGGACAGAGACAGGTTACGAAAAAATGTGAACACAAAAGAAGTACAAAAAACAGTGATGATTAATTCACGGTTAGGGTAACAAAAAAAATGGATTTTTTAAAAAATTTTTTGTTGTAGGATTTAATAGTTTTCAATTTTTGCTTTTTAGAAAATAAACTCACAATCTTGAAAATAGATGCCATGTTTTTGAGACGACGATAAGAAGAATGAACAGAAGGATTCCCAAAACGAAAACACTCATCAAATAAATACTCATACCAGCGCTAAAAAAAAATTGAATTCAGTTTGAAGTTCAAGAAAAGTTCAACATACACAGCCTGATCACAAACACCATAGTAGAAATTCTTGACATCATCATGGAAAACATAGCAAGATGAAGAACTCGAGACAGCTCCAGAATGTTTGAGCATTTCGGTTATGTCATTACCAACAACCGATGAAGCATTGGTGACCTACAAATGTATGAAAATTTCATAGATTCATCCGGATTTCTCAGAAAAAACTCACCGCTTGACTTCCATTGAAGGCAACTTCCATAAGCCGATCAAGTTGAGATTTGCTATTTGGAATATTGTTGAGTAGAGCAACATGTTTCGCAATTGGGGCTGGTAAATTGTCGTGGCTGGTTGCTGGAACACAGGTGTTGTAGAATTTTACAGTGTCGTAGAGGTTGGAGAGTTGCTCGCGAGTCACTTGATCGCCATCGCGGCAGAAATCGGAGAGAGCCTGGAAAAAAAGATATTTGAGGTTGATGGAAGAAACTTTAGGGAAGTATCAGAATTTTTTATCATTTTGTCTGACATAAAAATGATAGTCTAGAATTGGACCTAATTTTCAAGATGTCTAAATTGAATATAATTGAAGTCATGAAAAAATTGGTTGAGATCTGTGAAATTTCAAAAAATCCAAATCTAATGAAATGTTTTCTGATTTTGAGAGATTTTCCAATCTGGGATCGTGATTAGCATAATTAGTATTTTTAAATTTTTATGTAAAGGTTATGCCAGGAACATTGCTCATATTAGTCATTTTCTTTTAATTTCAAAATATTTCTCAGGGTAGCCTTACTTAATTGGTATAAAAATTTATCCAATTTTATTTTAAATCCTGAAATTAGAAAATTAGCCTAAAATTCAACCTTCATAAAACCAAATATTGCAATTTTGAATTTCCCAGACCTATCGTGAGTTGAATTATAGTTTTTTTATTATAGAAAATTTATCAAACCCTTTTGTGCTCTCATAAACCCCAAAAAATAAATTTTTCCGTGTTCCAATTTCCACCAAAAACAATTCTGTCAAACTCACCACTGTAGCTGGAAGTGACACTGAAATGAGCACCCAAACAACCAAAAATATGAAAAATCCAATTGCGCTGAAAACAACAGCTCCTTTCTTGGATTGTTTGCAGAATGCGATGACACCAGCAAACAGAACGCACATTGTGATCGATAAAACGATCACCAAGAATGCCCATCTGCAAAAAAATTATTTTTATTTTCCTTTTCTGGGTTTCCCAAATTGTTATACATAGTGAAGAAAAAAGAGCAGTAGTAGTAGTATTTTTCCCAGAAACATCAATCACTAGTCGTTTTTTTTCCAGAAATGGAGAAAAAATGGCTGTCACATGAACTAGGGGAAATATATGGATGTTGTGTTGTAGTGCAATTGACAGATGAGATGAGACCCCTAGGTTTTCTTGTTCCCCCTTTCTTCTATTCTTCTTCTTCTTCTTTTCTTCTTTCTCTATTCAACTCCAAATGAAATACTAACATTCAACTCAACGTAAACAACAATAACAACAACATCCACATATACATTTATTATTACACCAGGAGGCAAACACCTTTTACCCATCCATCATAACTCACCTCTCGCTTTCATAGGTTGATAAAAATTTGCGAAGATTTTCCAATGTTTCTTGGTCGGCTCCGTGTTTTTGATCAAAGAGTTTTCCGTTTTTGGCAAGAATGTCGACTTCGTCGGTGATGTTGGTCAAAATTTGGTCAATTTGTTGGACAATCTGGAAAAAATTGAGAATGAAGATTTGGAAGCATAGATTTCAGAATAAAAAACATGGTAAATTATAAAAATATAAAGTGATTTTATGTTGTGGAGAATATTTTGAGTGAGATCTTAAATTTTGAAAGGATTTTTAAGAATCGAGAAGTTTAAAAATGACTTGAAAATCACAATTTCAAAATGAAACGCTTTACAGCGGATATAAAGATAAGCAACAATCAGAATTTCAATGATTAAAAAAAATTCTACAAAAGTTTTGACTTCGCTACAGAGTTTTTCTAGACTTCCAAATGTACAATTTTTGAGGCTTATTCTAATTTAAGCTTCAATAGATTTAAATTTTGAACTACTTTTTTGTTCGAAAAATGTTTCCACATATGTGATCTTCATGAACCTCAAACTAGTTCCACAACATCTACATCTGTGAAATAATCAAGTTAGTAGAGGCCTAACATATTGATCTACTTTTCAGATTATTTTCATATAGAAATTAATTTTTCTTAACTCATATTTTCTTTCAAATCAAAATGAGTACCGTAGCATTTTTGGTTTTCTTGCTTTCCTCGTGAACTTGATCTTCCAATGCTTTCAAATGAACAGTTGTATTCAAAGCAGATTCTTGGAATTGTGCAATTTGAATCATCGAAATCTTATAAGATCTTTGACTGTTGATAACTGAATTGATTGACATTGACATTCCACGATTCACATGTTCATTGGCAAACAAACATAATCCCAACATAATACTGAAATTATTTTTAATGGTTTTTTTCTGTTTATTTTTTTGATTTTCATTTATTGCCAAAATTGTTTTGTTCTTTCTTTTCTTTCCAATTCATCGATCAAAACAAACAAAGTGTGAAAAAAGCATTTCATCATAATTTATTCAGCCCCCCTTTTCATTTTTCCGATTCATTTTCATTTTGTTGTTCAAAAAGAGAAAAGAAAGAAAAAAAAGTACTTGAAAAAATGGTGGGTAATAATGAATATTTATGTGGTTTTACCCTGGGAAAAATAGGAAAACTTACAAGCAGAGGACGGAAATAATGAAAAGACACGTTGACAATCGACGGACACGTCGTCGGGTTTTGCCAGTCGCTTCATTTTTGCGGCAAGATTGACAGATCCATACAATGATTATTGTGATGAGCAAGAGGAGACTGATTGCGGCTCCGAGGCATGCAAGAAGGGCGAGACTCTGAAAAAAATTATATTTTTTATGGTTCAAAAATAATTTTATAGTGAAAAAAATTTTATAGTAAAATTCTGTGTGGAATCTCTTTATTTCAGCTGATAAGCTATCATTTTTGAATTTTCTTGTGACCTTTATAATAATTTTCTGTTACATTCTATCACAAAATTTCGTATAGTTCAATCGTTTCCATTTCATTCATCCCATCAATCTTTTTCTTTCCCACCAATTCAAAAAAAAGTAAAAAGTTGAACCCATAAATCGTGTTCTCAATTATCACCTTTAATGGATTCGAATTCTTTTTCCATTTATTTTCTCCGACTACTACTAATAAAAAACAACAATTTGTGTGTTCATCCATGTTTTTTTTCCGCGTTGGACAGCAGTATCAGCTAGTGCCATTAGCCATAGCAACCTTTCTCGGTGACAACAAAATTGAGATTTATTATTCAAATTATTATTACTTTTTGCTTCCTACAATTTTTCTTTCTCGTGTTATTTTCTTCCATCCTTCAAGAGAGAGAGCGAGATAAAATAAAAATAGAAATTTGATCATTTTTCGATCCAACCAAACAAAAACAGGATATGGGACCAAGGAGAAAAAGAAGTAAGAAATACATATACAAAAAAAACAGCATACATAAATTGAATTGGTCTGAAAAATGCAATTTTATGTATGTACATGTGTCTAAATCAGTTTATTCTATTTTTGCAGTCCTGCTAGTGTATATATTATACATATGTGTTTGTTTTGAAAAGTAATCTCTTCTGGGTGGTCCGTCCATCTGGTGGCTAGGGTCGGGTCAAATCCCGACAGGCCAGAAGGCCCTGGGAGATCAACGAAAAAGATAAAACGAGAAGAAAAAAGAGGGGAAAAGGGTTTCACCATTTAATTAGTCATAAAATTGTTTTTGATTATTGAAACATTTTATATTAATTTATGACGGGTTGGGAAAAATCGAAAGGATATTTGTTATTGAATTTATTTGAATTACGGTAATTTGTTTTAGGAAAAAACAATTGTGTGAATTAGAGAATAAGAATCTTTCCAGGGTCAGAGGGCTCTTACAAAATTGCTCCACTCTTAATTAATGACTCAACGTTAAACAATTTCATTAATGAAAATGCACCCCTATTCCTCTAATTTCCAAAATCCACATTTTAACCCAATTGTGGATTAACAGCGATGTTAATCTCCTTGACATATCAGAAGATCGTCATTTCCATAACAAAAACTGAATGTGAGATGTAAATTTGAATAAGATGGATCTTTTTTCTACCACCCCCCCCGCCTCCCGGCTCAAAGAGCCTCGTTTCTAGCTTTTTCTTTTCTAATTGTGTTACACTACCCAAACACAAACACACATGTTTTTTTTCTTGGCGACACCAGGACCAAAAAAATGCAGAGTTTTTTTGTGGGACTAGAATGGATAGAAATAGAAATTGGTTGGATGAGTTTGAGAAAAACACATTAGGAGCCAGTTAATGGCACCTATGGACTTTTCGGCTTTTTTGGGAAGGTTGGAAGAGAAAATTGGTGCAAAAACTTGGGTACTGTAGATGTAGGAAAATGAAAATTTAAGTTCATCGTGATCCAGAAAATACATCGTTTTAATGGATAATTAAAATTAATTAAATTTTTCTCTGGAATATAGTTTTCCAAGAAAATTATAGGGTTCGGGAAAATATTCAAAATTCTCAAAACTTTAGGATTTTCCTGGAATTCTGGAATAATAAAATTCTTCAAATTTTAGATTTCCAGATTTTTGCTGCTTTTTTCAAAAAAAATATGTTTTGAAATAAAATTTTCTTAATTTTTTTCGTGTTCCGTTTGCTGAAAAATATTATGAAATTTTTCAAGAACATTTCAAAGGATTTAAAAAGTAAAATATGTTTCCCAAATTTTTCTCGGAATTTTTTCTAGTAAGGATTTTTAAATTTTCTTCCCCCAAATTCAAAAACCCCCAACCAACCTGAAAATATTCGCTTCTCCAATTCAAATTAAAAATATCTTTGGTCCATTGAAATTGAAAATTGAGTCGTGGGATAAGAGCAAACGCGTCAATCAAAAATTGTGCAAAAGTCATCGTTTCCAAGTTGATCTTCTCGAATTCTTATAACATCTGCAACAAAACGTGTTTGAGAAATAAAAAATAAAAAATTCATTTGACGTTCAATAAGGAAAAGCCTAGAAGGACACAACTCTCTGATGGAAATGATGAGGATGAACGAAAAATAGGGGGGAAGGCGAGAAGGCAGACAAAATGTGGGGAGTGATGGGGGCGGAGCCTAATTGAGGACGGATTCTTTCAGTGTTAGGAGTGCGCAGGCAGGGGAAAAATTGAGCAACAACAAAGAAAGGGACACAAATAATAATATTTTTATTTATTTATTTGTTTATAATAATTTTTCTCTTTCTTCCATTCTCTCTCATTAACCCAGCTTCTAATGAGCAGACAACTTTTTTCAAAAAATAATAATAATATAAATAACTCTACTCTACTCTGGGTTTCTATGTATAAAAAAAATAAAAAATATATTTATACATAACTTTGGATATATAATAAATGTCCTCTTGAATTAAATCAAACAGGATGTAAAGATGAAATATTATTTGGCGGTCATTTTTTTTTGTGCGAGAGACAACGGTTCGCCGAGGAATAAATTGGTTTTGACAATTTATAGTCAAAACAGAATTTATTTATGGAACTTGCGATGCAAACGGAACACAAAATTTTGTTTTATTTTGAATTTAGAAATATCAAGAAACTGCTGGTGCAACAACGTTTTGAAATTTTTATTGTTCAAAATGAAAATTGAGAAGAACTTGAGAAGTGCAGGATAGTACTAACGGATTTTGAAACATAATCTTTAAAAAAAAATAAATCTTCAGGGGAAAATTTTTAATATTGTTTTTTTTTCCTGGACAAATACAATAGAGAGCAAAGATTTTTTTTTGAAAATTCAATCAGTTCTTTTTTTCAGAAAAAAAATGTTTCTCAAGAGTTCAAGTCTCCAAAAATCTCATGATTTTTTTGTTGTTCTTCAAGATTAAATTGAGAAATAGAAGTTCATACCGTAACCAGATTATAAATATGAAATATACTTTATATTTTGTATTTTGTAATAATACATTTTCTATGAGTCACGAGAAAATATTTTTACTAAAAAATATTATATTATTTTCTAATGGACTTTTCAAAATACAGGGTGACCCAAAAAAAATGAAACAAATTTTTTTTGAGTTTTCTTTGGGAGCAGGATTGAAAAATATAATATGACTTACTCATGGGTTATCTAAGACCTTCTAAAAGCTAAATCCAAGATGATTTTGTTATATATTATTTTTGACGTGAGCAGGACGTGAAAATCTAGGATTAAAAAAACGGCCAAAAAGACGCATGTCATAATTGCAAAGTCGGGTCCAGTTCAGACTTAATTTTGAAAATTATTCATTAAATGCCTTCGGTGGACTAAGTACAACCCTAGTACTCAATTTTATACAAAACATATCTTCCATTGAACTTAAACGAAGTTCACAACTTCTGATTTAAAAGACCACTGAAAATTGGAAAATCAATTTCCAAAAAGCACATTTTCAGTTTTTTCGAAATTTTTTGCGCTGAAAAGTTCTGGCATCGCATATCTCTACATTAAAACAATGATAGGGCTCTAATAAATCAAAGATGGAAGATGAATAGTCGAAGTTTTAATTTTGGTGCCAGTCAGAGATCAAACTTTCATGAAAACGGAAAAATTCGACCGGTTTCACAAAACCACTCGTAAAATATGTAATTCGAAACGAAAGTTAAGAAAAGTATAGTGAAAAATGTTCCTCTAGAATTGCTTTATTTCATTCATGAAACATATAAGAGATCTGATAGCTCGGAAGAATGTTAGAGACACTGAAACTCAAAGTTTGCAATTTCTGAAGAGTTGCGTCCAAACAATGTTTTCAATTTCACTCTTCTCCCTAGTGCAGATCACGTGAAACACGTGAATTTCAAAAACTAATTTAACAGTTATTTAGCTAGTGGTATTGGAATGTATAATTCATGATCAGAATGTTCAGTTTGAAAATTGCGGAATAGGTTCTATTGAGCGAAGTTTGTTTCAGTTTTTTTTGGTCACCCTGTAACAGCAAGGTCGAAAAAACTAATAACTACCCCCCCTAAAAGAGTTATCATTCAAATTCTCATCGCATTAAAAAAAATTGTGTAGTAAAGATAACATACATACAAACTCTCTTCAAAAAAGTCAATAAATTATTCCCAAAAAAAAATAGTTTTGCATTTTTTTCAAGATTCAAAACAGATGCCTTTTCCATATTTTATTTTTTGAGAGAAAAAGAAAAACAAGAGAAACGTTCAAAAAAGAAGTGAAATATAAAAAAGAAAAGAATGAAAGCGAAATGTATTGAAAATCAAAACAATAAAAATGTTCGGCTTGAATAGTTTTGGAATGGAATGGAATTGAAAATGAAAGGGCAGATGTTTTGACCAATTTTTAATTGGCAAAATATTGCGGTTTTTGTGTGAAAAAACAAACTATGTGAAAAAGAAGATGATTGAATTGAGATAAGAAAATTGTATAGAAAAAATATCTTGGAAATGAATTCATGCGAAATATATATGTGAGAACATTTTTTTGCGATAATTTTTTTGAAAAAAAATATGATTTTCATCATTGAGAAAGAAAAGGTAACTGAAAATATAAGAATTTGAAATCAAAATTCTGAAATTGTAATTTTCCTGGATGTTTTTTTAGATCAGAAATAATCAGGAATTTTCAAAAATAAAAAAAAAACGTTTTTGAGAAAAAATTTTTAGAGTAGGTCTTCTTAAAATCCATTTCAAACTAATTTTTCTCTGAAACCTTCTTCATTCTTTCTAAGCCAAAAGAACTTTTTGTTCAATGTAAGAAATTCAAAATGAAAATACTTTTGATCTACCGCAAAAAGTTTCAAAACGCTTAGGGATTAACGATGTGGTCAAGTCAATTACACACATTATACACCAGATCTCCAAAAATAAGTCAAAAATGTATCCCATTGTCCAAAAATAAAAGACCAGATACTATTTCAAAAAGCATCATCATCGTCATTATTTCTCAAGTGTTTGGGTAAATAGGCTTATATAAAATAGACAGAAAAAACCAAAAAATCAATACACTTTATATATAACCTATAATTATATAAGTAAAAGTATTCATGGAAAGAAAAATGTATAAAGATAGAGAAAAACCTATAAAACCTATGTGGCTTGGCTATATATCAAATAGGACTATTTTTCTTCTCGTTTTTACGTAGACAGACAGAAAAATGAAAAGAAGGAGAAAAAAAACATAACAAAATTGAACAACGAGCAATTTTTCACCCAAGGTCACCAATGCTTTTGGTAGAAAATTGATTGAGGAAGAAGAAAAAAAGAAATAAAGATTTTAGAAAAAAAAATGTGAATGGAGTGGGGTTGTAGTTTACTGACAGGTGTTCAAAAAAAAACGTTTGTTTATGTTTCGGATTTTCTCTTTTTTTGCGAAGACAAAAATCTCTGTTTTTGTTTTTGCAACAAAAAAAAACACACACACAAACACATAATATGGTATTTTTCGTGAAAGATGCTGTGGACACATCTATATCGATCGATTTATTGTTGACCGTGTGGTCTGTACCCTCCTGTTTTTATCTACTCTCTCAACACAATGATTCATGGCGGGCTCGCTTTTTGAACAGTTTTCGAAGGTAAACAGAAGAAAATGGGAAAAAAGAAAAAAGTACAAGTCAAAAGCTGAAGAAGGAAAGAATGAACGGAGGGAAAAATGAAGAAATAAAGTGTTTGTTTGGAAAATGTTGAAGAGTGATACATATTTACATAATCTGCTTCTTTCAAACCACCTTAAATAACATGGTGTACATATTTCCACCTTACTTCCTTCACTTTGTTAATTATTTATTTGTTTTCGTTCCTTCTCGATTTTCGAAAAATACACATTCATATTTGATACATTACAATTATGTAATTGAAAAATTGTTCAAAGGTTATTTCAATAGTGGTAGAACCTAGTACTGGTAACAGATGTCTATTTTTTCCAGTTTTTGAAAAAGAAACGAGAAGAGGTCTGATATTGTTAAGGGGTAATTTTTAAAAATTTGAAAGTTTCAATTCTTTTCTTCAGAGATTTTTATAATAAGCAATGTTTTTTTTCTAAAAAGTTTTATTGTATTAACATTATGCACATTGCAAAATTGAACACAAACGATTGAAAAAACATGACCCCAAATACAAAGAAGAAGAGAAATTCTATCCAGATTGTTTTTCAACCAGTCGATAATATAATCCACGTCTCGCCAACAATGTTTGATGTGTTCCCTCCTCAATCGCTTTACCATTTCGACAAACAATAATCTTGTCAGCATTCTGAATTGTTGATAATCGATGAGCAATTACAACACAAGTTCTTCCAAGTCTCGCCTTATCCAACGCTTCTTGCACAATTTTCTCACTTTCTGTGTCGAGCGCTGATGTTGCTTCATCAAGCAATAGAATCTTTGGATCTCTTACAATAGCACGGGCGATTGCAATCCGTTGTTTTTGTCCGCCAGAAAGTCGACCACCACCAGCACCAACTGAAGTATCATATCCATTTGGAAGTCCCATAACAAAAGTGTGAATATTTGCAAGAGTTGCAGCTTTTTCCACAGCATCTTGTGAAATATTATCAAGTCCGTAGGTAATATTTTCCCGAATTGTCAAATTAAACAATGTGGGTTCTTGACCAACGAGCGCAATGTTATCACGAAGATGTTTTATTGAAATATCTCGAATGTCATGATCATCAATTCTCTGTAATTTTTTTTGAAAGCTACTCTTTCATAAAAATAGATTCAACATACCACTAATCCACATAATGCATCATAATACCGCTCAATAAGCTGAATTGTTGTACTTTTACCACAACCAGAAGGACCAACGAGAGCCACAGTTTGTCCGAATTTCGCAGACATGTTGAATCCATCCAAAACCAATTGTCTTCGTCGATTTGGATATGCAAAATAAACCCCACGAAGAAGAATATTTCCCTTAATTGGTGGAGTATCACCAACAATTCCACGATTATCAATAATTGATTTTTGTCGAATCATTGTGAACATGATACCAGCAGAAATTCGAGCTCGAATATATTCGGGGAAATATGATGCAGCCATCATAACACTGAATGATGCCATATTCAATGCCTCGATTACTCTGAAAAGTTTTTTTAAAAAAAAATTTTAAGAAAATGGATACCAGAAACATACTGGAAAATGGTGTATGGTGTGCTCCAATTATTTGAAACGAGCCAAAGACCAAACATGTAGGCGATAGCAAAATTGAAGAGAACAAAACTTCCAGCCAAGGCAAATGATAAAGCGGTATACAATCCTCTGACAATTGCTCTTCTGTGTGGTTTGACAGATGCTGCCTTATATGCTTCATACATATAATCTTGTTTTGTCAACGCTTGAACAGTTCGCCAATTTGAAATTGATTCAGTAACAATCTACAATAATTTAATTTTTGAACACTTCAATTCAGATTGTTTTTAAACTCACTCTACTTGCTTCAATGGCTGATTCCATATCCCGTTGTCCTCTGAATTTCAAATATTGTGCGACTCCACTTTGCATAACAACAAGTAATGCAGCAGTTGCTAAACCGATTGGTGCCATATTCCATCCGAAGTAGAATGCAACACCAACACCAGAGAAGAGTGAGACAACACCAGTAAGAACTTCAGCCAATCTTTGATCAATAGCAGCTTGAACATTTGGAGCATCAGTAGCGAGACGAGATGTGAGAGCTCCGACGTTATGTTTTGGATCGTCGAAGTAGCTAGCATCTTGTTGCATGATATTCTGAAGAATTTCGATTGATTTATAAATGTATGAAAAATTATTTTAACTCAAACTCACTCTAAAAACATCCATTCTCAATCTCCCACTCATTGTTTCTCCAGCTTTTCCAAGTAATCCTCCAGAAATAAAAGTGCTGATTCCAGAACTGATTGCAAGGAGAACAAACCAGAGAGAGTTCAAAAGCGCGGCACTGGAGATATTATCACCGCCAGCTGATAGAATTTTGAAAAGTTGACCGTATACGATTGAGAAGATAGGCCAAGTAAGACCACGGATGAATGTGAAAACGAGGGCGATTCCAACATTTCGCATTTCTGGACTGGCATATCGGAAAATGTCTAGCAATGATGCTTCCATTCCACCTTCTTCGAGCATTTCTTCACGAGCACTGGAAAAAATGTTAAAGATTTTTTTTTTGAATTGTAGATCACAAAGATTGGTATTCGTCACTACGGTATCATCATCCTCGATTCCAAGCCCTGCTCACCTCTCAATTTCCCAATCTGGCACCTGTGTTGTTGTACTAATCATACTTTGTCGGAGACGAGTCGAGTCCCGCGCCAGACTCTCCTGCTGCTCGCGCTCCTCATCCGATGTGACTGTGTCACGATGGAATGATCGATGCATTTCTTCATCCTCGCTGTCTGCAAATTTTTTTTGAAAAAAAATAATTCAAATTTGTTTCGCAAGCTGCAAATCAACGTCAGGCGTTAGAAAAAAACAAAAAAAAAGTCTAGTTGGTTAGGACTAGCCTAAAGGACGTCGATTTGCTGCAAAATTGCAGAAGCACACACCATCTAGAGTTGTGTCTTCTTTCGCTCGTTCGATTTCTTGTGCTTTCACCATGTTACTGTAAATTCCTTGAAGGGCCATCAATTCATCATGGCTTCCTAAAAATTGAATTTTGAATGTAACTCAGAAATAAGATCTTCCCACCTGTTTCAACGATTAACCCTTGATCAAACACCAAAATCTTGTCAGAATTTCGAATTGTGCTCAATCTGTGAGCAATACACAAAGTAGTTCTACCCTTTGATGCTTTATCCAATGCTCCTTGAACCATCCGTTCACTTTCAGTATCTAATGCACTTGTGGCTTCATCAAGAAGAAGAATTTGTGGTTTTCTAACAAGAGCCCGCGCAATAGCAACACGTTGTTTTTGTCCACCAGAAAGTTGAACAGCTCCAGCGCCGATGACCGTGTCATAACCATCACTTAATTTCATAATAAACTCATTTGCATTAGCTTGATTACAGGCATCACGAATATCTTCATCGGTAATTGATTGATCTCCCATTCGAATATTTTCGGAAACTGTGGCAACAAAAATGATTGGTTCTTGTTGAACAATTCCGATGGTACTACGAAGCCATTGAATATTATAATCACGAATTGGAATACCATCGAGTTTGATGACACCAGCTTCTTGATCATAGAATCGCATCAAAAGTCCGATACTTGTTGATTTTCCGCATCCTGAATGACCAACAAGTGCGACTGTTTCACCAGGGTTTACTTCGAAAGTAACACCTTTCAAAATTTTGACTTCTGGTCTTGTTGGATATGTGAACTCGATATTTTCGAATGTCAATTTTCCTTGAATTCTATCTGGTTTCAAGCCTTCTTTTGATGTGCAATTGATATGTGGTTCCTAAAAAAATTCGTTATCAAAAAATTAGAACAAAAAAAGTTTACGAACATTATCGATAACTTTGAAAATATCACGAATAGCTAATCTTGCACCAGTAATTGCTCCAAGATGTGGTGCAGCTTCACCCAATCTTCTTGTTCCAATCAGAACCGCCCAGAAGACACCGAAAATAGCACCAGGAGCAACAACACCAGCAGCAACCAAAGTTGCACCATACCTGGAAAAAAGAGAAAACAAATATTTTGATGTTTATGCAAATTCAGAGGATTATGATAATTTCGATTTCAATTTGTTTTCTTTGTTGGAAAAAAAACTGTGCAAAGTCAAAACAAAAACAAAAAAAACACTAACCAAAATGCGATTGCCATAGCTGCAAACATCAAAACCATTGGAACAGCACTACAAATAGCAAGAATGACCGCTTTACGAATACCCATTTTTCTGGCAGCATTTAATTGTTGAGAGTATCTATTGATTTCGAAAGGCTGTGCATTAAATGCCATGACAGTTCGAATTCCAGCGATTACTTCATTCGCCATTCCACCAGCGTTGGAATATGCTGACATTTCGTTTTTAGTGGCGCGTGAGAGATGCTGAAAATAATCATAAAATTCGGCCCTCTCTAAAACAGCTTTTCACCTAGAATAGGTTCCCCGCCGACTTAGTAAAAATGGGGAAAAATTATTTTATTGGGACCTGGGGACACAACTTAATTTTGATAGATTTTGGGACGTTTGAAGATCAAAATAACACATGTGGAATAAAACCTTCGAAACCTTCGCTCACCTTTGCTGAAAGATACATTGAACCAAGTTGAAGTGGAACCGTAATAAGCATAACCAATGTTAATTGCCAACACATATAAAATCCTAATCCAACACCACTAATAAAAGTCGCCACACCCGATACCAAAACACCAATCTTGTCTCCAATTCCATCCTTAATCTTCTCAATTCCACTGCTCATTTTCTGTGTCAAACCACCAATTGTATGCTCATCAAACCAACGTGCATCTTGTCGGAGAACAGCTCGAAGATAATTCTTTCGAACACAATGAAGACGACGTTCGCACATTGTGTAAAGACAGGCATTGGATAAATATGAGACGATGAAAAGGGCGACACCAAGGTAGAAATAATCGAGGCAATAGTATTTGATTTCACTGCTGAACCAGGGCATGTTTAGAGTTCCGTTGTTATATTCAGCTTCACCAGCCATTAGAACATTTGTGATTCCTTCGAAGATCAAACTGTTGAATGGAACTAGGGCTCCACTGAAGATACTGAATATGACTCCACCGAATAACAAAGCCCAATCTTTCCAATCAGAATATCGGAACTGAAAATCAACATTTCAAAAAGAAAAATACCAAGAGTGAATAGTGTAGAAAATTAGAACCCCAAAGTCAACTCAGTCAGAAAAATATACTCACCACATCGAAAAAATTTGGTGGTTTCTCCTTGATTTTTGGCAGCGCAGATAGTTTGCCGAGTGTTATATCGTCTTCAGGATTAACTTTTGGTTTCATGATGAAATGATCTACAAAAAACAACAAATTGAAAAATATCAGAAAACAAAGAAAGTGATAGTTGTTATGAAAAATATGGGGGTATATAAACACCAAGCTACAGTAAACCGGACCGGGAGAAAAGGCGTGTTGTGTTTGTTGTGAGGGCAAAAAATTAACATATTTGTATTTTGTGAGCGCATTTTTCAGATACTCGATCAAAAAGAGAAAAAAAAACGAGGGAAGAAGGAGGAGCTACCAATTTTTCATTGTCATAGAAAAAAATTATCAGCGAGTTTTGATGATTCCTACAACATACAATGTGCTTTATGGAATGAGAATTGTGTTTCCGGTGGTCGAGAAATTATTTTGTTTTTTACTCAAGTATAGAAAAAATATGTTGAAAACATCATGGATCATTTGAATTTTTATGAGCAAGAAAGATTGAACAAACAGGGGAAAATGAAACATGTTCCATACAAACTACATTTCTGGATTATCAAAATTTAATTTTTTTTCACAGAAATGATAAGGGCACGAATGATGACATCAATATGCAAATAGAAAAGATTAATTACTAGAAATCAAACATGTTGCAAAGTGATTTTTCGAAAACTGAAGAATACAAATTGAAATGATAACTTTTGACGGTTAGAAAAAAATAATTTGATGAATGACATATTCCGGGAATAAAAAACTATGTACATATAAAAAGGAACGATTGATAAATAATAAGAAAAAGGAAATTGAAACACTTTTTAGTCGCTCGCATATTTTTAATAAAGTTTGCAATAGAGCGCACATGCTGCCTTTTATATTATGTTGTGCACTCTTGGATTTTTATTTAAATAATTATTATTGTGATGTTTTTTCGCTGCCGAAATCACTGTAACAGTTTCTTTGGTGAGTCCGCGAACTTCCTTTGTCAGACCTAGAAATCAGTTGACGTTTTCCATCTCATGAAACTTCTTTGAACTCGATCTACATCATCTTTTTTATGATTTCTAGCAAATAAACCAACCAACAAAAAAACATGGAAAATGCAAATTATTGCATTTATTACTACAAAAAACACAATTCCTATACACTTTCATTTTTTCTTTTTCAAGAGCAAAAAAAGGATGATAAAAAATGTTTCCAAAATTATCAACACTTTGTGCTGAAGAGATGAAAGTCTTATCGTTTTTTTTTCACACCTTTGGTAGTTCAACAATTTCTGAAAGCAAATAATATATATTGAAAGTTTATTGAAACAAAAGTGAAATTAAATAAAGTAAAGTTGAAAAATAAATAAAAACTTTGAGAAATTAGAGAGGTTACGTGTGATGTATGTAATTGTAAGTGATAAATTTTGACACATTATAAAGCCGTTTCTGATTATTGGTTTTCTTTGCAATTTGTTTTGCACCAAGTTTCGCCATTCTGAAAAATATGCATTTTGGTTTAGGATCACGAATTTAATGTACCCTTGAACTTGAACTACAAAATCTTAAAATTTGCATTTTTTTTCAAATCTTGGCTCAGCTGATTAGAAGTACATATAATTAGTATTCTGGAGGTCGGTTTAATCCCACTACTGAAAATTTTTTTGATTTTCAAAATTTTGAAATGGAGGGGGACATAATGTACGATTAAGTTATGAGAATTCGAAGAGGCCCCTGAAATTCATTTTTAAATCACCAACCTCACACATGCATTCCACACATTTATCATTTTGATGTGTCCAACGTTCACCATTCCGATATTTCACGCCATCTTCAATACAATGTTTTTTCGATTTACGATGACTTCTTCGCTTTCTTCTATGTTTCCTCATTCCATCTTTTTCCTCATTATCCTCCATCTCCGATGTTTTCATCGACATTCCTCCCGAAGAACACGTTGAATCACAACAAGCTGTCCACATATTCAAATTCATTTCCGGTAATTCTTCACATTTCTCATAAAATTCGGTGGAATTTCCATGATAGATGAAAATATCCCGTTGAATTCTATCAATATCATCACCATTTGTACAAATTATTTTAGCAAGGGTCACTTTTTTGATTTGACGCAATTGAGCTTTTGAAAACATTTCTTCATTTTCATACCAGAATCTATCACCATCTCGAAGTCTTCTGAATTGATCAGCAATAATACAAGCCAATGTTGGTCCCATCAATGCTTCAGATGTTCTTCGTTCAGTAACTCCACCAACCCATAAATCAATATTCTGAGGAACACCATACAAGATCTTCAATTTGCTAATAACTGTATCATTATGAACAATTTGTTTCAAATCATCCCATTCTGTTGGCACTGAAAGATTACAAAATTTCCGATATTCTGTCCAAGTTGGAAGTCCGTGATCTCTTCCTCTTTGAATATTCATTGCAGCTAGATCGAGAGCAACTTCATGATAACGATTGAACAATTTTTCAGTGAGTTCTTTGTTTAGAATTTGATCAGGTCTTGGTAATTTGATCGGTGCTGCGAATAATCCGCGGAGAAGTGGGTCAACACCACCTTCAGATACTAATCTTTCAGGTGCGAAGAATGCCTGAAAATTTTTTAATTTATAAATTAAGAATCTAACAATAAGAAACTAACATTGTGCAATGGAAGATGTCCCTCTTTAATTTCTTTGAAATTCTTATCAAATCTGAATAGTTGCGGATTAATCAACGTATGAGCAAATCTCAAAGCAGCCGTGGCAAACTCATTTGCAATTGTTGGATTTGTATCCGGATTATACCCACGATACTCTCCAATAATTTCATTAAATGTTGATTTTCCAAGAATCTTTGGAAGCCAATCATTATAAGTAACATGTTGAAGCATAGCACCAATAAGTTTTCGGGTTTCTTGGAAAATTGTTTCACCATCCCAATGTTCATTGATTTCTAGCAATCGGGAAGCAATTCGATTATGTTCTCGAAGGAAAACTGTGTGCATACTCATTAATCCGAGTTGCTCATTTGCTCGAACATCACCAGCTAGGAAGCAGTTTATTGGATTTTCACGTGAATAATTTCTTCGGCAATCCATATCTGACTCTTTTTCGAATGGCATATACGGTTTATTGGCTCTGAAAAATACATGAACTAGTTTTTGTGATGAAAAATATGTAAGATACTTACGCTGAAACAATATCAAAACGTAGAAGTCCATGATCACTGTAAAGATCTCTCAATTCCAAAGCTTGTTCTTCACTATTTCCATAGATTCCAGAAGCATCCAAGAATGAAGTTAATAAATTCAATTGATCACGGTATGTTACTCTTTGGAAAATTGGTGAAGTTTCTCCGCTTCCGCAAGCTGCGCCATTTCTTTCGAATTCAATGCAAGGGAATTTTTGATGTCTGGAAATTCAAATTATTTTTTTTTTAAATAAAGTTAGCGGGTGGGTTTTAACGGATAAGAAAATAATGTTTGCGCGCGAGAAAAAGGAATTATAATTTTCAAAAAAAATGTGCAGTAGAGCGAACATTCTCGTTTTTATGATCTGAAGGGGTAGAAACATTGTTTTTTATACATTTTTTTCTAGATCAAGGCGACTTAACCCCAAGAGCTAATAAGGCTCTAACGTATTACATCCCCTTCTAATCCAGGTCCCTGTTAAAACTCACAATCCAACGTGAAGTTTTGGATCATCAGCTTCTAACTGAATATTGAAACATGGATCAACATTTTCACAAGTTCGATTACAAAACGCGCCTTCTCGATAACTGTGTCGAGTCAAAGCTGGAGCTGTTAATGTCAAATCATGATCAATAAATTGTCCCCATTGCATTGTCATTGCTGTCAAATGATTATGCGGTGTTATTTCATCAGTTCCAATCAATTCTCTTGAAATTCTTCGTGGATTTGGTAATTTGAAACCATGATAAAGTTTTCCTTTTTCCCAACCAACTGGTGTATTGAATCCATTTTCATATCTTGGTGGTAACAATCTCAAAAACGCCATTTCAGAAACACCCCACATTGAATGCTCATAATTATTACATTGTCCATCATATGATCTATACTTCGAGAAGAAACAATGATCATCACAACTTTCAACAAATTGTCCTGTTTGACAACCTGATTTCTCCATCAAAGTTTGAACATAGGCAGCTGGAAGAACTGCTTCATATGAAACATTTGGTGAAATCATAGCTGGTGTGAATTGAAGACCATTGTGAATATGCATTTGAACTAATCTGATCGATTCTTCATAGATTTCACGAGCTTTTCCAAGATCAACTTTTTTCAAAGGAATTGCGAATTTGAAGAGTTTTTTGAGATCTTGTGGGCTGTTAATTTTGTCCATCCGTCTACTTTCTTTTGTTGAAGTCAATGCGCTAAATGAAATAATTGTAAAAATCTCAATCAGAAATCAGATACATACCTCTCAACTTTAGTTCTAGCTTTCATCGCAATATCATCAATTGTCATAGGATTCAACAAATCATCAACTTTCATTGTCAAATCAGTACCAACCATGAGTTCAGCTTGAGCAACAGCAGATCCAATACTATTCACAGCTTGACATGTAAAAACACCAGAATCGTGTCGAGTTACTTTTTCAATCGTCAATTCAACATTATTTTCAGAGATACTATATCTAGTGTTTCTTCTAGGAATTCGAGTTCCTTCAAAAAGCCAATAAATATCTGGTTGAGGGATTCCTCGAGCATTACATCGAAGTGTTATCATTTGACCAATTTCAGCCTTGGTGTTCATTGGTGGATCAAAAATCATTGGCTGCTGACTGGCAAGAAGGGCAACATTTATCGTATGGGAAATTGAACCATGAAGATTTTCAGCAGTACAAGTATATTTTCCAATATCAGCTTCCAAGAATGGATAAATTCGAAGAGTTCTACCAGCTCTCATCAATTTATGCTTACGTGATTCCAAAATTTCCTAGAAAACTGTTTTGTTCATCTATAGAGAGACAAAAATAATTACCTTATTTCCAAATGTCCACATAATAGTTGGAGATGGATTTCCAGTTGCTTCACAAACTAATTCAACAGCTTCTCCATCTCTCGAAGATGTGTCTTGTTGTTGGAATGTGAACTCAGGGTGATTAGAAACTGATGCAGTTTTCTTTAAACCATGGTTTGCTTTGGTAAATCTCAATCGATCCACTGTGCATCGAATATGATCTCCCTCTTTTTCTGGGATCGTCAAATCTCCATCTTCAGTTGTCCAATAAGAATTATTGAATCGAATTATTTCTTCGTTTCTGAAAAATAAATGTACATAACAGGACTTTCACGGAAAAATTAAAAAAAAACTTACCCGTCCATCCAAATATAATTCAAATGAAATGATTCATCTGATGTTATTGGGCATTTCAAAACTCGGGCATTGACATCTGAAAGCATCTCCTTCTCAATCCTTGGAACTTCGCAACGCAATTCACTGCTTGATAACTAGAAAATTTTCAAATTACTGAAACCAAAACGTTCAGATTCTTACATCTGATACAAGTTGCCCTCTCAATCTTGTCGGGAAGAAACATTTTGCCAACATGAAATTCGCAGAAGTCGCATCGCCGAATCGTTTGAGATGATCCATTCTAAAAATATTTCACGATACATCTTCCAAGCAAAAAATTATTTACCTGCAATCACAGCTCCATGGATTTCCCGCCAGGTTCACACTCTTCAAGACAGATGCCATTGATTTTGGGAAGAAATTATTGGGAAGAGATTGAACACGATTTTTGGCAAGGTTGAATTGGAGCAAATATGGGAAAGGTTTCAGCAAATCTTGATCTAGTTTTGATATCATATTGAAGCCAAGATTCAGGTTTGAAAGTTTTGTTGGGGCGGATGTGAGATGAGGTAGAATTTTGATTTTATTTTTGGAAATGTCGAAATACTTCAGACTTGGGATAGCATCAAGGATGTTCTGAAAAAAAAGGATTAATGAAATGTATTCATTATTTGAAACAATTAAAAAATCTGGAAAATTCAACAAACCTCTTCAACATATCTAATAGTATTATTCTGAAGATCCAAATGTTGCAAATTCGGAAGCATCTCAAAATCACTTTTCTTCATAGAAACCAACAAATTATTCGAGAAAATCAAATGAGTTGTAGTTGAAGCGATATTCATTGGCAATTTCATAAACCCCATCCCACTGCAATTCACCGACATTCCCGAACAATGACAACCAATTGGACATTCTTGATGAAGATGTTGATTCGCAAATATCGAACAAGGAATCAGTAAAAATACCAAGAGGATATACATCCTGCAAAAAATAGTATAATTAGATATAATGATGATGATGACACCAATAAAAAATACAAAGAAAAAAGTATGAGCAGATATCAAAAAAAAAAAGACAAAAACGCTTCCGACTCGCCAGATCACCAGATGTTTGAAAAGCGCGCGGCTTTTGTATATTCGAGTTAATGGGGCTCGGTTTTTGATGAGTTCATTTTTTGGTTTTTTTGCGCGGCTAGGTTTTTTGAAGCTTCTAAAGGTTTATGAAAATTGATATTTTTATTTTTTAAAGTCACGGAGCGTTTTTTTTGTATCAAAATTTAACTAGAAATTGTTTTTAAAGACTAAGTTGCGTCTAGAACCTCTTCATTCTACATTATCTCTAACTAGTGCTTTAAAATATTTTTGTGTGCGTGAAAAAGTGAACCTTTTGTAATTTTTTTTAGAAATTGAAACAAAATGAAATCTACTGAAACTTTTCTGCGAGTTTAAAGGGACATTCAATTTAACTTCAGGGTTCCGTTAGTACAAAAGTGAATAAATGAACTTAAGCTTTAATTCTGTGGTCGTATGAACTTTTCTGATTTCTGCGCGGGTTTAAATGCTATCGAATGCCCTGTTTTTAAAACTTTTAAAATCAGAAAAATGAACCTAAAAATCTCTAGTCTCAATAAAAAAAAGTACAACAAATTACTTATCATATCTCATCATCTTTCTCTAATTTAATCGCATTTGAAAAACACTCCAACAAAAAAAATTCATCTAACCAAAAGAACACAAAACCGCAAGTGAAAAAATTGTGAAACAAAATACTGTTCGATTTAGAAGAAGTTGGTTACTCTGCCCAACCAACAAAAAAAACGTTGATATCAAATGTTGATTGATTAACACGAAAAATTGTAATTTTTCTTCATATTCGTATTTTATCTTTTTCCGTCCGTCCGTCCGTCCACATAGTTTGTTAGTTTACTGTAATAATACTAATAAAAAAATATAGATGTAAGTAAGTACCCTAAAAATAAGTTGGTTGCGCAATATATTTCGAGAGGAGCAGATTTTTTATGGCTGGTGATGGTAAAAATCAAGTGGTAGGTAGGTAGTGTTTTTTGGTCAGATCTGCCCAAAAAAAATCTGACAAGTTTGTGTAAATTTATCGGTCTCTTTTTCCATTTCTCCATGTGTCAAGTCATTAATCTTCCAGTCATTTTTTGCTGTCTATTTTTTTAAAATCATCCCATCTGCTTTTTTTTCAAAAATCCCTCGCTCATTATAATTATGTTGTTTTTCGTTACACATGAATGAGCATACATTCCGAGGCTGGTACCAAAAACAAACTGTATTCAAAAAGACAAAAAACGGACACCGGAAAATAGGTGCCAATTATACTCTTTTGTGTTTTTTGTATTTGGTTTATTTGAGTACGTTTGGAACATTGCGGTTGTAAATATTTAACTGGGTGGTCCGTTTGTTTTGCATGTTAGTTTCAATGGGGCCAAAGTTATTTTCGGTTAAGATGGTTTGTAAAAAATATAGAAAAGTATCTTTGATCCACAACGTTTTTTGAATCGAGTTCATTAGAAAAAATCAGGAATTTTTAGATCCTCAAACTATGTTTTTGATCTTTTTTTTCTGAAAGCCTTGAAATAATTTTTACGTATTTTTTGCATTTCAAAAATATTTTGGATAATTTGAATCAGATTCAAAACTTTCGAAATTATATAAAAACATGTTCAATGAATTTTCAACTTATGATAAGTCCGATAAAAAACCTGCTATTAGAAATCATTTTTTCTGTGATTCTTGAGAATTTTCAGTTGCTCAAAATTTTCAACTCTGACGTTTGTGTTTAACAATTTGAATAACCTGATAAGAAAATTTCATTTCGAAATATTTAAATTACCAAAAACCTTCTTTTTTTACAAGTTTTTTTCCTTTTTTTTGTACTAATTCATTGTCTTCATTCTCAAATATCAATACAATCAAATACATATTATTCTCATAAAGAATTCCAAGCATTTTAAAAAGTCATCATTGCCATATAAAAATCAGGTTCAGGTTCATCGCAAAATTTCAATGACATCATGAGTCATCCCCCCACTTAATTCTACAAAAGATATGCAAAAACACAACAACAAAATAATTATAATATGAATATGAATAATAACAATAATAATATATTTCGGAGAGAGGTATTTCCCGCGCGCGCGTACCATCCTTTCTTCCCCCCTTATATCGATTTTCTCGATCTGTCACTCGTTCCCTCTCTGCGTCTCTTTTAACCCTCACATACTGTTTTCCAATGACCTATTGTTATATATTTTTTCCGCATCTGTCTGTAGCAGGAGGGATTGTTTTTGTGTTGTTGTTTTGGATGTATCCTAATCCTTTTGCAACCAACCGTTCATTTTGTTTCATTTTTTTGGTTTCTATCATTTGTGTGACTGTTTTTTTTCTTGTCAACTTTGATTGCATTTTATTTGAAGTTTTGCCGATTGTTGTTAAATTGATACGGTTTCGCAATTTATCTTCTTCCTTCAATTTTACAAACATTCCATTTCTGTGTTCTTTTTTTCTCGAACATCAACAAATATTATTGTTTCGCAATTTTTTTTTTCAAAAAAATTTTCAAGCACACCAAAAAAAATTCTGACTCACAACCGGTTTAATTTCGTTCGTTTGGCTCAATTTTTTTTTCATAATATGAAAAAAATGAAATTGAAAAAGTGCCCATTTTTCATTGAAAACATAATGATAAGAGTGCTGTCAGAACAATTTCAGACAAATTTGAAATGTAAAGACAAATGTCTTTTTGATAAGAGTTCTTCGATATCAATATATTCCATCTGCATATCTTTTTTTTCGGGAGAGGTTCCTAGAGATAATATTTATAATTAGATCTCTATTTTTTTTCTACATTTATAAGGAAAAAACTATGCTGCTGTACGTAATATTTGTATAAGCTTCGGAATTTTATGATGTTTTTGGGTTGTGTTTGCACAATCACACCTACTGACCTCAACAAGCCCAGTTATCCTTTTCCGCTTTTTTTTTTTGGCAGGCTTGCGTGTGTCATGTGTTGTTAGATTCTTTGTTAGAAGCTTTTTTTGTTCTGGCAGATCTTGTGTTTTTGTTCTGATTTATTTAAAGGGGGTATACCCTATTGTCTCTCGTACAAAGTGTGATACATCATTCGATTCAGAATTTTGTGTTATATATGCACAAAAAATTTTAGCTCTCGAAACGCATTCTAAGTACACGTTTTTTGCGTCCAAACAGGACCAAAATCTGCTCGAAATAAAAAAAAGAACACACAAGAAAGAGAGACGCAGACTCTCGCTGTCTGCCAGCCAGCCAGCATGAGGGTTGTTTTTTCTTCTTTTTTTACTGTTTTTTTTCGAATTTTGTGTTCAAAAACTACGGTAAGTGTGAATATACTGTAATAAAATTAATAAAAACAACACACATGCTGGCTGGCTGGCAGACAGCGAGAGTCTGCGTCTCTCTTTCTTGTGTGTTCTTTTTTTATTTCGAGCAGATTTTGGTCCTCTTTGGACCCAAAAAACTTGTACTTAGAATGCGTTTTGGAAGCTGAAATTTTTTGTGCATATAAAACACAAAATTCTGAATCGAATGATGTATCACACTTTGCACGAGAGACAATAGGGTATACCCCCTTTAAGCCGAGAATTTTTTTGTGAAAGTAGGGATAGTTTTTTCATTGAATTTTGTTTTGAAATAATAATTTTTCTAATTTATGAGAAAATTTTTAAAATTAATTTATTTTTCTAATTTATTCTATGAGAAGCCTCAAAAATACAAAAATTTTAAAAGAACATCTTTGTGAACTTTCAAATAAAGTTAGGTTAGTTTCTTAAAAAAAAACATTAAAAATGTTTTATCCATACTTTTTTAAATAAGAATTTTGATTCTTTGATCTCCCGGTTTCCTTAATTTGAATTTTTTTTTGAAAATAGTTTTTTTTAGAAACATACAAATTTAGTTGTTAAAACTCTAGGATAATTCACAGGGCTTTTCGTATTTTCAATTGGAAATGTTCCAGTTTCAAATTCAAAAACGTGAACATCTCTATTCAATCTTTTGATCCTCCCATCATCCCCACAAAAACCACAATTATATTTCAAAACCTTCCCAAAAATCACTCATTATCATTAATTACTCATTGTCTTCTTGTTTTTTTCCAAAGTGCTCTTGACCACCAAAATTTTCTTATCAATCCCCAAAAGAACTCCCACCTCTCATTCATCATTTTTTTGTCTCAAATTTTTCTACATATAGATAAATATTGTCAAATTCTCAAATTTCTTCAATTAATTTTCTTCTGGTTTCTTTTTTTTAATGAGCACTGTGAGCAGGCAGGTCAATCGGGTTCATCAGCTGTCCATTAGATTGGCGGATCACACATGTGTCCCCATCTCCTAATTATTATTCGCCCCCTTACTGTTCTGTTCAACCAAACATACAGTGCGCGAACACCTGTCTCGATTTTTTTGTTTTGCTTTATTCCACTTCAAACCATACCACTTGAATATATTATTTTTGATACTCATTTTTTATACAAAATTCTCTGAAAATCTCTCCTCCCACTGATTGTAAACGTGAACATTTTTGAGTCATGAAAATTGAAATTTTGATGAATCATCATTTTATTCAACACATCGTGCTATACTTGTTGTTATCATTGTTTGTTTTCCTGCGTCCCCGGCTTCTCACCATTTGATTTTTTATATTTCAGTTGTTCATCGATTTTTTATTCAATTTTTTTTGAAATGTTTTTTTTCAATTCTCCGTCAAACCAAAACTCAATTATAGTTTCATTTTGCTTAATGCACTATTTCAATTTAATTTTATCTAACTTAATTTCAGGTTTATATTCATTAGTGCTCATGATTTTGCAGTAAAACTATCATATAATGAACTACAATTACATATCAATAATATTATTATATTTATTGTTTTTATTAGCGCATGGATTTCAACCTCCGAAAATAATTGTTGAAGAAGCGGAAATTCAAGAAAATGAACTTATTGGACGATTTGTTGAGTTGAAAGAAGGAGAAAAATTAGTCTTGAAATGTACAGGAAGATTTGGTGAGTTTTTGTTTCAATTTATTTTAGTGGCCAATAAAGAATATTATAATTTTTAATATTTTCAGAAGATCTCCAGTTTGCTTTCCCTGATCTTGAAGACAATAAAGGTTATGATAAGAATGATTTTGATTCGCGAAAATCTACATTTGAAGATGAAGAATTTCAAGATCTAGTCTTGGAGCTGAATGATCTCAAAACATCAGACACGGGTTCATATGGTTGTCGATCAGAAGAACACTCATCATTAAATGATACAATTCACGTGTTCGTAAAAGGAGATTCAGTTTTTCTCCCATTGAAATCAGATGGTTTTTCCTATCATCAAGGAGAAATTATTGTTCCATGTATGTCGACGAGTTTTCTTGATCGGCAACAAATTGAACTTTATCGCAATGGAGAATTGATTAAAGATGCGTGGAAAGTTTATAAGCATGGGTGAGTTTTTTTTTAAACTTTTTCGAAAATTTTTTCTAATTTGGAAATGTTTTCAGAGTCGGTTTCAAATTAACCAAAAAAATGGTAGACGTTAAACCAATTCTTCACATGCCATTTGAATGTAAATTCACCGGAAGTCCTGAAGAATCAGTGACTTATTTAATTTCGGAAGATAAAGAATCCTCAAATTCACCCGATGATTATCAATTGACCTGGGATGAACCAATGGTTTGGCCATATGTTGGATTTAATTACACGATTAACTGCCAGCTTAAATTTCTTGGCAAAGATTTTACCTATTATCTCAATAGATTGAATGTCACCTGTCCGCGATGCTCCAATGTTGCACAGGTTAGTTGTGTAATTGCAGATGGTATTTTGTAAGTAATTGATACCTTCAAAAGGTTTAGCTGTTTAATGAAGGAGGAATGAGGGCGTAAGACAATTATAAAAGAATATGCACAAAATTTTTGATCATTTCAGAAAACTTATTGAATGCAAAAAATGTTTTTCAATGAAAAAATACCAGACAATTTTAATTTTAAAATTTGGAAATTTTTGGTTCCCTGAATTTTGAACAAATTTTCATGTTTTTTCTTTCAGCAAAAACGTAAACGCGATGGAAATGTGATCATAGCTTCAATTCAAATTGAATCCTTAACTCCGGAAGATTCTGGAAATTACACTTGCACATGGGAAAATGATGATATGGCAGAATGGACACGTACAATTCACAAACAAATCAATATTGCACCCAAAATTGGACAAATCAGAATTGTATATCGTAGTGAACCATTAGTCAGAGTTGCGCAAGGTGAAGAGATCAAATTATCGGCGCAGATTGCTGCGTATCCTATTGATAAAGCTGAATATCGAGCGGTTTGGATCAGGGTTTGTATTTTTTTTCGGAATTTATGAACAGTTTTTAAAATTATTTTTTTTTCAGAAATACAGTTCACCTGGAAAAGAGGGTATCGAACAAAGTGAAACATTGATAACTGATGATGGCAATATCTCAACTGATAATAAATTTGAAGATTCGATATTTGGCGAAATATTGACAATTAACGGAGCTCTAACTAATGCAAAAATGAGTGGAACCTATATGCTTTCGATTGTTCATAACGGAACTGTTGAAAATATTGAGTGGCAAGTTGCTGTCGAAAATCCAGAAGCTGAACCAAGAATTGATATTCGTGAACCATCTTCATTTGTTGTATTCGAACAACCATTTTATCCACCAAACACTCATTTTCATATTGATTGTCTTTCGATTTCAATTCCACCAGCTGATACAATTATGCAGAGTAGAAAATTGAACAGTGGTGATTCATTTGTTGATATTGATCAAGATGAATTGGCAGCAGTTAGTGGAACATTTGAAAGTGGATATACTTGGAATAAAAAAATCGATGAAGATATTGAGATCAAGTGTGAAGCAACGCGTGATGGCAAAATAACATCTGTCACCAAACAGCTTCGAATTGCTGACAAAGAGCCGACATCGGGACATATCATAATAAAGAGCTCAAAAGCGACAACACTTGAATCACAAAAGGAAATTTATGAGGGCGATGGGGTCAAGTTCAATTGTACTGTACCACACGCAACCACTTGGACTGTCAATTGGGTGTTTAATGATGTTAATCTACCAACAACTACTGAAATTCATGGACACACCAAAATCTTTTATGCTATTTTAGAGTAAGTTATTTCGAAATTTATTGCTTTTTCCTAAATTTAATTTTTTTAGCAATGTTAATCCAACAAATGATGGTGATTATACATGTTTAGTAACCGATGGAACTCAAGAGAAAAGATTGATTCAATCAATCAAAGTTGAATCTGTGTCGAAACCTTATCACACAAAATCAGATCCAGAAAAACCAATTGTAATTGAATATGGACAATCAGCGACTTTAGAATGTCATCTTCTTGGAAAACCAAAGCCAACAATTGAATGGATTAAAGATGGTGATATTTATATGCATGGTGATACAGTCAACACTTCTCTTGAAATTAATCGAGTTCGCGCTGAAGATAATGGTGAATTTATTTGTCGAGCAACAAATCGAGCTGGTATCACTGAACAGAAAATCAAAGTCGATGTGATTGGCTCACCAGAGCAAAGTTCTCGACTCCTCAAAGTTGGCTTGACATTGGGATTGCTCTTCGCGATTTTTGTCATTTTTGCCTGCTGTATTGTATTATTACGATTACGCTCGAAATCCAAAAAACAATCTGAGTAAGTCATATCTTTTCAATTTAGTTAATTTATTCTAATAATTTTTTTTAGCGCCCTTGCTCAACTCTATGAACATTTCATGAAGACACAAACTGGTCCACCAGCAGAAGAAGCAATTAAACTTCCACTTGATCAACGAGTCTATCAACTTCCATATCGAACTGAATATGAATTGAATCCGGAATCTGTTGAAACTGGAAAAGTGGTATGTTTTTTTTCTAAAATCAAATTGGCTCTACCGCAATTTATTCGTGTGTACTTCTCTCGGAATTCACAGCAAGTTTAGACTTGTTTGAAATCTCTTGAAAATCGTAACACAATATGTTTTTTTCAGCTTGGAAGTGGAAATTTCGGAATTGTCTACGAAGGTTGGATCAAAAAACGAAGTATTGTAAACGAAGCTCAAACCTGTTCACGTCTCCATGTTGCTATCAAAACTCCTTTGAGTGGGTACAATGTGAATCAACAAAGAATGTTGGGCGAAGAATTGAAAGTGATGTGTGCCATCGGAAAACATCCAAATGTTCTTGCTCTTGTTGGAGCTGTAACTAAAAGTATGAGAAAGTGAGTTGCCCTATATTCTTTTATATTTTTTATCTCATATTGATGTTTAGGGGTGAACTTCTTGTGGTTGTTGAAATGTGCGATATGGGAAATCTTCGAGATTTTCTCATCAAAAATCGTGGAAACTTTGTGAACGAATTGAAAAGTGTGCAAGAAAATGGAGATGGTGACTATATGCAACCAAAATCCCAACAACGAACCAAATATGCTGCTGAAACTGATCCAAATTGGGAAAATCAGCGGCTTCTGGAAGAAGCTGCAAACACTACAAGTGTCAGTACTTCAGATCTTATCTCATTTTCAATGCAAATTGCAAATGGAATGGAATATTTGGCAGGAGTTCCGGTAAGTTCCCAAAAGCTTATGTTGTTTCCTAATAAAACATATCGATTTCAGTGTGTTCATCGAGATTTGGCGGCAAGAAATGTATTGCTAACTTCTAACAAAATTGTGAGAGTAGCTGATTTTGGTATGGCTCGAAAACACGAAGATAAAAGTTATTATCGCATCAAGAAAAGTAAAGAACTTGCCCTTCCCTACAAATGGATGTCAATTGAAGCGATTCAAGAATGGAGATATACACAAGAATCAGATGTTTGGGCATTCGGAATCACTTTATATGAAATCTTCACTCTTGGCGGAAATCCATATCCATTGACAAAACCAGATGATCTTTTGGATTATTTGTTGGCTGGAAATCGGAATAAGAAACCGCAATATTGTCATGAAGATATTTATGAATTGATGAAGAAATGTTGGGAAGCAAATCCAACAGATCGACCAAATTTTGCAAATTGTGTATATTTCTTGAAGGAGCATATCAAAAAAGCATCTCCACAGGTATGTTTTAGATTATTGTTATTAGAAAAAAATTTCACTATTTTGGAAACTTCAAAATCTTATTTCAATTTGATGAAAGTCTTACATATTCTGAATTCTAAAGCAAACTGATGGTTGAAACTGAAATCGAAAAAATTCAGTGAGAGTTTTAGAGAAAAATATTTTTGATCTACCAAAAAATAGTGTCCAAATTTGTTATTAAAATTGAATCTCCATTCTTCAATTATTTCTTGATTTTCAGTTACTCGAACGCCTCGAACAAGATTTGATCCGCGAATCAGCAAAACAAGAACAACTCGAAAGCTGGCTCCACGAAGAAGATCCCGACCCTCGAATCCTTGCTCAAACTGGTCAAACAACTAGTCCATCAACCAGTGAAACACATTATGTTCAAGATTTCCCTAGAAATGTCTAGAATTTTTCCACTTTTACCCCATGTCTCTCACTCAGGATCTTTTTGTAAATAATATTATAATATCCCATATAGTTCTTACTTCTGCTAATCAAAAAAAGATTCCCAAACCAAAATGTTTTACGTGTAATGACTTAGTCAATCAAATTTTCGGTTCTACTCTTGTTTTTTTTCTTCTTGTATTATTTTTGTTTTTGTTTTTTTTTCGCTGTGTTCATACTTTTTATCTGCACCAAATTTGTTTATGAAATAATTCCGAATGAAGATTATTTAATAAATTCACATTTTTTGAAAATAATTTACAAATTATCCCACTCATCGTAAGCTGAATTTGGTTGATAATCCTCTTCAGTTGTTGGTTTTTTCTTCAACGCAATTTGATTTTGCTCACGTTCGAATTGCCAACTCTCAAAATCTCGAAGAGTTACTTGAACATATGATGTAACATAATGTTGTTCTTCAGTTCTTTGATATTTGTTGAGAAGATCTAGAGCAAGCTCTTTGAGTTCCGCCAAATTCAATGCTTCACATTCACCAACCAACCTTAATTTTTAAGTTAGAAATTCGAAATCTGATCTTAAAAATGTTAGCTTACTTTGCCAAATCATCTGGTTTGCTGGGAAGTGCCAAAGATGGAACAAACTTTTCTTTCTTCAATCGTAAATATGCCAAAATATGGCGGAAACATTTTGCATCGCGATCCAGATAATAGTTTCCTCCCTGCAAACAAAATGCACAATTATTGTTTTCTTTTTCCTGATATTTCCTTCCTGTACTTACCTTATCGGTTGCAATTGGTTTAAGAGTTCCGGGTTTGAACCATTCAGCGAGTTTTGATCGAGGATCGGCTAACATGTCAGTTCGACGAACTGTGTATTTTTTACCGCCAACATTGATGTTGAGAATATCGTCGGCGTGACGAGGGCGAGACATTTTCAAGTAGTGCTCTGGAAATGGGGTTGGGAGCTTTGCAGAAGGAAACTGAATCGTGTTTAATGGAACGGAAAAGTGAAGTAAGAATGAAAAGTTCAAAAAGGCAAAATGGACCGGGAATATAATTTTTTTGATCACAGGTACTTTTTCAAACATGAAAGAAAACGAGTGATAGGAAAAGGATAGGGAATCTTGAATTAAAGAAATCTGAAACACATTCCATAGTTGGAAAATGATAGAATATGACAATATTGGCGAATAAAAAACACAATTAAATTAAAAAAGCCACGTGTTTTTGATATATTCTAAAACATTGAAATCCAGCCAAAAAACGAAAAATAATATTTTTTTTAATTTCACAAAGTTTTAGAAGAGCCCTAATTCTATCGATTTCAACGAAGATTTTTTAGTAGCAAGATTTTGTAACCCTTTGATTTTTTTCCTTTAATTACAGAAAAAAAATAAATGATTCAGATTTTGAAATAAGTTGAAAAACATAATTTCGAAACTTTCAGAAAATAACTTCACTAATAGACTAGTAGATAAAACCCCCACACTAAAGTTTCAAAGAAACTCAACCTAAATAAGTTCAGTTTGCGCCTAACCAAACCACAAAAGTTCAAATGTAGAAACCCTGGGCCTTTTATACTCCCCGAACATTATCCGGAAACAATTTGTATGGATACATACATCTATCACGTTGTTCCGCCCAGCTCCGATTATATTTTTACTATAAGTTTTCCGGAATTATCCATCAATTTTTTATGACAATTACAGATCCCAAAAATTTTCTTTTCTACATCTTTTAACTTTAAACTATAGTAAACACAAATCTATATAAAAAATGAGAAAAAAAAACTAGATTTCAAAAAATAGTAAAGTGTAAGGTGGTAAAGTGTGCTCATTCAAGCAAATTCTACCTTCTCTATTTTTCTTTTTCCCCTCTTTTCCTTTTTTTCAGAAGACATAATTGTTTCCGTTGTCATAAAGTATCAAGGTTTATTCATATTTTTCATTGAAAAATGGCAAAGATCAATATTTGAAGGAAAAAAAAACAAAAAAATTATCGAAGTTCGAAATCTACTGAACTGCCTTTTGAAGAATGATACATCACAACACGCTGAAAAAATCAATGTTTATATTTTTTTTGTTTGGAAAAAATTGTAGCTTACATTTTTATGACCTTCTTCTCTAGAGTCTTTGTATTCAATTAATGGCGTCAACGGTGATCTTCTGAAAATAATTAGGAATTGTAATTGAAACCGGAATTTTTGGTTCTGAAGTGCATACCTCATGTTATTTGATCCAACATCAATAAGATCGGAATTTTTGTTTTTTCTACGAAGATTTACATAAAGTTGATTATGATGAGACTGCGAGTTTCGAGCTAAAATTATTTCTTTTCGGAATTTTCGAATCAGTACGTATTAAAACTAACGTTTTGGCCAGCTCTTTCTGTTAGAACTAGGAACCGAATCTGTTTCAGTTTCATAATCATCACTCGATTTCTGCCAATCATCTTCAGTTCTTCGATTTCCAGAATTTCCAGATCTATTAACTGGTCCTTCTCTTGGTGGACATTGACAATAACCTCCATCTTTTCCAGGTGCACCTTTTCGACCTTGTATTCCTCGGAGTCCATAATCACCTTGTTCTCCAGGTTCACCAGTTGGTCCAGGGAATCCTTCGGGCCCTGAAAATAATACGATTGAAAACATCGGATTTGATTTCAGTTAGAGCAAAAATCTGGATAGTCTCATATTCTAGAAAAAAAGAGCTAATTTATTTCAAAACTAACCTGGCGGTGCTGGTTTTCCATTATTTCCAGGATCCCCTCTTGCTCCAGGCAATCCAATTCCACCAAGAGCACCTTTTGGACCAGGCAAACCAGTCAATTGCACAAAATCTTGTCCAGGCTCTCCTGGATCTCCCTTAAACCCTGCTCTCCCAGATTGTCCGCGTGAACCTGGCAATCCAACAACACCAGGTTCATTAGTTCCTGGTTCTCCGGGTTCTCCAGGAATACCAGGTCTACCACGTTCTCCGGCATCTCCTCGATGTCCATCTTCACCAGGTGGACCTTGAGGACAAGGAGGACATTCAGGCTCATCAACTTGATATATTCCATCTAAACCATCTTTTCCAGGTTCGCCTGCGATTCCATCACTTGGCCAAATTCCTTCCTCACCGGGTGGTCCTCTTGGACCCCTGGGGCATTCGATAACAGTACAATCTGAAAAAAATGGATGGGGAGGAAATCAGGAAAGTTATGTAGTACCACAAATCTTGGGCTCATCAAATTTATTCCGTCTTTTTGCATTTTCCGAGTTCCTCCATCTTGGTCGACTTTTCCATGATTGACGTGGACTTCGGATATGTTCATCTTCCGCGTTCAATAATGCATCTTCAGTCAGAAGTTTCAATTCCTATAACTTATTTTTTTCTATATGAAAAATTCTTATAAACCCAATATACCTCATATCCATTCACATGATCAATCAATTTTCGTGACGTGTTGTCAAGCAAACTTCCAAAATAAATGTATAATAAAGTAGTGAAAATGATGAGTAAAATTGAGATTGATGAAGCTATTCGAGAAGCTGTCACTATTATTTCATCATTTTCTATTGTTCTTTTTTTCATCGCTGGAAAAAATGAAGATTTTTGTAAAAATCAGGGTGATTGAGAATTGATGGAAATGAAAAATCTGAAAATATCACATGGGAAATAATCTGGATTCTTTCAATTAAACTTCATTTAATTTTTTTCTGAATCTGAAAACAACTTGGGATAACTCAAAAATAACAAGTTTTCACAAATAATTTATCAACTGAAAATTTTCCAGGTGGAAATGGCGAAACAAAACGAAAAAAGTGAGGTTTTCAGAAAAAATTATATTTGATCTACCAGTAAAAGTTTTTTTGACCGTCGATTTGAAAAATTAAAGAAACATTGGAACGTTTTTGAAAATCAGATCAACAAATCCACAAAAAAAACATGAGAAAAAATCAATATAAATGACCACAAGAAATCGAAAAACCGCGAAAAGCTTCAACTAAAATCCAGATTTGAGTAGACTCGAAAAATGACACGATCACAAATTGGTTTGAGAAAAAAAAGAAGCAAACCATAATTTGTCTCCTCCTTCTTCTTCATTTTCTATTTTTTGTCCAAATGACACCCAAGACTATTATTTCGATTTCTATTCATATTATTATTGTTCATTTCATCTCATTGCCGTATATATATTTTTATATACTACAAAATGAGGAAAAAGGGGAAAGTTGAATGACTAGTGCAAACTTGACACATGATTTTCTTTATGTTGTTCGGTCGAGAAATGGCTAATTATTTGTCGGTTTTCAGGGTTTCGAATTGACTGAAATGAAAGTGGTTCTGAAACACAATTTTCCGACACTTGAACATTGATGTTCCATAAAAGTAGAGTCCATTTGCGTTTTGAAAACAGGAACTACACAGTTGATATTTTTTGGAAGACGTGGTTTACAATCAGATGAACATTTTTATAGAATTTTGGAATCCAGTAATCAAATTGTTAAAATCATATTTGTTTTTTTTGTGATTTTGATCGGATTTGAGATTTCCAATTTCTGTATAACACACCACAGTGCCAGACACAGTGATTGAAAATTCGTACTAAATATTTGTAATAAAAAAATTCCCGTGGGGAACAAAACTACACACACTTTTGTCTGTTTTATTATAAATGATTACAAATAGTTTTTTCCCGTTATTTTATGTGAGTCATTATCATTGTATTGATATCATTTCACAGAAAACACCTTTCATAATAACTCATCACATCACTTATTTTTCTCATCAAACTTTCATTGAGCATGTATGTATGCAAATGAAAACGAAACAAAACGTCATTAAAAATGCTCTAATTTATCAAATTGATAATTTAATTTTTTTCTGTCATTAAAAAACCAAGGAGAACTTATTCATAAGCAAAAAAAAACGCGGAGGAGACTCCACCCATATTAGAGAAAAAGAAAAAGAGAGTGAATGAGCAAATAAGATGAAAAACTGGAGGAAAGAGAAGAAGAAGCCAGTTCATTTTTGAATACAATACGAAACAATACGGGAGGAAAGATGAAGAAGCGGAAAACAATGAGAATATCATCTGTCTGTTTTTTTTCGAGTATTTCTTGTTTTTTTTTTCAAATTTATTAACCTTCCACCTTTTTCATTTGATGTTTTCCTCAAATTTCTTGTTTTTATTGAAGTTCCGTTAATTTTTTTTTGTATTTCTCAATTTTTAATTTTTAATTTCATTTAGTTCCATTAATCTTCAATTCGTTTCTTTTATTTCTGAAATTTTTAAATGAAATTAATACTTTTCTTCGAATTAGGCTAAATCCCTGTCATCTTCGTTTCAATACTCCTTACTTCTATTTTTCAGATTTATAATGTCCAGATACTCTGTACCAGTTCCTGATTATGATTTCACCATCCGACAAAAAAATCCATTCATACCTCAACCGGATTACACAACAATCAAATACAATAAACCAAAATTCCGGCCATCCTTAAATCATATCGGAACCGAATTTTCGCAACAAACAACAATTCCAGAAACTATTGAACAACCTAAAGAAAATAGATTTTCGAGACCTCCGAAATTGACCGATGTTAATTCAAATTTTGAGGTAAGTTCGATATTTTTTTGCATTTCGAAAGACAAAAAGAAATAAAATAAGCGGCTTATTTATTTTGCTCACGTATTTAAAAATCAATGATTCGTTGTATTATTCAAAAAGTTTTTGTTTCGTGATTTGAAACAATATCAACAAGATTTTCGAAGAAATTTTTTATCAATGAGAACAAGAAGCTTATGAGAATAACTCTTTCGAATATCGAACACGTGCATTTTTAAGACGATTAAAGACTTTTCACACTGTTTGTGATGTTTGAGGTCAATTTTCTAATATTGAGTTCAAAAAAATATGAAAATAGGGATCGGACCACCCACGAAGATTAATTGATAAAATCTGAACGGAAACAACTTTCAATAAGAAAAACTTTTTTCATGTTTTGTATTGAAAAGGCGCTTCAAAAATTTTCCCAATGTGCAATAAAGTTCTTCCAGATCAAAGTTCATTCCTACAAAGAAGATCAAAAATCAGAAGAAGATCCGCATCCTCGTTCAACCCTTGAACACATCAAACAAATTGGAGTTCCAGTGATACCCGGAATAATTCGTCAGCAAATTCCAGTCTTTGAAGGTAAGCATTTCATTTAATTTCCAAATGCCCCATAAAAATCCTAATCATAATCATAATTATATCTATGTAAATGTTATCACCGAAAAAAAAACCGAATTGCGAATAGAATATTTTTGGGTGTGGAATGAGAGAAAAACGATGAGTGCAATAAAAAATTGCTTGGGTATTGTATTGTAATCAGGGAAATGGGAATTGATAGACGTTTTTCATCGCCAGACTGGCGTCGAAAATTCCAATTGAGGCGGCACTTTTTAATAGGTTTTTTTCGGTTTCTGTGAAAGGAATGTGACCTGTGTTTTGAACAAAATACGTCAAATGACATTTGTTTTTAGTGCATAGGAAGTATGAATAAACAAAAAAACTGAAACTGTCAAATATTTATCAATAAAATGAAGGTCATAAACATTATTCTTTGCTCAAAAACTTCCATATATCAATTAAATTAGTATCATCAGCCTGTCAGAAGATGCTTGCTTGTAAACAATTATAATCCCTTAAATAAATTGTTCTTATCATCATGCAAAAAAAAATGATCTGGTCACACACAATTTGAAATAATGCATGTGTACGCACACGACAACAACCAAAAAAACAAGAATTTTTACAGCCTCTGCTCCTGTTGTATCATCTGAACAAAATAAAGCATTCTTGAGACATTTGGAAAATCACAAAAAGTTTGACACTGTTCGCGGTGATCGACCATGTGAATTATGTGAGATTATGAGAAAACAACAAGAAGCTGAATATCAACATCATAGTCGGTACGTTTTTTGTTTATTTTTTTGACTAATCGAATCGTAAGAATGAGAGGCGACCGGAAGAAATAATGAGCATGAATGAAACAATAATCTTTTTGGAAAACATGAAAGATGGGGGCGAATTGTGTTTTGTTTCAGGCAAAACTCGTGGAGTGAACATCGAGGAAAAGTTGTCGAATATCAACAACCACAATATAATTCCGATACCCCACCAAGAAGAAAAAGAACTGATGTGTAAGTTTTATATTTTTTGGAGAGACCTATTTTGCGAGTCTATAAGTTATCAAAACTTGACAGTAAACAAGTGTTTTCTTGATATTGTCAATTATATTTTGCTCAGAATCATTTTTCTACAACATGTTTTTGAAGCTAACGACGCCTCTTCATGATTAGCATGATTCTCATCATTGCAAAAAACACAAAATGTGTTAGGGAAGATGTTAAAGTGCGAAGGGTTGTTGATTTATGTCACCGACAAATATTGGGTTTTGAGAAGTGGCATGTTTTGTGTATAGTGGAAATTTTAGTTGGAATTCTATCTAGAATTTTCTTCAATCAAACTGTGTATCAAAATATTTCTCAAAGTTTTTGAAATCCAAAGTTAAAAGAATTTGCACCGAAGGCTATAAGAGTCAAAAAATTATATTTCCTGAAAATTTATAAAAATCCTCAAAAATTCAGCCTGAGGTTTTCTTCAATTCTTTATTTTATTCATATAAATTTCATTTTGCTCAGAATCATTTTTCTACAACATGTTTTTGAAGCTAACGACGCCTCTTCATGATTAGCATGATTCTCATCATAGCAAAAAACACAAAATGTGTTAGGGAAGATGTGAAAGTGCGAAAGGTTGTTAACTTGTGTCACCGACAAATTTTGTGTTTTGAAAAGTGGCATGTTTTGTGTGTAGTGTAATGGAGATGTTAGTTGGGATTGCAGCTAAAAGATTTTTTGTTTTGAAAATTCATCAAACAATTTCGCAAAGTTTTTAGAATTTAATTTCAGATGTTCAAATCTGATGAAATTTGAGCTCTAGAAAAAAAAATTGATTTTTATTTTTATTTAAACACTTTTTCAGATTTAGAATTTTTGTTCCCTAACTGTATTGAAAATATGAATAAGTTCTACATATGAGTCATAACAGTTTCACATATTTTCTTCCAAATGTTTTTCGTTCTTCATTATCTTACTTAGAATACTTTGATCTTCAAACTATATTTCTTATCAAACAGTAGCTCATTTTTCCTCCTTTTAACCAACCGCAATCACACCTCACCTCAAAGAAAAAAATAAATACCATTTTGACAGTTTTCCTCTTTATTATCACCCCACCCAACAATAAATTCTCAAAAACTGCGAAAAATGTGATAAAAACTTCTCGACACCCTCTTATCTTCACCGAAACAAAAAAATGTGCATTTTTCAGTCGATCACTTTTTCCACAACATCAAATCAATGAGGAACCTGAACCGGAGCCATTTTTTAGTAGTGAAATGACTGCTCGAGCAAGACACAATTATGAGATGAAACGGGAAGGAGAAATTAGTATTCGTGCATTGGATACTGTTGAAGTAAGAACATCTACATTTTCAATAAGAACATCCATAGAATTTCTTTTTTTCAGATTCTTCATATGGAACAAGGATACGCATTATGTAGAAGATCAGACAATATTGTTGGATGGATACCTTCAACAGTTTTTGATATTCCAGCATCCCATTAAACATTTTTTTTCTATTTTATTAACCCGCTATCTCATTTTTCAACAAAGCTTTTCTTCAAAAATATGTAACTATGAATTTTATTGCGACAAAACACGACAAATAAATTAAGTTCAAGAAAAAATAGGGTTCACAAAATAATAAAACTAAAGAGAAATTTGGCAAGAAAGAAAAAAGAAATGGAAAAAAACCTGTAAGAGAGATCAAACTACAAAAAGGATAGACAGAAAAAATAGAGAAGTGAGAATTATTTCTTCCACAATCCTCCAATATTACGAACATTGTGGAAGACCGCATCCTATATGATTGATTCGTCACGGTTTATTGTGAAAAGGGTTGGCTCGGCTTTTGAACAGTCGATGAACATTTGTGCGAGGGATGGACTGGAAATATTGATTTTTTTTAAAGATTTGTGGCTGAAGAACCAACCGTTCAATCGAAGATGTCGATGATGTTGGACTTCTTGTCTCATCCATCACTGTTTCAGATGTTGTACTTGAACTCGAACTTGTGCTAGGACTGCTGGATAAACCATTTTCGATTCTTGGAATAACCGATGAGACTCTGACTTCTGCGGGTGTAATTGTGATTGTTGTTGCTGCTCTCTTCCGTCTTGGTTTACTCCCATTTCTAGGCTCTCGATGTACAGGAATTCTAGCAAGCATCCTTCTAGGCAAAGGCGACAAAACTCTAGTGACACTTTGATCATTCACACTTCTCTCTTCCATCGAACTATCCAAAGAACTCGTTGATTCAGATGACAAATACAATGTTGCAGTTTGAACTTCAGGAAGAGCCGGTCGATAAAATGGTGGTGGAGAGAAACTAGCGATATTTGTGTTGGTCGAATCCGCATATGCTGGTGGCGCATTTGAATAACTGTAAAGAATGAATGTATCGAAGAAAAGAAGATTGATTAGGTTTTAAATTGTACATGTTTATGACGGGAAGGGTCGGGTCGTATTTGTGGATGGATTAGCTGTTTGCAGATGGTTAACACATGTTTTATATGTATGTCTGTGTGGATTTGTGATATATAGAGGGTGAAAGGAAAAATGTGTGAAAAATAGAGGTGACAAAGATAACGCCTGGTTTTTTTTGGGAAAATAGTTTCCAGGATCAAAACTTTTTCTGAGTAGATCAAAAAAAATATTTTACTCTATATCACTTTTGAGTTGAATCGTACCTTTGAACTCGGGTATTTTCCAAATCCGCACTCTCCTCATAACTCGGTGGAGCCCTGATCATAATTGGAAATTCATCCACCATATTCCCAGCAACAGTTGGCAACATAACCATTGGTGGAAGGGTCGATGATGATTGAGCACCAACACCTGAAAAATGAGTAATTATTCATTTTGCTCCAATTCTCACACCCTCTTCTTCTCCATCCTCCCAAAAATGCTAATTAATCCACTTTACTCTCTATCTATCCATCTATATGTAGATATAATTGTGTGCACCGGGTGTCACATTTTCTATTGTTTTTCATTGGCCAATTACTTGGGGTGCTCTAATGTCTAATGAATTTTGGTTCAACAAAATAGTTTGGTGTGTGTCAAACTATGTTATGGGCTAAAAGGCAGATGTGATTTTCGGGTTTTGTCAAGGTCGAGAGGAGCGAGGCGCGTCATAAAAATCATCATCACATACATGTTTGAAAAACAGATGCTTGCCCAGAAAAAGAGGCAAAATGTTGCCACCATTTTTTAATGACTGTGTCGCCCATGTGTCTAGAGTAATATGATAGGCTAATTGAGGAGGACGGGATTAGAATGATCTGACTGACTCTCCTTATGTTACACTTTTCAATATGGAGGTAAAATTGTTACAGTATCCTTGTGTGTTTTTTCGGATAAGCCAGCTTATTTGGAACATTTTTCGGGTACAGTATTCCACATAAGCTGTTGTAGTTTCTACTACATTTTAGAATCTCGAGAAAAACTTGTTTACAGGGTTGATATTAGTCATTGAAAAAACAATTTGTAGCTCCAAGATAAAAATCACGTCAGCACACAGAATGATTACTGTGGATTGGAATTTTTTTAATGTCGGGTTCGAATTTATTTAACATTTGGCCTATCAAATGGAATAGTGTGTGAACCGAGAGATTCAGAAAGTAGATTAGAAAATCCGCTCGATCAAAAGAACACTACAGTATCCAGTATTTTATTCATTATACCAAGCTTCTTTGTATTTTTAACCACATTTTTATACAGTATCCAATAATTTTTCTTGAGGCTTATCTCTAACAATTTTTTGTAGTTTTCACCACATTTTCATATCTCGAGAAAATTTTTTTTCAATATTACTCCCCCAGAAAAAAATCACGCCGAACAAAGGATTACTGTGGATTCGCATAAATTCGAACAAAATTTATGGAATTTCATAAGAAGAAGAAAAAGGAAATTAATCCATCTCATGAAATTTAAATATAAATGCAATATTTCATTCCTTCCCCCTCAAGAAAAAAATGCACAATATTCTATTCTATCCTATGCCGTTTTAAATATAATGTAATACAATGTAATGTAATCATTACCGATTCCAAACACATTAATCTTTCAGTCAAGCCCGCAAAAAATTTAGATTAAAATTCAAATTCTTTCCTTTTTTCCTCATTTTCATCCTCTCAATTCAATTCAATTCCTTATTTATTCCCAAAAACACAAAAAATACATCCATATGCATGTTTGAAACCGTGTCATCGAGAACAAAAAAAAAGTGCCGCCGCCCCAAACAAAAATTGACAGATGTTTGAGTTGACTGACTTATGTTGGAAATCCCCCCTCCTTTTTTCTTTATCTGAATGTGAGATTGAAATGAAGAAAAAACACACAGAGAAAAATGTTCGGATTGAATAGAGCTGCTAATTTTTATGCTTTCTCCAAAAGTCTTGAAAAAAAGTTGTGTTGTTGTTCCATATGGTGACAGATAAACAGACAGAAGGAAGGAAAGTAATAGTAGACAGATTGGTACTCTAATGAGAAATCGAGAGGGGTCAACTGAAGTTAAGCAAAAACAATAATGGATGAATATAAATAAATAAATAAATATTTCCCCGGAGATTCCTAAAATGATGACTTACTTGAGATATGCAAACGAGATGTTGCGAAAAGACCACACTCATAATTCCGACGCATTGCAAGTTCACATTGGCGTTGTTGAATTTGAAGATTTTCAGTTTCTTTGATTTCAATGAAGAAACAGGTGACGAGAACGGTTGCCATTACAGTGAGGATGACAGCGACAACTGGAAAAAAAACTTCAGGTTCAGACTTTTTTTCAATATTCGATTTCTATTTTATGATTTCTTTGAGTTCAAACCAGTTAAGGTCAGAGGCTTTGTGGGTGGTCCTGCTGAAAGTCAATCTGACCGTGTGTGAATCGGAATTTATGTTATCTTCATAGGCTTAGCCTGATTGGAAGTTTTTGGATCACCCGGTATGAAATGTAAAAAATATATTCCTAATCTAAACATCCATCTTCAATCAACAAAACTGAAAGCTTTTGGAGTTTTCAAATCTCACAACTTTTAAAAATCGGAAATATCATAATTGCAATCAAAGTTTAACTAGAGTTTTTTTCAGAATTTTCTTTTTTTTCTAATTTTTGGAACTTTTTTTTTTTGCATCTGCACTACTCCTCCTATAAAAATTTTTGAACTCTTTTTCAAAAAGACCACACACACCCCAACCCAAAGTATCTGGAACGTTTAATTAAAATATTCATGAACCCTCAACAACTCCTTATTAGCATTTCCATCATATTCTCCTTCAAATATAAATAAAAATAATAATAACCCTCATCCGGGTGCTAAATAAACTAAAAACTAACCCGAAATGAGTGCCAAAATCATCTTGTCTTCAGTGAGAAAAATTGTCAACGACACTCCGAATGCCGACATTGTTGCAATCAGCAGAAATATGGTCCATCTCACACGCATTTTTGAATGATCCATATGATATGAAACTGGCAGCAAAGTTATGTTGCTCTGGAAAAAGGGGCGGGGTTTTTTTTGGAGAGCAGAAAAGGACAAATATTTTGTACATAAAATCCTTGTTTACCAGTTTGAATTCATATTATGAATAAAAAATCTTTTGAACTCAAACAAAAAAGAAAATGAATAAAATATTTGAGAACATTTAATTGATTGGCTTATATAAAAAGAATGATTCTATTTTTTCTGCGCTAGGTAAAAGCTCACAGATCAACTAACTAACAAAGTCTATGAAAGAGGAACAAAAATAATTTAAACAAGACAAAGAAGTAATAGATAACTCGAGCCAACTGCTTTTCTTCGAGTGATCCACCATCCCCTCTTCTCTCACCATCAAAACTCCGCCCATTTTATCCTCGTTCACTTGATGACAGATGGTCCCCCCTTACCAACACCAAACCAATAAAGAAAAAAGATGAAATTGAAAATGATGATATGTATGTATGTGTGTGTGGTATTCATATATATAAAAACAATAGGAACATCCGAGGTATTTAGCCACTGTTAACCACATCTGTCCAATTTAGGAAGAAAAAAAAGAAAGCAAATGAAAAATAAATGGGATTAAAACAGATTGGTAATTAATAACTTGATACAACAATGGATTTGGTTCGTTAATTTATTATTAATTCACTTATTGGTGTGGGATAGATGGTGAAGCGATGGATATATTGGCGGTTTAACCTAATTTCACTTTCAAGTCTGTTATTTGATTACTAATAAGTGCAAAGAAACAATGAGAAGACAGACCAGACAAAATGATTTTACTTGTTTGTGACATTTAATCTTTGACAGAAGAATGACAAAAATGAGAGCTTATCAAAAACCAAAATCAATTTAATTCACCCTTCTTCGAATAATTTTTTGCACCTGGAATAATTTATCAAAGATCAATCACATATTAGCAAACATGGAAACAATTTATATAATTTATATATATAAAGCCTATGCAGATTTGATATCAAATGTAACAGAAAATTGTGTTTTGTCCTACGAAGAAAAAATAGAGAAATATGAAAAAAACTAATTTATAGCTGTACTTTCTAGAAGGTGAAGTCTGAGATAAATATTGATTTTTTTTTTGAAAATTAATTATAAAAGTGGTCTTTTAAATGAGCTAAATTTTTTTATCTCAAAGTTCACCTCTGATTTTATAGTCTCTCTGAAAATGGACTGTTTGTGTACTAACCAATGAAAAATTTTGATTTTTGTTAAATTTTACAAAAAAAAATTTAAAACCCATGAAGTTAAAAACAGAAATGAATAATTTTTGATCACGAACTCCCAAAACGATTTCTAAATTTTCTCAATAATTGAAAACAATATCATCAAAACAACCTGAATAACAATGAGAATTTAGGGAAAAAAATTGAAACATCGAAAATCCTTCCTCCCATTTTTAAAATGTTCATGTAAGAAAGTACAAAATTAATTCTAAAAAAAAATGAAAAATACTTGACTTTTGGACAATGTGTTTTTCGAAATTATGCGAACAAAAAACATATTCCCAAGATAACATCTATTATGAAATATATGTATGAAAAAATTCTACAAAACCTACACTGTTTAAATTTGGTTAATAAAACATTTTCCCCGCAAAAAAAAAGTTTTTTGAAATTACCCATATTACGTCGTGTTCGAAGAGTTCATTCGCTCAAAAAAACGTAAAAGAAATCGACAAAAATAAATAAAAATAAAATTCACAGGAGAAAAGAAAATTTCACAAGAAAATTAAAATTTTAGAAATTAGGAAATTAATTACACTGAAAGACATTTTGACTAGAAAAATTAAAACGGTTTGTTCCAAAAAATTAGTTTTTCTAAAGTTCAGAAAAACATTAAGTTGCGTGAGTGAGTGAGGAAAATACCCAAAATATACATACAGGTTTAAAAGAATTTTTTCGGGAAAGAGGAAAAAATTTGGGGTGTGGGAAGGGGAAAATGCGGTAAAAACGGAACGTATTTGGAAATTAAGTGAAAATTATGCAAGTTGTTGTTTTTGAAAGTTGTTTGTAAATTGTGAAGGATCTGCAACTGAATCTTTGGAAGATTCTGATCTTTCTGATAATGGTGTTCTTTCACGAAGATCGGCAAATGAGCGATGAGTTCTGCAAAAAAATACGTTAGACTTTTTCTTGAAGGTTTCTCTCTCTCTCTCTCTCTCTCTTGATCCAAAACCCCGTGTAAACTAACCGTGAACTATATGGTCTTCCTTCACCATTCGAAGAAGGTGTTAGTAGAATATTGCGATTTGTAGGAAGTTGAACAATAGCAATAACCTCCGAAACTTTAATTCTAGCCATATTCAATCGCGATTTCAATCGACCACATTCAGCTTGAAGATAAACTTTATCCTGACTCATACTTGAATGCGGCACCGGATCTTCGACGGCAAAACTCTTTGCGCCACCAACCAAAAAGTTCAATTCATAAAGTTTTGGTTCCATCATAACACATTTTGCGCATGGCGGATAAGTGACACTTGATGATTGTTGTTGTGAAGAACGTTGTCGATGAAGGATGCTTTTTTCGACTCCAAGGTTGGAATTTGTCACTTCGGTGACAGCGTGACCTTCTTTTTTTCTGCAAAAATTTGGAATATTGGATTGAATTCTGAAATTGAACTTTGTTGGATTTAGCCCAAGATTATCAGATTCTCATAGGAAAATATTGGATCAAATTCAAACCTGAAAGAAAAGTCAAATTCTGAAAAATTGTGGCCACCTTGTTTTAATTCTGCCTTCTAGATCGATTTCAATCTGAATTTCCGGTGTATTTTTCTTCATGAATCTTCATTTTTCCCACGCTTTCAAATTTTGGCCCATCCCTTCCCTCTTGAAATTAACTATAACCCTTTGATTGCATAACCTCCCGAAAATAAAACCTCGAACACTTTGAGTCTATAGTACAAAAGTTCAACATTTTTATATTTTTTCTGCAAAAAAAAACGCACCTGTTTTTATCCAGCCATGAATAAAATCTTGACGAAGGTTCAGGCGTTGCTGGTTCATCATTGCGATTTGCATAACGTTTGGATAGATTCAAAATTTGACCCTCATACATATTTTTTTGGGTTATCAATGTGCTTTGAAGTAACTGCAAAAATTATTGATTGATTTTTTTTCAGAAGATTTTCAAAACTCACTTGAATTTTTCTTTCATACTCGTGAACATGTTGCAATTCATCGAACGCGCCCGTATCATTCTGAAAATTAATATAATCATTTATTTTTCCATTTGAAAATATATGAAACCGAAAATGTTCTACAATGTAACAAAAGCGAAAGTATTTTAGGAAGCGTGCCAAGAAATGAAACCAACTAACCACAGGGACAAGTTTTGAAATGAAATATGTATATAAAAATGGAAAAACTTGCCTCTACATTCGTAGGATTGCCTAGATAGGATTGAAATATAAATTTATATTTCCAAACTGAAAGAAAAATCTTACCTTTGCTCTAGAAATGAGTTTTCGATCACTGGTTATACTATTATTGTCACTATCTTTCAAACTGATTAGCATGTCACGATTTCGTGGAGATAATATTGATTTTCTACCGGTTTCACTGAAGCCATTGTTTGAGAATTCTTCAGTTTCTGAAAACAAAAATGAATTTGGAGGGAGAAGAGAAGTTGATGAAATACAATTAGACTATGTCGAAAACAATCCCAAAAGCAAAATTTTCCAAAATTCTTGAGATAATTTTCCGGAGCGCGTAATCATGGGATCGATTTCATCATAGTAAAATCAGTAAATATCAAAAGATTCTATCACTCAAACAAAAAAAACTAACCATTTTTACCCGCTTTCAACAAATTATGAATAGTTTCATATTTGCGCATTCTATCGCGTTTCTTATGTAATCGCTTCCGTCGTCTTCGATAAAATATCGATTCGGGCTCACTATCCATTTCCGACAATGTATCGCCTTTTTGTGATCGACGTTTTCGAATCAACAATAATTGACTTCGGAATGGTGTTGTCCATTGAACATATGATTCATGATCAGAAGCTCGATCATTTTTTGAATATTTTGTCATATCGTGAAGTTTTTCACGTAGACGCTGAAAATAGTTTTTTGTATCAAAATGTTAAATGAAAAAAAAACATAGCAAAACAATCAATATGGATTTACATAACAATTTTTTTTTCGCAAAAAAATAGTGTGAATGACTAACCTTGTTATGAGCGACCATTGTTTCAACTTTTTGTTTCCAAATCATTATTTTTGCAGTCTCATCGCTTGCACGAAATTGTTGATTTTTGCGCAAACTTGCTCGAAGTGTACGATTCTCTTTTTCAGAATTATTCAAAGCTTCCGTTTGCTCTTCCAATTCCAAGCTGATTCTTTTGTTATGTCGCTCAACAAGTTGAATTTTATTTTTGAGAGAAGTTTCATTATGTCGAACAATTGATAGATCTTTTTCAATGTTCTCGAATTCTTTTTGCATTTCAACACGTTCTTGATGAAATTTTTCTTCCATTAGAGCAATTCGCGCGCGACATCTTTCTTCCATCTCTCTGAAAATTGTCAGATTTGTACATAATTTGAAAACAGAATATAAATAACATACTTTATCCTATTGTTATAACTTGCTTCAATACTTTGTTGATTTTGGTCCAGTTCTTCAATGAGCATCGTTCTTCTTTGATTTGCAATATGGATCTGTTTTTGCATATGTTCACAACGCATTTCAAATTCTCTGACGTTACATCTGAAATGGAAAAAAAAATTGAGAAATTATTCTGAATCTGAATGTGAGAAAATTAAAAAAAAGAGAAGTTTCAGAATGATAACAGGCTTTAAAAACGGTGGATAAAATGTTTGGGACTGCTGAATATGAGCTCAATTTTGCAATGAGTCATCATTCATGGTTATTTCAAAACCCGTTATGACCTGCATAAAAATCCCAAAAATCTCCCTCTCAAAACTGACCGATAATTTTCAATCAATGATTTCATGCAAAAAACAGCAGCTCTCGTCGATGTTGGTGAAGAGTTCAAAAAATGCGAAACCGCCGCTTCAAGATAATTCCCGAATCCAACAAGTCCAATCATTGATGAATTATTATCACCATAATCTTTCAAAAGACCAATAGCTTCTTCTAATTTTAAACCGGCAGTTGTTAAATATTCAATAACACTTGAACTATCCGCTTCTCTGAAAATAGCAGCAAAATAAAAGAGAGTATCATAACATATATTGATTTGATGCTGTTTACCAATCTTATTTTATTTACCAATCATTTTTTGCAATTTTCAACATTTTCACGTAGCGAATCGCTTCGCATCAAAAGCAATAAACTTTTTCAGAAAAAAATCAAAATTTACGATGCGAACTGCAGATGTTTGTTTATTTGTTGTTTTAAGAACAAAGAATGAAAAAAAAGAAAACGTGTGAATTATGAAATAAGATAATTTCAAAAAAAAAATGATAAACAAAAATAATCCCAACAATTTTTTTTTTGAAAAAAAATGTTTTGAGAACACAATAAACTATATTTGGAATGTCAGAATATAAAGAATATTTGAGAAATGTTGATTTCTGATAATGTGATTAAAATTTTACTTTCTCCATAAAAATGAGAGAAGATAAAAGTTTTGCAAAATAATGAAAATGAGAAAACTTTACTATGATGTGTTCATATTTTTTTGCGAACTTTACGAACTACATTTTCTTTCGGGTATAAAATCGGGGTTACTGTAATTTGCGTAAGAGAAATTTGACAACAACTATAAAATTTCTCGAAAAATATGAATGTGGGGGTTTCGGAGTTGTTATAACAGGTTGGTAGCAAACAATTTTGAACTTTGATTCGGTATAAATCCAAAATTATAGAAAAACAAATTCTCAAGTTATCGGAAGTCCCCTTTCACTTCCGATTTTGGAATTTTTAGTTTCCTCCTTTTTTATCTGATACAAAATTGATTCCGACCTGTTCCTGATGTTATTCCGATTCTATCTAAATTCCAGCATTTCCAGAATTATCTATTAGATCAAGTAAACTTTGAAAATCAATAAATTAGAATTAATGAAAACTAACCCGGTATGATTTTGATCCAATGGCTCGAAAAGGTTGATTGTTGACAAGCGATACGAATCGGCAATAAAATGAATTTCATCCGACATTTTCTGTCTGGTTCGAAAGTGTCCAATAAATTCAACGAGCGAAACACAATTTGGATTGGTGCTTTTTTCAAGAATCGCATTAATTTCAACCAATGTCAATAAATCTAATTCTGATGTGTTTTCACATATCGCGTGAACATCATATCGTGTCAATCTGAAAACCATAAGACTAATTATAGGTTTCCAAAAAACAAAAATAAATTGTTACCTTTGCGTATTCTTGATGCCAAGAGCAGATGATGTTTTATATGCAGCCACCAAAACCTCGTCAATGTTTCCCGATGTTAGATCAATGATTTCAGGAAGAAATGAGATGAAACGATCTTTGAATTGCTGGAATTGAAAAAAAATGAAATTGGTGTTTTATTAGAACCGTTTCAGTTGAACAATTCCTAATAAAAATGGGAATCGTTTTTGGTTGGGGTACGCCTATTCCGATTTTTTTGGCAGATGTAGAACATTCAGCAGATGTCACACCTTGCTCAAAATGACACGATACGTGCAAAATTGAGTGTGTATTATATAAATTTTTTGCTAAATATAGGATAAGAAAAATGAAAATATTAATATTAGAGGAAAATTGTAAGTACATCCCAGATAATCTTTGCAGTGCAATACGCTGGGGAATATTTTCATTGATTAATGTGGCGAGAGAAATTTTTTTTTGGTATTTTAGGAAGTGCTGATTACATTTCCCTAGAAATCAGCTAAATTGTGAAACGCTGTGATTTCAAAATTGCGAAAAGAAAAAGTTCAAACTTCGAACTTTGAAACTCAGGTAGAGTCTTTTTTCAAGAAAAGTTCAGTTTAGAAAATTTTTAGAACGCATTTTTCAGAGTTTAACAAATTTCAATTTTTAACTTACCTTGAAATTTATTGATTCATCCTCTCTCAAAACTCGATCAATAATCGATGGAGCAAATTCGGACAAGCTCAATTTATTGCACAAAATTCCCAGCCCATTTTTATCGAGAAAACCATTTCGCTCGGTGCATGATATGAACAACTGCAAAAAATGTAAGTTTTCCGAAATATTTTCATCTTAACAAGAAACTTGAGCCTAATATTGGTCACTTTTCTCAAAAGTGTAAAAACATATGTTTTCTTTAGATTATAAATAATCATTTTTCATATGAGTATTATTGAAAAATTCGTATAGAAAATGTAGTGAAATTTGATAGTTTTTTTTTAAAATAATGCTCACCCGTTTCAATTCTTTAACGTGCGGATTATCATCGCTCAAATCACCATTTTGTTGAGCCATTGATTGCATTCAAATCATTGCCCAAGTTTTTCCTGAAAACATATATACATAAAATGAGTTAGCGTAACTTGCGAACAATAGAATCTAATTATGAGAAAACATTTTGAAGAAAATCAAATACGTAATAATAAAGTTCATAATTTTTGCAAAAGAAAATGAACGAATTTTTGATAAGAAGAAACATCATTTTGTGAAGCAGCTGTGGGCAACGTATTAAAAGAAAATAAATAAAAATGTGTTTTCAAAGTTGATGTGAATGAAAACTGATTTTTTGTTGTTGTCTAAACTTTCAATTGACTTACATTAACTAATATAAAAACCTTTTAAGCATTACACTTTTCGCGAAAGTTCAAAATATTTCATCACTTGGCAAATAAACGTTTATTAATAATGACTATGACTAAAATATTTTGAAATCGTGGAAAAACTAAAAAAAAGTTTATTTATTTGATTCTTTTAAAAAAGAAAGTATTTATTACACTTCTCTTATTTTCTAAATAAAAGGATTAGTTGATGAACACATTTTATGGTTGTCTGTCTGTAACACGACATTTTATGACAATGTGAAAGTGTTCGAAGCTATGAAGCTCATATTTTATATAATATAGAAATATAAAAAGTTGAAAAAATCACAAAAGAAACCTTGGAAATTTTTTAGATAAAATCTGCGCGGAAAAAAAAGTGAGGGAAACCTGACTATTTTTGGGAGAAAAAAAACTTTGTCGATTTTTTTTCGACATTTGAGTTATAATGAAAATTCCAAAAATGTTTGAAATTTTTTTTGAGAGCTCAAACGCAAATATATGAAGTATAGTAAAAATTCTGCTCCAAAAATAAAAAAAATTCATGGTTGAAGAAAAATGGGCGAGTTGGCTAAAAAATCAGAATTGAGGGTCCTTTGGGGAATTATTGGCACGCAGTTAAATAAAAAAAAAGAAAAGAAAAACCACGAGCGATGACGAGAGTGTACGAATCGATGAAGAGGGTGCTGGACGTGAGGAGAAACCAAAAAAACACAACAAGATATTTGATTGGTTCGCGGAGACACAGACAAATACAAACGAAGTGAGAGACAACAGAAGCGTGTATTTTGACATAAAAAGAGGAAGAGAGTATGAGAGATGAAAGGGAAAAAATGGGAAATAGAGAGAGAGAAAATGAAAAAAAAAAAGAGGAAAGACTGAGTGACGGACGGATATTATTTTTTATTCTTCTGTATTTATTTTTATTTGTTGTGTTGTGTTCTTTTTTGATTTGGTTTGGTTTGGCTCAGCTAAGCTGTCAGCTCTTTCTCTGCAAATACAAATGGTCCAGGTGAAAAAACCTATACAGAAAAAAAATTATGACCACCCAAATAACAACATGTGTTACCTGAAATTTGACACTCTTCATTTATTTTTTTTCCATTCGCTTTCAGCTGCAACAAAATTTATACACATAGTGTGTAAAACTACTCCAGCCTTCAAGTTTTGCAAATTTTTTCTGGTAGATCAAAAATATTTTTTGAAAGTACAGTAATCTAACAGAGGAACCAAAAATTAGCAATTTTGAAACAAATGTCAAAAATTGAAATATTCCAATTTGTCAAAAACTGCGACTTTCATTTTTTTCGACAAAAAAAATGAAAACAAAAAAAAAACCTATGACACATTCGTCAAGCTCATTCGTCAAATACTCACATTGAAATGAAAAATATTTTTTTTTCTTTCTCAAAAAAAAACTGTGATGTTTTGATGTTTACCTAAAATAGAATTCGAGTGAGGAAAAACGAGGAACCGGTTGAGAAAAAATGGAAAGAAAATGAAAGAAATACAACTTTTTCACACATGCATACTCTGACAGAAGGTAATGAATAGGAAATCAGGTTAAATTATTTATTAAGTTTGTGAGCCAACCTGACCTTTTGTTACTTCAATAACTAACATTTTGAAATGAAATTTGGTTTTTTTTTTTGGGAAAACCTGAAAAGGGAGAATTTTATTATCCAAATCATTTTTGGATTCTTAACTGGAACTGGAGAGAGACTGGAGAGTCAGTGGAGAAGTGAGAGATTCAGAGAAAAATGTTTTTGATCTACAAAAAATGTATTATTAAGTTTGTGAGCCAACCTGACCTTTTGTTACTTCAATAACTAACATTTTGAAATGAAGTTGGGTATTTTTTTGGGAGAAACTACAAATGGTGAATTTTATTATTCAAACCATTTTAAGAAACCTAGGGGATGTGATCAAATTGATGAGAGTCAATGAAAACGTGAGAGAATTAGAGAGAAATATTTTCGATCTACCGCAACTAATCATAAAAATTTCAAAAGATTTGCTCTTCAGAAATTTCTTTTCCACAAAAAAAAATTTTTAATTTGAGTTCAATAAAGTTTGTGGATGACATATTGCAGGTATCCTGCTGTTTTTTTCATCCAAAAATGAATGTTTCGTGGATTAGAATATGGAACGGAATAATATTAATTGAAAATGGATTTAATGTAAACGAACTTTGAGGTCATAGGAGAAAAAAAAGGGAATTTAATAATATTAAAAGCAAAAAGTGAAAACAAGTGAGATGTTTCAAGTGTTTACTGGCTGGTTTTGTGTATTGTTAGATTAGAATTTGGTTAGAAACCCGAGAAAAATCCCCCAAAAATGCCTGAAGCTATTTTTTATGCACATGTTTCACACGAAGATTTTTCTGAAGAGAAACTTTTTTCAAACGACCTTTGAAATTAACCTTCACAACATCATAAAAAAGGGAGACAAAAAATTCCACACATTTTCCGCAAATAATCAAATCAAATCAAAACCAACAGGTTTTTTCAACAAAACATAAAACATAAAAAAGGTGGGAGAATTTTGAAACATAATAAAAATAAATAAATAAATAAAAAATTCAATAACTGTAACAAAAAGATTCACACGCAATTGTGTCGAAATATATTTGTTGAAAAGAGAAAATCGAAAAATCGATCTTGAAAAAGCGAACGGCGGAGTTTAGTGTGTATATGATTCAATTCGAGTCGGCAAAACAACACAAAGAAAAAGCAAAAAAGAAGAAGAATAATAACAATAAGAAGTGCGCAGGCTCTGTGTTGCACACTCATGTAAACAATGTAAATTCTTCCCTTTTCCTTCTTATACATATTATTTTTGCTTCTTCTTTGATGATAAAAGCCGCAATCACTAGTTACATGAACAAACATTTGATACATATAAAAATCAAAATCTCAAGTTACTTCAAGTAGGATAGATATAAAACTTGTGTACAAAAAATGAAGAAGGAGGAAAATCGGATTTGGTTTTTGAGAGAAATTATCTGGGGAATTTATTTTGAAGATGAACAATTCTTTGGATCTGTTCAGAAATGAAAGATTTTTAGAAATAAAAAATGTTTTGCGAGAAAATTCTTTTTCGAAAAACAGGTACAAAAACCTGAAAATGGATGAATTTCTATGTAAGATTATACAGTAATTAAGCGCTAAAAATTTGAAAAAATTAAAAATTACTTCTGTTAAATGATAAATCTTCATAAGCTCCATTACATTGAAGCGTAGAGCTCTTGCACTTTTTCCATCTATTGGAAACCCTTCAACTTTTCTAAAATAATTTCTTCTGAAAAAAATCAAAACACTAGAATATTCCAAACCGAAAAAAATAGGAAAATGACTATTAGAAGCAGATATAACTGCAAACAACGAAAAAAGAGATCTCATGGCAATTATGAGAACGTCGTTTGGTATAATGATTGATGGTGGAAAAATGTGTACAAGTGAAATAAAACAGACAAGCAAGCAAGCAATGAACACAACAAAAAAAATCGTATGGAATTTTATGGGTACTGGATTAATTTCATTTTATTCATATTGTTTTTTTGTTGTATTTATAATGACGATTATATTGATGTACGGTTCGATTCGATATCAAGTTCAGTTCTGTATCAGAATGAGTCATATTGAAATAAAAAAATTAGTTTATGTATTTTTAGAAAATTGAACATGTGTTACCTGGTCTTTGTTTTAGCAGACAAGAAAACAAATTCGTCACTTTGAGAAAATGATGATTCGAGTTGGTCAAAGAGAAAACAAAAAACGTCATAAAGCATTGTGATTTCTGAGTATTTTGAAACATTTTATCAGAATTAATGTAATGGATCATGTATGATTAGAAATACTTCAAGTTGAGTTTTGCCGGAAATATGAGTTATAAAAATAAATTCCAGAACCCTTACACAAAATTGGAAGATGTTCCCAGTTATTGATACCTACAAAGGAATGAAAAACGCAAGCTCACAAAATGCACATTTTTGTAACTTTGGGAGGTAAAAAAAACACCCTATAGAATAATCACTTTGAAAATTTTAAGGTTCATAACTTTGGTGAGTTTATAACTTTTCTATCGATCTTTATAGGAAATCCCGTTTTCCTACTGAACTCCTGAAATTTCTGAAAATTTTCAGGTTGCAATCTTTAGCTACTGCAAACCATTGTGAAAACATTTCACGAAAAAATTCCTCAAAAATCATGAAATATTCCCTTATTGAGATTACGTCCTCATACAATCTTCATTTTTCACACCCGTATTCCAAACCAATTTTTCCACTATACTAAACCCACTTTAATCCACTCTAAAAAATCAATCGGCTGAGATGTTTTTTTTCGTCTGCATTCTCAAAACGAACCAAATAATGGGTGTGTTTTTTCAAGATTCCTTTTGTTTTTCAAGATTTTGTTTCCCCCAACAAACATTCAAATAAATTTCATCATTCATTGTTTTCTTTCTTCCTTTCCTCGTGGTAAATTATTTTGGATGATGATCATTTTTCCACATGTCTTGTTTTTTTTTTGAAAACATAGAAAAAATATAGTGAAAATTCAAATTATGTTCCATAAAATAAAATAAAATAACCACTTTGTACTAGGTGCATTCATAAAGAGTACGGCATTGTTTGTTTTGTGAGTTTATCACTGTTTTTTGTGCTTTTTTTGTGGTGAGAGTGAGCCACTAAAATATCAATAACTTTGTCAATTTCATCAAGTGTTTTTTAGTTTCTGAATTATTTTCTCTCTGATTTCAAAACTGTTCAGATCATTTAAATATATTGGAAGAAAACTGAAAAAAGAATGCAAGATAAAAAAGTTAGGCTAATTTGAGAAATTCATCGAAGGAGTTTTAATGAAAGCTTCTCAAAAATTAGTAAAATAGTACAACACCGTGTAACTTTTAATTCAAAAAAATTGCGTAGGTTAAAAAAATAATTATAAAAATATGAAGAAAAAACCACACTCTTTATCATGTTTTTTTTTCAAAATACACACCTCGTAAATCCACACACACTTTGTTTTGTTCTGCGCGCCAAGACCATTATATCAGTCTTTTCCCAATTTTCAAATTCAAATATTTTTTTTTTCATTTCTTTTTTTGCTTTTTTCACCTGTTTATCTTTCACATTTTTGATAGGTTAATAAATACCCAGCGAAAAAAATACAATTAAAAAGCCCATTAACCTTTTCTATCCTAGAAAACTAATCAGAGAGAAACCAGAGACAAAGCAAATCAATATGTATGTATGTAACATATATATTTTTGGTGGTTTGAACTCTTTCGCGGTTCAAATATTATTTGTCTTTTCCATCTCTTCAAAAAAGATAGCATTATTTTCTCGCACGTGGCGCATTTGTCCACAAAAACGCACGTGGGACGAAATTTTCGTCGTCAAATTTCATCATTCATTGTTTTCTTTCTTCCTTTCCTCGTGGTAAATTATTTTGGATGATGATCATTTTTCCACATGTCTTGTTTTTTTTTTTGAAAACATAGAAAAAATATAGTGAAAATGAAATCTCTTGTTTCATTTGTCTTTTGGTATACGAAACACTCTTATCATTTTACATCATTTAACCGTATCATTTGATCATTTTTTTCTTTTTCGATTCATTTGATTTTTTCAGAATGTCGGAACTTGTTAGAACTCTTGTTTTGAAGCCAGATATTTCGAAACCAAAATGGGATCAATCTACATTCGAAGGACGAGCGAGAGTGAGTTTTTTCTTCAGGAATAATGAAATCTGAATATTCATAAATTTCAGCACTTTTTCGCTGTTACAAATCCATTGAATTTGTTCCACGGTGAAAAACAATTGGAAAACTTCCGCAAAATCGTAGACAATTACCAAAAGGGAAATGTTAGCGACACTTTAACATTGGCACAATTATGGAAAGCTAAAACAGTCGCTGATTCAGCATTCCACCCAGTAACCGGAGAAAAAATGATGTTAATCGGAAGAATGTCAGCTCAAGTTCCGATGAATATGGTGATTACTGGTGGAATGATCACATTTTATAAAACACCAGCAGCTGTGATTTTCTGGCAATGGTTGAATCAAAGTTTCAATGCTGTTGTTAACTATACAAATCGATCTGGAGATGGCGGATCAGTTTCACAATTATTGTTGTCGTATTGTGCTGCGACTGGTGGAGCTTTGACTGCTGCACTTGGACTCAATACTTTGGTGAAGAAAGCGCCACCACTTGTTGGAAGATTGGTTCCTTTTGTTGCGGTTTGTGTTGCCAATTCGATTAATATTCCACTTATGCGCAGAGGGTTGGTTATTTTTTTGTCAATTTATGAAAAGCTCTAGGCCAACTTGATGTTAGACTTCAAAAATTACTTTTCATTTCGACTTGAAGTATTTTTGATGATATCGGAACTAATTCTCATTTTGAAGAAGTAATATCCAAATTCACTTATATATTTGATGAACTAAAATTAAAAGAGCGTGAATTATGAATTCCCTTGTTTTGTCGGAACTTATTTACATGTAACTGTAACCTGATTTGCAAAGAGCTATTTTTAAAATTTTCAAATCTTACATTCTCAATTATTCCAGCGAACTTACCGATGGTATTGATATTGTTGATGAGAATGGCCAAGTTGTCGGAAAATCCCCAGCCGTTGCTCGTAGTGCAATCAGTCAAGTTATCATCTCAAGAATTGCAATGGCAACACCAACCTTCGCTTTCATCCCAATTGTTGTCAACTCTTTGGAAAAGATGCCATTCTTCCAGGTATTTTCTTAAATTCCTGTTCCATTCCAGAACGAAATTTTTCCAGGCTCGTCCAAGAATCTTCCTTCCTCTTCAAACTGGATTATGCGGTCTTGTTCTTTCGATCTCAACACCTGTTGGTTGTGCACTTTTCCCACAACAAACTCCAGTATCTCTCGATCAACTCGAACCAGCGCTTGCTCAAAAAATTCGCAATCTTCCGAATGCTCCTAGTCAATTGTATTGCAACAAAGGATTGTAGATTTAGAACATTTATATTTTTAATTGCATTTATTTTTTTCCACTTTTTTTGATCGACCTTATTTTTCATATCGTTGTTAATTTACATATAAATATTACGAGTATTTTTGGATTGTTTTTTGGTTGTTGGAATTTTTTTGATATTATTCCAGAAAATTGTTCATAAAAAATTTGTGAAAAACGTTCATATAAAAGGTGTGAAAATCTTGACATCATGGAAAATTTATTTTATAATTTGGAAAAAAAGGAATTCACAGCTAAGAGAATTCCTGTAAAGTTCTCACTGCGAACTTTCAAATTGATTTTTTTTATAAAATCGGATTGTATACGATTTATGAATTCTAGAAAAGGTCTAATTTTTGAGAATTTTTTTTTCGAGTTTTGATTGTGGAAAAAAACTCTTTAACAAATTAACTGAACTCTTCGGACCATCTTTTTTCGATCTCGCTATAGCTCTAGGGGTCATTATCAAAATTTGTAAGTAGATTTATTCTCCCAGATGTACATAAATGCAGCTGCTAAAGAACAATCCAATAATTCGAATCGTGTACCCTCAAATCTTATTTCACTCTGATCACATTGAATCTCATATTCACTTCATATTCTCTTTAAAGTTTCAAAATCCTCTATCAATCATTATGAGAAATCACAGAGAAAAGCTAAATGTGTACCTGTCATTCAAAAACGCGTTGTCTTTTTTCTCCTCCTCTCTGTGTTTCTTTTCTCCCCACTCTCTCACCAATTTTTCACAGGGACCCCAACAAATTCGCCCCATTGCACACTTTCTTTCGTCACCTTGCCATACGCGTTTCTCATTCACTCTCATTCTTCATTTGCAGTTTGTCTTTTCAGCCATTTGTTTATATAAAATTCAATGTTCTTTTCACTTTTTTTGCGTAATTTTTTCTTCTATTTCAGCATGTCTTAGAGATGCAATCATGTTTTTATGGAATATTGTTTTTAACAATATTTGCGTCGACTTTTGTGGTATCAACTCATATTAGAGGTTAGTTTTCTGTGGAAATTTTGAATCGGATGTGTGTTTTTTAGGAAAATGGAATCCCTCATCACAACGAGTTTTTGTTGTAACAAAATTTGGATTTCAACAAACAAGTTCGAAACATGAGAAAGATTCAAGAGGCTTTTTATACGGAAATTTTCTGCCTGGCGCAAACTATAATTATTCGAGTAAGTATTATTGATTTTTAAGGTTGGGAAAGGAATAGGACGTTTCATATAGCTCTTTAAAAAAATGTTCCGCACATCAAATTTCCAACAATCCATATTTCTAGACCCCGTGCTTCTTGCAATCGCATCTGCTGAAAACATCAAAACCTTCCGCAGAAATTCTGTATATGCCATGTCTTGCGGATCAATGCTGAAAAATCTGACAAAAAAGGGATTCGAGCCAAGATGTTATCCAAATGGCACAAGTGACTTCTTCCGATGGATTCCTTGCCCTCACGGTCATTTATGTAAAGGTGAAGACAATGTTGCAAATGTTATTCCTGGTTTTCAAATGACTATGCAAATTCAAGAACCTTACAATCCTGAACACTGGTTAGTAAATTTTTTTAATTTTGAGAAGGATAAGATAAGGCCGTGCTGATCTTATTCCAAGTTCAATCTTCAGCTTATGAACATAATTTTTAAAGGTACATCTTGTTGATCGCTTGCAACCTTGACGATGATTGTAAATGGCAAGATTCTGCTCCGGATGTTGAAATTAATTATGATATTTGGCTTACCAATGGAAAACCCAATAGTCCGTCCGCTAGTTTTTTCACGTTCAATTTTTCATTTGATGAGCAAGTGAGTTCATTTTCAATAGCCTTAACTTGAAAATTGAATAGAGGAGAATCCAGAGAAAAAGTTCCCAGTTGATTTTCAATTTAAAAATCAAAATTTTCAGAACACTGTCCAAATTTTCCTATTAACTGTATTTGCTTATGCCATCCTGTCTACAATTCAATCCGGTGCAAACTTCAAAAATCGACAAGTTCCCCCAAGAACCAAATGCCTAACTCACATCATAACATTAAAACTGCTTGGATATAGTCTTCAATGTTTCAATGTTTTACTTTTTGCATACGATGGACAAGGAATATTTCTTGCTAGAATAGCAGGTGAAATCCTCAGGTACGATACTTTTTATTTCTTTTTGCTCTGAACCTCTATATTCTCAGAAACACATCTGTTCAACTACTGTGTTTATTATTGATAATGTTGGCACGTGGATGGGATATCACGTATTATGGAACAACTTATTCAAAGTCGTGCATTGCGATTTGGGGAATATTGGCTGGTATTGATCTCCTTTTATTTTTCTATAATTTTGTAAGTTTTTTCCCACTGGGAATATAATAAATGGGCTATTTGAATATAGTTTTTCACACGGTTAGAAGAAAAAAAAGGAATTTTTTAAAAATTGCATTCTGGATGTTGGAACAGAAAAAAAAATAAACAGGAAAAAAAAATAAACGAATTATAATTTAATGTGTCCCATGATCGTGGGCCGCAGGAATACTATTTCTCTTGATTTGTATGATATTTCTCTTAATGATATAAGAGACAGTTCTTATAAAAGGGCTGGCTCGAATGATAATATTAGATGCAATAAATATGTAAAAATCCACCTCGTGTGCTAGTTCTTCGACAGGGGCAATGAAATTGAAACGGCCGCTAATAACAGAAAATCAATATTCCAGATGTTTGTTTATGATGTTCTTCATGATGTTGATGTTTATGCTTCCTGGCCTGGTCATTGTATGATTTTCATTCGGATTATCTATGCGATTTGGTTTTTGATCGAGATTCGGAAGTTGATTGATCATGAAGAGAATCGACAGAAAGCAGAGTTTCTAGCGCATTTTGGTGCCGGGTTTTTGGTTTGGTTCATATCACTGCCAATGATTGGAATTGTAGCCACATTTGTTTCGCAGCTTTGGAGATTCTCATTGATTTTGGGTAAGTCGCTAATTAGTTTGGGGTTTCCGTTTTAGAGCATCTATATCGATTTTACAATCAGATTATTTCTTATTTTTAAACTTATAAAATTTTTCACAAAATTAATGAACCATGTTTTTTTTTGCAGCTCTCACAACGTTCTCAAATTTTGTGGCACTTTCATGTCTGGTACATCAATTCTGGCCAAAATCATCATATCGTAAATTTTTTGCTGATTATACAAAGTGAGTTGATTTTTTTCGTTTTCCAGAAAATTGTTTATTGCTCGAGTGAATCATCGTGAGTCATGTTAGCAATAAAATATGAATGTTTTTGGGAAATTTTGAAAAATTTGGGGAGGTTTTGTAATTTTTCAACAAAATGTCTGGACCAATAATTTTCACGTTTTATTTTGGAAGAAAAATTGTTTTGCAATTAATTTTTATCTATGTGAAAACCAATTTTCCAGGGCTGAAATTTCAGAAAAATCAATATTTTATCCTAATTTTTGAAATAAATTATTTTGAAATCAGAAAACATCCAAAAACAGAGGCCTTTCACATGTCTCTGGAGGTCCTAAAGATCTCCAAGTGAATTACTATCCTAATCATTTTTTCCAGTGGTCATCGCCGTCTTGATCGAGATGATTCTCACGAGCTCAACGACTATGAACAATTCATGTTCTACAACAATGATTCTCAATCAGAAGACGATTATCCAGAATGCGATGAAACTGTCAGACATCAGATTTGAATCAACTCATCAAATCAACAAAAATGATGTATTTAATTTGTATATTTTGAAATCTCTTCTCGCCATTTAAAACAAAACACACACATATCTTCTAGTGCAAAATTAGAGTAGCTTCTGAACGATTCACTAAAAAATGAGCGGCTATTTTTTTCTTATAAAGAAGCATAATTTTTAATCTCATTCAGGAGAAGAGTTCAGAAACTATCAAAATTTATTTTTTTTTCCCACAAAACTCGGTTCTAACCCATTTTCGTTTTGCAACAAACGGGGATTTTTGTATCACGACTTTTTTTTCTTGTATTTTTTTCCATGAATATTTTGAAATATGTGTTTTTAAAAGTGAAATTACGGATTGAACTGTGCAGGTGATTCGAATTTCGAAACCTAGAAATCTAAGAATAAATTCATCTGCAAAATTTGAAAAATCCAGAAATTCAAAAAATATTTTCAAATTCCTAAATTTTAGATTTCAAGCTTTTGATAATCCGGAAAGCTTTTTCTAGTCCGGAAATTAATAATTCATTGATGATTTTGTAAAATATAATATTTTTTTAAAAATTCAATGAGAGTATTTTTGATCTACCTTAACAGTTAGTTTCAAAAAAAATTAGATCTGGAGATTTGAGTGGGAAGTTACACTAACAATATTTTTCTTGAATCAATTTTGAACGTTTTTTTCTGTACAGAATTTCTCATCCTGTTTTTTTATAATATTTTCCATAATTCATTTTCTCCGTTCTTGAAATCACAGATGTTTGAAATCTCAATTATAAAAGCAACAAGAAACGCAGATGTTTCAATACAGTATTATAGGTAAGCTAGACAGCTGCAAATAACTCGGGTGTTTGTACACCTTTTTGGTGTGGATTTGGTGAACCGGAATAATTTACACAGTCTTCTTCTATTTTTTAGTCATCGTTGTTGTTGAAAAATAAGCCTATTAGTTTTTTTTTCAGAGAATTCCATTCCCGTTTTCTTAGCGAGAAAGTTTCTTGAAAAACGATTATTATAAGTAATTTTCACTTTTTCTCCTTGAAAATTATCTTGGCAAAAAAATAAACAAATTTACGGTGACTCAATGAACCGTAGTTCTTCGTCAATTTTAATAATTATGAACTCAACGTTTTTTTTCTGATTTCTGACATGTTTATTTACAAATATTTCTGTGTATTTTCTCCTTATAAGAAACATATATGTATATATTTCCATTAAAGGATAGATAGAAACATAATTAAAAAATATGTCGGGTGAAAGTGCCAATGTTTTTTGTTCATTTTTTTGGAGGCGATTAATTTCATTTCATTTACTCCTATATCGCGCCAGTTTTTTTCTTACACTTTATTTGACTTGGTTATAAAATAATAACGATTCATTACCAAGTCAGTTTTTATGTTATTCAAAAGCGTTTTGAGAGTATTTAGTTCTGACCTGGTTGAAAGTAAATGGTTCAAGGTTTTTTCCGCAAGTTTTCTCCGAATAAGTTCAGCCATTTTTTGGGTGTTTCCCACGGACGAGAAAATTTGAATTAATTAGCTTACTTTGGGAAATGGGTTGTTTTGAAACATTGGATTGTTGTTATGTAATTTGTTTTTTTTTGTTGAAAGTTTGGTACTATAAAAGATAGGTTTGTCTGGAAACAGTATTGTTTTGGTTGGTTTTGAAGCTTTTTTGTTGTAAAACAATTTTAAGGTTGACTTTGAATAACTGTAATTTTTTACTTACTAATTTTTAAGTATGATATAGTTTCTGGAAAATGTAATTTTTTAATTTTTCATAAAAGCTGAACAAAACTTTGAATAGCAAAATGAAACCTTTTTTTCTGAAAATATCACAACATCTTTTGAATTGGCTAATTGTAAAGTTTTCAAGATACTTTATATTCCTGATACTTTATAACCAGACTTAGCTGAAATCTAGGATAGTTCAAACATTTCTGAATTGATCATAGTGAGAATCTAAACAAGGATTTAAAATTTAGCCCAGTACTGCTGCAAAATTTTAAAATATTTTTTAGAAAAATTCACATATTTTTGTACCTATCTATTTTCAGAACTTTTCAATCAGAAAATCGAAAAAATCAAAAGTTCAGAGAACTTTTCCTCTCTCGATCAACATTTCTAATTCAGTTTTGATCATTGTTCATCCAACAAAAAACTCCAATTTTCCACCCAATTTTGTCACCTTGACAAAATGTGAATAACTCTTCTTACCACAAAAAAAGTTTCATACATAGTGTGACCAATAAGTGCAGTATACATTTCCATGATTGAAACAAAATTGGCATTGGAATGCCCTAGTTACCATATAAAGAAATGTATTCTCGAAGTTGAACAAAAAAAACCAACATGAACTTGACACAATAATTCACGCCCTCCAACATTTTTTGTAGTCATTACTATGACTATTATTATGACTATTATTAGGTAACGAACACTTTCATTATACTTTTTTCCGTGTGGCGCCAAGGTGGACTCTTGACGCGCCTTGTTACTACTGTATGCTATATATTATTTCACTTGACCATCTCATAAGTATGTTAGCCGGAAAGTGAAATACATATATAAGTACATGGCTTTTTCAATTGAGTATACTTTGTTGTTATTATTCATATTGTTACTGAGGCGGTCAAACAATACCACTTCAAATATTTGTAGCTTTGTAATTGACACCAAACTAAACTATTTGGCGGCAAAAAGTGGGGTGTATACAGATGCGTTTTGACTCCTCCTCTTCCTCTTCTATTTTTCATTTTTGACTTATGATATTTTGTTTACTGTATTTTCTTTTATTTGTTCTTTTTTGAGTATACCTTATTGGATTAGACTGTTTCTGGGTTGAATTTCATTTTTTTTCTCAGAAATTGAAATTTTGCAATTGAGAAAGAATTTTAGAATACTTTAGTATACATAATTTTTCGGTTATCTTTTCAAAAAAAAAAAAAGGTAGCAGATATCCTAATGTGAGCAACTCAGTTTATTTTTAATTATAGTGCTCATGTGAGCTTTGAAAATTTGGGAAATGCTCAAAGGTTTATTGATTTTTGTGTTTGCCAGTAGTGTCTAAAATGTGATTTGAACTACTGTAGGTTGATTTTGGCGCGAATTCTAAATGTTTGAAAACTTACGGTAAAATTTTTTTTGGATCAAAATTGTAAGCCAGAAATCCACAAAATTCAAATAAAAATGTTAGGTGTTGAAGGCAAAAAAGTTTTGCAGGTGATTATTTTCAGATATGTAGTTTTTGAGGCAATATTGTGTTGGAAAATATTTATTTTATTTTTCCTGAACTTTTTAAAGTACTTTTCTTAAATTTTCTCATTAAAAGATATTTCCCAATTCCAACTCTAAACAGGGTGACAAAGTTCCGACACCCTTATAATTTGCATATCAAATTTCTATTCATCAAAACCATCTTGGGGTGCCAACAGTCATGAAATCCTTACATTTAGCCGCCTTTCTTTTCCATGTTTTCACCCATCATAATACCAGCAATTAATGTATTGTTTCGCGCACGCACGATTTCTTTCTTTCTGCGAGCCAACCATCCAACAATGGGTTTTGTAACTGCATAGTAAGTCGAAAACCATATGTGTGTGAAGACCTTCACACCTTGTTCCACCCATAATTATAATCCATGAGGAAGGAGGGCTATTTGCTATTTTGACAGAGACTTTTATTACGTTTTTTTTGTTTCGGACATACATATTCTGATGTCTTATTCATTATTTTTTATTTGTTAGGTATGCGATTGCTAATATTATTTCTATTATTCGGAGGTATCGCTGCTATTCAAGATGATAATGAGCTGTTAGGTCAACCTGAAATTCAATGTAATACTGATACTATTGATATGCAATTTAGAACTCGAAAACAATTCAACGGTAAGTTTCAGATTCTTGGTAGAGATCAAGTAAGAAATATTTTTTTAGGAAAAGTATACGTAAAAGGAAGTTATAATCGTCCAGAATGCCGTGTTGATTATAGTTCCAAAGATGAATTTGGTCGACCGGTTGGTGGAATCAAATTGAACCACGGTGCCTGTAATATGGACCGACAGAGAATGGTAAGGTTTTTATTTGATTAGGACGCTTTAAGGGCATGGGTGAGAAGAAATATTTCATTTGAAAATATAGGTAGAAAAATCTTTGAAACAATAAGGACCCCAGGGACCTTTTGAAGTGTCTAGATCTTCTGGTCTCATTTCACTTCAACTATTTTTTAGCTTTTTAAGAAATTGTTTTCCAGATTGCTCCAGAAGGAATGATGTTCTCAACAATCCTGATAGTCAGTTTTCATCCGGTGAGTTTCTTTAGCATGATTATTTTCAGTATCAAAAAAATTCGAAATGTTATTTTCACAACGCTATTTTTCCAGCTATTCCTCACTCGAATGGACAAAGCGTTTCATATAAAATGTATGTACAAAGAAGCAACACGCACAGTTACCGCAGCTATCGATGTGAGGTAAGCCGATGAAACTAGTCACAAACCACTTTCCCTCGATTTCGATTTCAGTTTTATTTTTTGAAAAAAAATTGAAATTAAAAAAAAACATTTGTGATGTTTTTGTTTCTATTTATTTTCTCATATTTTTGGTGGGTAACATTGTTTTTTTTAAATTCAATTTACATTTCTAGATAAAACATTACATTTTTCCAGTAACTTGCCAACTGAATCAGTGCAATCTGATTTGCCAATGCCATCATGTAGCTATACAATTCGGAGAGATCAATTAGACGGGCCTATTCTAAAATATGCAAAAGTTGGAGATCAAGTTGTTCATAGATGGCAATGTGATTCGGAAGAATATGGTTTACTAGTTCATAGTTGCTATGTTGAAGATGGACAAGGTGATAAACAAATGATTATTGATGAGAGAGGGTGAGCCATCAGATCTTTGGCAAATTCTACAAATTAAAAAATATTCAGATGTCACACGGATCATCTTCTGATTGGAGATCCAACATACGTTGAAGCTTTGAATATGGCTTATCGAGAATCATTTGTTTTTAAGTTTGCTGATCGGATTGCTGTTAGATTCCAATGTGAAATTCGTCTTTGTTTAAAGGAAGATGGTGGTTGTGATGGTGTGACTCCACCAATGTGTCTTTTCCAGGATGAGAATAGTATTCAGAAACAAATTGTGAGTTAGAGAGAGAGATTTTTAATATATATTTTTACTAAAAATTTCAGATCTTATAAAATTTTATCAGAACTAAATTATATTTTTTTTACTAAAAAGTCCATCAATTGAAAAATGTCTAGATTCAAATCATATCCCCAACCCAATATTTTTCAGGTGAAACGTAACGCAAAAACATTCTCGCCAAAAGAAGCTGATATGTTTTCCCAAACCGTTTATGTAATCGATAAAGATAGTGAAGATGAGCCAAATAAAGAAGAACTTCGAGAATTGGCGCCAAATTCAATTTGCCTTGCCCCAGAAGTTTTCACATCAATTGTTACATTTGCAACACTAACAATTGTCTTTTTGACCACTGTTCTCATGATCATTTGCTATCAACAATTTTGTAAAACAGAAATCAAAAATCTATCAGGAGATTATCAGTATTGATTGATTGATGAGAAAAAAACTAATGTGATCGGGTAGTTATGAAATGTGAAATGAAATTTAATTTCGATAGGCATTGATTGTACTTTTTACTACTTCAAGAATGAATAATAAACTTTGATTTTTTTCAATTGTTGAAACAAGTCTTTACAAAGTACATCCAAAGTACTTTTTTTTTTAATTTGAAGATGTATATTGAACAAAAATAAATCAGGAAGAACAATTTATTGATGACTAGAAAATAGATTCCCATATTTTGATCAGAAATTTATCATTTCATTTCATTTATTTTCCATAACTTGGTCGAACATAACTGTTGTATGGCTTAACAATTGGAGCTGGTTCTGGCTCTGGCTCCGGTTCTGGCGCTGGTGGGGGTGGTGGTGGAGGTGGAGGTGGTGGAGGAGGAGGAGGGGGAGTTGGCTCAGGTTCTGGCTCTGCTTGTGGCTCGGGTGCAGGAGGAGGTGGGGGTGGGGGTGGTCTGTTATATCCACCGCCGTATGGTCTTTGATAACTTCCGCCGCCAAAGTTGTTTTGATTGAACCCATTGTTGAATTGATTTTGATTATCGAATCCATTATTGAATCCATCATTGTTGAAATTATTGAAACCTTGGTTACCATAACTTGGTCTACCGTAACCTCCACCTCCTTGATTGAAGCCTCCTCCGTATGCTCCGGCGCCGTAGCCCATTCTAAAATAAAATAATATTTGTTATCATTACAAAAAATATTTAGGTTAATAAAAAACAACTTGATATGATAAAAAACTTACGCAATCGTTGATCCGAAAAGGGCGATCAACAACCCGAAAACAATTGATCTTCTCATTGTTGTTTCCGACAAAATGAATTGAAAATTTCGAAAACTTAAATAGTTTGAAGATGGTTCTAGGTACCGCCTTTCTATCAATCAATGATAATTTCTGTCTTCTATTTTTTTTCCGTCGATTTCAATGATAATGTTACAATAACAAGTGACCAATTTGTTCGCTCAATAAGAAACCCGAAAAAATAATGAGAGGAAGTTGACACAAAGAAAATTGAAGTTCGAAGAAATTTATGACGTTTTTGATATTGATGTTAGTGAATTTATGAATCATGGAAGTTCGAGAAACTTGATTGATAACTTTTGTGAGGAATTAAACTTGGATTGATTGGAATAATTTTGTTAATGATTCATACCAATGTTTTTTTTTAATTCTCTGAAACACGTTGTGAGTGAATTTTCAAATCTCTGAAAACCCTGATTTTTAAAATCAACCCGGTAAATTTTTATTTTTTTTACCTTTTTGCTTGAATTTGTTTACCCCAATCAGCTTTTATTCAGAAAAAAAACTATGTTTATTGCTATGATAAACCTGAATTAACCCTTGATTATTTAAATTTCGATAGAAAAATTTCCTTCTGAATACGTGTTCATTTGCAATTCTCAATCAAACATTCATCGCTGATTCGAATAAAACACATTTCAAAATAAATCGAATTATATCAATTTCTATTTAACCAGAGCATGAAGAGTTCTTCCATCAAGAAAAATGAATATTCTTCTGCTTGTTCTTGCTATCACCGCCTGTCTCTTGTCAGTCGTGGATGCACAAACAAGAATAATTTGCAGAAAAGATGCCGACTGTAAATCCCACAAATATTGCTTTATATCTAAAGGAAAGCCATATGGAATCTGCAGAACTAAACTAATGCAAAACTAATTGTGGTTTTAAATAAATGATTATTTATTCGCTTATTAAGGTAACCGCGTATGAAAGAGAGATGTTTTAAAAAAATCTGCGAAAAAAAAGCTATGAAAAAATTGTCATCCAGCAGCTGATTGAATAAATTTGGTTATCAGTTCAGTTGGGAAGGGGAATATTATTGTGTTGTTCTTCTCCGAACTGCAAAAAAATGTTTTTTAATAAATTGAAATAACAATTTTACCTGATACTATTCAACGTTTGAAGATAACGTAATTGTATGGCACATGGTGAAGTAGCAATAATGTCCGCAGCATCAGCAAGAGCTCTCGAAGCAAGTTGTTCACCTTCAGCAGCGATAATTTTCGCACCAGCAGCTCTAGCAGCTTCAGCTTCAGCGGCCATTGCACGTTGAAGTTGCAAAGGTAATCGAACATCTTTGATTTCGACTCGTTCAACTTTAACTCCCCATGGATCAGTTCCTTCGTCAAGTGAATTTTGCATTTGTTGGGAAATCGCATCTCGTGACGAAAGCATTTCCGCTAAAGTACGTGTTCCCAGGAAATTTCTCAATGTTGTTTGTGCCAACAATTTTGTTGAGCGAGGCGCGTCTTCAACATTGATCACCTAAAAAAATTTTGAATTTTTTTTTAATTTTCGAAATTTTTATTCAAAAAAAATTGCTCACCGAAACAATAGCATTAGAAATTCGAAAATATACAACAGCATCAACAGCAACTGTCACTGAATCCTTCGACAAAATTTCCTGAGGTGGAACATCAAACGAGACGACACGTAAATCAATTTTCTTGAAAGAATCGATGCAGGGAACAATGAAAAATATACCGGGTCCACGAGCGCCGCCTTTTTTCAATCGACCAAGTCGAAATATCACAGCTCTTTCATATTCTTGAACAACTTTGATACAGAAGAAGATTGAGAGAGGTAGTGTGAATAAGACTAGAAGATAACTCAGAATCGTTACTATCCAACCACATGCACTGTAGGAGATTTTTTGATTATCTGCAAAAAAATAATGATGTGATTATTTTGATTTTTGGTGATGAAAGTTTATTTTTGAACATTCCGGAAACACGTTTGAAAATGTTGAAAAATTAATTTATTTTAAAGGTTGAATAAAGCCTGAATTCATATCCGCTGGCATTTTTACAGAGCAGTTTTTGAACTTTCAAAAGCTTTTTTGAAAGTGAAAAATAATTTTTCAATTTTCTAGAAATACACAATCTTTTGAGAATTCCCACCAACTATAATTTTTTTTCAGAACAACTATCAGCACAATTTATAAGTTCCCTTCTTCCGTCGAATCTTAATTTCAAGATTTTTTTTTCGAAATTCAAAACATCATTATCAAACAACAACAAAAATATGTTTTTTTTTCCCAATTTTTTCTCCACCAAAAATTCTTTACACCAATCCCCCAAACAACAACAACAACAACTAACTACTTTCGAACATACATAACATCACAAATCAGAAGTCGTAACACAATTACACGAAAGAAAGAGTATGTATACATTCGGGAGAGGAGGGGGAACTCTTCTTCCGGCTAACAACAACATCGCCCAATTAACTATAATAGGCCGGCGGCCCGTGAAAAATGCACTTGAAAATGTTATGCAAATCTCGTTTATATACAGTACCGACAAAAAAGATACGAAAATGTATGTTTTTGAGCTCTTGTTGTCTGAAAATGATTTTACCGTCGATAAATTTTTGTTAGACATTCAAAGTTGGTCCAGAAACTTAGAAAAAAAATTTGGTTGGCAAGGCTCAACTTTGAGATGTTCAATCCCTGATCTTCGATTTTCAGAAATATTCGAATTTTTGAATTTTGAGTTTAACCCTGTAAATTTTTTGATTTAGTCGGTTTTATTCATTCTTTTGGTGTAGAAATACTTGAGTAAGTCTATTTCAAATAATTCGAAACCATAAATATACTCTTTGAAGTTTATATGAAGTCATATCCGATGTTCTAACTGGAGAGATCCAATGATGATAAATCATGCCAGAACTCATTCTAATCTTCAATATTGATGTCATTTCTTGACAAAAACACAAATTCAGACTGTCCGAAAGCATTTCCCACCAATTTCCACCTAAATTGAAGAAAATTGAATAGTTTTATCATGATCTGTCTATGGCCAGATTTATATCAACGGCGGTTAACGTGAAAAACGTGGTACTCCAAATGATTCAATATGTTGAAAAGTTTGTGTTTTGCATCTAAAGACATATATTTACAAGATCGAGAACTTATTTTGATGAAAAATATGACTCACGATCTTTTTCAGAACGACAAAATCAATCAAACGAAAAACCAATGAAAAATGCATTGGTTTTCATTGAAAAATATAATTTTTGAGTTTGACGATCTATAACTGAATCAAAGTCATCGAAATAATCTAGAACAACTTTGGATAATTGTTCTAGGTGTATTGTCTTATTAATCAACAATGAAAACATTAATTTCCATAATTGGCAAACCACGTTTTTCACGTAAACCGCCGTTGATATAAATCTGGCCATAGACAGATCATGATAAAACTATTCAATTTTCTTCAATTTAGGTGGAAATTGGTGGGAAATGCTTTCGGACAGTCTGAATTTGTGTTTTTGTCAAAAAATGACATCAATATTGAAGATTAGAATGAGTTCTGGCATGATTTATCATCATTGGATCTCTCCAGTTAGAACATCGGATATGACTTCATATAAACTTCAAAGAGTATATTTATGGTTTCGAATTATTTGAAATAGACTTACTCAAGTATTTCTACACCAAAAGAATGAATAAAACCGACTAAATCAAAAAATTTACAGGGTTAAACTCAAAATTCAAAAATTCGAATATTTCTGAAAATCGAAGATCAGGGATTGAACATCTCAAAGTTGAGCCTTGCCAACCAAATTTTTTTTCTAAGTTTCTGGACCAACTTTGAATGTCTAACAAAAATTTATCGACGGTAAAATCATTTTCAGACAACAAGAGCTCAAAAATATACATTTTCGTATCTTTTTTGTCGGTACTGTATCTGTTTTTGACGCGCATTTTTGTTTTGTTAATGAGTTTTTTTTTCTTTTTGAGTTGTTGTTTTTGAAAAAAAGACGACCTTTTCGAAAGTTGAACATCTCGTTAGAATACTAATTAGCAAGTCATTCATTTTTTCTCACTTCTTTTTAGTGTTTGGTGGAAAAATACAACACGAAAGTGGTGTTTTGAGGAAATGCCGTGTTTCCGGAATCGGATCAAAGAACAAACTTGTTGTTTGAGGATTTGAGCATTTTGGAATTGGAAAATTGATTTTTAAACTAAATTTGTGGAGAAGGTGAGGGAATAATTTAAAAAAAGATTTTTAAAATTATATTTGATGCCGCCTCTGAACTCAGAAATCGAAAATATTGTCTCTCGGTGTAGATCAAAAATATTTTTCTCTAAATATCCCACATTCCCTTTGAATTTTGTCGGTTTTAGTTGGACTCCTGATATTCGGTTAGGTTTCAAAAATGCGAAAAAAATTAGGTTGTAAAATACACCGCTTTTTCCTACCCTTACTAAAATTACAGAAAATTGTTATACTTAAAAAAAATGTTACAGAATTCTAGAAAAATTACACAATTTCTAGAAAAAATTACACAATTTTCTCACGCTATCTGAAAAAATTCCGCGAAAAAAAAACTCACGATCAACAACACGAGAGCATGTCCGAACGGTGCCTTGTCGTTGCATAATAAATAATATTTCGAGCACCAACTATCTGCTCAAAAATGCCACCATGGTTGTTCGGGGTTTTTATTGTGTTTTATTTTTCCAACCGACCAATAAAATAAAGTGGTTGCTGTAAAACGAAAGGACGTGTTTCATTTTTGAAATTGAACAAAAAAAGTTAATGAGATTTAGACGATTTAAACGGGAAAAAAAGAAGAATTAGTGAAAAAGAGCAGCTGAATGTTGCCGGTTGCCAACAAAAAGAGCAATGATGATGAAAATGACACAAATGAAGAAAAAACGTTGGAGAGCTAGAGAGTGAAAAAATATATATATGAGAAAATAAATAGAACTACTTCTACATATTACTACAGTAGGAAAATGAGCGAACCTGTTTATGTTAAAACGAACGAAATTCCTTTTTTTTTATGAATGAGTTAGTTAGTTCACCCATTTTTGCCCTCAAGCCAAAATAATAGAAAATGAGAGGAAATAGCACACCGCAAGAACAGAACGAAGAATGAAAAAGATAAATGAACTGGGAGAAAACGAAACGAGAAAAAATGGAGCCACGCACAAAAATTGAGGACGAAGCAAAAAGAAAAAGCCAAAGGTGGTGCCGATCATGGTGGTCTTACATATAATTAGAAACGAAACGAAACGGCACAAAAGCGATGGAAAAAAAAGAATAAGAATAGCTTCCATAAACGTTTAGTGAATAATGAACATGTTGGAGAGATAAGCGAAGCCAAAAATTTTCATTTTTTTTTCTTTTTTTAATGAAAAAAAGGAGGGAGGGGTTTCTTCCAAGAAACAATATTGAAAAAAGTTCTAAAAATTTTTGACTTTAAGAACCTGCTCAAAAGGATTGTTTGTAAATTGTGCATTTTTCAGCTTCACAAGTAAATTGTGTCTAGAAATTGTTAATAAAACATGTCTCATATAAAAGGAGTTTTTGAACTGAATCTTTTTTTTAATTCAATGAAAATATTTGAGAGAGACTGAAAATCGGAAATTAAAAAAAAAACTGGGCACACACCGTGACCCATACAGCTAAAATTATTCATTCTTCGTTCATTTTCAAAATGTAAGAAAATAAATTCTTCATCCATTTTGGGTTGCCAAGAAACAATTTGATGGATATTCTCAAAACTTTCTTCTACATAGATCATAAAACTTTTCTTCAAATTTTTTTTTCGAAAAAAAAAACTATACAAAATGGGAATTCACTGAAAAAAATAATAATAGAACTTGTGTAAAAAGCGGGACAAAATAGAATAATTGGCGGGTTCAACAAAAGCCGGCGAGCAAAAAAAAATCTGGAATATGTACATAACGCAAGTACAGAATTTTTTCCAGAATTCTTGGAACACAGAACAGAAAGAGAATGCATAAATATTCAAACTACAAAGAAAATAGGAAAAGAAAGTTTTTGTTAGGTTCAGAAGGAAGTTGGTTCAAAAGCGGAAAAGCATATTTATATATATAAATATCCCAACATATTATTTCGTGTGTCAACCATGAATTATTTTCTTTTTTTTCTCTCCTTTTCTAAAATGTTTTTGGAACAATTTTTGCGAAGAAAAAAAAACATAACATGAGTAGCTGAAAAACGCGCGAAAAAAATAAAACGAAAACGAAAACGAAACAAAATGAGTTGTGCCAGCATTTTTTTCGGGACCGAAACAAAAATGTTAATTATTTATGTTGTCGTTTTTTTTGCTGACCACTTTGTAAACAACTTTTTTTTTTGAAATTTTGTTTTCATTTCTGTTACAAAGAAATCACAGTGTTTTGGAACGTAAGTAGTTTTATAAAGGAATCTCTCTAGACGCTGATCTCTGACAACTAAAATTTCTAGGCTCGGCTGCTTGGCATAGAAGCTCTCAAGGTGCGACTACTTAACAGCTAGGACTTCTAGGCTTAGCTACTTGGCATACAAGCTCTCAAGAAGCGGTTCCTTGTCAGCGTGGAGTTCTAGATGTGGAACCTAGACAATTAGCTTTTCTAGACGCTGCTACTTGACAATAAGATTCCATAGGCGCGGGTATTTGATAAAAAATAAGTTAGTTTTAGGAAATCCTTTATCACCTTGATGTAATTCTCATGTTAGCCAAAAAAAAATTCAATTTGCTTTTCTAGAAGACATCTTCCGGTCTATAAAAAAAAAGAAAAAACAGAAAACAAAAAAAAGTAGATGAAGGCATATGAAGGAAAAAATCATATATTCATCCAATTAGACGACAAATAAATAATTCAGAATTATGAAAACATAGTGAAAAAATGGTGGAAAAATATAACGTGTGAGTGTCAATTCATCAAAAATCGCTAGAAAAAATTTGAAATGAAAATGAAAATGAAAATGAAAATAAGACGAAAAATAAGACGATTTCTTACATTAAATGTGTGAAATGTGAGCTCCGGTTAGAAAAAAAAAAGCAGAATTTCAATTTCGAATCACATTCTCATTCAGAATGAAAAAAGAAGAAGAAGAAGAAGAATAGAATTCGTTCATTTTTCAGTGACAGATTTTTGTTGTTTTCTTTTCGAAAATAAATAAACAAACAGAAAAGGATTACTGGCCGGGTTTAATTTCGCAAAATGAATGAAATGAACGTTGTTGTCATTGACATTTTTCGAAAAAAAAGAAAATTAGTTTTTTTCACATTTTCTCTGGATTTCCGGGGATGATAAAGTTGTGAAAATGCCAGCTGCGTTTTTTTTTCAAAAAAGAAAAAAATCTTCACAACTCGAAAAAAAAGGATGTTTTACTACTGGATGGAGAATGAAAGAACCTATAAAAACGTTTTTAATGAGAAAACTACATACATTTTTGAAATGTTTTGCGATTCAGAAAAGACAAATGTGTTTTGCAAGATGATGAATCTCTTTTCGATCTGTCAAATTTCTTAGGGCAAGAGAAACTTGAACACTTTACAGATGATTTTAATTTAATTTTTTTTTTGGTTCAAGTTTTTTTCTTGAAGAAATAATCTGCTCGAAAATGAATTCTATGAAAATGTAATTGCACAATTTGTTCATAAGATAGTTTTTTAACTTCTAAAAAAAATAATTTCAACATCAGAAGATTTTCAAAGTTAGAATAACTTACAAAATGAAATTCCAAACATTTTTTGAATCCGATATTTTTCACCTGCTCTATAGATTATTAGAAATTCAAATTTGAAAGGGTTTCCACGCATTTCAATATTAAAAAAAGAAAAAAAGAAGAAAAAACTTATATTCCTATAAAAAAAGAAAAAAATATATAAAATAGTTGAAGCACTTTTTTCCTCGCTCAAAATTGGTTTGTCAAGTTGACGCAGGCTTTCTTTTTTGTTGTCATTTCACAACAAGAGAACAAATCGGAACCTTTTGTAATCCACCAAAAATATTGAAAAAAAAGGTCGACGAAGAAGAAGAAGTAGATAAAAGTGCGACAAATTCAATTGAATATTTACTACTAGAAGAAGCAAAAAAGAAAAGAAGAGAGGCGGAGAAAGAGAAAGAATGAATGAATGAATGTAAGGAGCAAAATGTTGAAGAGAAGACGACTTTTCATTGTGACAAACTCACTTTGTCAATCATGATCTTAGTCTGTTTTTCGATATAACATAGTTGCACAATTATGTTTATGAGAAGGAAGAGGAGAAGAAACAATTGAGACGAGTTAGAATTGAAGAAGAACAAGATATATTGGTTGATGTTCTTGTTTTTTCTGTTCTTGTTGGTTTTATTATCCAAGACCAGCTGTTTTTATTGGTTTCACTTCACAAGGAAAAATCCGTTTTTATGGAGCAACTGAAAAATGTATAGCATAGTTTATTTGGGATTTGAGGTGACCTAAATTCTGAAAAGCTCAAAAATGTTCTTTTTCAAAAACATTTTTCTCGAGAAAATAATGTATCCGATTTACTAGTTCAAAAAATGTGTTTCTCGCGTTCCCACGCATTCAAGAAAAAAATTAATTTCTCTATGTGTTGATCTCTAGAACTCTCCACTCCCAAAATACCAACAAAAATTTTAAAATTAATCAAGAAATCCACATTCAATTTTTTGGAATAATAAAAATATAGAGAGCGCTCAGAATTGGTGAGTTATTTTATTCACACAATATATATATATATACCCATATATGAAACGGGTTAATTATAACTATACTTTTTCATCGTCCTTTTTTCGAAACATTGAATATTCATGGATAATTGTGAATGAATGACTGAATGAAACTAATAGGTGCTAGAGAAAAATGCGTAATTACTATGAAAAAAGAAAACCGAACGCGTTTTGTAGTTTGAAGAAATACCAATAATTCTGCTCAATGTAACCCAATAAAACGTTTACCCAATTTTCGCAATGAAGAATAAGAAGTACTTGGCAGCGAATTTATATTAAATTAGATGGCACAACAATTATCTATCTACATACATAAATGTTACGGGCGAGGGTCATTGAAAAAATAAAAGAGGGAAGAGAGAATGAGATAAAATAAAAATCAAAAACATATAGGCAATTGCAATTGAGCGTGAAAAACATGGAGAGATGGCCGAGCGGTCTAAGGCGCTGGTTTAAGGCACCAGTCCCTTCGGGGGCGTGGGTTCGAATCCCACTCTCTTCAGCTATTTTTTTGTATTTTGGAAAACTTTTTTTAGTCACTCTAGCATATACGAACAAACACTTCAGAAGTCGAAATAATCAGTGTTTCGCAACAAATCTTAAAAAAATGCAAAAAATGGTGAAATTTGCGCCAAAATAAAAAAAAGGCAGAAAAACCCTTTGAATTTTCTTCTCAAAGGACTCATAGCAAAGTGTGCAAACACCGTCACGTCAGAATGCACACAAAAAATGTGTATTTTTATTTTTTGTTTTTTTCAGGAGTTTTTGTTTTTTTTTTTCACTTTTCAACGATATTTTAGCTTTTGGTGTTCCTTTAATCGAATAAAATTCGAATTTCTAGATTTTTTTTTGAATTCCGGCGGATTCAGTTCTTCATTTCCGTATTTTCTAGATGTATTGGGTTAATGCTTGAACAATTTTAGGCAGTATTTGCCGAAAAAAAAAAAGTTGAAAGGGTTTTTATGTTAACGTTAAGTTGAGAAAAATATTTTTAGAAATATGTACACATTTGAAACTTATCAAAACATTTTAACATCCATAGTTTCAGAAAAAGATCTATTCCAAATTTTCAAAAAATTCGATTCTTTTCAATATTCTTAAAATTCTTAATAAACCTAATTCTATTTTTATTTTCAAAAAATATAATGTGCAATCTTTGGTGAAGCCTTTAATAATCAATGATTTTGTTTTTATTCACATCCATAACCGAGTGTTATTAAAAGTGTGAGAAAATCGTAGTTCTTTATTTTTCAGCGGAAGTTTGGAAAAGAAGAATATGGGAAAAAAAGTTTATATATTAATTACATAGGGCAGAAACTTGATAACTGAATTTTTTTTTGGTTTTGACAAAAGAGAGAAAAGTTGCAAAGAAGCATATCCTAAACAGTTTTCATTACACTAACAAGAATATAAAAGCAAAGTGAGATTGCTGGAAAAGTATCATTTCTCTTGAGATGGAGTTTGAACATCGTATCAAGGCATACAGATTTGTTGCCTATTCGGCTGTCGCTTTTTCGGTTGTGGCTGTTTTGTCGGTTTGTGTCACTCTTCCAATGGTGTACAATTATGTTCATCATATCAAGAGAAGTATGCATCAGGAAGTTCAATTCTGTCGGGTAAGTTGGTCTAACCGTACAAATTTCCAATCTTAAATTTTAGGGATCAGCCAAAGAAATTTGGTCTGAGGTTAGCTCATTGAAAACCGCTGGAAACAGAACTGCCCGTCAAGCTGGCTATGATGCTGGAATCAACGGAGGATCGGCTACCGCTGGAGGATCTTGCGATGATTGTTGTTTGCCAGGAGCAGCTGGGCCAGCTGGAAATCCAGGAAACCCGGGAAGACCAGGAAAGCCTGGAGCACCAGGACTTCCAGGAAATCCAGGTCGTCCAAATACCCAACCATGTGAAGCTGTCACTCCACCACCTTGCCAAACTTGCCCAGCAGGCCCACCGGGACCACCAGGGCCACCAGGACCAGCTGGAGATATTGGAGCTAACGGAAACCCAGGATTCCCAGGACAAGATGGAGCTCCAGGACAACCAGGAAACAAGGGACCAGCTGGGCCAAATGGAAATCCAGGTTCACCAGGAGGACCAGGACAACCTGGACAAGACGCGCCATTCGAGCCATCAAGCCCAGGATTGCCAGGACCACCAGGCCCACAAGGACCACAAGGACCATCAGGACAACCTGGACAACCAGGAGGAGATGGACAACCAGGAGCACCTGGACCAAAAGGACCAAATGGAAACCCAGGAACACCAGGACAAGACGGTAATCCAGGAGGACCGGGACAAGCTGGAACTCCAGGAAACACTGGAGAGAAGGGAATCTGTCCAAAATACTGTGCTATCGATGGAGGAGTTTTCTTCGAAGACGGATCTCGTCGTTAAATTTCTATTTCTTTCACTATTTTTTCTGTATAAATAAAGTTTTGGATCAGAAAAAAAGTTGGACTAACTTTTTTGTAACAAATCATGTAATTTCATCCGAATTTATATTTTTGGAATTCGCGCAGTGCAAATTTTTTCAGGTCAGCCTAAATTATAAATGAAATATTTTTGATCTATTCGCCGTTGCGTCGCGTACGTGCGGAGCGTGTTTTCCTAATGAGACCAAAAAACAATGTATGCAAAATACTGTTCACAAAATAAGAAAGATTTCTTAGAAAAAAGAAAACATGAAAAATAAAAAATGAAAAAAGAAAAAATTTTGGTCCCAATATTGAATTTTGACCATAACAAAAGAATTTTGTTGTCCACAAAAAATTTTGATATTTTGCGACACATTTTTTGAAGAAAGAAATACGAAAAACTATAATATTCGATCTTAAAATTTGGAAGATTTTAAAGAAATAGTACAAAAACATTTTCAGAAAAAATAGAAAGCAAACAGAGAAAAATAGAGCAAAATGAAATTTGCACCAAAAAAAGCGCCACCAAGCCAGAAAAAAACCAAACTAAACTAAACTAGTTAATCCAGTCAGTAATAGGCCAAAAAGAAAGAGATTAGACCAAACAAAAAAAATTGAGGGGAAATATATTATTGTTTTCCTCTTTTCTGAAATATTCACAAGATATACAAATTTTTATTATTATATTTGATGATGAGAAAAATAATAGATGTTTTGTTTGACAAATTGAAAAATGGGAAATCATTTTTTTTCACAAGTCAGCAGTTTTTTCCTTGAACACAAACGAAAAAATCACGTGTATTGTTTTTTTTTCGAAAAAAACGAGTTTCAAAAAAAGTTAATCACGGCATTTTTCTCAAAAAAAACACACACACAAAAATGTTATTGCTCATTCATTTGAAAGTGGCTTGATAGAGAAAAAACAAAAACACAATATTTTCGAAAAAAAATGAAGACAAGACATAACACCCAATTTTTTTCAGCAATTTGAAAAGGGAACCTTCTCATAAAATTTTACTTCTGGACAAATGAGATTTTGATGTACCGAGAGAGGAGAGAAAACAGAGAAAACAGAAATGTATTGTAAGTGAATTTGAAAATTGAAAATTTAGAGAACATTTGAAATCAAGACTGGAACATTTTAAAAAACTCGAGAATAACAAGATGTTTCTTTTAAAAATTGACAAGGCACAAAACGAGTTCTAAGAGTCATAAACACTTCATTTCAGAGAAAGTTTTGTGAGAAAAAAACCCTCAAGTTCAATTATTGATCGATTCATTCGAATATTGATGATCTTCAGTTGCTTGCTAAAATCATCTTAAGTTGAGTTGTGATAACTTTTATGAACCAAGGTTCAGATTTTCAAAAAAAAAAAAAAATTTGTCGAGGGAAATAATATGAAGCTTTGAAAATTACTTTTCCCGCCAAAAATTCTCATAAATTCAGAAAAAATTGTAAGATTTTGTTTTTTCAACAATACCTCACATCTTGTAATTATAGTATTCCAGTAGCTGAAATTATAGTTTTCGAGTTGAAAAATAACATATCATTGTCAATCATAAATTTTTCCAGAGTTTCGTGTATTCCACAATTTATCGATTCCTTCTCTCATAATTTTATCACAGAAAAAGAATTTCCTAGAAAAAAGTAGAAAAACTGCAGCCCAAAAAAATCTTCAATACTACAAAAGCTTCGTGTCCTTTTTTCGCGGCTCTCCACACCTTTTCTCATTATACACTCGAAAATCAATGTTTTAAAACATTTATTTTTCTCAAATTAATAACCTGTGCATAATAAATAATAATCTCATAATTGTTTCTTACTGAATCGTATTGTTATTTATTTATTCCTTTATTCCTTTGCTCGGTGATTCAACAAAAAATGGAGCAAAGTATTCGACGTTTATACCCGCATTTTTCAAACGAAAGATTCCAAGAAGTTTTGGATTTCGCGAATGAGCGACTTGAAGAATGGGATGGATCAAATGCTACGGAACAACCAGGATGCAGTGTAAGCAGGGATTTTCTAAAACTTTTAGATGAAATCATAATTTTTTTTAGACATGGAGCATCGAAGATCGCATGGCTAATCAATCGCTTCACGAAACTGAGCGTTTCATTCGAGTTGTTTGGGAAGCCATTTTCAAGAAATTTGGAAGCCCAGAAGGTTTCAAAAGCAACCAACTACACAGTTGGTACGTCCTTAGAAAGAAGCTTGATTGAATTTTTTCAACAGCGATGTTTTCACGTATAACTATCGACTTTTTCCAATATTGTGTTTTTTATCCCATTTTTTTTGAAATTCCTAACTTGTAGTCACATGTCTCCTGTATTTTTTTCAAGTATAAATATTTTCAATCAACTGTTTCAATTTTTTCTGGAAATCGAAAATTTCTAGTCTCTAGACAATATTTCCTCTTCTCCGAATTATAATGGAAAAAATGTTTTGCTTCTTCATTTCACATTGTTTTGTACAAAAAATGTGTCATGTCTTCCGATAAAATGCAGAATATATAAAAATCACAACATTGTATAATAATATTTTTCAACCCCCGGAATGCAAGTTTTTCTATGTTATCTCATGTTTGTATTAGGTGTAAACTCATTAGAGTTGGATATTGTGAAAATCATTGAAACGTTAGTTTTATTTTCGAAACTTTTTCTGAAAAGCCTTCTCTGATTTTAGAAATATTGATGATAGTATTGATCCGTGTGATGATTTTTATCGACATGCTTGTAAAAAAGATTTATCAAAAGATTCAGTTTTCCGTAATTTACTCTCAAAAAGTTACGACATAGAAGTGGAAAGTATGGCAGGTAAATATCATACGACATTTTTTGCCAATATCAGTGATTATGAGGTATGTTTGTACACATGTATGTTATTTGACATATAAAAACAGTTTTTTTCTAGACTCTTGTGAACTCTCTGAAAATAAATGTTGATCAAGATGTGACCCTGGCTAAATATGAATATGTGGAAAAATGTATCAATAACAAAACGGAAGCAAGAAAAATGCTTCTGGAATTGAATGAACTAATATACGATGAAAAAGAAGGTAATTGCTGCTTCACGAATATTGCGTATGATACGAAATGTGAAAGAGCTGCAACTAACTTGGAAAAGGGAATTAAGATATATCTTGAAGAAGCTTATCCAGTGAGATTTCAATTTTCAATATGAACTATATAATCATTATTTTATTTCAGGATGCCAAGGAAAATTGGAAAAATTATTTGAATTATTTGGGAAACTTCAAAGCATTTCTTTGGCTAGATGCAAATAGAAACACTTTTGAAAAATCAAGAGAAATATTCAACAAACTGAAAGAGGAAGTTTCGGAAATGATAAAAGTTAATTTCAGAAAAAAATGTTGAAATTGTTTATAAAACGATATTTTCAGAAAACACCATGGTTGATCAATTCAAATTCAATGGAAGCATATCTTGAAATAACAAATCAGTTGATGGTTGATACTAAAATTTTAGTTCAAATGAATCGAGATGTTGTGAATGAGGTAACGGAACAATTTCAAATATGTCGTCGGTATGTGGTTAATGTATTTGACAAATTTAAAATTTGAAAAAAAAAATTATCATCAGATTATCTTCGTCATTAACAAGAAAATACTGCTATGCAAAAATAGAAGTTCCAACCGTTTTTGAAAAATGGAATAGCTTCAATGCTTTCAATCTACATCCTCATTTGAATTTGAATAACCCTATACTTTCTGCTTTAGGATCTAATTTGCCTCCTGCAATAGAAGTATGTTTTGAAACTAAATATCTAAAAAAAACTACCTCATATTTTACAGTATGGATTTGTTGGGGCATTACTTGGCCACGAATTTGGACACACTTTGATAAAAAGTTCTCGTGATCATATGTTTGTACCATATTTTTCGGAACAAGTCAAAAATTGTGTTCAAAATCAATTCAACAAAAGTTGTGAGTATTTTGCAGAGGTTTGTGATTGAAATATTGATTCAAAGTTTAAAGACATTATTTGTAAAAACGTAAACTTTACAACAGAGGCCCGGACAAAAAAGTCATGATCTCAGAATCGGCCCAATTTTTTTCTTAGTAAGCCCCATGGGTGGGGAACTTTTTCCAGCAGGTTAGAGATCATGATATCGTTTCGCCAATTTGGTGGGACCGGGTGAAGGGGAAAATTGTTTTTCGAAAAAAATTCGTAAGTCGGTTCAACGTTCATATTTTTTGATGATTAAAAAGCATTTTGCTCGTCTTTTGACGCTCTTTGCGATGGAAAAGAGCACGAATTTCGATACTCTATCCTAAAAAAATTTTTTTTTCGCCATAATACAACATTGCTTAGGAGTCATTTCCGCTCTTTCTAACCGCTTCCAAAATGTTCCTCGTGCTTTTTTACCTATATTTAGCTACTTTCAAAAAAAATCGCCGGCACCTATCAACCTCGGAAAATCACCTAAAAGGGCGCCACTCAAGCGCGCGCGCTCATATAACACACATATGTGCGTGTGTGTGTTTGTGTGCATTGAAGGATTACTGTAGGTGGAAGAAAAAGTTTAAAAAAACGACTTTCTCGTGGAAACTATGCAAATTACAATGAATAGTTCCCAAAATGAAGTACCCCAAAGGCATTTTACATGCAAAAATTTTCTTTTCGGACTTTCAAGGGGTTGGACTTTTTTTTTTGATATTTTTTAGCTCTGAACTTTGAAAAATCGTATTTCCACTTACAGTGGACAAAAAATTTCGAAGAAAAAAGCATAATGGATCTCAAATATCGCTCTATTGACTGAGAATAAGAGTTGTTATAAGTATCAAGTATTCTAGTGCCAATTTTCGAACTCTAGGTTTAAAGTTACGTACAGTAGTATGTTAGAACTACTCAGAAAATCATCATAGATAGGTACTGCGCCTAGAAAATCATTCCGGCAAATCTTCAGGCTTAGAGAGCAGCTCTGGCAAGGATTCACGCCTAGAAAGAAATACTGACAAGGAACTACGCCTAGAAAGCTATTCTGACAAAGTTCGGCGCCTAGACGTTCATTCTGGCAAGGAGTCCCGCTTAGAAAAAAATCATGGATAGCTCTCATAAGCGCGGCTCCTTGCCAGATCAATTGTCTAGGCGTTGACTCTTATAATAATGGTTTTCTAGACGCGAATCTTTGTCAGATTTGCTTTCTAGACATAGATCCTTGTCAGTGTTACTTTCTAAGCGTGTTTCTAGGCGTTCTAGGCGTGATCCTAGTGAAAGCTTCTTACTAGGAGCAGTACTTAGAAATAGTGGCTATCAAGACGTGGATTCTTGTTCTAATTCTTTGCCGTACCTCGTCTGGTGGTCTCTGAAAGCGCAACGACGTGATGTAAAAACTCGCAAGGCGCTGTACCAAGTTAAAGTGGTTCTCCAGGCACGGTTGTTGGTCATAGCGGCTTTTCTGGCGCAAATAGTTGAAAGCGTAAGAGTTTTGGACATTTTCAAAAATTTCCCGTTAGCAAACTTTCTTCAAATGTTGTTCGGACCCCTGAAACTTTTCCCAAAAAATTATTTTTTGAATAATATTTTTTCCGCTGTGAGGAATCCATTGGCCTTTTTTCGCAGAAATTACTACTCAACTTTACTCAAAAGTGCAGCCTGCAGAAAACACTATTGAAAATTGTTGTTGATTTTTGCAAAAGAAAAACATAAAATCAATTTCCAGTACCACTGGGGACCGGACACCTATCAATTTTAATATGCTATTGTACGTAACTTCAAACGCAGAGTTTGAAAATTGGCACTAGAACACTTGATACTTCCTCTAACAAGGAAACCTTTTTACTCAATACTTCAAATCTTGACGAAATTTTCTCCATAGACAGCTTTTGGTGTCATATGAACACCCTAAAAATTGTGTCTCCCAATGGACCTCTGAACCAAGTTCTGGGCTCTCAAAAGTTCAAAAATTGCCAAAATTGGCTCATAAAATACATCATAACTGAATTCTCGATCATTTTTATGAAAAACTGAGTAGCAGATGATGTTCAGTGTTGTCGATTTACCCAAAAAGCATCAATAAATCAAATTTTCAAAAAAAATTAATTTATGAAAAATGAATGAGCAGAGGCACATATGAATTTTCATGAATTTTGAGCCGAAAAAAAAAATTTCAAAATTTTTCGAAAAAAAGTTTTATTGTTGTACTTTTAGTAAATCGACTATGCTGATCACTATCTGAAACTTTATTTCTCCCACAAATTATTTTGAAATGGAGCTATGATGACTTTTATGAGCAATTTTTAGCAATTTTCGAACTTTTTGAGAGCCCAGAACTTGGCTCAGAGGTCCATTGAGAGACTAAAATTTTTAGGGTGTTCTTATGACCCGAAAAGCTGTCTATGGACAACATTTCATCAAGATTTGAAGTGTTGAGTAAAAAAGGTTCCCTTGTAAAAACAATTTCAAAAATGTTTTTGTTTATTCTGAAATTTTCAAGTTTTCTAGGTCGAAAAAAATTATTTTTTAACAACTTTTTATTTTCAGTCAATAGAGCGATATTTGAGTCAATAGAGCGATATATTCCATTATGCTTTTTTCTTCGAAATTTTTTGTCCACTGTAAGTGGAAATACGATTTTTCAAAGTTCAGAGCTAAAAAATATCAAAAAAAAGTCCAACCCCTTGAAAGTCCGAAAAGAAAATTTTTGCATGTAAAATGCCTTTGGGGTACTTCATTTTGGGAACTATTCATTGTAATTTGCATAGTTTCCACGAGAAAGTCGTTTTTTTAAACTTTTTCTTCCACCTACAGTAATCCTTCAATGCACACAAACACACACACGCACATATGTGTGTTATATGAGCGCGCGCGCTTGAGTGGCGCCCTTTTAGGTGATTTTCCGAGGTTGATAGGTGCCGGCGATTTTTTTGAAAGTAGCTAAATATAGGTAAAAAAGCACGAGGAACATTTTGGAAGCGGTTAGAAAGAGCGGAAATGACTCCTAAGCAATGTTGTATTATGGCGAAAAAAAATTTTTTTAGGATAGAGTATCGAAATTCGTGCTCTTTTCCATCGCAAAGAGCGTCAAAAGACGAGCAAAATGCTTTTTTAATCATCAAAAAATATGAACGTTGAACCGACTTACGAATTTTTTCGAAAAACAATTTTCCCCTTCACCCGGTCCCACCAAATTGGCGAAACGATATCATGATCTCTAACCTGGTGGAAAAAGTTCCCCACCCATGGGGCTTACTAAGAAAAAAATTGGGCCGATTCTGAGATCATGACTTTTTCGTTGTCCGGTGGGTTTTGCAGTTTTACAAAGAGTGTCTTTTAAGTTATCATAACTGTTTACAGGGTGTATGCAGAACTGTCGATTTTCAATTCGATGAAAATGGATCTGATTTAGTTGGTGTTCCACTGGCTTACAATGTTTTCAAACGCGAACAATCTTGTGTATTGAATGTAAGATGGTTTTTTTAAACAAGGAGCTCTTTTTTCACTCAACAAAAACTATTCAAAACAAAAATTTAATAGATTTGTCTGATTTTGAAAAACAAGAGCCTCCTTGTTGTTTGATTTTATTTATAATCACAATCAATTTTTTTAGAAATCAATTCGTGGATATGAATATTGTTGGACACCGGCAAAATTGTTCTTTTATGCACATGCCGCAATGCATTGCAAAGTAACTATTAAAAAATGTTCAAAATGCTTTCTGTATATTATTATTTTCAGAGATACAAGTTAAATTATATGACTAGCGTACATCATTCATCAAACATTAGAGTGAATGCAGTATTAGCACAAATGCCAGATTTTGCGGAAGTTTTTCAATGTGATGCGAAAAGTAGAATGATGCGATCAAAAAGCGTTAGTTATTTGGAAAATATGTTAGAAATATTTTTAATGAAATGAACTTTTAGAAACAATGCTTCATTCATGGCGAAGATGCTCCAGAAACGTTTTTCTGAACAGTTTTGATTTTTGTTTTAGTTGAAAATGATAAATGATAATATTAATTCTGAAAGCTGTTTTTATATTTATGTATTATGTGAACTCGGACACTCAAAGTACGTCGAAACTGCTAAAAAAAATTAGAATTTTCAAGATTGGCATACTCATTTAAAAGTTTTACTAAATTATTTATTAATGGGCCAATACGGATTGATATTTTTTAATAAAAAAACATAAAAATCATAATTTTTCCTATGCAGAAAAATGTCGTTAATCAAATTTTTCGAATCGACAATAACTTTTCAAATCTCATAAAAATTTTGTTAGCTTTCCCCCTCTTTTTTGTGAATACAAGAAAGATTTTCGTACTACAATAACCTTTTTGCCACCGTGATACAGTAACAAAACAGATTAGTGTAATACAAAACCCCTCTTGTAATCACCTTATATCTTTTCATTTTTTTTCTACACACGTAGGAGAGTAATCAGCAATTGAAATCAGCCGTCTTCTCTTATTCTTTTGCGCGCGCCGACAACTAACAGGCAGCGCGCGTCTCTATTTTTTGCATGCAAAGTGGGCGGGGCTTGTTGTTTTCGTTCTGTTTTTCTGTTGAGAAATCGGTTCAATTACACGAGTTTCTTTTTTTATTGTTTCTGTAGCTTTCAAGGCGATTTCTGAAAATAAAATAAAATTCTCTTTAAAAAAATATGTATCATTGAATTATTTTTATTATGATTGTTGTTGTTTTTCTCTATCTCTCTGCAAACATTTTTCATAGTTTTATAAAACAAAAATTTTTTTATTTCGATGAATTTTCAATCATTGAATGAAAAAAGAAATTCGAAACATGCTATTTTTATTTTTCTTGCTCATTTTTAAAGATGGTGTTGATTCGATGCAATTGGATATGGTGAAGTTAATTGAAGAGTAAGTCAATTTTCAAAATGATTAGAAAAATACTTATTTCAGAAATATTGATGATACAATTGATCCATGTGACGATTTCTATCGACATGCTTGTAGAAAAGATCAATCGAGGGGATCAACATTCTTCTATGTAATACAGCGTAGTTTCTGGAAAGAAATGAATGATTTGATGAGAAGTGGAAAAAACGAAGATTTATTCCGAAAAATAGAAAAACTAGAAGTACGTTTTGATTCTGAACAAATTCTAAAATCATATGTTTAGAATCTTATATCATCGCTGAAATCAGATTCATTTGATGATACATCAGCTGTAAGATTTGAATATATGGAAAAATGTATCAATAATAAAACAAGAGCAAGAGAAATGTTATTGGAATTGAATAAATTGATTTACAATAATGAAAATGGAGATTGTTGTTTCACAAACATCGATTTTGATACGAACTGTGAAAGATCTGCGACTAACCTAGTGAATGGATTGAAAGAACACCTTGTTAATGGCCTAGAAATGGTAGGGAAATAATTTTTTTTTTCAATTCTGAACAAGATATTTTTCAGGAAGCCAGGGAAAATTGGAAAAACTTTTTAGGTTATTTGAATAATTTCAAAGCATATTTATGGCTTCAAGCCAATAATGACCTTGTTATACGATCACGCGAGATGTTCACAATGTTGAGAGATGACTTTATGGAATCTGTAGAGGTTGGTTTATATTTTTAAAAAAAGGTTTTCAAATAATTGTTTTCTAGCAAACGCCATGGTTGATAAATTCCGATTCAGTTAAAGCTGTAATTGAGATATCAAATCAGTTGAAATTAGTTGATACCGAATTGGTTATTGATTTCAATCAAAATCAAGTTGATGCTTCAATTCAAGAGTATAATGACTGTCATCTGTTAGTTTATCGGACTAAAATTGAAAGAAATATGTAACATTTTGATTTGAATTCCAGTTTTACTTCTGAAACTGCCAGAAAGTATTGCTATGCAACAATAAAAGTTCCGGAAACTGACGAGAATTGGAATTCGATTAATGCGTTCAACTTTCATCCATATTTGAGCTTGAATAATCCATTCATTGCTATTTTATCGTCAAATTCAACACCAGCAATAGAAGTGAGTTGGAGAATAGATTTTTAGAGTTCTGAAAGATTTTTCCGAATGTGAAATTCTACCAAAACTACTTTTGAAGCCTTTGCGAGACTCCAAACAACTTTTGAAGTTTCAAAAAATCCAAAAAGTGAATTTTAAACTTCCAATACTCCAAAAAATTTCTACCAATCCTTACACTGATAATAAGATTCAAAAATTTATAGTATGGATCAGTTGGATATGTACTAGGTCATGAATTCGGACACACTCTCATCAAAACTAAAAGCGATCATATGTTCATCCCATATTTTTCGGAGCAGGTTAAAACTTGTGTTCAAAATCAATTCAACAAAAGTTGTAGCTTTTTCAAAGAGGTTTGTGAGAAACTTACATAAAAAACAAAATTTTCATGTTAACTGTTCTAGGGTTTGTGTCACACAGGTGATTATCAATTTGACGAGAATGGCGCCGATATTTTCGGAGGACAATTGGTTTATGAAGCTTTCAAAAAAAGACACTCGTGTTCAGTTAACGTATGTTTGAAATGTTCATAATAAAAATCGCGTGGATTGTTTTTTTTATTATAGAAATCAATTCGTGGATATGAATATTGTTGGACGCCTGCCAAATTATTTTTCTACTCCATGGCAGCAGTAGATTGTCATGTAAGCGTTTTGTTTTTTCACACATTAGCAATTTGAAATTGTCAAGTAAGAAAGTTGTTCAAACTAAAACTATTTGAAAACTTGATGACAAATAAATTACAAATTACAGAGAGAAGATAGTGTGAGTTGGATGGACGATCCACATCATGCTCCAAAAATAAGAGTGAATGCAGTTCTCGCACAGATTCCGGACTTTGCTGAAGTTTTTCAATGTGATGCAAAAAGTAATATGATGCAATCTAGAAGTGTCAGTTTTATTTGTTGAAAATTTCAGAAAATGTACTTTAAAAGGTGTATTTTTATAGGAACAGTGTCATATATATGGAAACAATGCTCCTGAATTTTTCTGATTATTGGATTTTTTATAATTTAGTTTATTTGTGTATTATTATGAAAATTAAAAATAATAAAATTGTTTGAAATAATTATAATTGAAATAAAAAGATGTCGAAAAATTATGCACAAATTTTGAATTTGCAAAAATCTCTCATATATACCTATATACGCGATGCGTGTGCGTTGCGGTAGCTTTTTTTCAATACAAAACCCCCATTGGCTGTTTGCCAGCGCGCTCTAATGAAAAGCGACGAGACTGTGAATTTGTTTCTATGCACAACCAAAACTAAGTTAGAGACGTATTTTGTTAGAGAACTTAGAGACGTAAACTATTTTATTTGAAACTGATGTGTTTGTATAAATACCGTACTTGAGAAAAAATGAATTTGGATTTTGTTAGATTTGTTCCAAGTTTTTCAGCGTTTATTTTATGTTCACATGGAAATATTTTTTTGGAAAAAAAATTTTGAATTAGAAATATTTATGGATTTTGTTTCAAAATTTAGTTATGAAAAAAGTTCAATATTTTTTGGTCCATCAGAACAATGTTATAATCCCTCACACTGAAAAAAATCCAAGACAAAAATGTTATTCTCTTGTTTTTTCTTTTGTTTTCTCCGAAAAACAGAAATTATGTTATTATTTTATAAAACAAAAATGAGTCATGTTTTTCTCTTAATTCTCTTAAAAACGATAATCAAAATCATTCATTGTTCTCTTTTTTTTTTTGAAAAAAATGAAACAACTATTTGTTTCGCTCTCTTTTTTGTTAATTTTCCTTCTGAAAAATGGTATTAATTCAGTTCAATTGGATATGATTAAGTTAATAGAAATGTGAGATTTTCAAATTCAAAATTAGTAACTTCCGACAGTGAGTGAACAGCCTATATTTTACAGGAATATTGATGACGAAATCGATCCATGCGAGGATTTTTATCGACATGCTTGTAAAAAAGATCAATCAGACCACTCAACATTTGTGAATATAATAGAAAAAAGTTTCAGAAATGAAATGGATGAATTGATGAAAAGTGACAAACATCCGATCTTTCCAAAAATAGTCGAGTTAGAAGTATGGTATATGTAGTTTGATCTTGATTAGAAAATGATTCATTTATTTTCAGAATTTTGTGAAATTGCTGGATCCTAAGCTGATTAATGATACAGATAGTGCTAGATTTGAATATATGGAAAAATGTATAAATAATAAAGAGGAAGCAAGACAAATGTTATTGGACTTCAATAAATTGATTTATAATCATGACGAAAGTGATTGTTGCTTCACAAATCTCATTTTTGACACGGATTGTGAAAGAGCTGCTGATAATTTGATAAAAAGGTTGAAAAAGAAATTCAATGACGTGGCAAAGGTCAGTTTAATATGTATCTCAAAGTTCAAACAATCATTAAATTGCAGAAAGGCAAGAAAAGTTGGAACAATTTTTTAAAATTCAGTGGAAATTTCAAAGCATTCTTATGGACAAAAGCTAACAATGATCTTATTTTGCGTTCGAGAGAACTTTTTGAGAACTTGAGAGAAGATCTCATGGAATTGATAGAGGTATGTTTATTGAAATCGTTTTTGAATTTATATGTATATTTTTCATCAGGAAACTCCTTGGTTGATAAATTCAAATACAGTTGAAGCGATGACAGAAATTGCGAATCAACTCAAAGTTGTTGATACAGAAATGATAACTGAATTCAATCAAAAAGAAGTTAATGATGCTCTTGACTCAATCGAAAAATGTACTTTGTAGGTATTTGGTTAGACAATCAAAAAACACAATACTTTTGCAGTCTGACTTCTGGAACTGCCAAAAAATATTGTTATGCAACAATAGAAGTTCCTCGATGTGAAGTAAACTGGAATCGTGTGAATGCTATGAACTTTCATCCCTACCTTAGTCTAACTAATCCAGTTCTATCAATTTTATCGTTGAACCTAACACCGGCAATGGAGGTGAAGTTAAAAACATTTTTGAAAAAAAATAATTACAGAAATATTTACAGTATGGACTTGTAGTATCTATTCTTGGACATGAGTATGGACACACTCTTATGAGATCTAAAAAAGATCATATACTCGTTCCATATTTCTCAGAAAATGTGACAACTTGTGTTCAAAATCAATTCACGAGAAGTTGCTCTTTTTTCAAAGAGGTTAGTGAATGAAACTTGGATCTGTTGGGAGACTAAAAAAATAAAAGTTCGACTTTTGCCTTTTTCCAGGGTCTCTGCGAAACTGAAATTATGCAATTTGACGAAAATGGAGCCGATCTTTTTGGAGGTCATTTGACTTATGAAGCATTCAAAAAAAGACACTCATGTGTATTGAATGTAAAAATAGTTTTCATTTTTTTTTGATTTAGATTCTTTTTTTTTCAGAAATCAATTCGAGGATATGAATATTGTTGGACCCCCGCCAAATTATTTTTTTACTCCATGGCAGCAGTAGATTGTTATGTAAGCGTTTTCAAATTGTTCCATTATGTTCTACATATTTCAGAGAGAAAATAGTGAGAGTAACCCGGATGATCCACATCATGCTTCAAAAATTAGAGTAAATGCAGTTTTTGCACAGATTCCGGATTTTGCTGAAGTATTCCAATGTGATGCAAAAAGTAAAATGATGCAATCTAGAAGTGTATGTTTTCTTGAAATTTTTACAAAATTTACAATAAAAACAAATTTTATAGGAGCAATGTCATCTATTCGGAAGCAAGGCACCGGAATTCTTCTGATTGTTATTTTTTGATTTGAATTGCATAACAAGATGAATTTTTGCATATTAATTCTTGTGAACTTTTGAAATTATGATTAAAAAAATTTTTTTAATTTTATTTTTGTGTTGAAATTAAGTTTCTATATCAAAATTATATATTAAATCTATTTTTTGAATAAATTTTTGATCTATTCTTTTCTTAGTTTTAACTAAAAAACACGAACTTAGAGAAACTTTAAAAATTTTCACAAATTATATGAAGTTTCAGATGAAATATTTTAATAAAACTTTCTTCTGAAAACTATAAAAACCCAAGCCTAATCTTGTTCAAAACCAAAAATCTGAAATATTCTAATATTTCTCATCCAAACTTCATCTTTGTATCAAAAAAAAAACACACACACACAATTGAACACTCTCATACACTGCAAATGAAAAGAGGGCGGCGCCTAAATGCTAGCGGCATTGCAAAAAAGATGAAACATGTGTGCGTCTTTCCCATCATCATTTTCACCACCGTCGATAGCTCAGTTGGTAGAGCGGAGGACTGTAGAGTCAGTGGGTATCCTTAGGTCGCTGGTTCGAATCCGGCTCGACGGAATGTTTTTTGTTAAAAAATCATTTATTAAAATAAAAATAACAAATATATTTATTTTTCCGGTGCATATTTGCCAAATATTGAAATTTGTTTCTGAAATTTAGAATTTTGAAATATTCTGAAAACAAAATTTCTCACATCAAAGGACAATAACATCTTGTCTCCAGCATTACATTCAAAAACTTTTCCAAAATCTGGAATTTGTGCAAAAATTGTGTTGATAACGGATTTTGAATCATCGTCAAATTTCTGAAATAACCAATAATTTGTTTTTTCTTTATACTCTGGAAAACATACCCCGCAATTAAAAAAGTTAGCAGCATAAAAAAATAGTTGGGCAGGTGTCCAACATCTTGTATAACCTCTCACGGATTTCTGCAAAAAATGTGTTATCCAAAATAATTCTTAAAAAATTTCTGACATTCAATTGACACTCATAATTATTTTTGAAAACTTCATACGCAAATGGAACTCCAAGAAATAGCTTGCCGTATTTTTGAAAATCCTTTGAATCTGCTTCTCTCTGAAAAATTACATTTTTACATTAGAAAAAAAGCGCTCAAATTACCTCAAAAACAGTCGATGACTTATTGAATTGATTATTTATGTTTTCTTCTACTTTTTTGGAAAAATAAGGTATAAAACTATCTTTGTTTGGCAGAACTGATAAAGCCATTTCTTGTCCAAGCATACTTCCAAATATTCCATACTTTAAATAAATTTTAAATAAAAAAAAATCGAAAAATAGACTTACTTTAATAGCCGGTGGAAGGTTTGATGAGAATAATGAAATAAGTGGATTTGAAATTGATATTATTGATTCACGAAAATAATAATGGATATCGTGTAATGATTTTTTCACGTAGTGTTTAGGATGAATTTTTGAGATACAATAAAATAATGCTGAATCTGATGTTCTTCTGTAAGATTTTCAAATGTTTGTCAGGTTTAATATGAAGTTAACAACATACGATTCACATTTATCCCAAGCATTTTCAATTTCTTCAATGATTGGATCTGTGAAAGATTTAAATTGTTCGAAGTCATTCAATTTTATTTGATCGAAGATTTTTTGAAATGTTCGTAATGTTCCAGATGATTTAATCCATGGTGTTTGCTGAAAACGTTATGAATTTTACAAAAAATAATAGTATTCACCTCAAATAACTGTGCAAATTCATATTTGAATTCGTTGAACATTGTTCTTAATTCTTCCAGGGGTCCCGCATTTTCTTGTAACCACACCAGTGCTTGATAATTTTTCAATTGTGTCAGTATTTTACTCCAATTATTTATAATGGATGCTATTGTATGTCCATCTTTCGGATTAACGCGGTCTTTCATTTGAATTTGAAGATTTTTTGATGCTCTTTCGCAATCTGAATCAAGTGCAAGGTTTTGATGACAACATTTTCCTTTGAGTTCTAATAAAAATTCTTCATTTAATTCTTGTAACATTTGATTTGCAGCTGTTGTGTTTGCCAAACATCTGGAATTCATCATGAATCATGGATCAGGGCAATCAATTTTCAGTCAAAAATTAAATAAAAAACTAACTTATCTAAATATTCCTCTTCAAAATAAGTAGCATCTGCGAGCACATCTCTTTTTCGAATTAGCCTCTCAAGTTTTGTCTGAAAATTATGATTTGCATGTTTCTAACAAACGGAATAGTACTCTCACCTCAATTCTTTTTAATCGATTGGGTAGTTTTTTGACTTGTTTTGAATAAGCTGTTGAAAGTAAATCAGAAAATGGTGCTTTCTTAGGACAAGAATGTGAATAAAAATCATCGCACGGATTAATTCCATAATCTAGATTTCTGAAACAAAAACAAATTGTTTATGATTTTTTTTTTCAAATAAGTAACTAACTTTTCTATAAATTCTACAATATCAATATCTTGCATTATGATACATGAAGCTAGAAATAATACTAGAACAAAACGTTTCAGCATTTTTCAGAAAAAATACACAATCTACTGATTCTTGCAATGTTTTATGGAAAATATATACGAAAAACATGATTAATCAAAAATGTTATATAAAAATCAGAAAACATATTCAAAAAACAAAATAATACGAAAATTAATATGAATTTGAATTTGAATTTTAATTTATGCTTTTGGTGCATCTTTTCCTAAAACGTGGCATTGCTCCTAGAAAAAAAATTATGTTAGAAACAAAATTAAAAAAAACAAAAATATATACCGTTTGTGCTTTCATCATTCTTGAATCCTTGTCACATTTAAAAATACGCCCAAAATCTGGAATTTGTGCAAATACCGAGTTGATTCTTACTTGTGGAGTCTGATGTTGCTCAGGTTCTTGATCTTCTCTCTGAAAATTGAAATAATTCAAACATCTATTTTCAGCAAAAAATGTTTTCCTACATAACAACAAATGTTACTGTAAGCGTAGAAAAATAACTTGGCGTGACTCCAACAACTTTTATGTCCACGGATTCGGCTCTGTAAAAAAGTAATAAGGCAAAATCAAACTATAGAAATTTACTCACATAGAAACCTTGTGTAAATTTGTTTTTCAAAACTTTGTAGGCTAACGGTATACCAATAATATCACTGGTATTTTCTTCGATTTGACTATCATTGACTGGTTGCTAAATTTATATGTACATAGCTTGAATGAAATTCTTTGATTGAGCATACCTGTCCAAATTTAGAACACGTTTGATTGTACTGGTTTTGTACACAGTCTACTAAATTTTGTGAAAAATCTGCATTCATTTTATGACTTTCTCCACCTGTCACGACCACTATTGAATGACCAATTTCATGTGCTATGATAGTTCCGAGAAGGCCATACTGAAAACTAACAAAAATTTGAATCTAAAAGAAAATCAAACCTGCAATGAGAGTGGCATATCTTGTTTCAACAATGATAAATATGGGGGCATCATAGAAATAATAGGATGTTTGTTCCATGCGGAAATTTCAATGCCATTAGAGGGTGGACCATCAAAATTATATAAAAATAAAACACATGTGTTCTTTAAATATATGTTGTTAAAAAGTCTAGAGAAAATAAATTTCTTTCACTGATACCGTAAAAGTTTAAGAGACGTTATTCATAAAACCCAAAATCTCTCGGCACAAAAAAAAAAATTCGAATTTTCAATTTTTTTTTTATTTGAAAGCCCATTGGTTGAGAAGCAAAAAGCACATAATATGACGTCATACAAACGTCTCCTCCTCCCGGACTACACGGTTATGTACCGAAAGTGGCATTTTTTCGACCTAACGTAACTTTGCTCTACTTTCATATTTTTTGATGATTAAAAAAGCAAAAGTGATTATTTTTTTGCGAAAAAGAAGATGGACACAACGGCGGAAAGATTAGAATACGTTTTAAAAAAGTTCTGACATAACCCCCCTAAAAATTATGCTTAGGAATAACGACGTCCTTTCAACTCCTTTTCCATTGGATTCCTCTCGATTTTTTAGGTATATTAACATAAAAAATAATTAAAATCATGACACCTTTCATATTGTGATATACCGTCAAAAACAACCTATCTGCGCGCATGCAACAAACACCTGTTCGCACTTCCCTATTTTGTTTTTTTTTATCGATCGAAAATTTTTATTGTTTTTTTATAAAGAGGAGACGAAATTTTCTAGGCATGTACGATTTAAAAAAAACACACTTGAACTTTGACCAAACTACACAATGTTATGGGTTAGGTCATTCATATAAAAAACACAAACCTACATATGATCAATAAAACAAACGATCGACGTTCGATCAAACTACATTATTCATACATTTTTTGTTCAGTTTTTGTGTTTTGTATAGAGAGTGAGAATCAGGAATTGTAAACTGTGTTTTTCTTCATTCTGAAGGGAAAAAGTATTATACAACTATATAAGGATATTTTGAAAAATTGCAGTTCATTGACAAAATAGTGGCAATTTGGATTTTTTCCTTTTCGATTGTTGTGTGAAAACATTTGGTTCGTTTTTCTCATCATTATCCTTGTCAAAAATTTCACCACGGCTCTTATTGATTGATTGATGTATAAAATTGTCAAGAGGCATATCCGATTCAAAGTCATATTCATCCGATTCTTTTTCATTTTTCATATGAGTTGCATTCTGATTACAAGATTTTTTCTGTTCTCGTTGAGACTTCAGCCTGCTGAAAAAACTGCCAATTTGTCTTGCACTCAGGTATTCATCAATGTTGAATTTTGGACTTTTGTCAGTATTCTTTTGTTGTTGCATCAATTTTTGTGCTTCTTCTGGAGTGTATTTTAAACCGCGAGAATTTCCTTCGTCAAAAATTTCGGTCAATGCATCAATTACGTTTTTTGAGAATCTAAAAGAACTATATGTTTCTGAAAATAAAATGTAATCAACCTTCCGGGCTTTCTTCTAGTTTTCAGCGCCCATCCTTTCTCAACAGATTCTTCTATTTTACGTTTTCCAATATTTTCAAGAGCAGTTTTATCAATGGTTATATCAACATCCGAGAAATGCTCGACCTGAAATTATAAACAAATATTTTTTATAATCCGATCAGTTTTATATAAAATGACTTACTCTATCTTTATACAAATTTAAAGCGTAATCTGTCAATGTGATTCTTTCTGGTTTAAGATCATGGTCGTCTTCAAGAAGATGACGCTGAAGGCCGGTATAATAATAATACTTTTTTATACAGCCAGTAACAGGACATCCGTAAATGCTGTTTTCTAACACTTCTTCAGTTTGGTTTTCTTGTGCTTGTGTTTCTTTCACCCTGGAAAAATTTATAATGGAATTAGATACCAGACATTTTTTTTACCTGTTGTCTTTTTTCTCGTTTTGTTTCGGTGAAAACCAAAAACCACCTTGACCGAAGGATTTCTGAAAATATTAACTGTGAGAAAATTTGAATAATCTCACCTTTTCTATTAGCTCACCTTTTCTATCATTAATAATGGAATTGTCATATGCAAATCTTTTTCGAGAATCGTCAATCCTTCTCCAATGTTTTTGTAGCCGTAACCAATTATACCGTTTTGTGTGTACTTGAAGTGGAACAATTGGCTGATCATTGGAATTTTTGGACCATTTTTCAATTTCTTCTTATTTTCGGAGGCATCAGAAGCACATGATTTTACTCTACATAAATAAACTGAGCTGGAATTCATCAAGGATTTATTTCCAAGTACATTAAATAAATCGTCTTCATTTGTAACATCACAACCATGATCAACAGCCGTACGAACCTGTAACTGATCCTACATATTCAAAAATGGTCTGTTTCTCACCTTTCTTTTCGCAACTGCAGCAATTCTATCACAATGAGATTTTCCATCTTGGGATTCACTAAAACTATAGTCTTCAATAGTAACGTTGTGTTTTTTTGAAAGATGGAGGAGAGAGGCAATTGTTGAAGCACTGTGGTAATTTCCTGCATTGTCAGAACGGAAATAAAATTTTCTAATTTTTTTCTCTTTCAATATACTTATGATGTGATCAATGATTGCTACAACAATTTCCGATGTCTGAAAATATGATTTGTTAAATTTATATAATTTGAGAATAAACGAAATCATACTTGTTTCTCTTTCATGATATGAATGATATTGTGTGACATAAATTGGCCGTCAATTCGCGTTGTAACGTGTGTGATATGCCAACTCATTCCCACTTTTCCAAAATAATCCTTTTGGCTCTCTCTGTGTTTCATCGGCAAAATTTTCTGAGCATAATCCATCAATATAAAAACTTCTCCAGTTCCAAGATCTTTTAACTGTGATATTTTCGATAATTCCGATGCTCTAGATCTGATAATATGTTTCTTCAATTCATTAATTCTTGTGATACTCTCATCGATCATTTTTGAGCGAAATTTGAGATCTTCCAATATTTGACGATTCACCAAAGAATCTGAATATTAATTTAAAACAAAATAATTTTATCTATTTCAGCCTACTATTTTGTGACGTTGAAGACTCAATTTCTTCAATAACACTCTGTACTGTATCTTGTATTGTCATCATAATAATCCTTCCAGCTTCACAGCGATCACATTCGATATCATGGTCATGATCACACGGTGTTGACAACTGAATATTGTTTAGATCACTCAACGAATATTTCAAACAATGATCTGGGATTCGGGAGCATTGTTTGATATGTAAATAATAATCAGTTTTCAGGTAATGTAAGTAATCAAAAAGCCGTTCCGATAGTTCCTCGAAATGATCCGTAGATATGAACTTTTTTTGTTTCATGAAATCTAATACATTTATGATTTCTTTCTGGCCCTGAAATCCATAGTATAATTTGAATTGTGTCAAATTATCAAACCTCATATGCATCAACTTTGAAATAATCCACACATGAATACGATTTCATTTCTGTTGCCGCACAAACGTTCAGAATTTTATAATAAACATTGTCACTGAACAAGAAATCCTCCTGATCCGTATCCTGAAAAAAAATATTTAGAGTAATTTTCTATTAATTTTCTAACCTTTAAATATTTTTTGAACATGTTAATTATCTCCGTTGCTGATTGTTTTCTGATAGTTTGTGGGATGTGTTCAACTGTACCGTCAGAAAACCTAATTTTTTGCGATCCAAATACATGAGGAGACATAATGATATTACTGAAAACAAATTAATTAGAATAGAACATAACTAGTAAATACCTAGTAATGAATTCGATGAACATGTTCACGCTTTCTGGCTCGTACTTATCCCGTTTTCTTTTTTCTGTTTTTGATATGATCTTCGGCACTCGTCGAGCATCATCATATATGCTTCTGGTTAATCCAGGAATAAATAACTGAATCTGATTAAGCGGAATGATTCTGGCAATCGTCGATAAAATTGCTATTCTTTCTGCTCGATTTTCACCTTGTCGATACTGCATACTGATTTCTTTAATAATTTTTGTCAAATTTTCGTCATGATGGAATGTCCAAACACTTTTATACTCTCTTTTCATAACCATTTCTCTCAAATCTTCCCAGTCTGATGGAGCAATAAATTTCAGTATAACTTCTAATAATGATCTAACCATTGATGCTTTTTTTAGTTGTGTTGCAGGAGACATCTTGGAAAGAGCTTTACGCGACAATATCTGTAATAAATAAATATTTCTGTGATTCAAAAAGACGCCTACTCGACAGAATCCAGCTGCTTTCGCGAATTGAAAAAACAACTGCTTAATGCAACTCTCTGAATATTCCGGCATAGCTAACGCTGAGGAATTGGCATTTTTTGAATTCGCTTGTTCATTATCTTCTGTTGAAGTTGTGATTGTCGTCGAAGTACTCTGAACCGAACCAGGTTCTTCAAATTCCGATCCATCATCTTCTAATGAGTCAACATATTTCCGATGACCTTCACACATAGCTGGAATACAGAAACTTCTCTGAACTGCTATGTTATTTGGAAACTTACGAATTCCAGGCGGAATAAAACTTCCGTGTCGTTTCAAAATATTCATCGAATCTTGGACAGTGATGGCGTTTGTTTTTTTCGATTTCACAACAATCAATTCGTCATGAATTTGGAATACGTTGTTTGGAAAAGAACACGCCATTTGACGATTCTAAAATAAAATCAATGCAAATAATTTATTTTGGAACGCACCCCTTTCTTTTGTTTGATAAGAATATGAGCGTAGAGCTTGTTATCCCAATGTGTCAACAGTTGCTTGATGTGTTCTTCACAGATATATGAATTTTCATATTCAGCTAGTTGTGTCGGTTCGATTTTATCAATACTAAATTATATATATTATGTTAATTGAATTGTGGAAAGAACCAACCAATTTGCACTTCCTCTACACAATACCAATCCTAATGCATCTTTGGCACCAAAATAATTGTCAACTTCTGTTGATTTTAGTTCAATTATTCTGAAAAAAAACACGTAATTGAGAAATAAAAGATATCTTACTTTTTGTTAATTTCGCCTTTGCATGGGCGCAAATTGAATCTTGGGGTTCGCTCGGAAGTTTCCAATTTACATTTACCAACAGATTCAAAATAACATATTTTCGTATTATTTGCCTGATCTCCAGACGATGTATCCTGTAAGAATATCATATATTTCAGAACTAAAAAAAACTAAAACAATACCTGGCGTCTTTTTGTGCCTAACAAAACACAAAAAACTGTGACAAACACCAAAATGAAAAGTTCCATAACCTTCAAATAATAGTTTCATTTATATAGAATCAAATTTAAAAAAAAAACCAGGAAATTGAAAACAAAGAAAAAAACGACAAAAACACAAAAACTGAACAAAAAATGTATGAATAATGTAGTTTGATCGAACGTCGATCGTTTGTTTTATTGATCATATGTAGGTTTGTGTTTTTTATATGAATGACCTAACCCATAACATTGTGTAGTTTGGTCAAAGTTCAAGTGTGTTTTTTTTTAATCGTACATGCCTAGAAAATTTCGTCTCCTCTTTATAAAAAAACAATAAAAATTTTCGATCGATAAAAAAAAACAAAATAGGGAAGTGCGAACAGGTGTTTGTTGCATGCGCGCAGATAGGTTGTTTTTGACGGTATATCACAATATGAAAGGTGTCATGATTTTAATTATTTTTTATGTTAATATACCTAAAAAATCGAGAGGAATCCAATGGAAAAGGAGTTGAAAGGACGTCGTTATTCCTAAGCATAATTTTTAGGGGGTTATGTCAGAACTTTTTAAAACGTATTCTAATCTTTCCGCCGTTGTGTCCATCTTCTTTTTTCGCAAAAAAATAATCACTTTTGCTTTTTTAATCATCAAAAAATATGAAAGTAGAGCAAAGTTACGTTAGGTCGAAAAATGCCACTTTCGGTACATAACCGTGTAGTCCGGGAGGAGGAGACGTTTGTATGACGTCATATTATGTGCTTTTTGCTTCTTAACCAAAGGGCTTTCAAATAAAAAAAAAAATTGAAAATTCGAATTTTTTTTTTGTGCCGAGATATATACGAAATATTATGATTTTACAAATAACGTCTCTTGAGACGTTATTCATAAAACCCAAAATCATACTTTTGACATTCATGATATTTTGCTAAAAGTTGTTCGAAAAATTCAGAACTTGCTTCGAACAAACTTGTAGAAGCGTCGATTCTCAATTGATCCAAGATTCCATAAAACACATCAACATTGTATGACATCCAGGGGGTTTCCTTTGAAAATATTATTATTTAATTAGGGAATAATCGCTAAAGGTTACCAGCGTTAGTTTCTTTGCTTCGGTTTTCAGATCTTCAAAAATTTTCTCAATCATATCGAATAACACTGTATTATTTTGATACCATCGATATAATTGTAAATTACGATAATGATTCAAGAATTTTATCGCTTTCTTATCCAACCCCTGGAAAAAAAAGTAAACCTCACTTTTCATTTTTTTTTTCAAATTCATTTCTCAACTAACAATCTCTACATCGGCCAAATAGTTTGTCAACAATTTGTTCAATCGATCAGTTCCTTCTTCACAAGTTGGAAACAATAATGCATTTTGAAAACAACAATTATAAAAATGAGAAGAATGAAAATATCTATTCATTTCGTAGAGTAATTCTCTTGCATCTGATTCATTGCTTCTACATTTATTGAAATATTCTTCTAATAAATGATTTTTCATCCCAACTTTTTCGATAATTGTGAACTCATTTCTGATTTTCATAATTATTTCGTTTAAATCAGGTGTATACAAATCGAGTTCTTCTCGAAATCCAGACCAAATTTTATTCTGAATTGTTGTGGCGTCTGGAGCATCTTTTGAACAGGAATGGCGATAAAAATCATCGCAAGGTGAAACATTCCGATCAATATTTCTTGATTCAAAAAATAATTACCTGGTGACGCATTTTTAACTTACTCTTCAAAGCTTTCAAAGATATCAACATCAAGTGGATTAACAGATTTCCAGATTATGAAAAATAGTATTCTGATATTGAAACTCAGAAAATTCTTCATATTTGTTTGATGGTTGAAGTGTGAAAATTTATGTTATGAAATCTGATAATAATTTGATATTTTAAACAGAAACGTTTTTTTATACTTTTTTCCCGCCTATACTGTTTGACCTACTGAAAATGTAAATATACACAAAAATCATTTATTAAAATGAGATCGAAAAAAAATTCATAAAATTTGAAAATTAACCGGATTTTGAATTGTTCTATTGGTTGAAGTTTCAACTATACTTGATCGCGCTTATCCTGAAAAATATTTTTTTTTATGAAAATGAAAAACGAAATAAGAAAATTTTACCGTTTCATAACCGATTTTTGTTGTCGTTTAATAAATTTGGTCATCATTTCCATAGGGAACGGGAAAATAATAGTGTTATTTTTCTCCGAGCTAATACTATTCAATGTTTGCAGGTAGCGAAGTTGAATAGCACATGGCGATGTGGAAATCTACAATAAGGGATTTAAAACTTTAGAAATCGACTGTTTTTTCTTACCACATCTGCAGCTTCTCCTAGAGCTCTTGATGCATTTTTCTCTCCTTCAGCAGCAATAATCTGAAAAATATGAATTTATATATAATTCGCTCCCCCAAGCCCCCAATTTGTTTTCTTTGGTCCTCAAAAAATCACAAAAAAAACATGCCTTAGCACACGCATCCCTGGTTGCTTCTGCTTCAGCGGCCATAACTCGTTGCAATTGATACGGAAGACGAACATCCTTCATTTCGACTCTTTCCACTTTTACACCCCATGGGATTGTTGTTTCGTCAAGTGTTGCCTTAAAAAAACACAAAGCATAACATTGGCATAAAAAAGAATGGGAAATGAGAATGGATACATGATTTTTTTTCATAGTGGATATGTGGGAAGATGTTTTTTGTTGTTTTGGGAATTTTTGGAGGGGGAAAGATTGGGAAGAAGAGGTTCAGTGAAAAATTTGTTTTTTTTTCAGAAAAATTTAACTGTTTGAACGTGGAGCCTTTTTCAAAGTGAAAAAAATATAACAAACTATGGAGACGTTTTTGGAATTTTTACTTTTTTGTGAAAAATAAACGTTTTAGAAATTGAAAGTTTATATCCAAGGTTTATATGCACATAAAGTATTTCTCTAAAATTTAGGTTCAAATGACGTCATGTTTTGATTTTACTTCGTTGCAAAATTATTCCAAAAAATCCTTATTTTCAAATTAATAATATCAAAAATCCTCCTCAAATGTTTTAATTTCCTCTCTCTGTCTTCTCCACAGCTTATTCTGAATTCAAATTGAAATATTCATATTTATAAATTCTGCTGCCTTTCATATGTTATATAAAAGTACAAAAAATATAAGTAAACCCGGAAATGAGTTTGGATGATTGACACCGGAAATTATTTTCGTTCTTTTTCTCTATGCTCTCTTTTTCTCTCTCGAAATATTCAGCAATTACCTGCATTTGAAGTGAGATAACATCACGATCTGATAACATTTCGGTCAAAGTTTTGGTTCCCAAAATGTTTCTCAATGTGGTTTGAGCCAATAGTTTTGTTGATCGTGCAGCATCTTCAATGTTGATGACCTGAATAGAACTGGTTATTGGAAAAAATACAGAAAAGATTTATGATTATACCGAGATAGTGGCATTTGAGATTCTGAAATAAACCACAGCATCAACAGCAACTGTCACCGCATCTTTCGACAGCAATTCTTGAGGTGGAACTTCAAAGGACAGTGTTCTCAAATCAATTTTCTTATACGAATCGATGCAAGGAACCACAAAAAAGATACCAGGACCTCGTGCACCGCCTGGTTTAACACGACCTAATCGGAATATTACTGCACGTTCGTATTCTTGAGCAACCTGAAAACGAATTTTGAATGAAAAAAGGAAAGGAGAAAAAAAGGTTACCTTGACGCATAGGAAAATTGAGACCGGTAATGTGATGAAGGCCAATAAATAAGAGCAGATTGTTAAAATCCATCCACATGCCGTGAAATTTACTTTGGAAGACACTGAAAGGTTGGAGAAATTAAGATATGAAGGCATTTCTGGAAGTCGAGAGGTCAATTTTCATTTATATTTTGTGAGTGTACTAATTTTCTGAAATTGATCCCGAAATCAAAAAAAAAACAAAAAATATTTGAAGCTAAGCTTAAGGTTGATTTCCAGACAATACATATTTTCAAAACGTAGGCTAACTCCTGGATGAAATATATACAAAAACTGAAAATAATCATCAATTGAGACAAAAATAATAAATTTTAGAAATCCTCATATTTTTCCAAAATTTTGAATTCATTTGAAAACCCTAGTTTTATCTTCAGAACCCTTTATTTTTTCAAAAACCTTTCAAAGCCTAAATTATATGTTTTGCATATGTCCATGCAAAAAAAAAAACAAATTCTGATATTGACATGATCAAAAATCTTCGCAAAAAAACAACTTACTTTCCATAAATCTAGCCGGAGCAGCAGCTCGACCTCTTGTTGGTTTACGAGGTTGAAGAGTGTTGGGCATTTTTGTGTGTGTTGTCTGAAAACAAAAAAAAGAAAATCAAATTTTGACATGAGACCTCAACAAAAATTGAGTATATTTCTTGCTAGTAAACAAAAAGGGATTGGATTGTGAAAGATGATAAAATAAGTGTGAAAAAAAGTGTCAATCATTCCGACTTTTAATATCTACTTCTTTTTTCTAAAAATTCTAAAAGAAAAAAAAGATATAGCAAAAAAAAGAGGCGGGGAAAATGAACATTTTGGGTTGAAAAAATCCCAAAAAAAAAAAGAACTACAACTGACTGAAAAAAAATGAAAAGAAAGAAAAAAGGGAGTTGGAATAATGCAGTACATCTTTTTGAGTGACTGATTTTAGGAGAAAATTGAAGGGTTCCTAGAAATGTGTGAATTTATGATTCGTAGTGGAAAATTTCAAACAAAAAATGTATGGGAGGAAAGGAAAGAAAAAAGAAAAGGGTAGAAATAATACATTTTGTGTCAAAAACACAATTACATAGAAGAATTAGTGAAGAAGGTTCAGAAGTAGAAAAAATAGAATTATTTTTTTTTCAACTGCAGTTTTTTCACGATATTTTTCATGAAACACGAAAAAGGTGGCAAAAAGTGCAAAGTGTAGATAGAGTCGCGAAAAAAATTTTGCGCCAGCCAGCCACGCCAAAAAAAAGTTTGCTCTTTCACATCCTCTCTATCCTAAATGTGAAGCACAAAAAAAAGTATTTTTTTGGGACCCTTCCTCAAAAAATTGGATCTCTTCAAGAAGAAAGCAAAAAAAAAGAAAAGTTTTACAAACAAACAAAGCTTAATTGTGAATGTGAAAAGTGGGCTTTTTCACACTTTTAAGAGGGGAAAAGATTTTTGAAATTATTATTTTTATTTTTTGGGGGGATTTGTGGAGCAAATAAAATGATAGGTGCTGAATATCACTTTTTTTTTAAATTTTGGTAATAATACATAAATAGGACCAAATTAGTTTTGAAGTATTTCGTTTCAATTTTTAACAATACGAAAAATTCAGAATTTTAATTGGAATCCATATTAGAAAAAACACACACACTAAAAAAAAAGAAAAAAACGCTTACGGCTCAAATAAAAAATGTTTCACTGACTGAACTTGACATATTTTACAATGTATGTATTCATTTTTTGATGAGGACACGGCTTCTCCTTTTTTTTTTGAAAAAAAAACATGATAGATAGAATTCAACACACAAAAATAGTAAAAATTGCACTAAATTGCAATTTTATTTCGAGTCATAAAATCGTAACACATGTGTGTGTGCTTTTTTTCAAGAATTAAGGCAATCAAAGGAAACAAATTTGAAAATTTTTGAAAAAGAAAAGGAATTATGTAGATTTTTAGTTGGGGGAAAAATGTGAAATGTATGCAAACAAATAAAAATGGATGGATGAAGGTTTGATATATGAATATGTGTGGTCGAAGTGGCGGAAAATGCATTTTTAGATGCACTTTTTCTACTTTTTGAGGAAAAAAGTTGGGGGAGAGAGGGGTGAACTCGTGTTTTGAATAATTGGTAGGTTCTGACTAAACTACACTCATTTGAAATTTAAAATTTAGTCGGATTCGAAGCATCTGAAATCAATAGGATTTTTTTTCAATATTCAAAATTTGCTCTAATTTTTGAAATAAATTCGATTTCCCCTATCTTTCAAAAAATGCACCAATCTTTGATGAATCTAGAAAATCTTGAACGAAAAAAAAAACAGAGTACTTGAGCCAAAAAAATTCAAGAGTAATTAGAGATTGTCATTAGAAAAAATCTTGTCTAACCAACCAACCATCCAAAAAGCTCCAACTAACAAAAAAAAAAGATTGGTAGCATGAATGAGCACAAGATATCCTTCTTCTTCTTCTTCTTGGTTCTTCCACTTCTTTTCACAGATAATCCCTTTGGGAGTGAATGAGCCAACCAACCAAACATGGCTCTTTTATCTTCTCCACACTTTTTTCTGACTTTTTGCTATGTATGAAATGGTCTGTTTGCTATTTGAAAAAAAAACAACAACAAGGATTTTTGAAAGGAAAAAAAAAACACACGCAACAAAAATGTGGGAAAAATTTGGAGAAAACAAATACTCGCAACATGCACATACAGGAAACATTGACGACAGGAAACTCTGCGGTTCGGGAAATTTGATTATGTTTATGTGTGTGAGTGATGTTGTTATTTATTTTCGCTTTCTACTATGATTGTTTTAGGTTTTTTTGAAAAAGGAGAAAAACAGAGAACAATATAATTAGTGAAGATTCTTTACGAAAACTTCAGCAAGGATGTAATTTCAAGAGAACAAGATCTGAGTTTTCAAATTTGAGTTGGTCAAGATAAAAATTTTCATTAAAAAATTTCGGCACAGAAAATCTTTGATCAGAATTGTTTCACAAAAAGTTATCTTATCAAAACTTTCTGCAAATATCGCAATCTAGAATTAAAAAATCTTCCACAATCAGCTTAAAACCTAATGAGCCAGAAAAATTGCATTAAATATAAAACCGAAAATCGAAAATTACGGAAAATATGAATGTTATTATCTGAAGTTATTCAGAATAAATTGGCTTTCTAAAGGATAATTTCTCAACAATAAGAGAAAAAAAATTCAAAAACGCCTTGAAAACAAAAAAAAATAAAAATTCTGGTTTTTCAAAAACAAAAACTTGACAGCGGGATAAAAAAGTGCGGTGGGGCGCGTTTTCTTCACTGCAAAACGAACAGTGATCAGATAAACAATAAACATATACCATTACATACACATTTTTCCAACATTTGTTCACCGGGCGTCGTGGCGGGCGTCTGTGAGCTAGCATCTTAGCGGTAGACATTTGGAGTTGAGTTGGACTGGGGAATACATAGCCAAATCTTGTAAAATCCTGAAAGGCCTAGGAGAAAAACAAGTACCAGAAAGTCGGAATAAAAAAGTCAAAGACGAATAAATTCTGCAAAACTGTAGAACCCGGTACTCTAACCAGATGTTGTCAAAACTTTTTTGTTTTGTTTTGAAAAAAGGAATATTTTTGTGAAGAAAAAATCAAATATGCCCTAGGGAATATCTCTTTGGAGACAGATGAAAGTAAAAGATTCGCTTCAACATTTATTATATAAATTAGAAATGACGCTTTTAGACGATTTTCGAAAAAAGTGCATTTAATATTAATCGAGAAAAGTGGTGTGCAACAAGAGAAACAAAAAAAGTGCACGTTGATTTTTTTTTTTGAAAAAAAAACGAAATGCTCACGAAATATGATACTATTTTTTGTTTTGTTACGACAAAAAAAGTTTTTTTTCGGAGATTATTCACTTTTTTGTTATTATTTTTGGTCAATTTTTTGACAAAAAACTAACAACAATAAATGGGAAAATGGGTAATGGATGAAAACAAATTGAAAAGAAAATTGAAATATAATAACTTGAAGTGAGCAAAAATCGTGAGAAATGAATCAGTTGATGTTAAAGAGCAGAAATGTAATTTGATAGTTTTGAAGGTTTAGAAATGTATGTAAAGTGAAGTGAATTTGAAGAAGAACTGAATTATTGGGATGACCACAACACACGGAGAACAAAAATTTGGTTCAATTTTAACTTCACTTTGAAGAATTGTCCGATAGTGGGGACAAGCTCAATTTCATCAAACTCATAATTTTTTTTTTTGAAAATTCGGTAAACGGGTTGAGAACAATATAGTTACAAAAAAAACCTGGCAAAAGTGCAGTTTTCAAAGCAAAATGTTCAAAGATATTGGCCGTAACTGACAAGAGGATGACGAGCTCATGCAATAATTGTTCACTGCAATTTTTGAAATCAAAAATACAAATCAAGTGATCATTTTTTTGAATATTCGATTTTTCGAGTACTCTGATTTGTTACAGAGATCCTAGCGTAGTATTTTTCAATTCTGATATCACAAAAGCAGAGATAATCAGAATTTGATTTTACAATGATTTTATAGGGCACCAGTTGTTTGAATCATTATCAAAATTAACAATTTCCTGTTATGTATCCCCGAAATTATCATTCAGAAAACAATTTGATAATTATTTAACATGTTGCTACTTTCCAGGTAAACTTATCATAACTTCTTTTTGTCTTTTTTTATATCAGATCAAACTATGTACATTTTTGTCTCGAACGTTTCCCATGACTACTACTACTACTCACATAGCTCACAGAAATATATTCATTTTTCTCAATATTTGTAGTTTATCTTATTTCTTGCTTGTCCCTTATTCATAGAGAAAAATTTCAAAGTTGTCTCATCACACTAATCTTTTTAATTGTAATATGTCTATGTAATTTTGAGAATGAAAAAACATATTTTACCAAAATTTTTCATTTCATTTTTCCTATTTTTATTTCTATATAATCTTCATTCTTCCTTATCTTCTCATTTTTTGCAAAAAAAAACTTTTTTGCACCTATTCTTGTTATCCTAGTCCTCCTAACCAATTTGTTTTCCTCGTCCCCCTTCCTCTTTTATTTTTTCTTGTATATTCAAATGTGTGTGTGTGTGTGTTTCATTGTTTTTTTTTGTGCTACCAAGCGCGCGCCAACTATTTTTGTTGTTGTTTCGAGTGAGTTGGCAGTCACTTCATTTTTTTTCTTGGGTCACTTGCTTTTTTTATTTTTTCGCTTCGTTTGCGTGTTTCTTTTTATTTATGTCGTTTTATTGTTGATTATCAATAATAATCATTTGAATTTACAGCTCCTTCTGTAAATAACTGTAAATAGCCAACTAACTCAAATACAATTATGCTCAAAGCAAACTATTCAAATATTTGGAAATATTTTGGATTTATTTTGCTATTTACAACGATTTTATCGGCTGTACTCTATAAACCACTTCCAGAAGGATTTACAAAAACAAAAATGGATAGAATTATTATGAATATTGTTGAACCAGCTTTACGTGTTGCATATTATTATCCAGTTAGTTTATCTTTTTTCAATATGAGGTGAAAAAATCAATAATTTATTCATATTTTCAGAGTCGACTTTTCTCAAAACCAAGTAGCATGGTTTGGTGGACTCGTCTTGCATTAAATCATATGTCATCAACTCTTGGAATAACTGTCAATACAAATGGTGTTGTTTCATCATTTTGGCGTAATTGGAATGGTGTTAATGTTAAAATCTATCAACCATTATACAATAAAACTGAAACAAACGGAGCTGTTCTTTTTATTCACGGAGGAGGATTTGCATTAGGAAATGTTGAAATGTATGATTCACTTATGAGAAGAATGACTGCTGAGTAAGGAATTTATTGATTTTTTTTCATCTGGGAAGAGTTAATTGATATGTTTTTCAGAATGAACACAATGTTTGTATCAATCGAATATCGTCTTGTACCAGAAACAGTTTTCCCAGGAAATTTGTTAGATTGTGAAAATGCTGTCGATTATTTCTTTGCAAATGCTGCTGCTGAATTTGGAATTGATACTTCAAAAGTTGTTATAATGGGAGATTCAGCTGGTGGAAATTTGGCGACAGTTGTTGCACAAAGAAGAAATGAAAGAAATGCGGTGCCAAAATTAGCTGGACAAGTTCTTATTTATCCACTTGTTCAAATGGCTGACATGCAAACTATTTCTTATCGATATTTCTTTGATCATCTTGACGGATTGGCGCTTGTTGGTGAGTTTATTGAAGCTGAGGATTTGATTTTCAATTTAACCTATTTTTCTTTTGCAGATCCAGAATCAGTTGCATATTATTACATGTTTTATGCTGGTATTAATATGGATGAAAAGAAATATCTTGTCAAAAATGTTGTTACAAATGGTCATATTTCCAAAACTGTTCAACAAGATATCAACAAAATTATGGAACACAAACATTCACTCGAAATTACAAACAATTATAAAAATGCAACAATCAAATCACGTTCAAATGTTGAAGAAAGTATTGAAGCTCAAAATCTTCTTAAACCATTATTGATGAATCCAGATATTTTCCCGTTGATGAGAAAGAATCTATCGGGTCTTCCACCAACATTGGTTTTGACATGTGAATTTGATATTTTGAGAGATGAAGGAATTTTGTATGCTGATAGATTGAAGGTTGGTTTTTTTTATAATGATCTGAATGTTCGTTTCTAATATTAGTATTTTTCAGAAAGCTGATGTTCCAACAACTGCAATCAATTATGAAAACGGGTTTCATGCAATGCTCAATTTCCACAGTGAATTATTCGAAGCATCTGAATCTGTTAACGATATTGAACGATGGATTTTGGATACAATTGGAGCATGAATATTTCATTTTTTATAAACGCATGTCGATAGACTCTAAATTATGACAATTTGTATATTTGTATGTTTACTGCTCTTTTATCAAATAAAATCATCTAACATGAGTCAGTGTTTTTCGGTTTTCAACTGAAATTGTGAAGGGAAGAAAAATCTGTTCTTTGACAATATCGTGAACTACAGAAGCTAGATTTTTGTGGTATTCGGGGCTCTATAGGTCTCAAAATTCTGATCCAAAAGCGCGAGAATATGTTTTTATTTATGAATTCGTGGGTTTGACTTTAATCATTGTGGTGATCATTATCTTCCAATATTGTTATCCAAACCGGCATATTCGCAAGTTCAAGATGCTTTCAAAAAGAAAAAACAACATTACTAAAAATGCTTCAAAATTGGAAATCTTTCTCGTTAACCACTTCTTTGATAGTTTCAGATTACCAATTTTACACAAAAATTCTCCAAACAACAGGTTCTCTCTGTAATTTTTACCAAATTAACCTAATTCCAATATGAAATCGATTTTTCCATTTGAATGATCATACGATTTTTCTCATCATTCTCGATGTTCAACTTTAATTATGAACAATATTTTTCGAATTCCTTGAAAAAACACATTCAAATATTTTAATGTTTGTTTTTTTGTTTTTAGGAAAATCAAATCACAGACATTTATCGATTAGACTATTTTCTTGTGTCTCACAAGGCAAATTCATTCGAATTGCCATTTCATTTTCAATTTTTGATTATTCATTCCACTGTTTGCGATTTTATTCTTGATTTCAAAGATGACTGCTCTTGCAAATGCTGTGAGTTATCAAAATTGCTTTGAAAACACTCTAACATATCAATTTTTCAGTTCATGATGCTGTTTGTTGCGATCCAACGTCTCGAATTGGATGTTAAATTCAAGAAACTCTTCAAGTTCTCTGAAAAGAAAGCTAAATCCTACGAACCCCTTTAACAATTTTACACGCTTTTACAGAACAAAGAAATTTTAACGAAAGTGGGAAGAGCCTAATATAAAGGTATAGGCAGAGCGCAGAGAAACGCATCTTTCGTGTATATATCTGTTGTCTACCTATGCATGTATGCATGTATATTAGGCTCCGCTCATTTTCGTTAAAATTTATTTGTTATTTAACTTTTACTACAATTTTGACCGGATTTTTTAAAACATTTTTTCGCTTATTTTATTTTTTGGCATCTTGTAGTCATTTTTTTCTTTTCTTTTGGTGTAGTTTATACATAATAAACACTTTCAACACGTTTGTTCACGTTTCATTTTTCTGAATTTATTTCATTTATTTTTGAGGTCACGTGAGCATATTTTGAAATTAGGTCGACACGTTTTTTCACGTTTCATTTTTCTGAATTTATTTCTTTTATTTTTGAGGTCACGTGAGCATTTTTTGAAATTAGGTCGACACGTTTTTTCACGTTTCATTTTTCTGAATTTATTTCATTTATTTTTGAGATCACGTGAGCATTTTTTGAAATTAGGTCGACACGTTTTTTCACGTTTCATTTTTCTGAATTTATTTCTTTTATTTTTGAGGTCACGTGAGCATTTTTTGAAATTAGGTCGACACGTTTTTTCACGTTTTATTTTTCTGAATTTATTTCATTTATTTTTGAGGTCACGTGAGCATTTTTTGAAATTAGGTCGACACATTTTTTCACGTTTCATTTTTCTGAATTTATTTCATTTATTTTTGAGGTCACGTGAGCATATTTCGAAATTAGGTCGACACGTTTTTTCACGTTTCATTTTTCTGAATTTATTTCTTTTATTTTTGAGGTCACGTGAGCATTTTTTGAAATTAGGTCGACACATTTTTTCACGTTTCATTTTTCTGAATTTATTTCATTTATTTTTGAGGTCACGTGAGCATTTTTTGAAATTAGGTCGACACGTTTTTTCACGTTTCATTTTTCTGAATTTATTTCATTTATTTTTGAGGTCACGTGAGCATTTTTTGAAATTAGGTCGACACATTTTTTCACGTTTCATTTTTCTGAATTTATTTCATTTATTTTTGAGATCACGTGAGCATATTTCGAAATTAGGTCGACACGTTTTTTCACGTTTCATTTTTCTGAATTTATTTCATTTATTTTTGAGGTCACGTGAGCATATTTCGAAATTAGGTCGACACGTTTTTTCACGTGATATTTTTCTGAATTTATTTCATTTATTTTTGAGATCACGTGAGCATATTTCGAAATTAGGTCGACACGTTTTTTCACGTTTCATTTTTCTGAATTTATTTCATTTATTTTTGAGGTCACGTGAGCATATTTCGAAATTAGGTCGACACGTTTGTTCACGTTTCATTTTTCTGAATTTATTTCATTTATTTTTGAGGTCACGTGAGCATATTTCGAAATTAGGTCGACACGTTTTTTCACGTTTCATTTTTCTGAATTTATTTCATTTATTTTTGAGGTCACGTGAGCATATTTCGAAATTAGGTCGACACGTTTTTTCACGTTTCATTTTTCTGAATTTATTTCATTTATTTTTGAGGTCACGTGAGCATATTTCGAAATTAGGTCGACACGTTTTTTCACGTTTCATTTTTCTGAATTTATTTCATTTATTTTTGAGGTCACGTGAGCATATTTCGAAATTAGGTCGACACGTTTTTTCACGTTTCATTTTTCTGAATTTATTTCATTTATTTTTGAGGTCACGTGAGCATTTTTTGAAATTAGGTCGACACATTTTTTCACGTTTCATTTTTCTGAATTTATTTCATTTATTTTTGAGGTCACGTGAGCATATTTCGAAATTAGGTCGACACGTTTTTTCACGTTTCATTTTTCTGAATTTATTTCATTTATTTTTGAGGTCACGTGAGCATATTTCGAAATTAGGTCGACACGTTTTTTCACGTTTCATTTTTCTGAATTTATTTCATTTATTTTTGAGGTCACGTGAGCATATTTCGAAATTAGGTCGACACGTTTTTTCACGTTTCATTTTTCTGAATTTATTTCATTTATTTTTGAGATCACGTGAGCATATTTCGAAATTAGGTCGACACGTTTTTTCACGTTTCATTTTTCTGAATTTATTTCATTTATTTTTGAGGTCACGTGAGCATATTTCGAAATTAGGTCGACACGTTTTTTCACGTTTCATTTTTCTGAATTTATTTCATTTATTTTTGAGGTCACGTGAGCATATTTCGAAATTAGGTCGACACGTTTTTTCACGTGATATTTTTCTGAATTTATTTCTTTTATTTTTGAGGTCACGTGAGCATATTTCGAAATTAGGTCGACACGTTTTTTCACGTTTCATTTTTCTGAATTTATTTCATTTATTTTTGAGGTCACGTGAGCATATTTTGAAATTAGGTCGACACGTTTTTTCACGTTTCATTTTTCTGAATTTATTTCATTTATTTTTGAGATCACGTGAGCATATTTCGAAATTAGGTCGACACGTTTTTTCACGTTTCATTTTTCTGAATTTATTTCATTTATTTTTGAGGTCACGTGAGCATATTTCGAAATTAGGTCGACACGTTTTTTCACGTTTCATTTTTCTGAATTTATTTCATTTATTTTTGAGGTCACGTGAGCATATTTCGAAATTAGGTCGACACGTTTTTTCACGTGATATTTTTCTGAATTTATTTCATTTATTTTTGAGGTCACGTGAGCATATTTTGAAATTAGGTCGACACGTTTTTTCACGTGATATTTTTCTGAATTTATTTCATTTATTTTTGAGGTCACGTGAGCATATTTCGAAATTAGGTCGACACGTTTTTTCACGTTTCATTTTTCTGAATTTATTTCTTTTATTTTTGAGGTCACGTGAGCATATTTCGAAATTAGGTCGACACGTTTTTTCACGTTTCATTTTTCTGAATTTATTTCATTTATTTTTGAGGTCACGTGAGCATTTTTTGAAATTAGGTCGACACATTTTTTCACGTGATATTTTTCTGAATTTATTTCATTTATTTTTGAGGTCACGTGAGCATATTTTGAAATTAGGTCGACACGTTTTTTCACGTGATATTTTTCTGAATTTATTTCATTTATTTTTGAGGTCACGTGAGCATATTTCGAAATTAGGTCGACACGTTTTTTCACGTGATATTTTTCTGAATTTATTTCATTTATTTTTGAGGTCACGTGAGCATATTTCGAAATTAGGTCGACACGTTTTTTCACGTTTCATTTTTCTGAATTTATTTCTTTTATTTTTGAGGTCACGTGAGCATATTTCGAAATTAGGTCGACACGTTTTTTCACGTTTCATTTTTCTGAATTTATTTCATTTATTTTTGAGGTCACGTGAGCATATTTCGAAATTAGGTCGACACGTTTTTTCACGTTTCATTTTTCTGAATTTATTTCTTTTATTTTTGAGGTCACGTGAGCATATTTCGAAATTAGGTCGACACGTTTTTTCACGTTTCATTTTTCTGAATTTATTTCTTTTATTTTTGAGGTCACGTGAGCATATTTCGAAATTAGGTCGACACGTTTTTTCACGTTTCATTTTTCTGAATTTATTTCATTTATTTTTGAGGTCACGTGAGCATATTTCGAAATTAGGTCGACACGTTTTTTCACGTTTCATTTTTCTGAATTTATTTCATTTATTTTTGAGGTCACGTGAGCATATTTCGAAATTAGGTCGACACGTTTTTTCACGTTTCATTCTTCTGAATTTATTTCATTTATTTTTGAGGTCACGTGAGCATATTTTGAAATTAGGTCGACACGTTTTTTCACGTTTCATTTTTCTGAATTTATTTCATTTATTTTTGAGGTCACGTGAGCATATTTCGAAATTAGGTCGACACGTTTTTTCACGTTTCATTTTTCTGAATTTATTTGAGGTCACGTGAGCATATTTCGAAATTAGGTCGACACGTTTTTTCACGTTTCATTTTTCTGAATTTATTTCTTTTATTTTTGAGGTCACGTGAGCATATTTCGAAATTAGGTCGACACGTTTTTTCACGTTTCATTTTTCTG